CACGTTGCCATGTTGCACACACCCTAGAAAACGTCTGGCCTTTCCTCAGAGGCTACCTTAATATGACCACCTTAAAGTCTTAAGTGACTTCAGGGCTGCCTACATCTCCCTCCAGAATCTGAAGCCAGCACAGAGGTCACTCCCCCCTCCCTCTGCAGGAGCAGAGGCTTCTGGGTAGAGCTGACAGGGAATCTTTAAAATTTACGTTCTGGAGGCGTTGGGCGCACGGCTGGCCCAGCCCTCCTTTTGTCTGGCTGCCCACGCCTCCAGATTTATTTATTTTCCCCCTGACTCAGCAGACTGTTGACCTCGTCTGTTTCCCAGCCGCAGATTTTTCCTCCAAGAGGCGGATGAGCAAATACTTATATATGCCAGGGGAAAAGAAATATAGACTCCAGGAAGTGGCTCAGATGTTTTTGTGGGAAATGGATGAGCTCAGAAGGAAAAGAGCTTGGGAAAGCAAGGAACACATTCTTGGGTGCACCCAGAGCGTGGGGAGAACTGGCTAGGTGCACTCCCCACCCTGAAAACCATCATCGACTCCCATATTGTCTAGTACGGCAGATTCCATCTTCCTTATACACTTCATATGTGTCTCCTGATTTTGTTGGGGTGTATCACAAGAGCAAGGGACGCTGGTGGCGCTGTGGGTTAAACCACAGAGCATAGGGCTTGCCGATCAGAAGGTCGGTGGTTCGAATCCCCGCGACAGGGTGAGCTCCCGTTGCTCGGTCCCTGCTCCTGCCAACCTAGCAGTTCGAAAGCACGTCCAAGTGCAAGTAGATAAATAGGTACCACTCTGGCGGGAAGGTAAACGGCGTTTCCGTGCGCTGCTCTGGTTTGCCAGAAGCGGCTTAGTCATGCTGGCCACATGACCCGGAAGCTGTACGCTGGCTCCCTCAGCCAGTAAAGCTAGATGAGCGCCACAACCCCAGAGTCGTCTGCAACTGGACTTAACAATCAGGGGTCCCTTTACTTTACTATCGCAAGAGCGCAATAATATTGGGGAAGCATCGCAGAACGATGAATCAAGCAGAATTATATGTGGATGGTCCAGAATAAATCTGCCACTGATGCACTATGGTTGGGTGGAATCATGGAATTGTAGAGTGGGTAGGGACCCCAGGGGTCATCTAGTCTAACCCCCTGCAACGCAGGAATCTCAGCTGAAGCATCTGTGACAGATGGCCATCCAACCTCTGCTTAAAATCCTCCAAGGAAGGAGAGTCCTTCACCTTCTGAGGGAAACCGTTCCACTGTCAAACAGCTCTTACTGTCAGAAAATCCTTCCTGATGTTGAGTCAGAATCTCCTTTTTTGTAAACTTTAAGCCCCTGATTCTCCAGAGCTGGAGGAAACAATATTGCTCCATCTTCCATACGACTCCCCTTGAGATAGTTGAAGATGGCTCTCATATCTCCTCTCAGTCTCTTCTTTTCCAGGCTGAACATCCCCAGCTCCTTCAACTGTTCTTCATCAGGCTTAGTTTCCAGACCCCTGATCATCTTGGTTGCCCTCCTCTGCGCACCTTCCAGCTTGTCAACATCCTTCCTAAATTATGGCACCCGGAACTGGACACAGGACTCCAGATGTGGTCTGACCAAGGCAGAGTGGTACTACTACTTCCCTTGATGTGGAGTTGTGGACACTAGACTTCTGTTGATACAGGCTAGAATAGCATTAGCTTTTTTTCTTCTGCTGCATCACACTGTTGACTCATGGTAAGCTTGCGGGTGGCGCTGTGGTCTAAACCACAGAGCCTAGGGCTTGCCGATCAGAAGGTTGGCGGTTCGAATACCTGCGACAGGGTGAGCTCCCGTTGCTCGGTCCCTGCTCCTGCCAACCTAGCAGTTCAAAAGCACGAAGTGCAAGTAGATAAATAGGTACCGCTCCGGCGGGAAGGTAAACGGCGTTTCCGTGCGCTTTACCTAGAATCAAAGAATCATAGCGTTGGAAGGGACCCCGAGGGTCATCTAGTCCAACCCTCTTTTTGCACAACGTGGGGCTCAAACCCACGGCCCTGAGATTAAGAGCGTTGTTTGGGAGGCCTGCCTCAGGTCTCATTTGCCGAAGGTGGCCTTAAGAACGTAGTCCAGCATGGATGGTTATGATGTTTATATGTATATTCTGCCCATCTGACTGGTGTGCCCCAGCCTCTCAGGGCGGCTTCCAACAAATTAAACATGTTGAGCACAGCAAAACATCAAACATTAAAAACTCCCCTGTCTTCTAAAAGCCAGATAGTTATTTGTTTCCTTGACATCTGTCGGGAGGGCATTGGAGGGTAAGAATAATAATAATAATAACTCTGGGCAGCTTCCAACAAAGATTAAAAATACATTAAAATATCACACATTAAAAACTTCCCTGAACAGGGCTGCCTTAAGATGTCTTCTAAAAGTCTGGTACTTGTTCTTCTCTTTGACATCTGATGGGAGGGCGTTCCACAGGGCAGGCGCCACTACCGAGAAGGCCCTCTGCCTGGTTCCTTGTAGCTTTGCTTCTCACAATGAGGGAACTGTCAGAAGGCCCTCAGCGCTGGACCTCAGCGTCCGGGCAGAACGAAGGGGGTGGAGACGCTCCTTCAGGTATACTGGACCGAGGCCGTTTAAGGCTTTAAAGGTCAGTACCAAAACTTTGAATTGTGCTCAGAAATGTACTTGGAGTCACTGTAGGTCTTTCAAGACTGCTGTTATGTGGTCTCGGCGGCCGCTCCCAGTCACCAGTCTAGCTGCCGCATTCTGGGTTAGTTGTAGTTTCTGGGTCACCTTCAAAGGTAGCCCCACGTAGAGTGCATTGCAGTAGTCCAAGCGGGAGATAACTAGAGCATGCACCACTCTGGCGAGACAGTCCGCGGGCAGATTGGGTCTCAGCCTGCGTACCAGATGGAGCTGGTAGACAGCTGCCCTGGATACAGAATTGACCTGCACCTCCATGGACAGCTGTGAGTCCAGAATGACTCCCCGGCTGCGCACCTGGTCCTTCAGGGGCACAGTTACCCCATTCAGGACCAGGGAGTCCTCCACACCAGCCCGCCCCCTGTCCCCCCAAAACAGTACTTGGGGATATGGAAGGATGTTCTTAGGTGGAACAAAGCACCTGAGCAGGTGGGATGAGATCCGGCAGCCAGAAAGGATGTTGGACAAGGTCACCCAGGCCACCGTGGGTTCCCCGCCTGTGAGTGTGTACGTATAATTGCTCTGTCTCCCTGCAGCCATTCTTGCGGCGATCAATCAAGGCCCGCATTGATTGGCCTGGAGGTGTCTCCCCATCCAGGAGGCCAGACAAGGCCAGACGAGCCAAACGCATCCCTGGGGACTCAGGGAGGGGAGAGGCCTGTCATCCCACCACCTGGTGACAAGCCCCTGTAGAACTCTGCTGCTCTTCCCGATACACAAACACACAGAGTTGCACCTTAATGATTAATAATCCAATGAGAACCCTGAGTCAGCAGCACAAATATAAGATGGGGGACAGCTGGCTTACTAGCAGGACACATGAAAAGGATCTAGGGGTCTTGGTGAACCACAAGATTGAAGTAAAGGTAAAGGGACCCCTGACCGTTAGGTCCAGTCGTGGCCGACTCTGGGGTTGCGGCGCTCATCTCGCTTTATTGGCCGAGGGAGCCGGCGTACAGCTTCCGGGTCATGCAGCCAGCATGACTAAGCCGCTTCTGGCGAACCAGAGCAGCGCACGGAAACGCTGTTTCCCTTCCCACCAGAGCGGTACCTATTTATCTACTTGCACTTTGATATGCTTTCAAACTGCTAGGTTGGCAGGAGCAGGGACCGAGCAACGGGAGCTCACTCTGTTGCAGGGATTCGAACCGATGACCTTCTGATCGGCAAGCCCTAGGCTCTGTGGTTTAACCCACAGCACCACTCGCGTCCTTTCTTTGATTCTAGGTAGGCACAAAAAACGTGCATGCTTATTCTACGCTAAAAACCATTAAACCTGTGTATGAAAACATCTGGGTTGCGGTCCCATTTGTTCTTTCAGGCGTTTTAGAGGCATACAGGGCTGTCTGTGGACTGCCCATTTTGCGGTGTGTGCCAGGTAATGTGTGAACAGGGGCAAGTCGTGGCCCAGTGCTGGAGCGTCAACCGGACACGTGCAAAAATTCCTTGGTTCAGTCTCTGGCTTCCCCAGCAAAGACTTGCAGCCCAAAACATCAGAGGGCCTTACTTTCTTGCTGAGGCTCAGCGGCACAGCCCCTGCTTTGTCCGGTGCTGGGTTCAAGTCTCCTCATCTCCAGGTGAGACTGGGGAGCTATTATCTATTAAATAAAGCAAGAAACAAAAATGGAGACGGCTTGCACTTTCTTCCAGGCAATCACCAGCGACTATGGGATTATTATTTCCCGTTTCAGATGGGCGTGTGTGTCTCTGTGTCCAAAGGTCTTTTTACGAGATTCTCCAGTCTCAGCGCTTTCTGCTGAATCACCCAGGCAAGGAAACAACCGGTTGACCCTTAAAAACAACACAGAAGGGCGAGGGGGAGTCAAGAACAGAGCTGGGTTTTTTGGCCCTCCATTTCAGGAGAGATTTTCCTTTGGGTGCGCAGGTTTAATTTTTTACAATTCTAGAATTGGCACACTTTTCAGACTCCCCGCTTGAGCTTGACAGACCCCGCAGCCGGCCACAGCAGGCAGTCCTGAGCTCCAGCAACGCTTTTTAAAAATGTTGTACATCGCCCTGGGATCTTTAGATAAAGGGCAGTATATAAATTGTATTAATGCAGCAGTGCAATAACTCCAACTGTCGAAGGCAGCTCCTCCAGGCTCTGCCCATCCGTCCTGGCCTGGCTGTTGTTGTTGTTGTGAGGCTGGGAACCGGGAGAGCCAAAAGCCCCCGGCGCGCCCTGCCCGCTGGGTGGCGACACTGCCCTCTGCGCGCGCTCAGAGACCCTCTGGCGCGCCTCGGGGCTGGGCAGGAAGCGGCGGGCGAGAGGGAGGCGGCCTCGGCAGGCGGGCCGGCCGGCGGAAGGGGAGGGCCGGCGAGGGAGGAGCGAGCCAGCAGCCAGGCACGGAGCGAGCGAGCGAGCGAGCGCCGCCGCGCCAGCCGCTCCAAGTCCTTCCTCGCCGGGGCCTGAACTTTGCGCGCCGCCGCGATGCGCTAAGGCATTTTTGCGCACGGCGGGCGCCCCCTTGGCAGCCTCCCCGGCCACAGATCGGCGCCCCCCGGCTCTTCGCAGGAGACCAGCCCCCCACCTGGAGCCCCCGAGAAGCCCCCGCACCGCTTCGCGACGCGCCCGCCCGCCATGGCCGCCGGGGAGCCCCGGAGCGCCCCCAACCCTCTCCGGAGCGCGCCAGGCAGGGCCCCCCAACCCTCTCCGCACGGGCGACCCTCCTGAAATCCCGCCCCGGAAAAAACTTGCCTGGCTTTTTTCTTTCCCCCCCTTTTCCTCTTTCCTCCCCTCCCCTGTTCTGGGGGAGTTTCTTTCCAGGACCCCCTTTTTAACAAAACCTTTCCAAAACTTGGATACCCCCAACCCCTCTCCAACACTTTGCCACCTCGATCTGCAAAACAACTTTGGGAAGGGTGTCTTTTTTCAGGGTCCCAGTTCTCCCTCTCCTAAGACTCTCCCCAAACGCCACCCCCTTCTTGTCCCCCCCTTTTAAGGAATATTTTTTAACCAGCCCGAAGTGACCTGGATTTAACTTTTTAATCTTTTTCTTTTTTTACGCTTTCCACCTTGAGCCCCCTAACCTGGGCGCCAGGCTGGTGACCGCTGGCTCCCTCCTCCCACGAAATTCCCCCCCTGAAATTCCGCTTTGGGGGGAAGCCAAGGCTTAATAACAACAATAATCATAATACTGTTGGTGATCTATTAAGGAGACATTTTTGTGCCTGACTTCGCCGCCGCCGCTGCCGTCTGGAAGGAGAGAGCGCCCCCAACCCGCGGCTGGCGGCCGGAGCCGTGCTTGGCCCCCCACCCCACCCCCTCCGGCCCCCCACCACGGACACCCCCACCGCACCCCTCTCCCCCCCTCCGGGGCGCTATGGCCATGGTGACCGGGGAATGGGGCGACCCTAACGGAGGCGAGGCCAACGGTTTGGAGAAGGGCTACCCCCGGCACTCGGAGGACGACTCGGCCTCCCCCCAGGGGGGCACCAGCGACCAGGAGCCCCTCGACGACGACAAGCCGGGCATCCAGGTGGACTGCGTGGTGTGCGGGGACAAATCCAGCGGGAAGCACTACGGGGTCTTCACCTGCGAGGGCTGCAAGAGTTTCTTCAAGCGGAGCATCCGCAGGAACCTCAGCTACACTTGCAGGTGGGCCTGGAATTTTAATTTAAAATAAAATAAAATTTGGGGGTGGGGTGGCTGGGGTGGGAGAAAGGGGGCGCACCTGGGCATCACCTCCATCCATCCCTTTATTTAACATCACGTTTCTCTCTGAATCCCCCCTAAACCCCCCTTTCTGTCCGGCCTGGCCTTTCTGGAGAAGTCAAGAAGTAGGGGTGCTTTTCCATGCGTGAGACTGGGAGAAGGGGTCTGAGGCTCCCATGGGTGAGAGAGGGTGGTCTGCCTGTTCGTGAGATGGGGGTGCTGTGTCCGTTAGAGGGGGTGCTGTGCCCATGGGTGAGAAGAGGTGCCCTTTCTGTTGGTGAGAAGGGGGTGCTCTCTCCTTGGGTGAAGAGGGGTGCTGTGCCTTCCCGTTTGTGAGAAGGGCATCCTCTGTCCATTTGCGGGGAGAGGGTGCTGTGTCTGTGAGAAGGGGCGCTGGCTGACCCCCTATTCCGCCTCTGGGGAGTCTGGGCCTTCTCTGCTCTCTGGCCTTCCAGCCTTGGAGTCGCCTCAAAATCCAAGCCGCCTTTGGGGTCTGTTCATCTGCCTGCTCCTCCTCGGATTGGGGCTTCTTGCTTTGAGACGGAGTCAGGGACATCTTTTGATTCCCATTGTTGGCGTCCCTCGAGGTGGGTGCCAGGAAACGTGCGCCCCATCTCCTGTGCACTCCCTCACTGCCGACACCCCCCCAAATGATTTCGTATTTCCTTTCCCAAATCCGCCTCTGTATCCTATTTCATTTCCTTCGCTTGTATCCACTCCCTTCCTTCAAGGAGCTTGAGGCGGTGGGCACGATTCTCTCCCTCCCTATGCAGTCCTCACCAACAACCCTACAAGGTTGGAAGATGGGCGTGTGGTAGAATTTGAACCTTGGTCTCCAAGGCCCTCGCCTAGTCCGACACTCAAGGCTCTGGTGAACCTGTGTAGTCAGTCTGGTGAAAATCGGCCTTCCGCTTTGAGAACGCAGCTTGGCTTGCTGACTCGAGATGTCTGGAGTTGTGAGTGTGACTTGCCGTCTGGTTTTGCGGTGCCCTGAGATGTTTTGCTGTTGCAGGCGAGCTGGCCAGGGGGTGCCCCGCTCAAGTGCCACCCCTGCCTCCTTGCCACCCCTAAATGCTTCATTGCTTCTGGCGGCTATGGCCTTCGCTGGAGCATATAAACGCTTAAGCAGGTGTGTGGTTCGGAGCTGAGGCTCTGTCATACTTTGGGTGTCCCCTTTTGAGAGGAGAGGTGGCGAAAAGAACATTTTAACAATGCACGGCACTTGTGTGTATGCAGGAGACCAAATACAGTTCCTTCTGATGTTGTGTGGCAATCATATCATAGAATCGTACAGTTGGGACCCCGGGGTCATCTAGTCCAACCCGCTGCGGTCATTCCTGTGCTTGATGTTTCTGCAGGCGGATTGGGTTTTATGCAGCAGTCTTGCATTTTAAGGGTCATAGAATCGCAGAATTTTAGAGTTGGAAGAGACCCTGAGGTTTATATAGTATTGCGTCCTGTTTATTCTTATTTTTAAAAATTGATTTTCCATGTGCTCTCATCCAGTGTTCGAAACTCAAATATATAAGCAAGGGGCCAAATGACTCCTTCAACCAAGGTTGCCATTGCCAAAACACAATGCCTGGTTGCCCTTTTTGGGAAAGACGGCTCTAAAGTCTTATCTTCCAAATGATGGACTGACTGTGATGGATTCTCAGTTCAACATCTGGCTAGTTCAAAGGACAACCTTGGGCCTGGTTAAGAGCTTTGAGAATTTAAAAGAAGGAAAGTCACTTGATCCAGGGACAGTCCGCACATCTATTGGCCTATTCCGACCTCTTTTTCTTAATGGTGACACAGACCATTCGTAACGTAGGGATATTATTCACAACCGTGGGGGAAGCAAAGACAAGCGACAACAATTCACTATAACGCTGTTCACTGCTGCTGCGCAGGCTGCACAGAAAAAGCCTTTTGGTTCCTGAAATTCATTCCGATTGTGCAGATAAAATATAGCTGATGGAATTTTACAGGATGGAGCCTTAGTGTGTGAAAACGGTCCAGATCCAAGGATCCCCGGATGGAGGAGAGGTCACGTGCCGTCCTGGCTCCCAGGCATCTTCACTTGGTTAAAAGTAGCCAAAAGTCAGGTGCAAATTGCGCCAGGCTAATTTCGAATACTGGCTGGGGTGTGTCGAATCCCTTGCTTTACCTGAAGAGAGAAAGAGAGATCTTTGCGTGTGTGTGTGTGTGTGTGTGTGTGTGTGTAGAAATCAGAAACCTTTTTAAAATATATATTTTATTAGTTTTTTTAACGTATCATTTCAAACAATCATATAACATAACTTCTTATCTTATACAATGTTTTAGACTTCTGTCAACACCTCTGATGATTTTCCGTTCTTTTATCACTTATCCTGCATTTCTTAATTTCTCTGTTACGCTTAATTATCTTAACTCATAATTTTCCTCATGGTCTTCCTTGCAATATTTCAAAAAGTCCCCCTTACGAAACTTCTAGCGTAATCCTGTTCATTACAGTTGCTTTTCAAATAGTTCGTATATTTACTCCAGTCTGCTGAGAATCTCTGGTCCCACAGGTTTCGAATCCTTCCTGTTAGTTTATCCAGTTCTGCATAGTCCATAGAAATCAGCAACTTTTTCCTGGCTTGAGTGTTGTCTCCTCAACAAAGGTGAGAGACCCTTCTGTTGCCCCCCCCCCACTTTTTGCTGGGGTGTCAGTGAAACTGGCTAGCTGCAGATTCCCTCAGTCCTCCTTAAGAGATTCAGCTTTGAAATGGGCCTGGGAATGAGAGCCGGCAGTGGGGATAGTGGTTAGAGCGTTGGACCAATACTTAACCTGGGAAACCAGGGTTCGAATCTTGCTGCCCAGCCCGTGAAGCTCACTGGGTGACCTCGGGACAGTCGCTCCCAAGGACTCCCCTTCCTAGCAGAGGTTGGTTAGGGATTCTTTACCTGCCATTCCTGCATTGCAAGGGGTTGGACTAGATGACCCTTAGGGGTCTCGTCCCACTCTACAATCCTAGGATTCTGCAAGGATGCTAATGGTCTGTCTTGCAGGACTGCTGTTGCAAATATCTCAAACAAACCCCTGTGTTGCAAAAGAGAATGTCAACAATGTTTAGGCAACACAATGACATACGTAATAGACAATCTTTATAGAATTCCTTCAGCATGGTGGGAAAATATAGAACCCATCTTATTTCAAATGAGTATATGTGAATGAAAAGATCAAATGCTGTGGAGCCGTGCTGACGAAGATCTACGAAACAGCAGTCAATATCCGGAATCTCTGTTCAGTGTTGGACATTATATTTGCTGAATACACAAAGCTTCACAGCTTATCTTTCATCGTACAAAGTTTGGTACCTCGCTTCATTTAAAGATTTTCAGAGACTAAGATTTCATTTTGAACTTGTTATTGTTTGAAGGGTTTCTATAAAGATTGTCTATTACGTATGCATATGGTCATCGTTGTTGCCTAAACGTCGACGTTGCAAAGATTTCTGCAGTCTTTGGAGTTTTGAGGAAGCGTTCGGAATCATAAACAGGATTTGTTCTTTTCTCAGCTCTGCTTTCCAGGAATCCTTGGAACGAGATTTATTGCAAGAGCTCTGGGACGGATCCTGAACTGGCGGCGGGGAGGGGGGGGTGAGGGTGCCTCGTCATCCCCTTTGTGACATCCGTGAGGTAGTCAAGCTGGGACTTGTGTGAATCTCCCGTGTTGGGGCCTGTGGCGCTGTTGCGATAACCTTGGATTTTTGCTCCGTTCAAAACAAGCGCTCAAGTTACAAGCCCTCAAGGCTGTTTAGAGTTGGCCGCCTCCACCGCACTGAGTGCTCTGCCCTTCCCTGTGAGTGGGAAAAAGCAGAGGATTTCACTCATGCCTGTTGCCAAATCCTTGCCAAATTTGCTGCAGCCCTCGGGGAAGAGGGGTTGGGTGTGAAATACTGGCTGCCTCCTTTCACACCTGTCCAGTTTTCTCACTGGGAGTTGGGTTTTTAATCCTGCATCTTGGGGCTTTGGCGTGTGTGTCTAAATCCTCCTTTTGGGGTTTGTGGTGTGAACTTCCTGTGATCCGGAGTCGTGCCTAGCAGGTGATTCGAATCCAGGACCAGAGATTGACAGGTGCTTTCCCTTAGATTGTGGCAGCCCATGTGCCCTCGCGATCTGAACCCTGGAGGTTCCTTCACTTCTAGGATTCTTTGATTCAGATCTAACATTTCTCTAGCAGTTGCAAATAGGTGGCAGCGTTAGAAACTCAGATATATAATAAAATAAGGGACATGGGTGGCGCTGTGGGTTAAACCACAGAGCCTAGGACTTGCCGATCAGAAGGTCGGCGGTTCGAATCCCCACGACGCAGTGAGCTCCTGTTGCTCGGTCCCAGCTCCTTGCCAACCTAGCAGTTCGAAAGCACTTCAAAGTGCAAGTAGATAAATAGGTACCGTTCCGGCGAGAAGGTAAACGGCGTTTCCGTGTGCTGCTCTGGTTCGCCAGAAGCGGCTTAGTCATGCTGGCCACATGACTGTACACCGGCTCCCTCGGCCAATAAAGCAAGATGAGCGCCGCAACCCCAGAGTCGGTCACGACTGGACCTAATGGTCAGGGGTCCCTTTACCTTTACCTTTAGGGGCCAAATGGCCCCTTAAACCAAGGTTGCTGGTGCCAAAACAGAAAGCCTAGTTACCCTAAAGTCTTTATTTTCCAAATGATGGACTGACTGTGATGGATTCTCAGTTAAAACATCTGGCTAATTCAGAAGACAACCTTGAGCCAGGTTAAGAACTTTGAGAACTGAAAGAAGAAAAGTCCCTTGATCAAGTCCACAAATATTGGCTTATTCCAGCCTCTTTTTATCAACAGTGACATGGACCATTCATCACGTAGGAATATTCTTCCCAACTCTGAGCAGGGCCGTGGGGGAACTGAAGACAAGCAACAACCAGTCACTAGAACGCTCTTCACTGCTCCTTCTCAGGCTGCACAGAAAAAGCGTTTTGGTTCCTGAAATTCATTCCGATTGTGCCGATCAAATATGGCAGGATTGGGCCTTAGTGTGTGAAAACAGTCCAGATCCAAGGATCCCCAGATGGGGGAGACGTCAGGCATCATCCCGGCAGCCAGGGATCTTCACATAGCTGTCAAGCGTCCCTTATTTGGCAGGACAGTCCCTTATCCCAGCGCCACGTCCCGCTGCTGTCCCTTATTGATGATGTCCCTTAAATAAGCTACTGAAGGTAATGGGGCCCTTTCTATGTCCAGCTGTCCTTTGTCAACAACAAATTGTTGCTGTTTTTTTGTGTTGAATATATGCTATATGGTAATTTATGGACCTAATAGATATCTAAACCCATTTGCACGCAACAAAATATGTATTTTATCAAAGTAATTGTTGATCCCTTATTTTGGCTGCTGATCCCTTAATTTCGAGGCTGCTGGTCCCTTATTTTCAAATCTGTAAGTTGACAGCTATGGATCTTCACTTGGTCGCAGGTGGCCAATAGCCAGGTGCAAAATGCGCCTGGCAAATTTCGCACACTGCTGCTATCCAGGTTTGAGTCATAAAGAGTCATAGAATTGTATAGTTGGAAGGGACCCAACTCCCTGCAACGCAAGGTTCTTGCATTAACCCACAAAGCCCAAAGTAACTCTGGCTCAAAGTACCTGCAGGACCACCTTATTTCTTCTGGCCCACTTTTACTGGCATCTGAGCCTTGTGTCCTGTGTAACTCACTGCCACTGGAGGCCGGGAAGGAATTGTACCTGCCTTTTTTGTTTCTTACATCTCCTGAAAGCTGTGTTAGTCAGATGGGCCTCCTCACTGTGGATTTTTTTCTTACCAACCTGTACTTATTTATTTATTGGGGGTAAAAACTTATTTAACCGAATGTATACAGTCGTACCTTGGAATTTGAACAGCTGAGTTCTCAAACGTTTTCGCTCCCGAACATCACAAACCCGGAAGTGAGTTCCGCGGCTTCCGATTGGTTGCAGGAGCTTCCTGCGGCCAATCAGAAGCCACACTTTGGTTTTTGAATGTTTTGGAAGTTGAACGGATTTCCGGAACGGATTCCGTAACAAAACCTCTTATTGACTGGGGGGGGGGGGGGACTATCCGCAGAAACGGTTAAAAGTTAGTATTTTTAAAAATCCAAAAGACAGTTGAAAAATGACCATATATATAATTAATGTTGTTGTTGTTGTTGTTGTTGTTGTTGTTGTTGTTGTTGTTGAAATTTGTATACCACCCTATACCTGCAAGTCTCAGGGCAGTTCACAGGATAAAATAACGATTTAAAACACAAAAAGCATAGTCAAAATAAAAACAAATTATAAACAAAAAGAAACCCAGTAACTCACGGAAAGGTTAAGATTAGCGACAAAAAAGCAGTTTCAAGCAGGTATTTTAAAATCAGGAGGTATTTAAAAATCGACAGTGTATTTACTTAAAGAACAGAATATCAACAAAAAGCAGTTAAAACCGATATTTTGTATTTGATCAGACGATAAGTACAATTTTTTTAAAAAATGATATTTATTAAAGTTTCAAAAAATACAAAATACAGAAAAAAGAGTAAAGTTTTTTTTTTAAAATATAACAAAAAAGTAAAAAATAAAAAAAGAAACATACAAAATAAAACAGTTAAAAAGACATTAATTTTCCAAACCTATCTTCCCTAAACTTATTTCCCCGGACCTCCTCATACCTCCCTTTTTTGTATTCCAGTTCAGTTTGTTAGTTCAGCAAATCCTTACCATTAAACTTTTGCCCAATTGTAAACCTTTTTTTTCATATCTCTTAAAGCATTACAGCTAAAAACCTCTTAGTTTCTATCCAACATCCTTCTAAGATTCATTAATTTTACAATATTTCTGTAAATAGTCTTTAAATTTCTTCCAGTCTTCTTTGACCGACTCTTCTCCCTGGTCTCGGATTCTGCAGACGATAAGTACAATTGACCGTGTATTTATTTAGCAAAATTCTAAGCCCTTCGCTGATGTTTTTATTGATCTGATTGCGGTTTTATTTGATGTGTGCCGCATATACCACGCCACAGCCAATCACCACCACCATCTCATTTTTTGGTTTTTTTAAGCGCCTGGACTTTCCATTGTGATGACCATAACCCAGCCTTAAGGTTGCCATTTGGCGATTAGCTTATACACTGGAGTTTCTAACACTGCCTGGGAGAATTCCCTCCAGGCCTGATCTTCTGCACTCAAAGCAGATGTCCTAACCTTGTGGTTCCCTACCTTTCTTTTGGGCCAAACCACCACCACCACCTCGCCTCCATAAACATATCCCCGGTGTCCTCCGTTACAAAAAGCAGTTGTTCCGCTCAGAAAGATAACAGTGCGAAGAAATTGCCGAGCGGCAGCAATTAATTGCGCGCTTATTCCAAATCCAATTAAAACCCCTTCGTTCAATTAATGCAGCAAGACGCAGGGACTCGCACCCGGTCCCCGGCCGCGAGGCCCTTTGTGTGACATTAGGAGGACTTGCGACTGCTTCTCTCTGTGCCTCACGCTCTTTGTGGCCGGAGTAATTGAACCCGTAATTTATTTATTTCCCTTGTATAAAACGGGGTGTGTCTGTGTGTCTCTGTCGTCTCCACAAGGGAGCCTTTCATGCCTTTTTCTTTCGACAGTTGGACAGCGCCCAAAGCCGGCCAAATTTGCCTATTTAACACACGCTCCACTTTGGTGGCAAATTAACTGGCCCCTAATGACATAATTAGCGGGACCATCGCCGCCCCATCAGAGCTCATTCACACGGATATTGGTATCCGTACTCAGAAGCTGATTTCTCTAATTTGCAGATTTCTCTTACAGTGGTACCTCGCTTCAGGTTACATACGCTTCAGGTTACAAACTCCGCTAACCCAGAAATAGTACCTCGGGTTAAGAACTTTGCTTCAGGATGAGAACAGAAATCGTGCTCCGCGGTGCAGTGGCAGTGGGAGGCCCCATTAGCTAAAGTGGTGCTTTGGGTTAAGAACAGTTTCAGGTTAAGAACGGACCTCCGGAACGAATTAAGTACTTAACCCAAGGTACCACTGTATTTGCTGAATGTCGGGAGATTCAGGGCAGATTTTTTCTCTTTTAATTAAAAAAACACACCCTCCTCTTCATTTGGCACGTGGTTAAACTGCGGAACTGCCTCCCACTGGAGGCAACTGAGATGGCTTTAGAATAGGATCTGTCACATTCATGAAAGAGGAGGAGGAAGGGAGGGTTCTCGACTCGCCATGATGGCTACCCAGATCCTCAGCTCAATGGCTTCAAATGACAAGAAAGGAAAGTTCAATAGTGAAACGGACAACTTTGGAAGGTGTCGGACGCTCCTTCCTTGCAGTTTTTAAAGCAGAGTTTGGATGGCCGTGCTTGTCAGGGATTCTTGAGCATTGCTGGGGGGCAGGGTTGGACTAGATGAGCTTCGGGGGTCCCTTCCAGCTCTACGTTTCCAGGAAAGAAAAGGGGAAAGTGCAGAAGGAAGTGTGGAAGAGGCTGTTGCTTACGGCGCGTCTGTGTTGCCAAACTCGAAAATCTTCAGATTGTACGGATCTTTTGCCTTTTGCAGGTTTGATGAGCGCAGCCCGATGTCTGCAAAGGGTCCATGGGGCTGGGCACTTTTGCGCCTTCACCTTTGCTCTGCCCCTTCCGTCGCATGGACTTTGGACCCGGCTGTTTACAGCCCCCCCCTTTGTTCAGAGGAGCCCTCTCCCGTCTCCCTGGTCTTTTTCTGCATATAAAATATATTTCTGTTTCTGGCATTTATAGGCATCGAGGGCTCTTGTTTTGCCCCCTCTGCAAACCCGGAGTTTGCAGAAGTTTTTTGCTTTTTTTTTTAAAAAAAATAATATTTATTAAAGTTTCAAAGGAAAAAAAAATCACATTAATAAAAAAAATTAACAATAAAAAGGAAAAATACAAAGTAGGAAAAAAAAGAGAAAACAGTTAAAAGCAATTCCATCTTTTCCTCACTTCTTTTACGTTTACTTGTTTCCTGGACCTCCTCATACCTCCCTCTTTTGTATTCCAATTCAATTTGTTAATCCAACAATTCCTTTCCCTCCTTTTTAATTCTAATCCTTAGTCTTGATATATTGTAACGTTAGATTTTTACATTAAAAACCATTTTTTCCATATTCTTTTGTACCTATACAGCTAGAAACCACTTAACTTCAATCCAACATCATTCTAACATTCATTAATTTTACAATATTTCTGTAAATAGTCTTTAAATTTCTTCCAATCTTCTTCCACCGACTCTTCTCCCTGGTCACGGATTCTGCCAGTCATTTCTGCCAATTCCATATAGTCCATTAATTTCATCTGCCATTCCTCCAGTATGGGTAAATCTTGTGTCTTCCAATGCTTTGCAATGAGTATTCTTGCTGCTGTTGTAGCATACATAAAGAAAGGTCTGTCCTTCTTTAACACCGATTGGCTGACTATGCCCAGGAGAAAGGCCTCTGGTTTCTTCAAGAAGGTATATTTAAATACCTTTTTTAGTTCATTATATATCAAAGAAGTTTTTTTGCTTTTAAGCAAATAAGTAAAAAACACAGACGTGGCATGTGAGGGAAAAGGGAGGGCAAAAGACGATGGAGGTGTTGCTGCTGACCTTTAAAGCCCTAAATGGCCTTGGCCCGGTATACAGTGGTACCCCGCAAGACGAACGCCTCGCAAGACGGAAAACCCGCTAGACGAAAGGGTTTTCCGTTTTGGAGGCGCTTCGCAAAACGAATTTCCCTATGGGCTTGCTTCGCAAGACGACAGCCCATAGGGAATCTCAGGGACAGCGGGGAAGCGCAGCGCGTCTTCCCCACTGTCCTCGGACCTCCTCCGAAGCCTGGCGGCGGGGACACCTCCTCCCGCCGCCGCCGGGCCGGAAGGCTCCTCCGAAGCCGGGCGGGGGAGGGAACACCTGCCGCCGCCGCCCGGCCGGGCGGTGCTCCGAAGCCGGGCGGGGGAGGGAACACCTGCCGCCGCCGCCCGGCTCGGAACGGTGCTCCGAGCCGGGCGGGGAGGGGAGGGAAGACCTCCGCCTCTGCCCGGCTCGGAACGGTGCTCCGAGCCGGGCGGGGGAGGGAAGACCTCCCGCCTCTGCCCGGCTCGGAACGGTGCTCCGAGCCGGGCGGGGAGGGAACACCTCCGCCGCCGCCCGGCTCGGAACGGTGCTCCGAGCCGGGCGGGGGGAGGAAGACCTTCTGAAGGCGGGCGGGGGCGAAGTCTTTGCTCCCCCTGCCTGCCTGTCCCGGAGGGCTTTTGAAGGCGGGGAGCAAAGACTTTCGCCCCCGCCCGCCTTCAGAAGAGGTCCAGGACCTCTTCTGAAGGCTGGCGGGGGCAAAGTCTTTGTCCCCCTGCCTGCCTTCCCAGGGGCTTTAAATTGCCCCGGACAGCGGAGAAGTCCTCCGCTGTCCCGGGTGATTTTAAAATGCCGCCCGCCAGCATTTTAAGATCGCCCGGACAGCGGAGAAGTCCTCCGCTGTCCCGGGGTTTTAAAATGCTGGGGGTGGGAAGAAAAGCCCTTGCCCCCAGCCTTCAGAAGAGGTCCGGGGACAGACTGTCCCCGGACCTGGTCTGAAGGCGGTTTCCTAGGAACGCATTAATTGATTTTCAATGCATTCCTATGGGAAACCGTGCATCGCAAGACGAAAAACTCGCAAGACGAAGAGACTTGCGGAACGAATTAATTTCGTCTTGCGAGGCACCACTGTACCCAAAGGAGCGTCTCCACCCCCATCGTTCTGCCCGGATGCTGAGGTCCAGCACCGAGGGCTTTCTGGCCGTTCCCTCAACTGCAAGAAGCCAAGCCACAGGGAACCAGACAGAGGGCCTTCTCGGTAGTGGCACCAGCCCTGGGGAACACCCTCCTATCAGATATCAAGGAAATAAACAACTATCTGACTTTTAGAAGACATCTGAAGGCAGCCCTGTTTAGGGAAGTTTTTAATATTTGATTTTTTTATTGTGCTTTTAATTGTGTTGGGAGCCACCCAGAGTGGCTGGGGAAACCCAACCAGATGGGTGGGGTATAAATAAAAAATTATTACTACTACAGTGGTACCTTGGTTTGCATACGTTTTGGATTACAAAGACGGAAGTGTGTGTCACGGTTTGCAACCTTTTTTTGGATTACCACCCATTTTTTTTGGATTGCAAACAATTTTTTTTTGTTTTGAGGCCCCATTGGCAAAAGTGCACCTTGGGTCTCCACTGCTGCCGGATCCGGCTTGGTGGATGATGAGGACTGGAATCTTAGCTTGCCTTTAGGAGAAAGGTTATACAACTCAGTGGCGGAGCAGGGCAGAAGGTCACTGCGTGCAATTCCTGGCATCCTCTTATAGGGTTGGGGATGAATCCTTTTTGGACCTCAGTCCCTGGGGAGACACTGCCGGTCAGAGAAGGAGGTTCTGAGGAAGATGGACCAGTGGTCTGACTCGGAAGGAAGCAGTTTCCTGCGTTTGCTGTTTACACCAGTCCTTTATTCCCAGCCTCAGAGACTGTGATCTCGCTGTATTTCTAAGCTCGGTGGCAGAGCATCTTCTCCCTCGTATTTACGGAACCAACTCTCCTGGTCTGCCCCGCAGAGGACCTTAAGGTCCATGAATAACCATAGTTTAGAGGTCCCGGGCCCTAAGGAAGTCAGACTATCCTCCACCAGGGCCAGGGCCTTCTCAGTGATGGCTCCGACCTGGTGGAATGCTCTGTCCCATGAGATTTAACCTCCTTCCACAGGGCCTGTAAGACAGAGCTATTCCGCCTGGCCCTTAATTTGAATTCAGCCTGATCTTTTATTCCCCTTCCTTCCCTCCCCCTCCCCTTTTTATGAAGATTACCCGCTCTGGGATCCCACAGCTAATTCTCCCCTGGTCTCCTTGCTGGCCCAAATAGGACTAATTTAGCCAGTTAGCCCTGATGATCATCTAATGTTTAGTGGATGGATTTTCTCCCTAAATTGATTTTTGAATTCTGAATTTACCGTTATTCACGTTTTATACTGTATTTTATGCTGTTTTTTTGTTGTATCATTAAGTGCTTTAAATTTGTTGTTAGCCGCCCTGAGCCCGGTTTTCTGAACCGGGAAGGGCGGGGTATAAATAAAAAATTATTATTACAGTGGTACCTTGGGTTACATACACTTCAGGTTACATACGCTTCAGGTTACAGACTCCGCTAACCCAGAAATAGTACCTCGGGTTAAGAACTTTGCTTCAGGATGAGAACAGAAATCGCGGAGCAGCAGCGGGAGGCCCCATTAGCTAAAGTGGTGCTTCAGGTTAAGAACGGAACTCCGGAATGAATTAAGTACTTAACCCGAGGTACCACAGTATTATTATTGGCATTCAGAAAGTCCCACATTCACTCTCTGATGTCTCCAGGTACGGCTGGGGAAGACCCTGGCTGAAACCCTGGAGGGCATCTGCTGCCACTCAGTGTAGAATCACAGAGTTGGAAGGGACTATAGAATAGTAGCGTTGGAAGGGGCCCCTGAGGGTCATCCAGACCAACCCCCTGCAATGCAGAAATCTCTGCTAAAGCATCCTTGGCAGATGGCCACCCAAACCTATGCTTAAAAGCCTCCACAGCATCCCGAGGGAGACCGTTCCCCAGCTGAACAGCTCTCAGTGTCAGGAAGTTATTGGCCACCCTCTTCTGCCCACGTTCATGTGTACCAGTTTTAAATCATGAGGACTAGATCCCTGCTTCGTTTCTAAATGAAAGGACCATAGCTTAAGGGCTCAGTCCCCAATGCTGGGCCCATGATCCTGAAACCTTCCCCGCAAAGCCTTTGCTGTGCTCATTTTGCAGAATCACAGAATTGCACAGCGGGTGGGAGCACGAGGGTCATCTAGCCTAACCGCTGTAATGTGTGTGGGTCCTCCACAAAAGGCCCAGAGAGTGGCAACATGACCACAGGGCCTTTTCTGCAGTGGCTCCCCATCTGTGGAATGCTCTCCCCAGGGAGGTTCGCCTGGCACCTTCATTATATATACCATGGGTAGGCAACCTAAGGCCCAGGGGCCGGATACGGCCCAATCGCCTTCTAAATCTGGCCTGCGGACGGTCCGGGAATCAGTGTGTTTTTACATGAATGAAATGTGTCCTTCTATTTAAAATGCATCTCTGAGTTATTTGTGGGGCATAGGAATTAGTTCATTATTTTTTTCAAAATACAGTGGTACCTCTGGTTGCGAACGGGATCCGTTCTGGAGCCCCATTTGCAACCTGAGAGGAACACAACCCGCACCTGCCCATCTACGCATGTGCGGGTCGCGATTCGTCACTTCTGCACATGCGTGTGGCGTCATTTTGCGCGTCTGCGCATGCTCGAGCGGCGAAACCTGGAAGTAACCCTTTCTGGTACTTCCGGGTCGCAGCGGGACGCAACCCTAAAGACGTAACCTGAACTGAACATAACAAGAGGTATGAATGTATAGTTCGGCCCACCACATGGTCTGAGGGACGGTGGACAGCCCACGGCTGAAAAAGTTTGCTGACCCCTGCCTTGGGAGAGTCGCTGCCAGTCAGTGCAGGCAGTCTTGAGCTTCAATGGACCAGCGTTGTGATGTGGGATAAAACGTCTTTCCGGAGATACTGAGGCAGTCCCGCCTGCCTGCCTGCTTTATCCCTCCTGCCCTGGCAACCCTCTCCTCAGAGCCCCTTGTCTGGGGAGGAGGGAATTTTTGGGATTCCTGACTCCTTTGCCTGCTCATGCGCATTGACCTGATGGGCCCCAAAGAGAGAAATGGTCTGTGTGCATTTGGAGAAGCGAGAGGGTTTCAATTATTTGCTAGTACAGAAGGCAAGTCTCCAAATGGGATGGGCAGGAATTGGAAGAGGTTCATCACAACCTGTGCGAAGTCCAGAATTCTCTTCTCCCCGTGGTTAGAAACTAGGATATATAAGCCAATCGCCAAATGGCACCTTAAACCCAGGTTATAGTTGCCACAATAGAAAATGGGACGATGATGATGATGATTTCTATACCACTTTATATTTTAAAGAAAGAAAAACCCTCAAAGTCGTTTACAACACATTAAAATATCCAATCAACATAGACACCGAGAGACAACAGGACTGCTCAAGGCACCCCAACTATAAAATTGGAGAAATCGAGAGATATATAGCCGCACCGGCAGCATATCTCTTCTTTCTCGTATCCAAAAATGCAAGAAGGGCTTTTACACTCACCGGAAGCTCAGCCTGCCCTCGCCGGATTCTTTAAAAAAGTCCCATATGCTCAGAGACTTTGCGCCTGTTCATTGGGGGAGCTAGGAAGCCCCGAGCACCTGTTCTTTAGATGTCCCTTTTAGGAAGAGGCACAGAGTGAGACCACTGATCCCCTGCTGGTGAGGCTCACTGACCTCCCGGGAAAGCAAAAAATTGACCTTTTCCTGTTAGGTAAAGATCATAAGACGACCCGGATGGTTGCCACATTCTGTGTACAGATCTGTAGGCGCAGACCATCCCCCAACCCAAACTAGTTCGTTAAGAAAACCCCCAAACTCGGTTCCATGGGTGACTCTGGTCCTCTTCGGTAGCTTAAAGTTTTAAGTGTCTATACGCTTATCGCATTTATAAATTCTAAATTTATTGTTGTACATTGTTTTAAATGTTTGTTTTCCCTCTGGGATTGTACCCCCACGTGTGTTTTATAAGCTGGTCTCCGACTGTAATAAATTTTCTATCTATCTATATCCTGTCAAACAATTCAGAATAAAACGAATTCAAGCTTCCAGGGAAATATTTCTGATTCTTCTCTAAGTGACATTTTGATTCCCATTTACTTACTTACTTACTTACTTACTTACTTACCTAAAAGGTAAGGTAAAGGGACCCCTGACCATTAGGTCCAGTCGTGGCCGATTCCGGGGTTGCGACGCTCATCATGCTTTATTGGCCAAGGGAGCCGGCGTACAGCTTCCGGGTATGTGCCCAGCATGACTAAGCCGCTTCTGGCGAACCAGAGCAGAGCACGGAAACGCCGTTTACCTTCCCGCTGGAGCGGTATCTAGTTATCTACTTGCACTTTGACGTGCTTTGGAACTGCTAGGTTGGCAGGAGCAGGGACCGAGCAACGGGAGCTCACCCCGTCACGGGGATTCGAACCGCCGACCTTCTGATCGGCAAGCCCTAGGCTCTGTGGTTTAACCCACAGCGCCACCCGCGTCCCTTACTTACTTACCTACCTACCTGCTTAATATATAGAGCCTCCCCCTAGCAGACGTGCTCTAGGAAGGCAGGGTGGTGTAGTGGTGAGAATGGCAGACTAGGACCCGGGAGACCAGGATTCCAAAGTTCAAATCCCCACTCCGTCATGGAGCTCACTGAGTGTCCTTGGAGTCAGTCCCAGCCTCTTAGCCTACCTCTCAGGGTCGTTGTAGGCATTAAGTTGGTGGGGGGGGGGTGAACCGTGTAGTCCTTGGAGAAAAAGGTGGGAGACATATGCAATAAATCAGCTCTTGTGCTTATCTGCTTAAGAAAGCGGGAGGGGGCAGCCAGGTGGAGTTGTCAGTTGCCAGCCTGGGCACCCAGAAATCTCCATGTGGTTGCAGTGGGCGCCTGGCACCTGCCTAATTTCTAACACTGTTCCAAGGTAGGAATAGGAGAGTTTCCCCAAGTCCAAAACCCCTGGAGAACCACTTCCACTCAGTTTATTTTTCTGCGGCTATTTGGCTAACGTTGCTAATGTCGTTTCATAGATTATAAATGCTGCATTTATGCGTTAATCATATAACACAACTTTTGCTTGAATTGTAGTGCCTAGCTTGTTTTTTGTGGCTGCTGCTTTGTGAACGGTTGCAAAATGCGCCTGGGGAATTTCTGGCACTGGGTGACTTACGGAGAGGTTCATCTTTTTTATTTTTATTTTTTAACAATATGTGCATTTCCTCAAAGAGACGGGACGGCCGTGTGTGTAAACGGGAGGAAGGAAGCAGCTTATCTCATGATTTTTGTTTTAACCTAGGTCGAACCGCGACTGCCAGATCGACCAACACCACCGCAATCAATGCCAGTATTGCCGTCTGAAAAAGTGTTTCCGCGTCGGGATGAGGAAAGAAGGTACTCTCCAGTACTGGGGTGTGTGTGTATGTGTGTATGTGATATTTGGAGAGATACAAACTCCAAAGAGGACGACACATATGTCTGTTAACCGAGGTCCCTTGCAGGACCTCGAAAGCTGCTGAATTTATTTTGTGCTACATCACACAACTCATGTCATCAGGTATATCACTTATTTTTGGGTTTATTTTCATCCTCTTGTTTCTGCATCCCATCTTTCCTCCCCTCCTCTCCATTCCCCCCCAAGATCTTTATTGAAACGTAACATATATGCATAATAACCAAAATTCCCAATGATTCCCTCACATAAAACATAATACAGTGGTACCTCGGGTTAAGTACTTAATTCGTTCCAGAGGTCCGTACTTAACCTGAAACTGTTCTTAACTTGAAGCACCACTTTAGCTAATGGGGCCTCCTGCTGCCGCCACCGCGCCGCTGGAGCACAGTTTCTGTTCTCATCCTGAAGCAAAGTTCTTAACCTGAAGCACTATTTCTGAGTTAGCGGAGTCTGTAACCTGAAGCGTATTTAACCCGAGGTACCACTGTACCTAGATTAAAACAGCTACTTAATTATACACTTAATTATAAAACCCACCACCCACCCGCTACTTCCCTCCACAGCAATTCGACTTCTTTATATTTCTTTCTACCTTTCCCCCTTGCATTCTATAATAAATTATTTTTGTTACGTTCTGATTTTTCCTTCTTTCGTTACTGGTTTTGTTATTGCTTACATTTTTTTTTTCTAAGCCTATTAGCATGTCATTTTTAGAACAATATTTTGACATACAATCTTCGAAATACTTCCACGCCATTCTTGACTTTTGATTTGATTGATATCTTATAATTGAAGTTAATTTTGCCAATTCTATATACTCAATTTACAAATCCACTCTTCCTTTGTTGGTTTGTCCTGAGATTTCCATTTAGTGGCAATTGCTACCCTGGCAGCTGTTGTTGCATATGAAAAGATTGGTTTTTTTTTTCATATGTGGTATGCCTTTGCCCGATCGCATGGTCGGCGGTTCGAATCCCCGCGGCGGGGTGCGCTCCTGTCGTTCGGTCCCAGCGCCTGCCAACCTAGCAGTTCGAAAGCACCTCCGGGTGCAAGTAGATAAATAGGGACCGCTTACCAGCGGGAAGGTAAACGGCGTTCCGTGTGCTGCGCTGGCTCGCCAGATGCAGCTTGTCACGCTGGCCACGTGACCCGGAAGTGTCTGCGGACAGCACTGGCTCCCGGCCTATAGAGTGAGATGAGCGCACAACCCTAGAGTCTGGCAAGACTGGCCCGTACGGGCAGGGGTACCTTTACCTTTTACCTATGCCTTTGCCCAAAAATCCCTAACAGATAAGCTTGGGATTTTTTATCCTCTCCTCTCCATTTTTATCCTTACATCAACCCTGTGAGGTAGGTTAGGCTGAGAGGCAGCTGCTGGTTCCCAAGGAGAAAGCAAGAGAAAAGGAAAATAAGGAAAAAGCGAAAAAAGTTGTTGTTGTTTAGTCGTTTAGTCGTGTCTGACCCTTCGTGACCCCCTGGACCAGAGCACGCCAGGCCCTCCTGTCTTCCACTGCCTCCCGCAGTTTGGTCAAACTCATGCTGGTAGCTTCGAGAACACTGTCCCACCATCTCGTCCTCCGTCGTCCCCTTCTCCTTGTGCCCTCCATCTTTCCCAGCATCAGGGTCTTTTCCAGGCAGTCTTCTCTTCTCATGAGGTGGCCAAAGTATTGGAGCCTCAGCTTCAGGATCTGTCCTTCCAGTGAGCACTCAGGGCTGATTTCCTTCAGAATGGAGAGGTTTGATCTTCTTGCAGTCCATGGGACTCTCAAGAGTCTCCCCCAGCAAAAGAATTCAAAAGCATCCATTCTTCGGCGATCAGCCTTCTTTATGGTCCAGTAGAGTAAAAGGACTCCTGGCTCTCTGCAGCTACATATGATGTTCATTCTTTAAGTTCCAACCATTCTGTCTTCTATAATGTATTTTTAAATTTTTGTTCCGCTGAGCGTCTGGCGCAGCTGGCACCCAGTACCCGCTGGATGGCAGAAGGGGACTCAACTGGCAGGACTCAACTTTGCAGATGGTCTAACCTTTGGTGAAATCTGCCAGCCACCCACAGACCCGACCTGAAAGAGAGTTGTGTCAGGGAATCAATGCTTAGGAGCTGCCGTATGCCAGCAATGCAAAGGGGTCTAAGGTCCGACACTGGCACGGATAACCCTGGGTCAAAGTGCCTGGTGCCAGCTGGAACGCAGCAGAACCAGGGTTCAAAATAAGCCAGGAGCCAAACGCATTTTGCACCTGACCATCAGCCATTTAGGGACGCAGGTGGCGCTGTGGGTTAAACCACAGAGCCTAGGACTTGCCAATCGGAAGGTCGGCTGTTCGAATCCCCACGGCGGGGTGAGCTCCCGCTGCTCGGTCCCTGCTCCTGCCAACCTAGCAGTTTGAAAGCATGTCAAAGTGCAAGTAGATAAATAGGTACCGCTCTGGCAGGAAGGTAAACGGTGTTTCCGTGCGCTGCTCTGGTTCCCCAGAAGCGGCATAGTCCTGCTGGCCACATCACCCGGAAGCTGTATGCCGGCTCCCTCGGCTAATAAAGCGAGATGAGCGTTGCAACCCCAGAGTCGGCCACGACTGGAGCTAATGGTCAGGGGTCCCTTTACCTTTCATCCACTTGCGACTGAGTGGAGATGCCTGGGAGCCAGATTGCACAATCAGAATGAATTTCAGGAACCGAAACGTTTTTTCTGTGCAGCAGGAGCAGGCGCACTGAACAGCGTCATAGTGAATTGTTGTTGCTTGTCTTCGCTTCCCCCACTGCCCTGCTCAGAGCTGTGAAGGATATTCCTACCTTATGAATGGTCACTGTCACCATTAAGAAAAAGAAGTCAGAATAAGCCCCTATATATATATATATATATGGATTGTCCCTGGATCAAGGGACTTTCCTTTTTTAAGCTCTCAAAATTCTCAACCTGGCTCAAGGTTGTCCTCTGAACAGGCCAGATGTTTAACTGAGAATCAATCACGGTCAGTCCATCATTTGGAAAATGAGACTTGTCCCAAAATGCCAACTAGAAATTCCATTTTGGCACCTGTAACCTCAGTTTAAGAAGCCATTTGGCTTACATATCTGATTTTCTTTTTTAAAAAACATGATACATTTTACTTTTTACTTTTTTATTTTTTCAATATAAATTTTTATTAATTTTTCAACACATCATTTTCAACAGTAATTAAACATACTTTCATTTCTTACACCATTTTTTTGACTTCCATCAATCACATCTGAAAATTTTCTAGTCTATTCACTTAATATACATTTCTTACTTCCACTATTAGATTTAAATCTCTTAACCAATATCTCTATTCTTTCTCTACTTTGCAATATTTCATATATTTCTCCTTACAAAACTTCTTGTATTCCTACTAGCGTAATTTGTTGATTACAGTTGCTCTTCAAATAGTTCATATATTTATTTCAATCTTCTGTAAATCTCTGTTCCCGCAGGTTTCGAACCCTTCCTGTCATTTTGTCCAATTCTGCACAGTCCATTAATTTCGCCTGCCATTCTTCTTTCATCGGAATTTCTTCTTGCTTCCATTTCTGGGCTAACAATACTCTTGCCGCTGTTGTTGCATATAAAAACAATTTAACATCTTGCCTATTAATATCTTCACCACTTTTTATTTTATTTTTCAAATATATATTTCCACAAATTTCACATATATTGGCGACTGAAACCTTGGTTTTAGGAGCCATTTGGCGCCTAGCTCATCTATCTTGCGTTTCTAAAACTGCCTGCATCCTGGAAAGCCACATCAGTCTGTTTAGGTCAGCGCGAAGGGGAAGCTGAGGTCTAGCAGCGTGAGATGGCTGGGGAGGCAGGTTAACTTGGGACCTGGTACGGAGTCAAGAGGCCCTGGCTTTGGCGGAGTGAGCTGTTTGCCTTCAAGGCTGCCGGAAGGCCCAGCGGGTCGCTGTCAAACCGGTAAAACAGGTGGTGTTTGTTTGGAGAGCGCAAGATTTTACAGGCGGGTAAGGAAAGGAGCCTGCAGGCTGGCAGGTCATATGACTCAGTAGCAGTAAAGGTCACAGCTGGAGAGCCAAATACCATCTCGAGAGCAAGCGAGCACCAAATTATTCCTTTGTTTGGATTTTTGGCCCCGTTTCCACAGGTCTCGTGATGGTGCCCCTCACTCACCACCCCCTCGGGTTTCTAAGGTCTCCAGGGGAGATCGTGCCCTCGGATCCTGCCTACGAGCTCCTCCCTTCATTGGGAACGGGATAGAGTCATAGAATTGCAGGGTTGGAGGGGGTCCCCACAGGTCATCCAGTCCAACCCCCCTGCGATGCAGTTGGAGAACCTTTAGCTGCCTTTGCTGGATCAGACCCCAGAAAGTTCCCTTTGGCCCAGAGGATCATGCTGAGCCAAAGATTCTGGCATTTGCAGGGGGGCGGGCAGGATGACCTCAGGGGATCCCTTCCAACTTTACAACGCTGTGATTCTGTGGTTCCTGGGAAGGGTAGCTACTGCTGCAGAAGACCCTGAAACGAGAAGTAATCGACTATAAAGTTAAATTAAATAACAAAAATCAAAAAGTTTAAGGAAAAAGTTAACCTGGAATTAAACAAAGACTTAACGAGATGCCGGCTACAAAACTCGTTTCACTGAACTAATCAGGAAATAAAGAAATTATAAACCTTAAATGATTTTAAATGATTTTAAACAAACTTAAGAGCAAGGCTGAAATGCTTCCCAGAGTTTTGTAGCCGGCATCTCGTTAAGTCTTTGTTTAATTCTAGGATAATATTTTCCTTAAACTTTTTGATTTTTGTTATTTAATTTAACTCTATAGTCGATTACTTGTCATTTCAGGGATTTTCACGGCATTTCATTTGTTTTGTGTAATTTCTTGGTTCCGTGACTGTCCTTTTTCCACTGACGGCTGCAGAAGACAGCTTGTCAACACTCTCCTTAATTTGTGGTGCCCAGAATTGGACACAGTATTCCAGGTGTGGCCTGACCAAGGCAGAAAAGATTGGGACTATTTTCCCCCTTGATCTGGACACTAGGCTTCTGCTGATGCAGCCTAGAATAGCATTCGCTTTTTTTGCTGCTCCATCACCCTGTTGGCTCATGTTCAGTTTGCGGCCCACCAAGACCCCTAGATCAGCCTTTCTCAACCTGTGGGTCCCCAGATGTTGTTGGACTACAACTCCCATCACCCCTAGCTAGCAAGGCCAGAGCTCAGGGATGATGGGAGTTGTAGTCCAACAACATCTGGGGACCCTCAGGTTGAGAACCGCTGCCCTAGATCCTGAACGATGGGGGTGGAGACGCTCCTTCATATATACTGGACTGAGGCCATTTAGGGCTTTCAAGGTCAGCACCAACACTTTGAATTGTGCTCGAAACGTCCTGGGAGCCAATGTAGGTCTTTCAAGACTGGTGTTATGTTGTCTCGGCGGCCGCTCCTAGTCACCAGTCTGGCTGCCGCATTCTGGATTAGTTGTAGTTTCCGAGTCACCTTCAAAGGTAGCCCCACGTAGAGCGCATTGCAGGAGTCCAAGCGGGAGATAACCAGAGCATGCACCACTCCGGCGAGACAGTCTGCGGGCAGGGAGGGTCTCATCCTGTGTACCAGATGGAGCTGATAAACAGCTGCCCTGGACACAAAATTGACCTCTGCCTCCATGGACAGCTGTGAGTCCAGAATGACTCCCAGGCTGCGCACCTGGTCCTTCAGGGGCACAGTTGCCCCATTCAGGACCAGGGAGTCCTCCACACCCGCCCGCCCCCTGTCCCCCAAAAACAGTACTTCTGTTTTGTCAGGATTCAACCTCAATCTGTTAGCCACCATCCATCCTCCAACCACCTCCAGGCACTCACACAGGACCTTCACCACCTTCACTGGTTCTGATTTAAAAGAGAGGTAGATTAGTTGTAGTTTCCGGGTCACCTTCGAAGGTAGCCCCACGTAGAGCGCATTGCAGTAGTCCAAGCGGGAGATAACCAGAGCATGCACCACGCTGGCCTTAACCAGTTCTCTCTGCTTGCTTCCCTCAGCCGTCCAGAGGGGCCGGATCCCTCCCACCCACTCCAGCGCCAGCCCCAACGCCCTGCCCAGTGGCGAATACTACAACGGCCAGCCCGTCTCGGAGCTGATTTCGCAGCTCCTCCGTGCCGAGCCCTACCCCACCGCGCGCTTCAGCTCCCAGTACGCCCAGCAAGGCAGCGTGATGGGCATCGATAACATCTGCGAGTTGGCGGCGCGGCTCCTCTTCAGCACGGTGGAGTGGGCGCGAAACATCCCCTTCTTCCCCGACCTGCCCGTCTCGGACCAGGTGGCGCTGCTGAGGCTCAGCTGGAGCGAGCTCTTCGTCCTCAACGCCGCGCAGTCCGCGCTGCCGCTGCACATGGCGCCGCTGCTGGCTGCCGCCGGATTCCACGCGGCTCCCATGTCGGCCGACCGCGTGGTCTCCTTCATGGACCAGATCCGCATCTTCCAGGACCAGGTGGAGAAGCTCAACCGGCTGCAGGTGGACCTGGCGGAGTACAGCTGCCTCAAAGCCATCGCCCTCTTCACCCCAGGTGAGCACACCGGCTGGAGCCATTCCCGGCTGTATTGAGGTGGCTCGAGCGAGTGAGCCAAGCCGCGTGTTTGGCTGTTGCAGAATTGCTCCCTGAATTTGGAGGTTTTTCTCTCTCTGGATGAAAATGCTTTGTTGAAGTAAATCAAAATGGCATAAAATCACAGAAGTACTAAGAAGCAGAGCAGTAACAACAACAACAGTTTTATTGTATAGCATTATTATTATAATAATATAATAATTATCATCATCTAACTATTTTCACAATTGTGCAATTAGTTATAAGTATTAGGTAATAATAATATAATATAATATAATATAATATAATATAATATAATATAATATAATATAATAGTTGTTTCAGATATTATTTGATTATTTCTTTAAAACATTTAAATGAACTTTTCAATTTTTGGAAATTCTTTTAAACTCAAAACAAATCTCTCATATCCTTTGACTTCCATTCCGTGGAGTTCTTTCCTTTCCTCATTAAGCGGCTATATGACTTACATTTTACCCATTAGATACATTAATTCTAAATGATTAACCTACCAATTCTCTCATCTGCTGCTATACTTCAAATCCTACATACGTTTTCATATAACCATGATATATTTTTTTTCAAATACAGTGGTACCTTGGTTCGCAAAACGGCTTAGTTGCCGAACAAACCGGCTTCCGAACGCAGCAAACCCGGAAGTGAGTGTTCTGGTTTGCGAATGTTTTTCGGAAGCTGAACGTCCAATGTAGCGTCTTGCTTGTAGTGCAGCCAATCGGAAGCCACGCCTTGGTTTTCAAACGGTTTTGGGAGTCTAACGGATTCCTGGAACGGATTAAGTTCGAAAACCAAGGTACCGCTGTATTCCACAAAATATTTCCAAAGACTCCTTATTTCCAAAAAGGACCAGAGGAGGTGGTCTAATTATAATTATAATTATAATTATAATTATAATTATAATTATAATTATTTATACCCCACCCATCTGGCTGTGTTGCCCCAGCCACTCTGGGCAGATCCCAGCACATCTGGAAACAACAACAACAACATAATTTATTATTTATACCCCACCCACTCTGGGCGGCTTCCAACAGAATATTAAAATACAATAACCTATTAAACATTAAAAATGGGACGCGGGTGGCGCTGTGGGTTAAACCACAGAGCTTAGGGCTTGCCGATCAGAAGGATGGCGGTTCAAATCCCCGCAATGACGGGGTGAGCTTCCGTTGCTCGGTCCCTGCTCCTGCCCACCTAGCAGTTCGAAAGCACGTCAAAGTGCAAGTAGATAAATAGGTACCGCTCTGGCAGGAAGGTAAACAGCGTTTCCGTGCGCTGCTCTGGTTCGCCAGAAGCGGCTTAGTCATGCTGGCCACATGACCCGGAAGCTGTACGCCGGCTCCCTTGGCCAGTAAAGCGAGATGAGCACTGCAACCCCAGAGTCGGCCATGACTGGACCTAATGGTCAGGGGTCCCTTTACCTTTACCTTTTATTAAACATTAAAAGCTTCCCTAAACAGGGCTGCCTTCAGATGTCTTGTAAAAGTTGTGTCGCTCTTTGATCTCGTTGAGGGGAGAGCATTCCACAGGGGAGGTGCCACTGAAGGATAAAATAAAATAATGAGACCGCTAATGAACTATTAGTAATAAATTATTATTATTATTATTATTATTGGATATAAATTATACGACTTTCTGTAGACCTCCGAAGGCAGCCCTGCATCATAAAGCTTTTAATGTGTGACCATAGAATCATAAGAGTTGGAAGGGACCCCGACGGTCATCTAGCCCAACCCGCACGCAGTGCAGGAATCTTCCGCCCTTGGGGTCTCGAACCCACAAACCTAACAGTCTCAGCGACTGGTGTTTTGAGGTGTTCTTTATTGGAAGGCACCCAGAGTGACTGGGGTCACGGTGAGTTTGCTCCCTTGCAGCTCAGCCTTTGCAAAGCTTTTTGCTTCGCCAGCTCCCTGGCTTTGGCAAAATCCCGGTGCTTAGATGACTGTTGCGGAAGCCACAAGGACTCTGAGGAGCAATGGGACCCTCTGCCAGCCACAGAGCTTGCAATTCATGCTCCTTCTTCACCATTTCTCATCTGCGAGTGGCACGCATGGTGGCAGCACCACCTTGTGGCGAGGCAGAGTGCGAACCTGCATGCCCAGTGGCAGTCTATCTGGGTTCCTAAGGGTAAGTGTGTTGTTGTTTAGTCGTTTAGTCGTGTCCGACTCTTCGTGACCCCCTGGACCAGAGCACGCCAGGCACACCTGTCTTCCACTGCCTCCCGCAGTTTGGTCAAACACATGCGGGTAGCTTCGAGAACACTGTCCCACCATCTCGTCCTCTGTCGTCCCCTTCTCCTTGTGCCCTCCATCATTCCCAACATCAGGGTCTTTTCCAGGGAGTCTTCTCTTCTCATGAGGTGGCCAAAGTCTTGGAGCCTCAGCTTCAGGATCTGTCCTTCCAGTGAGCACTCAGGGCTGATTTCCTTCAGAATGGAGAGGTTTGATTTTCTTGCAGCCCATGGGACTCTCAAGAGTCTCCTCCAGCACCAGAATTCAAAAGCATCCATTCTTCGGTGATCAGCCTTCTTTATGGTCCAGCTCTCACTTCCGTACATCAATACTGGGAAAACCAGAGCTTGAACTATACAGACCTTTGTTGGCAAGGTGATGTCTCTGCTTTTTAAGATGCTGTGGGTAATTGTACACTGTGCAAAAAGGATTCCAGATTAAATGGGCTGCTCTCTTCAGCTTGATCCGGCAGCCAGCCTCTTCTGGTATCTTTGTGGAACCTCCATGTCCAGAGGCAATCTATCTCGGTTCCTAGTTTCTCACGGGTATTTAGCCACTGTGAGGACAGGATCATAGAATTGTAGTGTTGGAAGGGACCCGAGGGTCATCTATCTCAACCCCCGGCAATGCAGGAATCTTTTGCCCAACGTAGGGCTCAAACCCGCCACCATGAGAGAGTCTCTACTGTTGGAGCTTATCAGGAGTAGCGAGGTGTCTCTTTCCCCCACACACACTTTGACTTTTTATTTATTTAATCATTTTTTCAATACAAACAACAACCGCAAAAAACACATACAACAAAAACCACAATAACACAATTTGACTACACCTTTTTAACAATATTTCCCCACCTCTCCTCCCCCTACTTCCCCCCACTGTCCACCTTATCGCTTAAATATTCCTTCCAGATTTCTTCATATTTATCCATTCTTAATTTGCGTCGGCATGCAATTTGATCGTATGTAGCTAGTCTGTCCATATTGTCAATCCATGCGCTCAATGGAATCTTTTTTGTGGCTCTTCCGATTTATCAAAACAAGTTGTTTTGCTTCTAATATGGCATATACATCCATTTTTTTTGACCCCCTGTAATATCCCACGTTTCCGGAATATAATTTAGAATTCAATTCAATTCGCCTATATAACAATTTCTTTTTATTACTCTTGCTATAAATGTCCTCACCTCGCACCAAATGACCTTATCATCGGCAATTCATCATCATATGTACTAAGTTTGCACTTTTACTCCCATATCTCCAGCTGTCGTCCGCACTTGTTATTTTCCTCTGGTATAGTTTTTGCTGGAGTCCAGAGGACTCTGAATATTATATTCTGCTGAATAAGTCTTAGTCTTAGATCCACAGAGGCTATTTCTGTTGATTTTATACTTGACTCCCTTATATCATTTGTTATCTGTGCCCCTAACTCTTCACTCCATTTTTGTCTATCATATTCTAAATCATATTTCTTCCTGTTGGTCACACACTTTGGCTTGATTCAGCAGCCAGCCCTGTCCTTGTGGAGCCTCCAGGTCTATGGGCAGTCTATCTGTGTTCCTCGGTTCTCAGGGTTATTTGGGGACAGGATGGGGCTCTCGCGAACGCTAAGGAGGATGGATGGCGGCTAATGGCCCTGAATGGGGTAACTATGCCCCGGGTGGACCAGGTGCGCAGCCTGGGAGTCATTTTGGACTCACAGCTGTCCATGGAGGCACAGGTCAAATCCGTGTCCAGGGCAGCTGTTTACCAGCTCCACCTGGTACGCAGGATGAGACCCTCCCTGCCTGCAGACTGTGTTGCCAGAGTGGTGCATGCTCTAGTTATCTCCCGCTCAGACTACTGCAGTGTGCTCTACGTGGGGCTACCTTTGAAGGTGACCCGGAAACTACAACTAATCCAGAATGCGGCAGCTAGAATGGTGACTGGGGGCGGCCGCTGAGACCACATAACACCGGTCTTGAAAGACCTACATTGGTTCCCAGTACGTTTCCGAGCACAATTCAAAGTGTTGGTGCTGACCTTGAAAGCCCTAAACGGCCTCGGTCCAGTATACTTGAAGGAGCGTCTCCAGCCCCATCGTTCTGTCCGGACGCTGAGGTCCAGCGCCGAGGGCCTTCTGGCAGTTCCCTCATTGCGAGAAGCAAAGCTACAGGGAACCAGGCAGAGGGCCTTCTCGGTAGTGGCGCCCGCCCTGTGGAACACCCTCCCATCAGATGTCAAAGCAATAAACAACTACCTGACATTTAGAAGACATCTGAAGTTCAGGGAAGTTTTTAATGTGTGACATTTTAGTGTATTTTTGGTCTCTGTGGAAGCCGCCCAGAGTGGCTGGGGAAACCCAGCCAGATGGGCGGGGTACAAATAATAAATTATTATTATTATTATAACCGTCTCCTCTGTTTCAGACGCCTGCGGCCTCTCGGACCCCGCGCACGTGGAGAGCCTGCAGGAGAAAGCGCAGGTGGCGCTGACGGAGTACGTCCGCTCGCAGTACCCCTCGCAGCCCCAGCGCTTCGGCAGACTCTTGCTGCGCCTCCCTGCGCTGCGGGCCGTCCCTGCCTCCCTCATCTCGCAGCTCTTCTTCATGAGACTGGTGGGCAAGACGCCCATTGAGACCCTCATCAGGGACATGCTCCTCTCGGGAAGCACCTTCAACTGGCCCTATGGGACGGGGCAGTGAGGAGACGACGAGCGCGCGGAGTTGCCGGGACCTGCCTTCCTGCCCCACATCTGCCCTGTCCGTTCCCGCGGCCGCCGCACCGACAGCCTGGATGTCCCCCGGCACCACCCGATTCCCCCGGATCGAGGCGGCAAACTCTGTGCAATTTTTTTTCCGTTTCGGGGGGTGGGGTGGGGGGCCACCCTCCCTGCTGTGACTGCCTCTACCCCCCACCACCCCAGTGCCAAGAGAGGGGCAGGGCGGGCGTCCGTTGGGAAGGTCTCCTTTTCCGTTCTGTTGTGGGCGCGGGAAATGTAGCATCCTTGGTTTTGTTTTCCTGGTTTCGTTTCGTTTATCCACTCCAGCTTCGAGCAGACGGACGGTTCCCCTGGAGGCTTTGCTGGGGGGCTTATGCCCCCCAACTTCCTTGATACTTGGGTCTCATGAGAGGGGGGAGCCTGACCCCTCTCCCAACCTCCCCTCTCACCCCCATTTCTCTCGATCCGCCTTCTGCCGCCTGATGCCCCTCCCCAGATGTTATGGGACACCCCACCCCCCAACCAGTGTGGCCAAGGGGTCTGGGGTGACGGGGAGCCCCAAAGCAGCCATGAACCGTGACCGAGGTGGATTGGGTCCCCAGTGCGAATTTGCAAGCCGTTTCGCCTGGAAGCAAGCCAGATTTCCGCTTACTTCAAAGCGGGGAGGTATTTTGAGAGAGAAAACTTTTGTTGTAATGGGGTGAGGTGTGGGGGCGCGTTAGTTTGGGGTGCACCTAACGTGCAAACTTCCCAGATGTCTGGGAACAACCCTGCGTGGAACAAAGGCAGATAGGAGAATTTTCTTTCCCGCAAGCAGAGAGCACCCCTAGGCACGTGCAGAAGCCCGGGTCCAGCCTCAGGCATGTTCAGCTTAAAGGACCTTTTGGGGGGCTTCAGAAGACCCCCAGGTTAGTTGCTCCCCCAGGTTACGCGGACTCAGTATAATTTCCTGTGCTCCTATTTGGATCTGCCTGCAGTTCAGACTCATGTGGACCAGAGTCTTGATTCAATGCCAGTAACACTAGGACTAGAATCTTGCATTACTGTCCGGGTACTGCCAGCCTTCCAGGGTGGGGGCACAGCTCAGTGATGGGGCACCCCCTCTGCACCCTGAATAATAATAATTTATTACTTATACTCCGCCCATCTGGCCAGGCCTCCCCAGCCGCTCTGGGCGGCTTCCAACAGGATATTAAAAACAGAATAAAACATCAAGCATTATAAACTTCCCTAAAGAGGGCTGCCTTCAGATGTCTTCTAAAAGTCAGGTAGTTGTTGACATCTGACGGGAGGGCGTACCACAGAGCAGGCGCCACCACCAAGAAGGCCCTTTGCCTGGTTCCCTGTAACCTCACTTCTCGCAATGAGGGAACCGCCAGAAGGCCCTCGGCTTTGGATCTCAGTGTCTGGGCTGAACGATGGGGGTGGAGACGCTCCTTCAGGTATACTGAGCCATTTAGGGCTTTAAAGGTCAGCACCAACACTTTGAATTGTGCTCGGAAACGTACTGGGAGCCAAAGTAGGTCTTTCAGGACCGGTGTTCTGTGGTCTCGGCGGCCGCTCCCAGTCACCAGTCTAGCTGCTGCGTTCTGGATTAGTTGTAGTTTCTGGGTCACCTTCAAAGGCAGCCCCACGTAGAGCGCATGGCAGTGGTCCAAGTGGGAGATAACCAGAGCATGCACCACTCTGGCGAGACAGTCTGCGGGCACGTAGGGTTTCATCCTGCGTCCCAGATGGAGCTGATAAACAGCTGCCCTGGACACAGAATTGACCTGCGCCTCCATGGACAGCTGTGAGTCCAAAATGACTCCCAGGCTGCGCACCTGGTCCACCCGGGGCACAGTTACCCCATTCAGGACCAGGGAGTCCCCCACACCTGCCCGCCTCCTGTTCCCCAAGAACAGTACTTCTGTCCTGTCAGGATTCAACCGCCATCCATCCTCCCAACTGCCTCCAGGCCCCAATAGCTCCTCCAGGTGAGGCTGCAAACGACCCCCTGCCCCCGAACCCTGGGGAGAAGCTGCCAGCCAGTGTAAGGCAACATAGAGCTGGGTGTGGCTCGGACAAAGGCACCTCCAATTGCTCCTGCTTTTACAGATTGGCTCTTGATTTAGACTCCATGAGTACTAGAATTTTACATTAGGGGCAAGGACCAAAACTCAAAAAGACCCAGGGGTCTGAAACGGGGTGTGTGCTGTGAGCTGCCTCTTCTCAGGGGCTTCCGGTCAGAGCGTAAAACACCAGGCTGGATAAACAAGCTGCTTGGACAACATTTGGACAACAAACCTGCAGGTTCTCGTCCACCACAAACACGAGACACATTTTGACATGCTCAGCACCCGCTGCCCCCTTACTTGTGATGGAAGCTGCCTGCCCCACTTCCTCCGTCCGCAGTGGGGGAAATCCGCCTCGGCTGGGGGGCTCTCCCTCCATGTTTGTTGACGATGCTATGCAAAATAGATTTGAGCTGCATGCAATTTGAAATATACTGACGACTTTGGAAAAAAGCGATCTCCCTCTTCGCAACGGGATTCCAGCTTCCTTTGCCGGTCGGATCAGTTTCGACTGAGACACTAAAAAAAATGAAAACACCCCTCCCCCCGCTGCTATTTTTCTCATGGATCGTTCTTTTTCCTCCAGCCTGCAGACCTGCTCTAAGGATCTCCGCTTGGCTTGTGTGTCCTCTCAGTGGCGCCAGTATGAATTGCCCTCAAACCCATTTTCCGGATGGGGAAAACTGAGGCCAGAGGACTATTTCCCCCTGCATTATACAAGTCCATGGGAGTGATGTGCCTCTAACTCAGGTCTCCCAGATCCAAAGTACCGGTTGTAATCTATGCAATCTATCCCCAAATTCTGCATCAAGGAAATTCAGATTCTGCGCTTGGAATAAAATTATGTTTTTGTGTTTTTTTTAAAAAATGGTGAAAATCAGATGTGCTTTTTTAAAAAAAATCCCAGTTGTATGATGTGAGGTTCCTGAAGAACGTCCCGGGATGGGAAGGACACAGGTGAGGTGTAAAGAAATTTGCTTTTTTCATAGAATTGTACGGTTGGCAGGGAACCAAAGGGCAATCTAGTCCAACCCCCTGCAGTGCAAGAATTGCAGCTGACCCGAGCAGAGCTAGGCCCGTCCAGGCTGGGTGTGTTGAATCTGCCACCTGACCCACACTGGCCAATCCCGTGCCCCCGAGCATCAGAGATAGACTGCACTTCAAACTGGAGGCTCCATTGAACTACCATGGCTTAGAGCTGCTGCTATATTGCCCCTCTTATTCTTCAAGCCCCCCTTGAAAGCAAAGAACTTAAGAGGAAGTTTTGCCAGGGGCTCCATGCAGAAATTGCCTGGTCCAGTCTCTGAAGAGGGTGGGCAGATTGCTGCTGCCTGCCTGTGTTCAGTTGTGAACCAGCCCTTAGCCCAGAACCATGAGTTCTATAAACTTAATGGTCTCTTTTGAGAAAAAGGCCAGAGCATGGGCTCTCTATAGCAAGAAGTTTCCAGGTCCCCCCTCCCCCAGTTCCATTAAATCCCAGGTTTATTCTCTGTCTGAAACTCAGGCAGTAATGACCTGAGTGGACCCAATTTAAAACTAAAAACTATGCACTTTGAGGTCTCTCTGATTTCCGTGGGAGTTTGGGTACCGCTCTTAATTAAAAGCCATAGAGAGAGAAATGTCCCGCCAAAGTTTCGATTCAGTGGGACCATGTCCGGCATCTGTGGCTAGTGGTCCTGAGTTCAAGGTCTCTTGGATACAAATCCTACTCATTACCGTAATTCTCCTTCCCCCCCCCGTTCGTGGAAGCCGGATTTGGGTGTCCGGATGGATGGAGAGGGTGACTTGTGCCAACCAAGAGGGGAAGGAACGGCTGGCGGGTTTGATTCTGTTGCAGACGTCTCCTTTTCTGATTTGATGCACAGCCAATGAAACAATAAATACTGTTTTTCTTAGGAAAAAAAAAAGAAGGCAGTGGTTGGTTTGTGTTTATTGGAGTGGAAAGGGGTGGGGAGAAGTGGTGTCATTGTTTTAAGACGATTCAGCACAGGTAAAGTCCTTCCTGCGGCACAAAGTTAAACTGTGGAACGTCCTGCCACAGGAAGCAGGCTAGAAGGCTTTAAAAGAGGACTGGACAAATTCACAGAGGAGAAAGCTATTTGGAGACAGTGAATCTTCTGAACAACCAGCGCTCCCACGTACTAAGTTTAATCCAGAGAAAGCCGACATCTTTCGGGAATCCTCTGTCATCGCAGGGTGAGGGGTTGGTCTGGATGACCCCCAGGGGGCCCTTTCAGCTCTGCAATTTTATCTCAAATGGCTACAAAACACACCTGGATCTCCACAGCCAGCATTCCCCACTTTTATTAAAGGAACTATTAAAAACACACACACACACAACTGGTTACCCCCCTCCCCAGCCCCTCTGAAACCCCCAGCTGCCCCACACTCAAATCGATAAACCCCCCAAACATGCATAAATGGGGTCGTATATTTACAATGCTGAATGAGTCAGTAGATGGGTCGCTGGACAGTTTGTTTTGAACCTACATCAATGGGGGTGAATATTCGGGAGTCTGCCACCTGATAGCTGGGGGGTGTTTCTCTGTTTTGGGATCGTACGCCCCCCCTACCCACTATTCACACTTTGACTTCTCTATATTTTTACTCTTTTGTGTGCCAATTAATTCCCCCGGGTCTGAGGTTTTCTTGCCATTCGCTGCGTGCCTTGCCAAAACCCGATCTTTCCCGCTGAGTTGAAACTTGGCTAAGCAAAGCCCCTCTCTGGATTTTCTGTGCATGTGAAATTGCAACACCACTCGCCGTTTTCGGACGTGCGTCAAGAACGTCCCGTTCCCCCCAAAAGTTTTATCAGCAGGTATATTGGTGTGCGGAAGGGACGCGGGTGGCGCTGTGGGTTAAACCGCGGAGCCTGGGACTTGCCGATCGGAAGGTTGGCGGTTCGAATCCCTGCAACGGGGTGAGCTCCCATGGCTCGGTCCCTGCTCCTACCAACCTAGCAGTTCGAAAGCATGCCAGAGTGCAAGTAGATAACTAGGTACCACTCCGGCGGGAAGGTAAACGGCGTTTCCATGCGCTGCTCTGGTTTGCCAGAAGCAGCTTAGTCATGCTGGCCACACGACCCGGAAGCTGTACGCCGGCTCCCTCGGCCAATAAAGCAAGATGAGCGCCACAACCCCAGAGTTGTCCGCGACTGGACCTAATGGTCAAGGGTCCCTTTACCTTTATATTGGTGTGCGGAGATAATGATGAAACTGCCAAGATGTTTGGGAATTTCCTAAGGAAGACGGGTGATGGGTTTATCAGCACACCGGCTTCACTTGGGAAGGGAGAACAAATTAGATGAAAACGCGGCAGAAACACTGGCGAAAAGTTTAAGAATTATTCTTGGCTGCTGTTTAACTCCTTTGCCCCTCAGGGAAGTGCAACGCACACAATGGCATGAAATCCTATCGTTTGGGGTGGGTGGGAGCTGATTCAAGATTCAGCTAATGTTGAGCTGGAAGGGACCCCTAGGGTCATCTAGTCCAACTCGCAGCAATGCAAGGATCTTTTGCCCAACATAGGGCTCGAACCCACGAACCCATGCTCTTCTCAATTGATAACCCAGGCATGGGAGATCGGTGAGCCTCCATCTTCACCCCTGGGCTGCGTTCTGCGCAAGCAATGTGGTGATGGCTACGCAACCCTTGTTTAAAGTAATTTTGTACAGTGCTTTTTAAAGAGCACAGGATCAGGGTTGCATCCAGCTATGCCTCCGTTGTGAAAGGGATGGGCATGGCCGATGTAGGACCATTGATTTCAGTGGGTCTACTCTGAATACGTGGGCGATGGGAAAGAGTTGTGGCTCCAAGTCGGAACACATGCTTTTCATGCAAAAGGTTTCCCAGCAGGCCTGGAGTAAGACCCTTGCTTCTGCCAGTCAGTGTAAAAGGTAAAGGGACCCCTGACCATTAGGTCCAGTTGTGGACAACTCTAGGGTTGCGGCGCTCATCTCGCTTTACTGGTCAAGGGAGCCGGCGTACAGCTTCTGGGTCATGTGGCCAGCAAGACTAAGCCACTTCTGGCGAACCAGAGCAGTGCACGGAAACACCGTTTACCTTCCTGCCGGAGCGGTACCTATTTATCTACTTGCACTTTGAGGTGCTTTTGAACTGCTAGGTGGGCAGGAGCAGGGACTGAGCAACGGGAGCTCACTCCGTCGCAGGGATTCGAACCGCCGACCTTCTGATCGGCAAGTCCTTGGCTCTGTGGTTTAACCCACAGGGCTGCCCACGTCCCTTGCCAGTCAGTGTAGGCTACACTAAACTAGATGGGATGTTGTAGCTTGGCTCATGATAAGGCAGCTCCCACAAGAAACTCGCTTGCTTTTATAGGAAGGGCTAGCTCTTACGTTACAGAGCACCCACTTCGTATGCAGAGGGTCCGGGTTCAATTCCTGGCATCCCCAGGCACCTGCCTAAATGCCTGGAGAGCTGCTGCCAGTCAGAATAGGCAATACTAAACTAGATGTACTCCCATGGCCTGACTTGGGGTGGGGGGTGGGAAGGCAGCGCCCGATGTTCCTTGGGCTTAGGTGGGTACAACCCACGGTTTTTTAAAAAAAAAATCTCTTTGGCACCCAAAATAAGAAAGTGCTCTGTCTAAATGAAGATTTGTAAGTTCTGTTTCTTCTACTTCCTGGATTTCCCCCCCATGCATGTTCAGAGTTCCAGGGTCCCAAGAAAACGGAGTTGTTTTTTTAAAAAATGGTTTTGCAAAATTGGCACGGGAATGGATAAAAGAGGTCATCTTGACATATGTACAGCTGAAAGAAAGCATCCCTGCTTGTCTTGTTTCAGGGGTCAAATTCTGCAGAAAACGGGAGCGTTGATCTGCCCCCCGCAGCTGCCTGCCTCGTCCCCCTGTCCAGGTTACGCCCGACTCTTGTCGTAGTCGCTGACCATCCGCTTGATGTGGAAGAGCTTGTTCCGTAGAGACTTGCTGTCCATTTTCTTGCTCTGGTAGTCGGGAGTCTGCGGCGTGAATTTGCGAGGAAAACGCGTTAGGAAACAAAACACAATTCGCAGTGTTCTCGCTCGGGCCTCAGATTAAAATATATTTCTCAACCCAGCTTTTCACAGAATAGTAGAGTTGGAAGAGACCTTCCTAGTGCCATAGAATTGTAGAGTTGGAAGGGACCCCGAGGGTCCTCTAGTCCAACCCCCTGCAATGCAGGAATCTCAGCTAAAGCATCTATAAAACCAAATTCCAGGAGGCCACCAACTTGGGTGGATTCAGTTTCTCAGGATTATTTGGCCACTGTTGGTGCTGGCCTATTGTGGGAGCTGAATCCAGCAGCCTTCTGACGTTCTAATGGAACCTCCAGGTCCCGGTGCAGTCTACCTGGATTCCTAGGTTCTTTGGGGTATTTGGCCATCGTGAGGACAAAAACAAAGGCTCTGTCTTTCCCCCACATCCCAATCCTCCTTTAGTGCACAAGGGGCCTGTGGGTGGATTTGGCCGTAAGAAGCATAGATCAGGAGTGGTGAAGCCACTGTCCTCCTGGTATTGCTGGCCTCCACCACTCTGCCATCGTTGCTGACCATTGGGCATGCTGGCCGCTCCAACATGCAGAGGCTACAGCTCTTTCCCCGGCCCCTTTGGGGAGGCAGGAAAGCGTGTCACTTACGCGCTTCAGGTCCTTCAGCCGGTTGTATTCTTCAGCCACCCCCTGCGGGAGAAAGATGTCAAAGTCAGGAGAGTCCTGTATGTGGAACCTCCCTGTTCATGAGCAGTCTATCTCAGGGCATCCCTGGTAATGCACTCTCGGTCTCTCTCTGTTTTCACCATCCTAAGTACAGCTCTCCACATTTCCATGTCAGTCTGCAATCATTATTATTCTAAAGCAGGCATAGGCAAACTCGGCCCTCCAGATGTTTTGGGACTACAATTCCCATCATCCCTGACCACTGGTCCTGTTAGCTAGGGATGATGGGAATCGTAGTCCCAAAACATCTGGAGGGCCGAGTTTGCCTATGCCTGTTCTAAAGGAAGCCCTGGTGGGAAGGTATCCAATCCCAGTATCCCTGGTAGAATACGAGACTCTTAATCTCAAAGTTGTGGGTTCAAGCGCCACGTTGGGCATTACGATTCCTTCATTGCAGGGGGTTAGACTGGATGACCCTTGTGGTCCCCTTTAGCTCTACGATACCTCCCGCTCCACACATTTCTCCAAAGCAATTTCACCCAACAGACCCTGTTTTGCAAGGCAACCTGCCCCTGTATAATCCACCTTTGCCATTTTCACGAATATACGAATTTATTCCTTGTCTGCATTTACCGTATTTTTTGCTCTATAAGACTCACTTTTTCCCTCCTAAAAAGTAAGGGGAAATGTGTCTGCGTCTTATGGAGCGAATGCAGGCTGCGCAGCTATCCCAGAAGCCAGAACAGCAAGAGTGATCGCTGCTTTCACTGCGCAGCGATCCCTCTTGCTGTTCTGGCTTCTGAGATTCAGAATATTTTTTTTCTTGTTTTCCTCCTCCAAAAACGAGGTGCGTCTTGTGGTCTGTTGCGTCTTATGGAGCGAGAAATACGGTATATCCCTACCTTTTCTGTCTCCGCAGAACTGAGTGCTTGCCCATATTGCCTTTCCTGACAGTAAGAGCTGTTCGACAGTGGAATTTGCTGCCAAGGAGTGTGGTGGAGTCTCCTTCTTTGGAGGTCTTTGAGCAGAGGCTTGACAACCATATGTCAGGAGTGCTCTGATGGTGTTTCCTGCTTGGCAGGGGGTTGGACTCGATGGCCCTTGTGGTCTCTTCCAACTCTATGATTCTATGATTCTTCCTTATTTCTACCCACAATCCTTTGCTCCGGGTGCCCGGGGGGACGGGGGACGGGACAACCTACCTGGTACTGCAGGCTGTCTTCAGGCAGATGGTCCAGCTGTTTGCTCAACTGGTTGATCTGGTCATTAATGGCATCCATCTCAGCGCACAGCACTTTGTACCGCTTGAGGTCGGCGTCAAACTCTTGCTTGTAGTCCTGGCGGACGCTGTCCGACGTGATTGGCGGATACAGGCTATGGGGGACGGAAGAGAAACCCACATTTTGTGGTGGGGTTGGTGAGGAATGCCTTGCTTTGAAAACATACACATGGCCCTATTGTGGTGTGGCGACCATTTGGGAACAGCAAAGTGTTTGCCAGCACAGAAGAAAACTTTAATTTAGTACAGGGGTCAGCAAACTTTTTCAGCAGGGGGCCGGTCCACTGTCCCTTAGACCTTGTGGGGGGCCGGACTATATTCTGAAGGGGGGGAAAAAGGAACGAATTCCTATGCCCCACAAATAACCCAGAGATGCATTTTAAATAAAAGCACACATTCTACTCATGTAAGAACACACTGATTCCGGGACCGTCGGCGGGCCGGATTGAGAAGGCGATTGGGCCGGATCCAGCCCCCTTAGTTTGCCTACCCATGATTCAGTGCCTTCCTTCCCTTGATGGGGGCACACCACTACTAATTTTATTATTTGTAGCCCACCCACCTGACTGGGTTGCCTCAGCCACTCTGGGCAGCTTCCAACACATATAAAAACATCAAGAATCCAGCTTTATAAGCTTCTCTAGAAGGCCTCAGGCTCAATCCCCAGTGGTAGGGCTGGGAGCTGCTTCCAGTTAGCATAGACAATATTGAGCTGGTTGGACCTGTACTCTAACAGCTTCCTATGATCATTTGAAGAGCAGACAGAGCTCAGCACATCATGGCTAGTACCCGTAACATCACCAATCCAACCTTCTCTCACCCACCTTGATCTCCAGAGCGATTTTGTCACTGGTGGAAAAGGGGTGAAGGTGTGCAATGAACAACCATTCATATAACCGGTGAGGGTAATAATAATAATAATAATAATAATAATAATAATATTTATACCCCGCCCATCTGGCTGGGTTTCCCCAGCCACTCCGGGCGGCTTACAGCATAACCTAAAAACATAATAAAAACAGCAAGCATAAAAAACCTCCTGATACAGGGCTGCCTTCAGAAGTCTTCTAAAGGTTGTGTAGTTACTCATCTCCTTGACATCTGACAGGAGGGCATTCCTCAGGGCGGGTGCCACCACCGAGAAGGCCCTCTGTCTGGTTCCCTGTAGCTTCACTTCTGCCAGTGTAGGAACCACCAGAAGGTGCTCAGAGACGGACCCGGGGTAGAGATGCTCCTTCAGGTATACAGGGCCGAAGCTGTTTAGGGCAGGGGTTGGCAAACTACGGTCCGGGGGCCGGATGCGGCCCCCCAGGCTTGCAAATCCGGCCCGCGGACCCTGCTGCCCGCTCAGTCAGTCCCCACGCCCTGCAGATGCCTCACTGTGCAGACTTTCGTGATGCTGGCATGGCATCTGGGCGGGCGGTGATGCTGCCGCAGCTTCGGATTGGCTGCATGAAGTTCCTGCAGCCAATCTGAAGCTGCGACGTTTGGATTTGCACTCAGGGGAAATGCCGGTGCGGTGCAGAGCGGAGGCGGTGCGCGGAGCATTCAAAGTGGAGGGGATGATCGTTGCAAAAAGATTTGTGTGGCGCTTGCACGGAGCTGGCGATTACGCAGAGACTTTGCCACAATATTGTTGTGACCACTGCATGGTGCGCCCTTACCCAGGAGTTGTTGCGCTCTGGTGGGATGTGATGCCAACTTAACTTTTACGCAGAGGGCAGGCCCGTTGGAATGAACGGACCCGGGTTAGGCCTGGCCACTCATGTCAACAGGTCTACTCCTGAGTAAAAAAATAGGGGAGCGACTTCCACGTAAATACGCATTTTTAAAAAACTATAGTCCGGCCCCCGGCAGTGTTTGAGGGACAGTGAACCATCCCCCTGTTTAAAAAGTTTGAGGACCCCTGGATTAGGGCTTCAAAAGTCAGCACCAACACTTTGATTTGTGCCTGCAAATGTACTGGGCGGAAACATCACTTGAAGTCAACAATGACTTGGAACGGAAGTCTGGAGGCAGGTGAATTTTGGTGTCGTGCTGGGTGCTGCTGGAATTCGGAATCCCCAAACCCACCCCTGGGTGCCACACCCTTTCAGAACCGCTGAAGCAAATAGATATTGCAGCTCACCTCTTCCAGTCGTCCTGGTCCCGCTCGTCTCCGGACTCCACGGCCGTGGTGTAGTCGGTCTCGTACTGCGATTCCTCAAGTTCGGGGTTCCTCCTCCGCCTACGCCCTTTGCGGCCGGAGGGCTTGCTGGCGCTCTCCCGGGCGTTTCCTTCCAGCGTGCTGGAGCTGAAGGTCCAGGGGGGGTTGGCGGTCTGCGTGTAGGAAGGTGGGCTGGAGAGGAGACCCCAAAGTTATACATGAGAAAAGCTGGAGTCAGCTGGGAAACGGTGGCTGCCCTCTGAGGACTCATAGGGCAGGAGGAAGGGAGCTCGACAGCAGGGGGCGCCAGCGCTTACGACAGGCTTGTTAACAATTTCACTCCTTCGAGGTTGCATTTTGTGATTAGTGGAAATCACACGGTCTGTCTGAGAGGAAGCGTGAGAACTGGATATTGTCCTATCTGTATGTATTATGTGATGTACTTTCACTTTTGCCTGTTCTCTCTCGGAGCTGGATGAGAGAGCACCATGATTCTGTTTCTGTGTAATACAGTGGTACCTCGGTTACAGACGCTTCAGGTTACAGACTCCGCTAACCCAGAAATAGTACCTTGGATTAAGAACTTTGCTTCAGGATGAGGACAGAAATCGCGCAGCGGCGGCGCAGTGGCAGTGGGAGGCCCCATTAGCTAAAGTGGTGCTTCAGGTTAAGAACAGTTTCAGGTTAAGAACGGACCTCCAGAACGAATTAAGTTCTTAACCCGAGGTACCACTGTATAGTGTAAATAAAGAGTAGTTTAGAAACGGTGAATGTCCTTTGGGGACGCGGGTGGCGCTGTGGGTTAAACCATAGAGCCTAGGACTTGCAGATCGGAAGGTTGGTGGTTTGAATCCCCACGACGGGGTGAGCTCCCGTTGCTTGGTCCCTGCTCCTGCCAACCTAGCAGTTCGGAACCACGTCAAAGTGCAAGTAGATAAATAGGTACCACTCCAGCGGGAAGGTAAACGGCATTTCTGTGCGCTGCTCTGGTTTGCCAGAAGCGGCTTAGTCATGCTGGCCACATGACCCGGAAGCTGTACGCCGGCTCCCTCAGCCAATAAAGCGAGATGAGCGCTGCAACCCCAGAGTTGGCCACGACTGGACCTAATGTCAGGGGTACCTTTACCTTTAGGGCAGAAGGAAGGGAGATAATGAAATCCCTGCACCAAATGAAGTAAATGTTGAAACTGGCATACGAATTCCTTCCTATAATTTTGAAGGAACACTGTAACAAATCTACCGGACACATTTTATTGCAATGCTTCCACACTCAGCCAATTATTAGGAAACGTGGAGTGTTGATCCCTTTATCGTAAAGGGAGCCTCACGCTGCCTACTCAGAAGTAAGTCCCACTGTATTCAATGGAGCTTACTCCCAGGTAGGGATGCGGGTGGTGCTGTGGGTTAAACCACAGAGCCTAGGACTTGCCGATCAGAAGGTCGGCGGTTCGAATCCCTGCGATGGGGTGAGCTCCCGTTGCTCGGTCCCTTCTCCTACCCACCTAGCAGTTCCAAAGCACGTCAAAGTGCAAGTAGATAAATAGGCACCACTCCGGCGGGAAGGTAAATGGCGTTTCCGTGCGCTGCTCTGGTTCGCCAGAAGCGGCTTAGTCCTGCTGGCCACATGACCTGGAAGCTGTACGCCGGCTCCCTCGGCCAGTAAAGCAAGCTGAGCACCCTTTACCTCCCTTTACCTTTACTCCCAGGTAACTGGGTAAAGACTATGCTGCAATTCAAAGCATTTTTACTCAGATATACTGTAAGTCCCACTGAGTTCAATAGGATTTACTCTCAGGTATGTACCTGATCATTCTCACAGTTTCCGTTGTTCTTGATATCGTAGAATCGTAGAGGACGCACGAAGGTCATTTATCCCAACCCCCTACAATGCAGGATTCTTTTCCCCAACAAGAGGCTCAAACCCACGACCCTGAGATTAAGAGTCTTGTGCTCTACCCACTGAGCCACCCAGCTAATAACGACAACAAATCCTACAAGTGTTTTTTTAAGCGCAGAGTTAAACTGCAAGCGGAACCTGAACCCAAGACCTGAACACACTCCCTTCCTGTGCCTACGGTTCAGAAGCCTCACTGCTTCCAGCTGTGACGGTGAAGCCATCCTGGCTAGTGGCTCTTGATAGCCCCCTCCTCCCCCATGACTTTGTCCAATCCTCTTTTTACAGCCATCAATATCGGTGGCCGGTTGCTGCCTCCTGTGGCAGAGAGTTCCACAGTTTAACGATACATGTTTAACCCCGTTATTCCACCGCAAATCTAGCATTATGCAAGAGGGAGAAAAACAACCTCTTTTCTTCACAGTGCACCACTCAAAACAACTCAGTTTTCTCTGCTCACCTGCTCTGGCTTTCACCTGGGTAGTAGCCATTCCCGGAGACCTTGTAGTTGTAGGGGCTGGCTGGGGCATGAGTGGGGCTCATTGGCTTTTCGGAGTAGTTCAGGGTTGCTGTCTCATCGTGGGTGCTGGCCCCGTCGGTGACATTCTTCACCTGCGAAAGGAACGAAAGGCGTCGTTTTGGTGCCGGCTGAAACCTTCCCCTGGATCGGGGCCCTTCTGGGACATGGTGTTGCCTCTCAGGTAAGGATGGGCGAATAATTCCAAATTTTCACCTTTCCCTGCCACATCCTGGTTAGAGCGTTGGACTAAGGAGCTGGCAAACCATGGTTTGAATCCTTACTCTGCCATGAAACCCCCAGGGTGACCTGTTGTGGGGATCAAACGAGGAAGGGGGAAGCCATGATATAAATGCAACAAATAAATAAAATAAAATTACCGCCACTGCTTCTGGTTTGTTTTTTAATAAAAAGTTGTCATGAAAATTCACCAGAATTTGGGTGCAGTTCTCTGTATCCAGACACTTGTTTGTTTGTTTTTCCTTTTTGCAAAGCAAGTTCCCTAATACAATGCATATTTTTTTAAAAAAATGTTTAAAAATGCATTCTTTGACACACTTCCCCTCAGTGTATGCATTTCCGTACAGATTACTTGGCTGTGGAACCGCATGACAAAATCTGGACAGGTGTAGATTTGCCTGTTCTCAACAAGTTGGGTTAAAGGTGACAGGGACTAGTTTGCATGGTCCAACTCTGTCAGGGATTCTTTAGCTGCAGTGCCCGCAGTGCAGGGGGTTGGAATGGATGACCCTTGAGGGTCCCTTTTTTCTTCCTGCTTTTTAGCTGCTTCTTCCATGTGAAATAAAAAATCTAAGGTCATATACCGTATTTTTTGCTCTATAAGACTCACTTTTTCCCTCCTAAAAAGTAAGGGGAAATGTGTGTGCGTCTTATGGAGCGAATGCAGGCTGCGCAGCTATCCCAGAAGCCAGAACAGCAAGAGGGATTGCTGCTTTCACTGCGCAGCGATCCCTCTTGCTGTTCTTGCTTCTGAGATTCAGAATATTTTTTTTCTTGTTTTCCTCCTCGAAAAACTAGGTGCGTCTTGTGGTCTGGTGCATCTTATAGAGCGAAAAATACGGTATATACACCGTATTTTTTGCCCTATAGGACGCACTTTTTCCCCTCCAAAAATGAAGGGGAAATGTGTGTGCGTCCTATGGGGCGAATGCAGGCTTTCGCTGAAGCCTAGAGAGTGAGAGGGGTCTCCAGGCTTCAGGAAGCTATCCGGCTTGTGGAGAGCTGCCTGTTCTGGGGTCGGGAGAAGCTCGGGCGGGGGGGGGGGGGAAATAATTTTTTTTTTCTTTATTTCCCCCCCAAAAAACTAGGTGCGTCCTATGGGCCGGTGCGCCCTATGGGCCAAAAAATACGGTATATTAAATGTTCATAAATGTACCAACCAAGCGCATACATAGATGTGTGGACCACAGGTCTGGATCAGCACAGGAGGACCGCCCTGAAACCATTTTGACTCCCAAACTGACCAAATGTTTTCTCTGCAAGGAGGGAGGAGGTGGGGAGCCTCCCCCTTGTCTCAGGAATTGGGTAATCCCTATCTCAAAGGAATGGGCAGACTACCAGGAAAGGCAATCAGATAAGGCATTATCAGATAACCTGGCAGACAGGAAAAACAACAACACACTCAAATTTCTGTTGTAGACCGCCTTTTCTGTGATGTAGGTATGATGTTTGTGGGGGGTGGTCTGGAGCTCCAGGGCGGGCAATTTAAAATGTCTATATAAGGGCAGACACACCTTTGTTCTTGGTCCTCCTCCTTTCCTGCGTGTGAAGGGGGCACCCTGTTGCAACAGTTCAATAAAGATCAGGCTTACTAGCTGCTTTGCTTCTCAATATTCTCTGGTTGGCCTCTGTTATTTTCTCCGACCGATGGAGAACCTGCAAAGGACTCTATAAGGGCTCTTGTGTCCCCCATAAGGGAATACAGTGGACGCCCGGGTTGTGAACGTGATCCATGCGGGATGCACGTTCACAACCTGCAGCGTTCGTAACCCACATCAGCGCGTCTGCACACTCGTGGGTTGCGATTTGGTGCTTCTGCGCATGTGCAAAGCGCAATTTAGTGCTTCTGCGCATGCGCGACCGCCGAAAGCCGGAAGTAACCCATTCCGGTACTTCCGGGTTTTGGCGGTCCGTAACCTGGAAAAAGGGACGCGGGTGGCGCTGTGGGTAAAACCTCAGCGCCTAGGACTTGCCGATCGCATGGTCGGCGGTTCGAATCCCCGCGGAGGGGTGAGCTCCCGTCGTTCGGTCCCAGCTCCTGCCCACCTAGCAGTTCGAAAGCACCCTTAAGTGCAAGTAGATAAATAGGTACCGCTCCGGCGGGAAGGTAAATGGCGTTTCCGTGTGCTGCCCTGGTGCCGGTTCGCCAGAGCAGCTTCGTCACGCTGGCCGCTTGACCCGGAAGTGTCTGCGGACAGCGCTGGCTCCCGGCCTCTAGAGTGAGATGAGCGCACAACCCTAGAGTCGGACACGACTGGCCCGTACGGGCAGGGGTACCTTTACCTTTACCTAATCTGAAAAAACACAACCTGAAGAGGCTGTTACCCGAGGTATGACTGTACTGTAAGAGCAGATTTTTGTTTATTACACATGCCCGGGTCTTTGTTGGAAAACCTGCAGGCCGGATCACACCCGTGGCATTTCCTCACGAGGAACGGCCTGGGCTGGGGGGAGGCGTGGGAGCATTTCAAGTCTCGTGCTGGACTTCCCTGACCAGGCAGAGATCTGCATCTGGGGGGCAGACTATTTGCTCAGCAATGACTTCAACTGGGGGCAGAGGGTGCAGCTGCTTCTCTCTCCCCCTCCCCACGCCTTTCCTCCTTTCCTTCCGGGCTTTTTTACAGAGCCACGACCACCTGGGGCTCCAGAGACTTCAAAGGATCTCCTGCCAGTCTAAGGAAGTCGTCTGTCAAAGCAAAATAATGTTGCAGAGAAGACCCAGCGGAACCGACAGACATTATTCAGGCCCCACCTGCCCTATTGCATTTAAAGAAGCATTGTGCCACTTTAAACATGGCTCCCCCACCCCCCGCAAACCATCTTGGGAACTCTAGTTTCCTTAAAGGGTGCTAGAAGACTCCTCTTCTGCCTCCCAGAGCTACAGTTCCCAGAACGGTTCAACCACTGCTTTTTTTCTAAAAAAAAAATGTTTAGGGGTTACTCTCATTTCGACTCAAGAGCACCACCATTTTATAGTTCAGATTGGGAAAATAGGGAAGCTTTTAATGTTTAATAGGTTATTGCATTTTAGTGTTTTTTTGGAAGCCGCCCAGAGTGGCTGGGGAAACCCAGCCAGATGGGCGGGGTATAAATAAATTATTATTATTATTATTATTATTATTATTATTATTATTATTATTATAAAATAAATACAGTGAATGGACAAAAGTACAAAGGTTCACAAAAAGTTTAGGGGTATGCGTACCCCTGTGTCTCCCCCCCCCAAAAAGCACTGGGTTCAACCATCAATCCCTCTCCTTAGGGAGCTCTGGGAATCGGGTGAAGAGGCCGGATAGCTCAGTCGGTCAGAGCGTGGTGCTGGTAACGCCAAGGTTGCAGGTTTGATCCCCGTATGGGACAGCTGCATATTCCTGCCTTGCAGCGGGCTGGACTAGATGACCCTGAGGGTCCCTTCCATCTCCACAGTTCTGGGATACTATGAGAATTCAAGCCAGAGGTACATTTTCAAAGGCCGCAGATCACCAGATCTTCCAGCAAAGAGCATGAAAACGAACAACGTGTGAAGTCTGTTCTGTCCTTGAGTTCTGAAACATCTTTGACACATGCAACCCCTTTCCCTGTACGCTGCAACCTGCTGGCCTGTGGTGTGCAGACCGTGTCCCTGACTCCTTGCTTATCTCTGCCCCTGTTGTACAAGGAGTCACGGGATGTCCCGATACGTGCCTTATCTGTTCCGTGTCCCCGTGGGTATCCTTGAACCACAAGGAGGCCCTTTTGGCAGGGAGGAAAGGGTTAACTGGCTCCTTGCCCGCTGGACTCTGGGACTGAGCCCCTTCCCCAGGAAATGAGGTGGGACTCCCCCTGTCCCGCTCTCCTCCAGGAATGTTGCAAGCTCTGTCTAGCAGATCTGGAATGAAATATCTCAACAACAGGTGCTTTCGATTTCTTTCTTTTGACCCCCAAGTGCTCAGTAGAAGCCGTCAAAATCTGCAGCCATTTGAAAACTAGGAATAAAAATTTAAAAATCAACATCAGGGAGTATCTTTCATGCCGTTAATGAGTCTATTTTGCAAAATTACAAAGAATGCACCTTTTGCATTTTTTAAAAATCTAAACCAAAGCAAGTTTTCTTGGATTTGCTGAAAAACCTTTTAAGCACTTCCTTCTCAAATTCCTCCTTTGCCCCCCGCCCCATGCACACTCAGTGAGGATAGCCGATTGAGGTCTTTACTCTCCGCAAGGTACTGCTCTGCGGTACAAGCAGTGCATGGCTGAGCAAGTATTCTGATTATTTCTGCTGAGCCGGTGGGAAATTGCAGTCAAACATAGCTATACACAAGCACTAGTTAGTGCACGAAGGGGTTAAGACCACAGACGTAGAGTCCTAGACTCAGCTTCCTCTCCAATGAGGGAGGAAGTGAAGCCTTCTCTTCCTGTTCCCCCTCTCTCACCGAACTGACCAAGGCACACGTGCCTAAGCGAGCTCCAAGCTTTGAGCATCCGTTTGAAGCTCTCCTATATTTTCTACCCAAGAGTATTCTGCCTGTGTTCTCCTTGCTGCTGCTTGGATGAATGCACAAATCTGACGTTTTGTAAGTAAAGTGCTTTAAACTTACTTAACCGTTGTGGTCTTTTCATTGCAAGAGAAAGAGGGGAGCTCTGTTTGCATATATCCAAACAAGATATGAAAAGGGCTTAGTATTCCCATGCTATACAGCTTTTGTGAGTTTAAACGCTGCTCCTGCTGGTGAGTAAATTAAGTAAATTATGAATCCAGGCACCCAACCAATCCTTTTGTCATTTCAGTGGCCATTTCAGCCTCCTGTGGGAAGGAGTTCCGCAGTCTAATTATGCACTGCAAGGTTTATTATTGAGCTGTGAACAGTGGGGACAAGGAGGCTTTCCCACCCCTCCATCATGAGGGCCACATTCCCTTGAGGAAATCTTTCTGGGGGCCACTCACTCAGCAACTCACTGCCTGGAATTATTTCTCTTATAAGAATTTTAAGGTCTTAGATATGTAATAAATGTTCATAAATGTACCAAGCAAACACGTACATAAATATATAAACCACATGTCTGAAACCCCACAGAAAAAAAGTCCTGAACAAATTGACCTCAAATATTTCTCTGCAAGGTCAAAGTGGGAAACCTCCCTATTGTCTCTTTCGTCACAAATCCTGTCTTAAGGGCACATTTAAGATATGAATAGGGTGTGAGCCTGTGACACGGCTCAGGAACTAGGTATTTATCATTACAAAAGACTGGCCAGGCTCCCCAGGCAATCCAATCAAGTAAGCATTAACAGGTAACCTGCCAGACAACGCACTCAGATTTCTGCTGTAGACAGCCCTTTCTGTGATGTAGGTATGATGTTTCTGGGGGTGGTCTTGAACTCCAGGGCAGGCAATTTAAAATGTCTAAATAAGGGCGGACACAATATTCTCTGGCTGGCCTCTGTTATTTTTCTCCAACCGAAGGAGAACCTGCAAAGAACTCTACAAGGGTTCTTGTGTCCCCCATAAGGGAATAAGGGCAGGTTTCCGTTTATTACATTTCCAAAGGAGATCCCTGGGGGAGCGCAAACCTGTGGCACTCTGTATGTGAGGTGGGGGCTGTACCATTCGAGAGCTATGGTACAGGCCTCTCTGCTCTGGTTTGGCTGATCTACACGCTCTAATCCTGACTCGGCACTCTTGAGGCTGCAGAAGTTTGAGGTCAGTCTCATCCAGCAATTTGCTGCAAGGATCTCAACAACTGGGGGGGGGGGGTGTCTTCCGCCTCCCCACCCCTCCTGAAATTGGGCAAAGGTTTCTCGGACTTGCTCTCCGCTTTGGGGGTGCCCCAAACTGCAGAGCGTTTGGCAGGCGTGAATTCTCAGAGCATGAAATTGTGCGTAAAATGGGCACCGGGAGCTTGGTTAATCATTGACGCAACCGAAACCAGAGGGTATCGCAAGCAAATAGCGCAGAGCGAGAGTCTCTTTCAGTCACACACAGATTTCCCTCCCTGTTGAACTTCGCAGGCCGAAATCCCACCAGGTGACGCCTTTGCAAAACAATTTAACAAGAGGCAGTGACAATTTAACAAGAGGCCAGCGACTTGCATGGTTTTTAAAAAGGATTGGCTTTCATAGAGGGAGTCTTGGGGGTTAAACATGGGACCTTATGCACGATCGACTGTGGAGCTGTAACCCTACGTTAAAACAACATAAGTTTCTAGTCCTCATGGGAAATTTAATAGGATCAGTTGCCAATTCAGCCACTGGATTTATCTGGCTCAGCCTTGCTGATAAAAGCCGTCGAATGAGCTTTCCAGAGGTCACACGCCTCTGGTGGGCGGGGAGAGAAGGGGAAATGGGCGGAGCAATGAAGCTGGGCTGGGGAGGGGTGTGGTCTGAGGAGAGAGGGTGTGGCCTGAGGATAGGGGGTGTGGCTGGAGGGGGTTTCTGAGGGCCAGATGGAGAGATCAGGAGGGCCACATTTTAAAGAGCAAAAGAGCCGCCCTCCTAAGAATGCTGCTATGGCGGAATGGGTCAGTGGGCCTTGCTGCTGACCAGAAGGTTGGTGGTTTGAGCCCCCCCAGGAATGGCTGTGGGTAGGATTCCTGCCTTGCAGAGGGTTGGACTAGATGACCCTTGTGGGTCCCTTCCAAATATTATTGTAACTCGCTCTACGTGGGGCTGCCTTTGAAGCTGACCCAGAAACTCCAGCAGGTGCAGAATGCCGCGGCGAGACTCCTTATGGGGTCCTCGCTGCGAGATCACATTCACCCGGTGCTATACCAGCTGCACTGGCTCCCGGTGGGGTAAAGGATCAGGTTTAAGGTGCTGGTTTTAACCTTCAAAGCCCTATAGGACCCTCGTACCTATGGGACCGCCTCTCCTTGTATGTCCCACAGAGGAACTTACGGTCTTCAAACAAAAACATCTTGAAGGTCCCAGGCCACAGAGAAGTTAGGCTGGCCTCAACCAGAGCCAGGGCCTTTTTGGTTGTGGCCCCGATCTGGTGGAACGCTCTGTCAAAAGAGACTAGGGCCCTGCAGGACTTGACATCTTTCCGCAGGGCCTGCAAGATGGAGCTGTTCCACCAGGCCTTTGGCCAGGGCACAGCCTGACTCCCTCCTTTGGCAATCCTCACAGAACTTCTAGCCCAATGGTTGCCATTAATTTTATTGGAATTAATTTTATAATGAAATGATTTTAGAATGTTTTATTGTTTTAGTGTTGTTAGCCGCTCTGAGCCCGGCTTCGGCTGGGGAGGGCGGGATATAAATAAAATTTATTATTATTATTATACAGTTCTATGGTTCCTCTCCAGCTTTTCTCCACTTGAATTCTCTACTGTCCTTTGGAAGAGGAAGGGGAGAGAGAGAGAGAGAGAGAGAGAGAGAGAGAGAGAGAGGAGGGGAATGTTTGGATCGTGGGGTCGTGGAAGAGCTCCTCCGCCCCAAACACAGCCCCACACTCACCCATTCCTCCACGTTGGGTCCTTCCTGGAACGCCAAGGGCTTGTCCCAGTAGACGTTGGGCTTTCCGTACTGCCAGATCTTCTGACGCGTCTTGTGGGCGAAGAAGCAGATGACACACAGGAGGATCACGAGGAGGAAGCCACAGACGATGGCGATCGCCTGGTGTGTTTTTTTTGTGGGGTGGGGGAAAAAAGAGTGTATAGCATCAAACACCAAGGTTCTCAGGCCTGGGAGATATAAGAGCACATTGGTCTCTGAGCATGTGCAGAGCGCATTTCACACACCCCCCATATTTGGGAGGCACACAGATGTGACTATTCTTTTACTTTTCCCTCCCTCTCTTTCTTTTTTCCTTTCCTTCTCCTCCTGCGATGAGGCTACATTTCAATATTTTAATGTTGTATTTTAATTTTGTTTTTAAGTTGTAATCATTCAACTTGTTTTTATTATTGCTTGTAAGCCGCTCTGAGCCCGGCCTTGGCTGGGGAGGGCGGGGTATAAATAAAAATTATTATTATTATTATTATTATTACTTGCTAAAATGTACTCCCCACTTGATTGTGAAAAAACAAAGCAAATCTCAAAGCAGCACACAAGAAAGATGCAATTAAAACATCAATAATAATAATAATAATAATAATAATAATAATAATAACCTAAGACTTTCAGGAAGTTGAGATGATAATAAACTAAAAACAGATTAGAATTCACATCAGCTTCTCTGAATATATGGGCAGGCTTTTCTAAGCAAGAATGTTTTCAGGCGCTGAAAGGAGCACAGCGAAGATGCTTGCCTGAAATCAATCGGCAGGGAGTTTCAAAGTTTGGCTGCTGCCGTTCTCAGTGGCTGAGTGCTTACAGTTGTGAAATAGGTATATTATATGGCACCAATAATAGGATTGGTTCCGCAGAATGAAGTGGCCAAGGGGGCAAATATGGGGCAAGGTGACCTTGCAGGTAAACAAAATGAGGTCATGACTCACAGGAATGTGAGAAGCTCTGACTGGACCAGAGTGTAGCTGGTACCCTCTGCTATTGGGAGGATGGAAAAGGATGGCAAAGGAGCCCAATAATAGGCGGAGCCAGAGTCAATGAAAGGCGGAGCCAGAGCCTGTGAAGGGCGGAGCTAAATGACACTCATTTTCTCCCACTCCCAAGTCCTCCCAGGCTGAAGACGAGGGAGCTGATTGGCTGAGAGCAGACCCATGGGACACAGCCCCATTCGCCCTAATGGTTCAGCTCCATCTGGACTGTGCAAAACTACTGGGCGACTCACGGGTCCCCCATGGCCATTCGCCCTGCATTGGGCGCGGATCGCACCCAGGCGCTCTTATCTTATCTGCTGGGCAGTTTCTGGGTGTGCCCAGTTTAATGGACCGATTGTTTTCCTGCCCAGCCCTGAAACCGACCTCTCCGATTTGTCCTTTTGCTTTGAAACAAAATAGGTTCCTGGTGTTTGCTTTTAAACCAGCCTGGCTCCCACAGGTATGAAGTTTACGGCATGTAATGCCTTAAGAGAGAATATTATGAAAATGATATACAGGTGGTACATGACACCAGTCAAGCTTGCAAAAATCTATCATTTGCCCGATAATAAATGTTGGAAATGTAAAGAAACTGAAGGTTCATTTTTTCACCTTTGGTGGACGTGCCCAAGGATTAAGGCTTTCTGGGAGATGATTTATAATGAAATGAAAAGGGTATTTAAATATACCTTTCTGAAGAAACCAGAGGCCTTTCTCCTGGGCATGGTCGGCCAAACGGTGCCAAAGAAGGACAGAACTTTCTTTATGTACGCCACAACAGCAGCAAGAATACTTATTGCAAAGCATTGGAAGACACAAGATCTACCCACTCTGGAAGAATGGCAGATGAAGGTGATGGACTACATGGAATTGGCGGAAATGACTGGCAGAATCCGAGACCAGGGAGAAGAGTCGGTGGAAGAAGATTGGAAGAAATTTAAAGACTATTTACAGAAATATTGCAAAATTAATGAATGTTAGAATGATGTCAGAATGAACTTAAGTGGTTTAAGCAGCAATGTTATAAAGGTGTATGTAAAAATGGACTGTTAACAGGTGAGAATCCAAAGTTATAAAATATTAAGTTAAAGGATTAAGATAAAAACAAAGAGGGAAAGAAATTGCTGAATTAACTAACTGAATTGGAATACAAAAAAGGGAGGTTTGAGGAGGTCCGGGAAGCAAGGAAATGAATGTAAGGCATGGAAAGACTGATATTTTTTTTTAAGTGTTTTTTATCTTTTTTCTGTATTTTGTATTTTCCTTTTATTTTTATTTTTGTATTTTTTCCCCTTTCTTTTTATTTATGTAATTCTTTTCTTTGAAATCTTAATAAATATCATTAAAAAAATAAAATAAACCAGCCTGGCTCTTTTTCCTGGGGCCAGCACCTCTGAGCAATACAGAAAAGCCACAGAGCAGAGGCAGCTGGGGCAGAAGGTATCAAGGCCTCCCCACATACCCAACTCCCCCCCATCCTTCCTCCCTGGGAATCTTCCTCCAGCCAGAAAAATGGGCTTCTGGAATCCTACAGGTGCCATCCAAGCACTCATGAGGTCTAGCAACTTGCCTGCATCAAGACAAGCACCAAAAGGCTGGGGAGAATGAATGGAGGGGTAACCAGCAGCCCCAGGGATGATGTTGGACTCCAACTCCCAGAAGCCCCAGCCAGCTGTCCCCAGGGGTCAGGCATGATGGAAGAAGTCCAGGCATATCTGGAGGGCATCAGGGTCAGGGAAGTTTGCTTAGAGCAGGGGTGGAGGCTCTCTGGACTACAAGTCCCAGAAACCCCTGGGTCCAGCATGGCTGGTAATCCTGGACGGGGTAATCCTCCATGGGCCAAATTGGATCCCCTCTCTGTCTGTTGCTCACACCAGCTCATTCTGCTGGGAATTATAATTACAGTGGTACCTCAGGTTAAGTACTTACCGTATTTTTCGCTCTATAACACGCACCAGACCATAACACGCACGTCGTTTTTAGAGGAGGAAAACAAGAAAAAAAATATTCTAAACGAAACAGTGGATGTATGATTTTTGTGGTTCATGCTGTGGCCACAGACATGTGATCTGACAGTGAGTTTGGAGTAGCCCAATGCAAAAATCCTGAGGATCCATGTGGATCCGTGCTTTGTAACCACGTTTTTGCACCACTGCGACCCCAGGCAACAGTGGGTGCGTGATTTTTTTGGTGCAAGATGTAGCCATGGACATGCTATGTGATCTGATGGTGAATTTGGGGTGACCCAGTGCAAAAATCCTGAGGATCCATGTGGATCCGTGCTTTGTAACCATGTTTTAAGTGGGGAGGGAAGGAAAAGCACTCAAGGGACAAGGAGCACGCCTGGGGTGTGTGGAGAAGGATGCTGCTAATAATGCTATTTAGCGAGCTGAGTGGGGAGGAGAGAGGGACAGAGAGCCTGCTTGCTTTAAAGGAACCAACCGGACAGAAGCCGCTTACACTCATGTAAGCGGCTCCTCTCCTCTCCCGCTTTGCTCCTTTAAAGAAGCAGGCTCTCTGTCCCTCTCTCCTCCCCACTCAGCGGCTCTTCTCCCGCTTTGCTGTTTCAAAGCGAGCCACGGAGGAGGGAAGGAAGGGGAACCATGGATCCTCTGCTCACGACTGCAGCAGATCCCCCCGCCATCCGTAGGCATTTGCTCCATAACACGCACAGACATTTCCCCTTACTTTCTAGGAGGAAAAAAGTGAGTGTTATGGTGCAAAAAATACAGTAATTCGTTCCGGAGGTCTGTTCTTAACCTGAAACTGTTCTTAACCTGAAGCACCACTTTAGCTAATGGGGCCTCCTTCTGCCGAGCAACGGGAGCTCACCCCGTCGTGGGGATTCAAACCGCCGACCTTCTAATCGGCAAGTCCTAGGCTCTGTGGTTTAACCCACAACGCCACCCGCATCCCCAAAGGGTGAGTCCCCAAAGGGCAGTCACCGTTTCTAAACTACTCTTTATTTACACTATACAGTGGTACCTCGGGTTAAGAACTTAATTCGTTCCGGAGGTCTGTTCTTAACCTGAAACTGTTCTTAACCTGAAGAACCACTTTAGCTAATGGGGCCTCCTGCTGCCGTCGGGCCGCAGGAGCACGATTTCTGTTCTCATCCTGAAGCAAAGTTCTTAACTAGAAGCACTATTTCTGGGTTAGCGGAGTCTGTAACCTGAAGCGACTGTAACCTGAAGCATATGTAACCCGAGGTACCACTGTACTATTATTAGCTCATTTTATTGGTTGCTGCTTCTGCTTCTTTCTTTGCTGTGGTGACTCACAGAACGACTTACAAAAAACAACAACATACACACCTTAAAAGCGGGGAACCCCCAGGGAAAGAAGGCTCAGAGCCCGGGGATTTGTGGTGGGACGATGACAAGTGGTCAGAGGGAGAACAGGGAGAAGCCACAGGGGTAGGAGGTGTCAGAAGCTGAAAGGGTAACAGGGTTTCGTGAGCAGGGAGAGTTGGTAGCAGAAAGAAGTCCAGAATTAGAGTCAGGATGGAGAGGCCAGAGGCCAGAGATGAGACAAGCTTTCAAAGAAGTCAGGGGTCTCCCCCTCCTGCTGCAACCAGCTCCCCTCCCCTCTGCTCTCCCAGAACCAGAAGAGGCATGAAAAGAGCGGGGGAGAGATAAGCAAGGTGAAGATGTCTCAGATTGCTTTGGAAAGACCCAGGAGAGGAGGAGGAGAAGACTTAGACAGTGGTGGGAAGGCGGGGACCTTCAGTTCTTGCAGCTGACCTACTGGGAAGAGATGCTGTGATCACTAGGCCTGCGCCATTTTGGTTTCTTTGAATGAAAGAGTTCATTTCACTGAGAGTGGTGTTTTTTTAATTGCTGGCCTGACTCTGGCTGCTGATGGGATGGCGCCAGGCAAGCCACTCCGGGGAGTGTCCCACAAATGGGGAACCTCCACAGGAAAGGCCCTGTTTCCACGTTGTTGCCCTTAGGACCTCCCTTACCTCCTGAGGGTCCACCATGCAGTAGTGGTAGAGGTATTGGTTGGCGTAGACCCCCGTGGTGTAGACCGAGTTGCACATGGCCAGCATGGGGTTGACGTAGTAGTTGCTGGACATCTGAGCCCGCGGGTTGACCCCCACGACGTAGACGATGGAGGCGATCAGCATGATGAACGCCATGATGGCGCACAACACCAGCACCACCAGGTAGAACCTCCGGGAGCGAGAGCCGCTGGACTTGGTGAGGCTGGTGATGGCGAGAGCCAGCAGGGCGATGAAGCAGAGGATCGACATGGCGAGCATGAAGCCGTTGGCCGAGCGCGGGTTGGCCATGCCTCCGTAGTACCCCATGCCCATCCCGCCGTAGGTGCTCCCACCGTAGACTCCCATGCCTCCGCCGTAGTAGCTGCCCATCGAGCCCCCGTAGCCATAGCCATAGCCGTACTCCCAGGACAGGGTGGAGGCCACGCAGGCAAAGATGGCGACGCAGAGGAGGACCCCCACGCCCTCCAGGATCCTCACGATCCCGGGGGGAGAGTTCCACTTGTAGAAGTGCTGTGGGACGTCTTCGATGTAGTAGGAGCCCGGCGGAGGGGAGTGGATGTCGTAGCCGTAGTCCTCGCCGGGGGGCCCATAACCGGTGGGCGGGCTGTTGTAGGGCTTCTTGGTGCTATACATGCTTAGGGGGGGGGCTGGCAGCCAGAGCGTCACAAACCCCTGGGAAGGACCTTCGAGGAGGAGGAGACCTGGAGAGGAACGCAAAGGGATATGCTGAGCATCTCTGAGAGCTTTTCATTTGGGCAAGTGAAGGCGGTTACCAAGGCATACGGTCATACCTCAGGTTACAGACGCTTCAGGTTGCGTTTTTTCGGGTTACAGACCGCCAAAACCCGGAAGTACCGGAACAGGTTACTTCCGGGTTTCGGCAGTTGCGCATGCGCAGAAGTGCCGAATTGCAACCTGCGCATGTGCAGCTGCGGGTTGCGAATGCTGTGGGTTGCGAATGTGCATCCCGCACGGATCACGTCTGCAACCCGAGTGTCCACTGTATTTGAATACACAGCCTAATAATAATAATAATAATAATAATAATGGCAATCGATTACAAAAGTGTATTTGAATACACAGCCTAATATTAACAATAGATTTTTCCCCAGCAGGAACTCGCTGGAACTCAGGTGGGTGCCATTGCCATTATAAGAGAACAAGGGAGGCATTCATGGTGAGTTCCAGCACCTCTAGAAAATAGTAGTAGTAGTAGTAGTAGTAATAATAATTTATTATTTGTACCCTGCCCATCTGGCTGGGTTTCCCCAGCCACTCTGGGCGGCTTCCATAGAAACCAAAAAACACTAAAATATCATACATTAAAAACTAGTAGTAATAATATACCACCCATCTGGCTGGGTTGCCTTAACCACTCTAGGAGGCTCCCATGAAATATATATATTTTAAAAGGTGGTGGATTGATTATTGATTATTTGTTCCCTGGTGCAGTGGGGTCAGCAAGGTCGGTGGTTCGAGCCCACCCAAGGCAGGATTCCTGCACTGAAGCGGGTTGAGCGAAATGATCCTCTGGATCCCTCACAACTCTACAATCCCATGTTTCAATTAAGAAAAAAATCGTGAACCGATGTGGAAACGTGGGTAGCTGAACTTTCATGAGGGAGAAACGCCCTTATGGAAATTCATCCGCGTTTTAGCATATGCATCTAGATTCAGATAGGTAGCTGTGTTGGTCTGACACAGTCGAAATATAAAAAAATAAAAAATTGTCCAGTAGCACCTTAGAGACCAACTAAGTTTGTTCTGGGTATAAGCTTCTGTGTGCATTCATTGGAAGAATTGTGCATGCAAACGAAAGCTTACACCAGAACAAACTTAGTTGGTCTATAAGGTGCTACTGGACAATTTTTTATTTTAGCACATGCAATTTTGCATGGCAAACACATTTTCTTTTTTGCAAGGCAGTTCCCTGCTACTCTAATTCATCTTTCAGTTTCACTGATGTATCATCTCTCTCTGTGTGTGTACATACATATACATACAATGCATTTTTGTACACCTCGCTTTGCTGCAAATTTGGAGAGGGGCAACTTCTCAACGACGGTGGAGTTGCTGTTCGTGTATTGTTTCAAAAACAAGGTGAGTTGGCGGCCCTTCGAATGCGAACTGAATCGAGTCCCTCCTCCCACCCCCAAATCGCTGCTTGGAGATGCCAGAGATTGGACTCGGGACCCTTTCCTCCCCTGAGACCCTTCAGACACTGACCATTGCCTCCCCCCACCCCCACAACAGACTAAGACCTGGGAAACCAGGGTTCAAATCCTCCCACTTGGCCATCAAGCTCACTGGGTCAGAGCTGGAGCGCCTCTCACAGCCTAACCTACCTCACAGGGTTGTTGTGGAGATGAAACGAGGAGAGGGAGAAATCTACGTCCAGCCCAACTTCATGGAGAGAGAGAAAAAGGTGGGAATACAGAAGCCGCAAAGAATTGAACGGAAATCCTGACCGCTGAGTCTGATGGTTGCAAGAAGGGGGTCGATTTCCCCCCTGCGGCAGCCCAGACCTCCCCAGCCTCACAAAAGAGTTGTTTGCAGTCTCTCTTACCCTTGCCAGCCGTCCCGCCGGCGACCTCAGCCCCAGAGTGCCAGTTGGGTCACCCCCTCGTTGTCCCTTTCCTTCCTCTCTCTCCTGCACCTGGATCTCAAGGCCGTTCCTTGCGAAGACAAAGCAGGACACCGGAGCCCGGCTCTCGCCTTTCGCCTGCTAAATAAATGATCCACTTGCTCTTGTTTGCGTCCCCTGCTGTCGTCCGCCCAGCGCATGCCAGGACGGGAGCCGTCTCTGAATGGGACGAGGCTTCCTCCCTAGGGACTAGCGGCCAGCGACACCTCCCAGCATTCAGAAGTTCCTTCCTTCCTTCCTTCCTCTCTCTCTCTCTCTTCCAACCCTTCACCAATGGAAGAAGGCACAATGGTGGCCTTCCACCGGCTGAATCCTCGAATTCGGCCCCCAGACAATTCGTCTTCCAGAGCCTGGTTTTCGTCAAGTGAGGCTGTGCAATTAAAGGCCATTCACAAAATTGTAGCCATCAACCTCGGTCACCTTGAGCCAATGGCAACCTCTCCGTCTCACCTATCTTGCAGGGTTGTTGCAAAGGAAAAAATAATAACGTACGAGGGAAGGGATTATGTGCAACACCTCCCGCAGATAAACAGAATTGGATTAAAAATTTAGCGTTAAGCTGGCATGAGTCCCCGTCAAGGAAAAAAGGGGAGATATAATAATAATAATAATAATAATAATAATAATAATAATAATAACAATAATGGCAGAAATTGTGAGAATGATCAGGAACATACCAGAGAAAGAGAGCAGAGACCCTGATGGTGTGTGTGTGTGTGTGTCACTTTGCTTGCCCAAAATGTTAGAGGGTATGTGAATTTGTCTACTCCTCTTTTAATGCCGCCCAGGCCATCACTGCCTCCACAATTTAACATGTTCTGCATGCACTTTCTTTCAACTGCCTTGATTCTTCCAACATTGGATGCCCACCAGAACTATTCCCTATTCACTTTCTCCAGGCCACACACAATTTTGCATATTTCTATCATGTTCCTGGGGACACGGGTGGCGCTGTGGTCTAAACCACAGAGCCTAGGGCTTGCCGATCAGGTCGGCGGTTCGAATCCCCGCGACGGGGTGAGCTCCCGTTGCTCGCTCCCTGCTCCTGCCCACCTAGCAGTTCGAAAGCAAGTCAAAGTGCAAGTAGATACATAGGGATACATAGATACATAGATACAAAAGGGAGGTGTGAGGAGGTCATTGAAATAAGTGAATGAAAGATAAGATATTGAAATTGTTTGATGTGTTTTAAACTGTTTTTGTTTTGTTAGTTTAATGTGTTAGTGTTATGTAGTGTTTTTGTATTGTATTGTATTGTATTGTATTGTATTGTATTGTATTGTTCATTTTTTTTGGTAGTGTTTAAATTGTTGGAAAAGTAATAAATATTATTTAAAAAAAAAAGAAAAAAAAAAGAAGTGGCTTAGTCATGCTGGCCACATGACCCGGAAGCTGAACGCCGGCTCCCTCGGCCAGTAAAGCAAGATGAGTGCCGCAACCCCAGAGTCGGCCATGACTGGACCTAATGGTCAGGGGTCCCTTTACCTTTATCATGTTCCCACTCACCTTTTGTCTAAAACTAAAACACTGCCAACTATCTTCATAGGGGAGTCTCTCCATTGCTGCCTAAGAACAAGCCTCACTGAATTAAATATGATTTACTCCTGAGTAGGCATGGTTAGGGCTAAGGATGGCTCTGTCGCTTTCAGCTCTCCCAGTTCCAAAGGCCACATTTCCCTCGCAGCCTTGAGGCTTCTAATTTACTGGCGTTCAGAATTTTTTCAGTTTGAGAGAGAGAGAGAGAGCGCAGAACATTTCCTCCACGAATGCAAACTGGCGATAAGGAATGTTTCTTTTCAGACCTTGCAAGCTGGGCTCTCCCCGGCCGCCTGGCTGAGACCCGAGGTTCCAAAAGGCAACAATCATTACGCAGAGAAGGGAGTGATTTGCCAAACAATGGGTGCATTTCTGGAAACTTGAGATACGCTCCCTGAGCTAGTTTGAAAGCTGCATTCCTTGCAGTTGCAAGGAATTTTTCTTGTGTATGTGCATGCATGGGTTTTTTAATTTAATTGTTTTTAAAAGATGCCTCCTGTTCTGCTTTGCGGCCCTTGGATTTCTGAGCCGCATGAGAGCTTTGTGGTTCAGCATCAAGTTTGGCAAAAGGAAATGAGAAAAGGATAATCAAAACTCCCCAGTTTAAAAAGTCGCTCAGAGCGAAGAAGGGGCAAAATCGGGTTTTGGGTGGCTGCAACTCAGAGCGTGGCTGCTCTGTTTAGGGATTGTATAAAGCACTTTCCCTGATTACTTTCAAGCTGGAGTCTCTCCCACTGATCTAGGGTCCTTCGCCCTAAAGAAAAATCAAGATTCTAGTCCTCATTGAGTTTAAACAGGGCTTTTTGCCCTCCTACACTGACTGGCAGCAGCTTTCCAGCATTTCAGACTCAGATTGTGATATATTTGTATAAGTCATTGTGAAAACTCAACAGCATTTTTTAAAGCACGAATTGTTCCCAATACAGTGGTACCTCGGGTTAAGTACTTAATTCGTTTCGGAGGTCTGTTCTTGACCTGAAACTGTTCTTAACCTGAAGCACCACTTTAGCTAATGGGGCCTCCTGCTGCTGCCGCGCCGCCGGAGCACGATTTCTGTTCTCATCCTGAAGCAAAGTTCTTAACCCGAGGTACTATTTCTGGGTTAGCAGAGTCTGTAACCTGAAGCGTATGTAACCCAACGTACCACTGTATACACATTTTGGATGCAATTTCTGCCCCATGGACACATTTGTGCAAAGCAATTCCCTTAATAGAATGAGTTCTAATGCTTTTTTTAAAAAATAAAAATAAAAAATTCTTTGGTGCATTTTGCCCTCATATACACATTTTTTATATGCATTACTCAGCTGGAGAAGGAAAACTCTGGTCCTCAACCTCTGCTGCAAAGGATTAAAACCCCACAAATCCAGAGTGGAGTCCCTAAAGTGTTTAGATGGTGCCTTAACTGCCTCTTTCTAGGAAATCCTGCAGCCAAACAGGTGCCAGGCGTCTTGCTCGGCTTTCCTTTGGACCCCATCAGTGAAGCTGAGAGGGGGGTCTTTTCACCTGGGGCAGCCCAGGACCTCCAGACACACAGCCCAGACTTGCACCCCAGGGACATCACTTGAGTGGTTTGAATTCACCCCCGGAGGCGCACTCCATTGTCTCTCAGATGCCAACAACAACTGAGCCGGAGAACTGCATTGCAAAATTCGGAGGTGTGAATTCTTTTGCAAGGCAATTAACCCATATTACCGTAATTGCCTTCGCACTCGGACAAAATTTTTATTCATGTATAACATTCTCTTCATTACTTTCAGTGGGTCACAGGAACATGGGCCTTGGGCCCATTGACCTTAGTATTCCCTGCACTGACTGGCAGCAGCTCTCGAGGGTTTCAGACAGAAACTCTCCTCCAGCCCTATCTGGGGATTTGAACTCGGGACCATGCGAAACAGGTGTTCTGCTTACTTCCCTCGGATGCTCCCCAAATTGTAGCAAGATGAGAGGAGGAGGAAACACATTGCTCTGACCACTAGGGATGGGTGAGGAATCTCAGTTTGCATTTAAAGAGGAACTTACTGAATTTTCGCTTTTTAAAAAAATGCCTGAACCGAATCACAGCTGCCCTTCAAAATTAAAAACCAAGTTTTGCAATGCCATTGTCTATGGGTGCTCTACCACTAAAAAATAAAGCAAGGTCCTAGTCCTCATTGTTCTAAACAAAGGGCTGGTTTGAACAGGAACCCAGGAGGTTTCCTTCTACAGAGACAGACCCTCGGTCCATCTAACCCAGCCTTGTCCACACTGAGTAAGCCACACCCTTATTCGAAAGCGTCTACTCTGAGTAGGGCTTAATGGCACGCGCCCCTCTGTGCACCAGGACCCGCAACGTTTTCGCTGCAAAAAGCAAACCCTCCCTTTCTGGATCATTTCATCAAGGGTGAGGAGGGCAGGAGGGGCACCCACAACACAAGTTATTTCTCTCTCTCTTACCTTGATTTTCGTCCCTCCTGGATCCCTGGACGGCTCCTATTCCCTTGCCTCCGGGGAGCTCATGATTGCAAAGGTTACCTTAATCACAACAACTTCCTGTTACCTTTGGAGCAGTGAGTCATGTGACCCTCTCCCCCCCCAACAAAAGGTGTTGGCTGCAGAGGTGCCCCCACCCTGCCCGCTCCCTGAAGCACACACCTTTCTATTTATTTTCTGCCCCTTCCTTCCCTCCTCCGAAAAGGAACAGATTAATCATTGCCAGCTCTGTGCAGTTGTTAAATCTGTTCCCTTGTGTGTACAACAACACCCCCCATCTCCCTCCCCAGAAACACTCCTTGCCTGCTTCCTCAAGCTCCGAGCCAACTTTTCAGACTCCGAGTCGTACTTGGTACAAGACTGGACGCAGTAAGGCCTGCTGCCAAAGGGATTTAAATCTCCACTCCCTCTCCAGACTGTTTTCCAGGGCTCGGTGCCAATTCCAGACCTCACTGGGTTCTGCTTCAACCGCTTAAGGTGACCCTGGCGACCCGATTCCACCTTTCTGTCTCTGCAAATCGGTCATGGCAAAAAATGTGAGCCGAAGGTCTGCCAAACCACTGCCCAGTTATCGTTATTCTTCTTCCTTTTTCCCCAGAAAGGTGTTATCGAATAATGTGACTGGATTCCAGGCTTCTTAATCCCCTGAATGCTTGTTCCTTGCAAGTCTTCAGCACCACGACAAGCCGGTGGGGTCCCGGAAACCTGCGTCAATGGGAGCAATTTGTACGCTTAACATTTAAGTGCCAAAAAATTGCAGCCTAGGATTCGGGAGACTCCCCAGGTGCAAGAAGCGCTCTCGGGATTGGATCAGATTTGTTTTCTTTCATGGCACATAGCTTGTTTGTTTTTTGCTTTTTGCTTTAAACAGTTTACCAAAAGGGATAAAACAAGGAAACTATCACAATAATTTAAAATGAACAAGAATGATTTCATGGCGTTTGAAAAGTTTAAATGACCCTTTGCTTTGATCAGCGGGAAACGTGCACTTTTACTGTTGATACACACAACTGCATAAGTAAGAACTCGATAGTTTAGTTTAGCAGCAATGTAGAGCATGAGATCTTGGGGTCATGGGTTCGAGCCCCATGGTGGATGAAAGATTCCTGCCTTGCGGGGGCTGGACTAAATGACCCTTAGACCACCCTTCCAACTCTACAATTCTATAATTCTATAACATCAAGCAAGCACCATCCCTATATTACTTTTGGCACCTGCTGAAGATGTTTTTGTATAGACAAGCCTTCCCAGATGTTTAGAAAGTTTGTCAGAGTTTTAATTTGTTATCTTGTTGTGATTATAATTAAGATTTTTTTGGGGGGGTTGGTATTTTTTTGTAAGCCACTTTGAGGTTTCCCCAACCCCCAAGCAAGTGGTATATAATGCAGGAATACGTAAAACAATATGTTGTTTGTTGTTTAGTCGTTTAGTCGCGTCCGACTCTTCGTGACCCCCTGGACCACCAGAGCATGCCAGGCATTCCTGTCTTCCACTGCCTCCCGCAGTTTGCTCAAACTCATGCTGGTAGCTTCGAGAACACTGTCCCACCATCTCGTCCTCTGTCGTCCCCTTCTCCTTGTGCCCTCCATCTTTCCCAACATCAGGGTCTTTTCCAGGGAGTCTTCTCTTCTCATGAGGTGGCCAAAGTCTTGGAGCCTCAGCTTCAACTAAACAACAAAAGGCAAGCCAAGGCCCAGGGGCCGGATGTGGCCCAATCACCTTCTCAATCTGGCCCACGGACGGTCCAGGAATTTTACATGAGTAGAATGTGTCCTTTTATTTAAAATGCATCTCTGGGTTATTTGTGGGGCATAGTAATTCGTTCAGTTTCCCCAAAAAATATATTCTGGCCCCACCCACATGGTCTGGGGGACGGGGGACCGGCCCCCTGCTGAAAAAGTTTGCTGACCCCTGCATTAAAGCATAATGAAATAATAATAATAAGAAGAATAATAATAATACGTTCAGAGGTCTGAAACTGCAGCGGATTTCCCCCTTCCAATAACGGCGGCTTTACAGCCAACATGGGAACAGGGCTCCACCGACTGAGGCCCCTTGCTCAGGAAGGAGGCCCCCAGGGCCTTTGCCAAGATCATTCCCGCCCCGTAAGCTCTGTGACTTCAAGGCTGGAATGTACCTTCTCTGCGGGGCACCAGCTTTGAAGACGGAGAGAGAAATTTGGCAGGGGAGGCATTGACCCTGCCAGGGCTCTCTGCCAAGCAAGATGGCGGCATTCTGTTTCCCAAAGGCTGAAAGGTAGCTTTTCGCTTTTAGCCCTCCCCACGATTCCTGAGACAGCCTCTCACCTGAGCGTAACAAATGCCAGCCAAACTTTCCCTTCAAAATGAAGCCCCCACAAATAAAGATTCTAGTCCTCTTGGTTCTGAATCACATACTGCGCCATGATTTAAGAAGAATCTTGGCAAGCTGGAAGGTGTGCAGAGGATTCAAGCAAGACGATCGTGCGTGATCATCACCATGCATGATGAGGAAGGGTTGAAGGAGCTGGGGATGTTCAGCTTGGAAAAGGGGAGATTGAGAGGAGATATGAAAGCCATTTTCAGATATCTCAAGGGCTGCCATGTGGAAGAGGGAGCCACCTTTTTCTCCTGCTCCAGAGGGTAGGACTCGAACCCGTGGCTTCAATTTACAAGAATGGAGATTCCCACTAAACATCAGGAAGAACCTTTTGACAGTAAGAGCTGTTTGACAATGGACCCGACTCCCTCAGGAATGGACTCTCTTGTGGAGTCTCCAGTAGCAGTTTAGTCATGCTAGTCCCATGGACTGCAAGAAGATCAAACCTTTCCATTCCGAAGGAAATCAGCCCTGAGTGCTCACTGGAAGGACAGATCCTGAAGCTGAGGCTCCAATACTTTGGCCACCTCCTGAGAAGAGAAGACTCCCTGGAAAAGACCCTGATGCTGGGAAAGATGGAGGGCACAAGGAGAAGGGGACGGCAGAGGACGAGATGGTGGGACAGTGTTCTCGAAGCTACCAGCATGAGTTTGACCAAACTGTGGGAGGCAGTGGAAGACAGGAGTGCCTGGCGTGCTCTGGTCCAGGGGGTCACGAAGAGTCGGACACGACTAAACGACTAAACAACAACAACAAAGCCATATGGCCCAGAAAGCTTTCTGTGGACAAACACCGGCTCCCTTTGCCTGAAAAGCGAGATGAGCACCTCACCCCATAGTCACCTTTGACTGGACTTAACCATCCAGGGGTCCTGTACCTTTTGCCTTACCTTCCTTGAAGGTTTTTAAGCAGAGGTTGGATGGCATTATCTGTCATGGATGCTTTAGCAGAGATCCTTGCATTGGGGTTGGACTGGATGACCTTTGGGGTCCCTTCCAACTCTCCGATTCTATGATCCCCAGAAATAATAATAATAATAATAATAATAATAATAATAATAATAATTTTTATTTATACCCCACCCTTCCCGGTTCAAAAACCTGGCTCAGGGCGGATAACAACAAATTTAAATCAATAGGAGTATAGCATCTAGATCAAGGGAAGTAATAGTGCCACTGTATTCTGCTCTGGTCAGACCTCACCTGGAGTACTGTGTCCAGTTCTGGGCACCACAGTTCAAGAAGGACACTGACAAACTGGAACGTGTCCAGAGGAGGGCAACCAAAATGGTCAAAGGCCTGGAAACGATGCCTTATGAGGAACGGCTAAGGGAGCTGGGCATGTTTAGCCTGGAGAAGAGGAGGTTAAGGGGTGATATGATAGCCATGTTCAAATATAGAAAGGATGTCACATAGAGGAGGGAGAAAGGTTGTTTTCTGCTGCTCCAGAGAAGCGGACACGGAGCAATGGATCCAAACTACAAGAAAGAAGATTCCACCTAAACATTAGGAAGAACTTCCTGACAGTAAGAGCTGTTTGACAGTGGAATTTGCTGCCAAGGAGTGTGGTGGAGTCTCCTTCTTTGGAGGTCTTTAAGCAGAGGCTTGACAACCATATGTCAGGAGTGCTCTGATGGTGTTTCCTGCTTGGCAGGGGGTTGGACTCGATGGCCCTTGTGGTCTCTTCCAACTCTAGGATTCTATGATTCTATGAAAACACTTAATTGTAAAAGCAGCATAAAATACAGTATAAAAACATGAATAACAATAAAATTCAAAGTTCAGAAATCAGTTTAGGGGAAATAAGCATTAGATAATCCCCAGGGCTAGCTGGCTGAATTGGTCCTACTTGGGCCAGCGAGGAGGCCAGGGGAGAATTAGCTGTGGGGTCTCAGAGCGGGTGATCTTCATAAAAGGGGAGGGAAGAGAAGGGAAATAAAAGATCAGGCTGAATTCAAATTAAAGGCCAAATTAAATTGCCACCCTATTTGGGAAACCTCAGAGCAGGTGTTATTTTTCAGCAAAAACTTAGGAACGCTAACCAGTTCAGCCCATGTTCCTCCTTGTGGAGTTTTGTGGGATGTCCAGGGATTTTGCAAGAGACCAAGGAGAAGACCTGGACCACCCCTGTAAAAAAAACACAAAACACCCAAGGGATGCTGCCGTTTCCTTGCAGAAGAAACGGCAAGTCAAAGATGCAGTTCGTAGGCATCTTCGCACACTCTTTAGAAGTACACAGAGCCCTGGCTGGTCTTCTGGTCGTAGGCTTGGATCTGGGCCTTGATGTGGGTCAGCTTCCTCTTGAGGTATTCGCAGCGCTCCTGCTTCTCCAGGAAAGCCGGGTCCTGAAATTTGCAGGGCGGGCAGAGAGATGGGGGAAACGGAAACACGTCAAAATGCATTTGCAGTGTGAACCAAATACCCACCCAGTTTTCCAGACACAGTTCCGGAGTTACGAAAGCCATCCCGACTCCTGATTTGATTCCAGAATGTCAGGTTTAAGGTACTGATTTTGACCTTCAAAGCCCTTTGTGGCTTAGGGCCCTCGTATTTACGGGACCGCTTCTCCTGGTCTGCCCCGCAGAGGACCTTAAGGTCCATGAATAACCATAGTTTAGAGGCCCCGGGCCCTAAGGAAGTAAGATTATCCTCCACCAGGGCCAGGGCCTTCTCAGTGATGGCTCCGACCTGGTGGAATGCTCTGTCCCAGGAGACCAGGGCCCTGCAGGATTTAACTTCCTTCCACAGGCCCTATAAGACAGAGCTATTCCACCTGGCTTTCAACTTGAACTTAGCCTGATCTTTTATTCCCCTTCCTTCCCTCCCCCTCCCCTTTTTATGAAGATTACCCGCTCTGGGATCCCACAGCTAATTCTCCCCTGGTCTCCTCGCTGGCCCAAATAGGACTAACTTAGCCAGCTAGCCCTGGTGATCATCTAATGTTTAGTGGATGGATTTCCCCCCTAAATTGATTTTTTAATTGTGAATTTATTGTTATTCACGTTTTATACTGTATTTTATGCTGTTTTTTGTAGCATCAATTAAGTGTTTTAAATTTGTTGTTAGCCGCCCTGAGCCTGGTTTTCTGAACTGGGAAGGGTGGGGTATAAATAATTTTTAAAAAATTATTATTATTATTTGCCCCACCAGTGCCAGGCTTGGGGATGAGGATGAGAAAGCTGCGGCTGAAAGGGAGCACCCCCTTGCCCCTCTCTCCATGGCTGCCGCTACCAGCCTCTTCCCTCGGGCAGCTTGTACTCATGCTTCCCCCCCCCACCAAATAATCCTGGGAACTATAGTAGGTCAGAGTCCTCTCACAGAGCTACAATTCCCAGTGTTACCTGGGAAAGTGGGATTGACTGTTAAACCACTATGGGAATCGTAGCTCTGGGAGGAGAAGTTGTCAGGAGCTTGTCCTACACTCGAGTAGGACCCTGGCAGAGACACATACCCGACTGGCATGTTCCCTCCCTCCTGGTATTTCATTCGGGAGCTTCAAAAGCTTTCTTCTGCCCGAACATCACAGCGACCGATGCCAACAGACACTGGCACACTTAGGGATCCGCAGAGTTTGCGCATCATGCGTGACAGACCTCAGCAGCTTAGCATTTTGGCTAATCTACTTTATTTACACGGAGCACTGCAACATGGCTCCCTCTCTCTCTAGCATCAGACAGCAAAGAGAAAAAGAACAAAGGACAATCGTCCCACTTCACGGAACACAGTAACACAAACATCCTGTCTCCGTCACTTCCCACTCTGTGGAGTCAAAACATACACCGTTGTGTGAAAGACAACAATCCCATGACTGCAATCACGGAGCAGGAATGCTAACAGAAATGAGGGTCTCCTAGCAAATCTCAGCATCCGTACCAACTTACAGTTCCCACCAGGGCTGCTGACAGGGAGGAATGTACACATGTACAGGGCCCCATTCCAGCAGGGCCCCCAAACTGATAGCTCAGTCAGTAGAGCACGAGTCTCTTAAACTCAGTGTTGTGGGTTCGAGCCCCACATTGGGCAAAAGATTCCTGCATTGCAGGGGGTTGGACTTGATGACCCTTGTGGTCCCTTACAATTCTATGGTTATTATCTTTCAATCAAATACCTGAAGGGCTGTCCCATGGAAGATGGAGCAAGCTTGCTTGCTCTTGCCCTGAACCGATGGGTTCAAGTTACAAGAAAGGAGACTCCGAATAAAAATCTGGAAGAACTTTCTGGTGGTCTGAGCTGTTCGACAATGGGACGGTTTCCTTCGGAAGGTGGCAGACTCCTCGGAGGTTTTTAAGCAGAGGTTGGATGGTCATCTATCAGGGATGCTTTAGCTGAGATTACTGCACTGCAGGGGATTGGTCTGGATGACCCTTGGCGTCCCTTCCAACTCTACAATTTTAAAGGTAAAGTAAAGGGGCCCCTGACCATTAGGTCCAGTCGCGGACGACTCTGGGGTTGCGGCGCTCATCTCGCTTTATTGGCCGAGGGAGCAGGCGTACATGTGGCCAGCATGACTAAGCCGCTTCTGGCGAACCAGAGCAGCGCACGGAAACACCGTTTACCTTCCCGCCGGAGTGGTACCTATTTATCTACTTGCACTTTGATGTGCTTTCGAACTGCTAGGTTGGCAGGAGCAGGGACCGAAGAACGGGAGCTCACCCTGTCATGAGGATTCGAACTGCCAACCTTCTGTTCGGCAAGTCCTAGGCTCTGTGGTTTAATCCACAGCGCCACCCGTGTCCCTTAACTCTACAATTTTATAACTATATTAATTAGACATTCCTAAAGAAAGTTATAAAACAAAAGGTGGAGAAAACACCAATGCTTTGGTACCTGGCAGGCAGCACCATTGGCATACGGTGTGCTGGGCTCAGGAAATCCTGTTGCCACAACTGGTTCTCAGGATACTTTGAGGGAAGCCTTTGCTGTTTAAAGTGGTGTGAGGCGGCTTTAAATAGGACTTAGGGATTCATTTGCAGCCTTAGGGAAATCTTGAAACGACACTCACTTCTGACTTTTATTTACCTCCTTCTTGCTTTGGTAATCTCTCCAAACAGTGGAAACCCGGCTTTCCTCCTGTAGAGAAAAGAGAAGCATTTAAATCCCCTCACTGAAACAAGCCAGCAAAGGAACCTCTCAGAATCATTGCTCCAAGCTAAGGATGGACAGATCTCTCAGTTTTGGTTTTCCTTCCCCTCCACAAACTTAAATTCAGCTCTCCACATTTGCAACAACAAGCTGCATATATATATTTTAAACTTCATGAAAGTTTGCCATCATTTATGTGCGAAGTTTGCATGCAATTTCACCTCCTATGCACATTTCCACCAATACAATGCATTTGCAGTATGTTATCTTCATTAATAAATTCATTCTCCTGGACCCTTTGCTCCAGTAGATACACTTCTCATTATTTGCCTGGAGAACTGCATTGCAAAATTCAGAAAGGGGTTGTTGTTCGACATATTTTGCAAACTTAATGCCTGGTTAAGGTTTGTTGTTTATATACATATTAAAAATGCATCACTGCGTATTAAGAACTACCTTCTTGTTCTGATAGCGGCGAGGAAGTTTGGAGAGCATCGCCTCCAGTTCCTTGAATTTCCCCAGCGCTGTGCGGACCTCATCGTACAGCTCCTTGTATTCTGCATACTGGTCGTTGAAGACGGCCTTGTATTTTTCACGCTCATCCCTGCTTCCGATGGCTGGGTACTTCCTACGCCATGCAGCAAAAAGTCAAGAAGAAGAAAAGAAGTGGGGAGGAGAATCAAAGCCAGACTCAGAGTAGACCCACTGAAATGAATGAACACAAATCACTTGGGCCTGTTAACTTCAACGTATTGTATCCAACTCAGTCAGAAGAGACCCAGTGAAATGAATGAGCACAATTCTCTTTGGCCTGGTTAAAGAGGAACGTTTTTGCCAGGTGCCTAAAACCTCCCTGGGGAGAGCATTCCACAAGTGGGGAGCCACTGCAGAAAAGGCCCTGTTATCATGTTGCCACCCTCTAGACCTCCGGCCTGGTGGAACGCTCTGCCTCATGAGACCAGGGCCCTGCAGGATCTGATTTCTTTCCACAGGGCCTGTAAGACAGAGTTGTTCTGCCTGGCCTTTGGCTTGGAGTCAATTTGATTCCCTCCCCCTCTTTCTTTTTTCCTTTCTCCTCCTGTGATGAGGCTGCATTTTAATATTTCAATGTTGTATTTTAATCTTGTTTTTAAGTTGTATTCATTCAACTTGTTTTTATTATTGGTTGTTAGCTGCCATGAGCCCGGCCTTGGCTGGGGAGGGTGGGGTATAAATAAAATTTATTATTATTATTATTATTACTACAGCAGCGGTTCTCAACCTGTGGGTCCCCAGATGTTGTTGGACTACAACTCCCATCATCCCTGAGCTCTGGCCTTGCTAGCTAGGGGTGATGGGAATTGTAGTTCAACAACATCTGGGGACCCACAGGTTGAGAAAGGCTGCTCTAGACCTTTTGTGAGACAGGCACCCAAAGAAGGGTGTTGGAGGATCTCAGGGTCCGGGTACGTTCATATGGAGAGAGGCGATCCTTGCGGGATTGCAGTCCTGAGCTGTTTAAGGCTTTATAGGTCAAAAGCAGCACTTTGATTTTGACCTGGAAGTTCATTGGCAGCCAGTGCAGTCAGACCAGGATCAAACCGTCTTGGCCAAGTGAGCATCCTGGCCACCAAATTTTGCACCAGCTGAATAATAATAATAAGAATAATTTATACCCCGCCCATCTGGCTGAGTTTCCCCAGCCCCTCTGGGCGGCTCCCAATCGAGTGTTAAAAACAATACAGCATTAAATATTAAAAACTTCCCTAAACAGGGCTGCCTTCGGATGTCTTTTAAAGATAGGATAGCTGCTTATTTCCTTCACATCTGAAGGGAGGGCGTTCCACAGGGCGGGCGCCACTACCGAGAAGGCCCTCTGTCTGGTTCCCTGTAACCTCACTTCTCGCAGTGAGGGAACTGCCAGAAGGCCCTCGGCGCTGGACCTCAGTGGCGGGGCCGACCGAGGGGGGTGGAGACGCTCCTTCAGGGAGACTGGGTTGCGGCTGTTGAGGGCTTGAAAGGTCAGCACCAACACTTTGAATTGTGCTCGGAAACGTACTGGGAGCCAATGTGGGTCTCTCAGGACCGGTGTTATGTGGTCTCTGTGGCCGCTCCCAGTCCCCAGTCTAGCTGCCGCATTCTGGATTAATTGCAGTTTCCGGGTCACCTTCAAAGGTAGCCCCACGTAGAGCGCATCGCAGGAGTCCAAGCTGAAGCTTCTGAATCGTCTTCAGAGACAGCCCTATGTATAAAGCATTGCAGTAATCTAACCTAGAGGTTCCCGGAACATAGACAACAGAAGTTAAGATATCCCTGTCTTAAATAGGGGTACAGAAAAACCTCTTGAGCATTCCTGGACCATTGCTGCTTACTTACGACACATAATCCGGGACGATGTGAGGTTTTGGGTGGTGGCCTGTCGGAATGGCAAAGTTTAACACCTCTGGGTCCCCGCCCTTCTCTGAGAACTCAACGCGTCTTGCAACTTTCTCCTTGGGAGTAACTTCATCCTGGTCTATGACTTGCTGAGGCGTACCTCGTAAGAGGATGGGCTTTCGCTGAGACGAAGGGAAGGAGACAAGGCAAGAGGGAGGCTCGTAGTTCATTTGCCCAACCTTCAAGGGGGAAAGAGAGTGTTGTGGACATCATTATTGCTGAGGGACTCAACATGTCATGAGGACAAGAAACTGCCTTTTATTAAATCCAGTGATTGGTCCTAGTATTCCAGCAGTCCCCAACCTGATGCCCTCTGGGTGTTGCAGAACTACAGCTCCCACCAGCCCTAGCCAATGAATGAGAAAAATAATCTAGAAGAGGCTGGGTACATCCTTCCTTTTCTTTGATGGGGTTCCCACTTCATGCTAGCAGTTTGAACGGCAGCAAGGTGGTTTGCATTTCTAATTTTAAAACAAACAAACAAACAAACAAACAAACAAGCCCCAAAGTCTGCATTCCAGCTTGCCGAAGATATTTTGTGAAAGCTCAGCAGGCTGTAAGTCAGACTCACAGTAGACCCATTGCAATCAATGGACTTAAGTCTACTTTTGAGTTTGACCTGGCCAAAGACAACACACTGGGTGGAATTCAACATCACACTATGGCAAAACATTTCGCCTGCACGAGCATTTCAGCTGGTCAGGTGCAACGATTCCTCTCTCCTCCTCCAGGGTGCTGTACTGGGGGGGTTCTTGTTTGTCCCATTAGCCAATTTTCAGTGGGGGAAAGCATGGGGAGGAGGGGGGAAAGTCCCACGGCGCAAGTGTCCTTGCACAGAGATTCTGCTGATGGGGCTTGTTCAGTGAATCCTGCCCATTGTGTTTTGCAATACACACACACACAGCTGGAGCATACAACCATAGAAATGTAGAGTTGGAAGGCAACCCAAAGGGCATCTAGTCCAACCCCTTGCATTTCAGGATCAACACAAACAGAGGAGCTAACTCCTAGGAGCCGAGGTCCCTTTGCCCCCCCATAAAATATCTGAGGGGCAGGTCCCCCCCAAATTTGATGGGCATTGCCATTCAAATGATGTGGGTGTGCCGTGTCATGTGACGCATTATGTGGGGTGGGACTTACCTGCCCCCCAATATTTTATTCAACACAGCTGCCTTTTTTTTACTCTCTTGTGGGTCATAACTCTTGACCATAGGTAGGCAAACTAAGGCCCGGGGGGCGGATCCGGCCCAATCGCCTTCTCTATCCGGCCCGCAGACGGTCCAGGAATCAGCGTGTTTTTACATGAGTAGAAAGTGTCTTTTTATTCAAAATGCACCTCTGGGTTATTTGTGGGGCCTGCTTGGTGTTTTTACATGAGTAGAATGCGTGCTTTTATTTAAAATGCATCTCTGGGTTATTTGTGGGGCATAGGAATTTGTTCTTTTTTTCCTTCTTCAGCCCCCCACAAGGTCTGAGGGACAGTGGACCGGCCCCCTGCTGAAAAAATTTGCTGACCCTTGCTCTTGACTGTTCTGGAGGCCATGACTATAGGGGAGGTCATAAGGAGCCTCTGCTTCTCACCATTGCCTTCTCCCAATGGTGGGGTCTTACCAGAGCTCTTGAGTTCTTCTGGACAGCTTGATGTCTCCACATCCTGAGACAGACGAGGGAGCCGACCAGATACAGCAGCATGGTGAGGAAGAGGAAGGCGATGGCGGCCACCTGCCCCCCTTCGACTCGGCACAAGGCAACAACGAGCGGATTGTTGGCAAATACAGAGTAGCAGAGTCCTCCACGGTTGACGTCGTTGACGTAGGCGATTGCAGCAGCCATGTATAGGAGGGACATGACGAGGTTGAGGCCAAACTCTGCCAAAGGCCACCAGTGGGAATCAAGAAGAATCGTCCTGTAGTACATGGTGACCCCAAGGCCTAGCAAGATCACGGTCACCAGCCACACCAGGCTGACCACCACCAGCACGAATGGGGTCATCGGGCCGTAGTAACTGTATCCATACCCTCCACCCAAGACACCATTGTAGGGCAGAGAGTTGCCACCATAAAGCGCCGACCACTGGTAGTCCTTCTGGATGTAAGCGGCTGTGCAGGCAAAAACCATCCCACCTAAGATCAACTCCAGACCTGCCATCAGCCTCAGGAGGCCAGGCCACGACTTCATGTAGGAATATTTGTGGTCGTAGGTCTCCAACTTCTCCTTATAGCTGGGTGGACCACTCGACAAGGCACCCTGGCTCTCAGCAGTTAGCGTCTTCCCAGGCGCCAAAGGGGTGGTGGGAGCTGAGAGGGGTTCCTTAAAATCGCCATCGTTCCCATTGTCAGTGGAGCTCCCCTCACCATCGAAGGTGGTTCTTTGAGGGTGCTCGGAAAACTGGGTGTGTTTGAAGTCTTCTGGAGCATAGGTCAAGAGAGAAGTCTCAGTCCAGGGCTGTCTCTGCCAGCGGTGGAAGAAGTTCTTCCAAGATGGAGGAATGAAGCGTCTAATGGGCTTCATGGAAGAGGACTCTTGGTCCTGAGGTGTGCCAGTGAAGGCTGGTTTGGCTGATGGAGATGAGCCGAAGCCATCTGAAGACCTAGAACCCAATGACTTCCCAGAATTCTCTGACCAGGTTCCCATTGGATGAAGCTGCCTGGAGGTGTTTAGAAGTTCCTCCCCTCCATCCATCTCAGGAGGCCTCTTCTCTCTGACTGATGTCTCCTCAGAGCTCATGTCCACAAATGGCTGGCAGAGAAACTCTTATCTGCAGCCTCCTATGGGCACCTCTTGAGTGGGTGATTGAGGGGCGTCCCCCATTCTCCTCTGTGCCGTTTTGCCAAGTCTGGTGGTTGAAAGTTTGGGAACTGAAGGTGGAAGAGAATCAAGTGTCTTTTTTTAAAACGGGGTCCTTTTTTAAAAAATAGAGAAAATCGACAGCAGTTTAGTTTTTACAGTAATGAAATGTGGTGACAGGAGAGGTTTACAGCACTTTAGGAAGGGACTATACCACATCAATGAGACCTTTCATGCCCCTCCCACCTTAAGACTAACCCAACAGTGCAGAAACTAATCTGTACAAGAAGTGATGTCACCTTCAAGAAACATTTTGAACAGGTTATTTCCTTCAATGTAACTTAAGAGCTTAACATGGCGGGAACAACCAAAATTGGTTTGAGGTGGTACAGTCCCATCCTGAAATGTTCCACATACCCTTTTTTCAACTTCCCTTGACCCTGGCTTTTGATGCATAGTTTTCGGACGAACCTCATTCCTGTAGTTCTGAGTTGTTTTAAACTGTCTTTTAACATTGTGTTTTGATTGTTGTAACCCACCCTGGGACTTTGGGGTGAAGGGTGGATAAAATAATAATACAGTGATACCTCTGGATATACGCGTGTGTGCATGCGTGGGTCGCGCTTCGCCGCTTCTGCGCATCCGCATGACGTCATTTTGACCGTCTGCACATGCGCAAGTGGTGAAACCCGGAAGTAACACGTTCTGTTACTTCTGGGTCACTGCAGAGCGCAACCTGAAAATGCTCAACCTGAAGCAACTTCAACCCGAGGTATGACTGTAATAAATAATAATAATAATGGCTATTTTTCTAGAAAAAGAGGAGCTGGAACTCACCATGAACCCTTATAATGGCAATGGTGCCCACCAGAAAGGTGCTGGAACAGAATTCCAGTGAATTCTGGTTGAAAAAAAAGCCAGAAGAAGAAGACGAAGAAGAAAACGAAGACGAAGACGAAGAAGAAGAAGAAGAAGAAGAAGAAGAAGAAGAAGAAGAAGAAGTCTCTCCAGTGGTAAGACTCTGTTAGCCAACAAGGGTCCTTCTTGTCCATCTCAGGCATTCTCGACACCCGAATCCTGCCTCCACAAGCAGTCATCTGATGCCTGGAAAAGTCACCTACTGAATCCCCCAAACCCTTGCATTGTTTTCTGCCACCCCATCTTTTCATCTCCCTTGTGCTTGCTTCCCAAGGAACCCCGCACACCCAAGGCGTTGGCCCTTGTCCACAATCCAGATGGAAGTTCTCGATCGTCACACATCTCTCGCCCTCCCCAGAAATGCTTTTCACGGTACCTTCAACGGCCACGAAGTCCGCAGCGTAGGCTGCCTTCCAGAGAGGGGAATCTGGCTCGGCCAGGTTCAAAGCCTCTGTCGAAGGAAGCGGGTCATTTCCTCTGGCTGGTCACAGCGTGGTCTCCAAAAGACGTCGGGATCTTGGTCAGCCTCTGCTGGGAGGTTGCAAATTACCACGGATGGGCGGGGCAATTGATCTGTGGCGTACAGAAGGCTCTAGGCTCCGAAACCAGCCCGTTATCAGCCCCTGGCACTGTTAAATATTAACTGTGGAGCGGGCAGGAGGAGAGAAATGTCACACGCAGATCGCATTATTAGTAAGGCTAGATACCCAGCCGGCCGGCTGTCTTGCAACAGATGTCTAATAGCTCAAGCTACAGGGCCGCCTGGAATAATGGCTGCTGATATCTATCAGGCGGGATATACCGTATTTTTCCGTGTATAAGACTAGGTTTTTTCCCTAAAGAATAATGTCGAAAATTTTGTTGTTGTTTAGTCATGTCTGATTCTTCGTGACGCCATGGACCAGAGCACGCCAGGCACTCCTGTCTTCCACTGCCTCCCGCAGTTGGGTCAAACTCATGCTAGTAGCTTCGAGAACACTGTCCCACCATCTCATCCTCTGCCGTCCCCTTCTCCTTGTGCCCTCCATCTTTCCCAACATCAGGGTCTTCTCCAGGGAGTCTTCTCTTCTCATGAGGTGGCCAAAGTACTGGAGCCTCAGCTTAACGATCTGTCCTTCCAGTGAGCACTCAGGGCTGATTTCCTCCAGAATGGATAGGTTTGATCTTCTTGCAGTCCATGGGACCCTCAAGAGTCTCCTCCAGCACTATAATTCAAAAGCATCCATTCTTCGGCGATCAGCCTTCTTTATGGTCCAGCTCTCACTTCCATACATCACTACTGGGAAAACCATAGCTTTAATAAAATGGACCTTTGTCGGCAAGGTGATGTCTCTGCTTTTTAAGATGCTGTCCAGGTTTGTCATTGCTTTTCTCCCAAGAAGCAGGTGTCTTTTAATTTCGTGGCTGCTGTCACCATCTGCAGTGATCATGGAGCCCAAGAAAGTAAAATCTCTCACTGCCTCCATTTCTCCCCCTTCTATTTGCCAGGAGGTGATGGGACCAGTGGCCATGATCTTCGTTTTTTTGATGTTGAGCTTCAGACCATATTTTGCGCTCTCCTCATACACGGGGCCATCTTCCCCCATTTTCTTAAATCTGAATCCCCCAAAATACATGGGGGCATCTTATAGATGGAAAAATACGGTAAATAGAATTAATAAGGGATTCTCCTAGATTTTCACAGGGAAAATGCAGGAATCTTTTGCCCAACGTGGGGCTCAAACCCATGATCCTGAGATGAAGAGTCTCATGCTGTACAGACTGAGCTGTCCCAGCTACAAGGTAGGAAGAGGCAGGCCAGGCAGGTGAAGGGCCACCCTCTCCTGCACCACCTGTCTCCCAGAACCAGAAGGGGACTGAAAAGGGTAGAGCAGAGGCAGCTGCCATGCAGGCACAGTTCCCAGTGTGCAGCCCATGGCAGGGGGGAGGTACATAAATTGGTGGAGGGAGAGTGGTCCCCAGTTGCTGCAACTGCTCCCCAGAATATGGACCTGGGAACAGCTGCCTAGACACTAGATTGGTGTGCTGTAGAAGGGACTGTACAGTCATACCTCGGGTTGAATACGGTTCAAGTTGAGCACGTTCGAGTTGCACTCCGCGGCAACCCGGAAGTAATGGAGCGCGTTACTTCCGGGTTTTGCCGCTTGCGCATGCGCAGACGCTCAAAATGACATCACGCGCATGCGCAGAAGCGGCAAAAAGCGATGTGTGCATGCGCAGACGTGCCGTCGCTAATTACATTGACCTCTACATGCGAACGGGGCTCCGGAACGGATCCCATTCGTATCTAGAGGTAGCACTGTATATGTTGTTTTTGGTGATAAATTCTTAACTATCTGCCGTGTGCATTCCATTGGCTGGGAAGTTCCCTTAAATTCTGATGATGGGAAGGCGTTTTTCAGAATACAGTGGACGCTTGGGTTGCGAACGTGATCCATGTGGGATGCACATTCGCAACCAGCAGCGGCGCGTCTGCACATGCGCAGGTTGTGATTCGGTGCTTCTGCGCGTGCGCAAAGTGCAATTTAGCACTCTGTGCATGTGCGACTGCCGAAACCTGGAAGTAACCCATTCCGGTACTTCCGGGTTTCAGCAGGTGCGTAACCTGAAAAAACGCAACCTGAAGCGGCTGTAACTCGAGGTATGACTGTTTTTAAAGAAATATAGTCTGGTGAATTCATGAGCAGGAACTGAACTATCAGCAACAGAAGGAATTTGAGATTATTGTGTGGTGGTTATGATATAAGAGACAGAAAACTGGGTGCAGCAAGGGAGAACAGGAGGGGAAGTCGAAAAAACAAAAGGAAAATTTATTATGTTTTGGAGTGTATGTGCGATTTTTTGTGTGAAATTTCATAAAATATAAATAACGAAATGAATTCTGATGATGCTTCTTGCTTGTGAAGATGCAGGATACAGGTGTGTTGAGAGTAGAACCCAGTTCACTGTACAAAAGTGACATTCACCTGTGATGCCCCACCCACTTTTCCTCAGGCCCCACCCACCTCTGGAATGTGCCCCGCCCCCAGGCTTCCCATGTGACTCCCCTCTCACGCTTCCCCCACTGGTCAGAGTTAAAGGACACATCCCGGCAAGGCGGGTGCAAGAGGCCAGGCGAAAAGGCTCTAAGGGCCACATTCTTACCCCCAACCCTTGCCTGAGGCTCCCCGTCTTTCGGTCTAGAACAGTGTTTCCCAAATTGGGCGATACCACCCTGTGGTAGTGTGTGTGTGTGTGTGTGCTGGAACGATCCAGAGGGCCAGTAGTCTCCTCGGGTGCAATTCGTGGGTGTTGAATAGGAATAATGGGGCGGTGGAAGCATAAAGAAGAGAAGAGAATTTTGAAAAACCATTCGTACATTTTGCATCTGTTGGTGCAACGTAGAGTTGAAGTTGCAGTAATTATTTTCCAAAATAAGCTGATAGCTGCACAGCAGGTTCATAATCCTTCTCTTTAGGATTATTTTTAAGGTTATTCATAACGTTCATTTTAAAATGATCCTTTGCTATCCTAATTTTTGCGTGTAATGTGAATGTTATCAGGGTTGATTTTTAATTTCAAGCTTCTTTTTTTAAAAATATTTTTTATTGATTTTCCAATAAAAAACATCCAATTAATATATCCAATCATAATACAGTCATACCTCAGGTTGAATGTGCTTCAGGTTGAGCGCTTTCGGGTTGCTCTCCGCGGAGACCCAGAAGTAACGGAACATGTTACTTCTGGGTTTTGCCGCTCGCGCACGCGCAGATGCTAAAAATGACAAAACACGCATGCGCGGAAGCGCCAAAACGTGACCCGCGCATGCGCAGGTGTGCTGTTGCATCTTACATTCCATTCAGGATGTGAACGGGGCTCCAGAACGGATCCCGTTTGCATCCGGAGGTACCACTGTACTCCAATTCAAATAAAAAACTAAAATAAAAAAGACCAAATTATAATTATTAATTTTTTGGGGCTCCCCACGGTCTGGATCTCGGAAGCATATCTCCACATCTCAGTCCTGCCTCTCCTCATAATTTCAAGCTTCAAGGTCTTCCTTGACTATGTTTCAGGACGTAGGTAGAAATATAGATGCGTAAAAGAATGCAAATTTGTTGCCCCATCTTTCTGCTTTATCTTGTAAAGAAGGTAGATTTCAGCTTGGGGGGGGGCGCTGAGTAATATATTTTTTTCTGAAAAGGGGGCAGTTGGCCAAATAGCTTTGGGAACGTCTAGTCTAGAGGAAAAGGCTGTTCTGATATGGTTAGACCACAAGATGGCAGAAAAGAGGCAGGGAAAGGCTGGAGGCTACCAGCAGAGGATTAAATTCTATAGCATCCTTTCCCTGGTCTCCCCTCTCTGTGAGTTTGGAGGAATTCCCACTACTACCACAATAGGCCACAAGGGTGGGGAGAATGTCTGGAGAGACCTCTAAGGTCCCATTCATCAAAACGGCCACTAATTTGGCTTAACCATGTCTGGAAGTAGAGCAAAGTCATACACATTACCATCTGTGTAGCAGCCTGCATCAGGCTGGGGCCCTCCAGGTGTGGTTGGGTTTAGGAATGGCGGAGTCTGGAATAGTAGACTCATAGAAGTTGGAAGGATCCCAAGTATCATCTGATCATAGGATCATAGAATTTTCTAGAGTCGGAAGGGACCACGAGGGTCACAAAACTGAGAAGATCTATAATTGAGAAGATCCATTGGGGCTCACCAAATTTTGGGCTAGCATAGGGTGCTATAGGGACGCGGGTGGCGCTGTGGGTTAAACCACAGAGCCTAGGACTTGCCAATCAGAAGGTCGGCGGTTTGAATCCCCACAACAGGGTGAGCTCCCGTTGCTCGGTCCCTGCTCCTGCCAACCTAGCAGTTCAAAAGCACGTCAAAGTGCAAGTAGATAAATAGGTACCGCTCTGGCGGGAAGGTAAACGGCGTTTCCATGTGCTGCTCTCGTTTGCTAGAAGCGGCTTCGTCATGCTGGCCACATGACCTGGAAGCTGTACGCCGGCTCCCTTGGCCAATAAAGCAAGATGACCACCCCAACCCCAGAGTTGGCCACGACTGGACCTAATGGTCAAGGGTCCCTTTACCTAGGGTGCTATATTTTGAAAAATTGGCAAAGTCCACCCTTGCTCTGAGTTTTGCTGAAACTCGCCTTAACTAAAAGCGAGACCGGGGAACGCTCTACGAGCAAACAAGAGAAACGAACAGAAAGTTTGCAGCCTAAATAAATGACCAGCCCTTTTATCCATTTATCTTTCAAACGTTTTATTGAATTGTCTGCCTAATACAAAAGTATCCATATCCCCACAGCTGAGCCCTTAAAAAGGCGTCCCCAAAATTGCATACATGAAATATAAAAGACAGAAACAACCCCACCCCCAATACACACACAATGACGATGACGATGAAAGTGCTTCATCACACATATTCTCTTGTTCTAATCATTACAATGTTCCTGTAAGGTAGGATGGTGCTATCACTCCCATATTATGCTCAGAGGAAACAGAGGCTGAGAGAGCGCGGCTTGCCAATGTTGCTCCTTTCCAGGTGTTGTAGATCATGGCTTGCATCAGGTGCCAGAGATGTTGGGAATTGTAGTTCAACACCTCTGGGAAGGGTAGCAGATGAGACAGCCACCCTAAGCCCCATTGACCTAGAAGTTAGCCCCACCAAATTCAGTAGGACAAGCTTCTCAGTCGGCATGGCTAAGATTCAATTGTGAGGCTTTTCTGATCTCTGGCTCATCTACGGATGCTCCCTTGACATTTGCCTCAGATTTTGGAGTCCCAGATGATCTGGCCTCGTTTCCAAAGTGGAGCAGGCCTGGAACGTCCCTTCTTTGCTATTTCCAGAGTTTCTGCATGTGCCTTGCTTGCAACCACGTACGGTTCTTTCCTGCCCTGTTCATCCCTCCCTTCTCCATGCACACTGACCGTGAAACACTACAATAAAGCAATCCTGATGCAATTGTGTGTTGCTTGTTTTGGGGGGGTGTGATTCTCCTCTTACTGACACGCAGGTGCAGTCTGAGCACGCTAGAAAACCGCTGCACCGAAAACCATCTCAGTGCAACGGCACTCGCGACTCCTCTGCAATGTCTCATGGAAGGGGTGCAAATAAACTAGGGCTGAGCTTAAAGATGCACTGGTCCCAGTTCCGAATTGCGGAGGAACTGAATGCATAGCAGAGCAGGGAGAAAACAGGGGTCACTCAGACAACTGATTCTTTTTTTTGCCCCCATGCTACACCCAGCTTTCAAAACAACTGTTTTGCAACACCGTTTGCAGGAAAGAATAAAAACGTGAAGGAAAATCTCCTTGACGTATCTAAGAATAGCCCTATGAACTAAACCACAGTGTTAAATGCTAAATTCTGTAAAAGTCTGGATGGGGTGTCATTTCATATGATTTATTATTTTGTGGTTTTATATTAGGTATAGGGCAGTATACAAATTTAATAATAATAATAATAATAATAATAATAATAATCAGTGCTTTTTTCCTAAAAAAATGTTTAGGGGTACTCTCATTTTCCTACTCATACTGAAATACTGCCCCTCAATGAGGCCAAACACAGATTCACAAAATGTTTAGGGGTATGTGTACCCCTGCGCACCCCCCCAGAAAAGAAGCAAGGAGGAGGAGGAGGAGGAGGAGGAGGAGAAGAAGAAGAAGAAGAAGAAGAAGAAGAAGAAGAAGAAGAAGAAGAAGAAGAAGAAGAAGTTGGGAGCCCTTAATAACCAAAACAGCTTTCCACGGTCTCTCTCTCCCCCCCTCTCTCTCCATAGCTGTCAACCTTTCCCTTTTCTTGCGAGGAATCCTATTCGGAATAAGGGAATTTCCCTTTAACAAAGGGAAACGTTGACAGCTATGCTCTCTCACATGCAAGCAAGCAGGCAGGCAAGCATACACGTCTAAACAGAGCTCTTCTTCTAAGGATCATATCCAAATTCTTCCCAGTTCTTTTTAGAGGACCATGGCCAATTATGACTATTTTTGGGGAGAACATAAGTTTATCCGCAGAGCTGGCGAACTCCGAGATGCCAGACGAGTGCAGGGATCGCCAATATGGCGTCTTCCCAAAATGGTTCGGCTACAGCTCCCATCAAATGGCTTTAAAAGAGGATTAGACAGAGGAGGCAGAGACATCACCTTGCCAGCAAAGGTCCGTATAGTTAAAGCCATGGTTTTCCCAGTCCTGATGTATGGAAGTGAGAGCTGGACCATAAAGAAGGCTGGTTGCCGAAGAATGGATGCTTTTGAATTCTGGTGCTGGAGGAGACTCTTGAGAGTCCTATGGACTGCAAGCAGATCAAACCTCTCCATTCTGAAGGAAATCAGCCCTGAGTGCTCACTGGAAGGACAGATCCTGAAGCTGAGGCTCCAATACTTTGGCCACTTCATGAGAAGAGAAGACTCCCTGGAAAAGATCCTGATGTTGGGAAAGATGGAGGGCAGAAGGAGAAGGGGACGACAGAGGACGAGATGGCTGGACAGTGTTCTCGAAGCTACAAACATGAGTCTGACCAAACTGCGGGAGGCAGTGGAAGACTGGAGTGCCTGGCGTGCTCTGGTCCAGGGGGTCACGAAGAGTCGGACACGACTAAATGGCTAAACAACAACAGACAGAGGAGGGGGAGGAGAGGCCCAAAGAAGGCTCCTGGCCATGACGGCTGTGCTCTGCAATGCTTCTGAAGACCAGTCACTCTGCACCTCACGAGGAGAGAGTTGCTCCTGTGCTTGGATCGTGCTTGCGGGTTTCCTACAGGCTTCTGACTGGCCACTCTGAGAAGAGGATGCTCGACTAGTTTAAAGCGGTGGTCACCTAGAAACCTGAGGCCTTTCTGTTAGGTACCATTGGACCACAGCTTCCAAGGGAATTGTTTAATTTGTTTATGTATGCCACCGCAGCGGCAAGAATAGTCCATGCACAAAATTGGAAAGAACAGGAAGCCCAACGGAAGAAGAATGGCTTATGGCTTACTATCCTTGGGATAGTAGGTACTGAATTGCCCCCAAAAGATGTGAAAGTATTTTTGTATGCCACAACAGCTGCTAGGATTTTACTAGCCAGAAAATGGAAAACACAAGAATTACCAACGGTAGAAGAATGGCAGATGAAGATGATGGAATTTATGGAGCTGGCTGATCTCACCGGGAGAATCCGTGACCAGAAAGAAGAGGACTACCAAGAAGACTGGAAGAAATTTAAAGACTATTTGAACAAATATTCTAATATTAAAGATATATAACCACTTGAAAGAACCAATCAGGCCTAGGATTAAATTAGACTTAAATATATAAATAAGAAAATGTATTATAAGAAAGGTAAAGAAATTGGAATACGACTGTAATATTGTTTTATGAAATAATGATATTGGAAACTGCTACATTCAAATTAAGAGGAAATTCAGATGGAGGAGATTAGAGGAAGTCAACCAAAATGTTTATGAAAATGGATTCTAATTAATTAATCGAGTTTCTTTTTTTTCTATTTAGGTATTTTAAGTTTGTTATTTTTTCTTCTTCTTTTTCACCTTTCTATTGTGTTGTTGTATATTTTCTTTTTTGTTATGTCTATTGATGAAAATTAATAAATATTATTGTCAAAAAAAAAAGAATGGCTTATGAAGATGGGATATGCTGAGATGGTTAGATGAACCGTGAGAATTCAAGAACAGAACGAATAAAACATTTCTTGAAGAACGGCAATGTTTTGTGGAATATTTGGAAAAAACATCACGGTTATGTTAAAGCGTATGGTTGATGGTTGGGTGGGAAGTCGACGGAGATGAGATATGTATTCTGACGGTTGTGTAAAAGAATTTGTAAAATTTGAAAAGTTAATTTAAAAAATGTGTTTTTTTAAATAGATGGGCCCTGATCCAAAAGGCTCTTCTCATGTTCTTACGGACTGCACTACTCTGGATAAAAGTTGTGCACCTTCAGCCTTGACGAAAAGCTGTGGTTCATTCAGGGCTTCTGTTCTCAAAGATGTTCTTGTGCAATAGGCACCTCGGAAACTGGCTTATTCAGAGATGCCTTTGTTGCATCCAGCTCAAGCATGGTCTGCACTGTCTGTGTGGCTACAGTTTCAGACAAGAGCGTCTCTCAGCCCTAGTGGCGTTCAAGCTCCTTGCACAGAGGGCAGCAGGTGGGCTTTGCTGTGCCTCTGTGGCAGTTGCTCCTAAGGGACGTCATCTGCTTGTTGCCGCGTTCTCCCTCTCGTTTCATTATTAGCCTGGCGCAGGGCCTTCTTGGTAGTGGCGCCCTCCCTGTGGAACGCCCTCCCTTCAGATGCCAAGGAGATAAAAGAACTACACAACTTTTAGAAGACGTCTGAAGGCAGCCCTGTATCGGGAGGTTTCTAATGCTTGATGCTTTTAGATTGTGCTGCAAGCTGCCCAAAGTGGCTGGGGAAACCCAGCCAGATGTGCGGGGTATAATAATAATTAATAATAATAATAATAATAATAATAATAATAATAACTATCACCGGTTATATTAACGGTTGTTCATTGCACACCTTTGCCCCCCTTTTCACCAGTGGCAAAATTGCTCTGGAGATCAATGGTGGGTTGGTGATGTTACAGGTACTAGCCATGATGTGCTGAGCTCTGCCCGCTCTTCAAATGAACCCAGGAAGCTGTTAGAGCACAGGTCCATCTAGCTCAGAATTGTCTCTCCCACTCCTACCACCGGGTATTGAGCCTGAAAACTTCTACCATGCCAAACGGGTGATTTGCCACTGAGCTACGAACCTTTCCCTGATGGGAGAAGCCTATAAGGCTGAATCGTTCTTTTCCAGGACTCGCACTGAGGCAGAAAATGGTCCATGTGGTTTAGGTTGGCAAAAGCTCTTTCCAAGGATACTTAAAAACATGGAAATCTCCAGTCTTCCTTTCCAAGTGGGTCACTGTGTTAGCCCATGACAAAGAATAACAGGGGCTGCTGCAACTATGATGTCTAGAATAAAAGGCGAGAGGGTGTGTGTATGGGAGCCCTGAACCTTGGTGTCACAAGGGGCACAACTGAAATTTGAGACCCCAAGTCTGCCACTACTCCCTGTTTATAAGTAGTCTACCACTGATGCTGGAATGAGTTGAGGACAACAGGAAGGGAGGGCTACTGCCTGCATTTGCCCTGAGGCCACTTTGGAAGACAGGATTCTAGAAGCCAAGCCTGATGAGGAACGGTTGAAGGAGCTTGGGTATGTTTACCCTGGAAAAGAGAGGCGATATGAGAGCAATCTTCAAATATCGTCAAGGCTGTCACATGGAAGAAGGAACAAGCTCGATTCTCCTGCTCCAGAGGGTAGGACTCGAACCCATGGCTTCAAGAGATTCTGACTAAACATCTGGAAGAACTTTCTGACAGTCAGAGCTGTTTGACAGTGGACTGGACTCCCTTGTGGACTCTCCTTATTTGAAGGTTTTTAATCAGATATTGGATGGCCATCTGTCATGGATGCTTTGGCTGAGATCCCTGCATTGCAGGGGGTTGGTCTAGAAGACCCCTGGGGTCCCTTCCAACTCTACCATTCTGTGATTCTATGATTCCAGACCAAATGGTGCTTTGGTCTGATCCTGCAGGACTCGTCTTTCCAAAAAGGGGAGTGCGCAATATCACAGAGCAGGAAAAGTCTTGCAATGGTTGCCAGCCGTGACAACTGAGTAGAGCCTCTTCATCCAGAGAGGGTCTACCCTGAGATAAAAGGGGAGGTTTATCACCTTTGTGAACCTCCCCAGATCCCACTGGTGGGACATGAGAAGACTGATGTGGGTGTGCCTTGCCCCACACCAGAAAGTCTTGTCGTATGTTCTCCAGGTAGCTCAGCAGCAGACTTTTAATCTCAAGGTTGTGGGTTCGAGACCCATGTTGGGCCAGTTTCCTGCGTTGCAGGGGGTTGGAATAGATGACCCTCGTGGTCCCTTCCAACTCTACATTTTCCCTATGATTCTATGTTCTTAAAGCTATCCTTAAAAACCAATCCCAATTTGAAATCAAGAGAACCTTTAATAGAAAAACAAAACAAAACAAAACTTCGATCATCCTCCGCGCTTTCCTAATTCTTATAAAATACGTTGGGTTGCAATCCTCCCCCCCCACCAAATTTCAGCCTCTCCCCACCCTCCCCGCAAAACACACACACACACACTCACGATCGATCGATCAATTCAAGAGCTAGAAAGATGCACAGTGTTTTAAGAGATCAAACCGGAAGTTTTCGAAACGAAAGCAGGAGGAATGTGCTTGTGTGCGTATGAGAGGAAACAGGGCGGTTAGATTACAAAATCTAATTTTTTAGAGGAGGAGAACCCATGTTTGGAAGACCCCAGAAACATGTTGTGCGTCCACTGAGTCACAAAGGCAGAAGGACACCAGAGCCTCGCAGCCACTGCTTTCTGCCCAATGACCTTGTATTGGAGACAGGAGACATGACTTCCCCCAGTTCAGATGGGCTGATTTCCAATGTAACATCGCTTCAACTGCCCATGTGCAAAGCGCTGCTGTCACCCCCCTTTATATTACATTTGGAATTGCATCAGCAAAAGTTCCCTTTGGTGTGTTGCTGCCACGGATTTTATAGGATCTTACAAGAGACAGTGAGCTTGCTTGTCGTGAGTAAGGAGAGGCCTGTAGCCTTATTATTTGATTTTACAGGTTTTTCAAACCCAGAAGCCATTCACTCTATTGTTGGAGGAAAGTGGAATGTTCTGTCTCTTTCCGACATTAGATTTCACCCTCTTTTTTCAGTGTCTATCATCTTACTTAAAAAAAAGAAAAAGTAATAATAAAAGAACCCTTTAAAAGCTGTTAACAAACCTGCTATTGTGCGGTTGTGGGGATCAGATTAGGAATTGTGTGCCACTATTGATGTTACAGGCACTAGCCAATAGGTGCCTGGTGGGTCAGCTCAGTGTTGTAGTGGCAGTTGCCAGTGCCCGGTGCCTGGGGCTCACGCAACTGCAACCCCACCTGAGCAAATGGGGTCACACTGAGCCACCTGCCTGACCACGCAGCGGGGAGCCCAGCCAGCTGACGCAACCCTTGTCAGGCACAGAGGAGTGCTGGGCCAGGCCACACTGCCTGCATGGGGGTGCCTCGCTCGTGCCCCCTCAAAAATTGTGCGCCTGGGGCAAATGAACCCCTGGCACCCCCACGCTACACCCCTGGGTTGGCTCCAACTATCTAGACCTCTTGAAGCGAATGGGCTTGCTCATTAATTTCAGTGAGCTGGATTAACATTAGATACAGCCCACAATATTTATTTCTTTATAACAGGGGGTGGAGAACCTCTGGTCCAGGGGATGGATATGGCCCTCCAGGCCTCTCCATTTGGCCCCTGGAACTCTCCCCTCATTGACCCTCGTTCTGCACCTTGCTTGAGTGTTTTTGTCTGCCTAGGGTGCATCCTTGAATTCTGATGAGGCCCCTTGCATGTCTGGATGACAGGTGTAGTGTGCGTAGAAACCAGCCAATTGCATAAAAGTAAACTTTGCATCAATTGCTCTATCCACTCCCCCCCCCCGGCCTCACCCAACAGTGGCATGTGGCCCCCAGAAGCCCTCCCAGTAGCAAATGGGGCTCTCGGGATGAGGTCTCTGCTCCTGCTTTAAAACAGGTCTTATTCTTTCTTCCAGGAGACAGAACGGGATTTGGAAGGAGAGCAAAAAAAAAAGCACACATGTGCCACTGGTCCCAGCTGCCTCAGACCCCCTTGCACTTATGTATGGCTCCATAACATGTTAAATCCATATATAGTTTTATGAGAAATGGGCATTTGCCAGCATTTCTCTCCAGTTTGGGAAGAGAAAAGGCGAACGAGCGAGTGGAGTGGGAGACTGTCGCCTGAAAGGTCCCCATTTGGAATCACAGGACGATAGAACCATACTGTTGGAAGGGAACCAAAGGCCCATCTAGTCTCACCCCTTGCCAGGCTGAATGTTGAGACCATGGTGCAAGATGGCTCCCGTGGAGGGCATGGCTAAGGACCAAATGGCTGGCGTTGGAAGGGAGGGAAGTGATTCTTTTTTTAAAAAAGGGATTGTTGTGAATTTGCGCAATTTCTACATGGGATTCCCCTCCCACCCAGTGCTATTTTTCAAGAAAAAGAGGTGCCAGCACTCACCATGAACGCCTCCCTTGGTCTCTTAGAATGGCAATGGCGTCCGCCTGAGAGGTGCCGGAACTGAGTTCCAGCAAATTCCGGCTGAGGAAAAAAAGCCCTGCTCTCACCCTCTCCTCATACAAACAAACAAAAGAAACATCCCCAGCTTTGCATAATGTTACATTGGAACCGGGTTCGGAATCCGTTTTCTGTGCCCGACGAGTCTTCCGCGGCACGGGCCCATCTCAGCGGACTTGGGGAGGTTTGTGTACAGGGCTTTCCAGAAAAAAGCTCAGAGGGGAATCGGCCACACAATGGCCATATATGAGTCCATGGGTGCCCCTGGTGCGTGAGCCCGCCCCCCTGAATCACCCGCTGTCCGAGGATGTGTGAGGGGCAGTGGAGGGAGACTTCCGCCGGCGGGTGGGAGTCCAGCAGGAGCGTTCGGAGCTGTTGGAGGTGCCGCAGGTGCGGGGCAGGGCCCGCTGCTGCTGGCGTATGGCTTGGCTGACGAGGCTGGGGAGCGCGTGCAGAGTTAGGCCCAGCATGTCGATCTTCCCCTCCAGGGCGCTGATGCGCTTCTCAAGGTCCTCGTTGCGCTCCTGCAGCTCTGACACCATGTCATACATGACGTTCTGCGTCTGGAGAGAAAGGGAGGGGAAAGGGGGAATGGGTTGGTGGTCGCTGCACTGGAAGAGAGCAGGGTGGCTCCAAACCTCCTCCTTACCACCACCCCGGCCCCGCTTATTTATAGTAATACAATATAATAATTTATTATTATTATTATTTATACCCCGCCCATCTGACTGGGTTGCACTAGCCACTTATTTCATTCTGGGGGACCAGGGGAGAGGGGAGCTCGTCACAGCAGGAGGGGGAGACCACTAGGACTCTTCATCCACCTCAATCATCTCAGCCTCTTGGCCTCCCTCCTCTACAGCCTCCGCTTCTGATTCTGGCCTTCTCTGCGGGGGTCAGGTGGGATTGCTACGAGGAATTATGAGAATACCGTTTCCCCAAAAGTAAGAGATCCCCCGAAAATAAGACCTCCCCGATAATAAGGCCTCCCCCGAACATAAGGCCTCCCCGGAATATAAGGCCCCCAAAGCTACCGTAAGGCATCTGACTCCTCTGGACCGTAGCAGCGGGCGCCACCGCGCAGCTCACTGATTAGCTGCAGCGCAGCCGGAGCTGTTCAGGCAGTGCGAGGTCTCTTTAAATCAGAGAGCCCGCGCCACTGCCAGGATAAGCTGCTGCCTGCTGTTCGCTCTGCCCTGACAGAGTCTGGCTGACTCACAATTAGACAATAAATGTGTATCATATTCTTCTTCATGGAAAAATAAGACATCCCCGGACACTGAGGTCCAGTGCTGAGGGCCTTCTGGCGGTTCCCTCACTGCGAGAAGCCAAGTTACAGGGAACCAGGCAGAGGGCCTTCTCAGTGGTGGCACCCGCCCTGTGGAACGCCCTCCCACCAGAAGTCAAAGAGAAAAATAACTACAAAACTTTTAGAAAACATCTGAAGGCAGCCCTGTTTAGGGAAGCTTTTAATGTTTAATAGGTTATTGTATTTTAGTGTTTTGTTGGAAGCCGCCCAGAGTGGCTGGGGAAACCCGGCCAGATGGGCGGGGTATAAATAAATTATTATTATTATTATTAAATAAGACCTAGCGCATCTTTGGGAGCAAAAAGATCTTAAGCGCCAGGAAGAGAGTTCACAAGGAGATGGTAAATACTGCCATCCTTCCTCTCCTGTTTACTGCCGTTTATGACCTCTGGGGTTTGCTGAATGCATTCCTCCTTTAGTCCTATTTTATTTACTCTGAACTACATATGCATGCTCAAGTAGGAAATAGTTTCTTTGTAGTTAAAATAATTTCTTCTGATTTGACTTTGTCCCACGTGGGGGTTTTGAAATGCTCAGAGGAAATCTGATTGGTTCTTACGAACACTGTGTAAAAAGTTCTTTTGTGAATAAAACGACCTGGGCCAAGGGGTGGACGGAAGATTACTATTGGCACTTCCTCTCTGCCACACTCTCCCTGCTCACTAAGCCCTGTTACCTCTTCTGCCCCCTGGTTATGAGCCTTCTTCCCCTGAAGGTTTCCTAGGGTGTTCTAAAGCTGGTGTCTCTCATCCAACCAGTCCCCTCCCTCCCTCCCTCCCTCCCTCCCTCCCTTCCTTCCTTCCTTCCTCTGTCCGCTTTGGGAACCACTGATCCAGTTCAATAATATTTCCACTGACAGGTAACAGCTCTCCAGGAACCAAGCCGCCCGCTTGGTGAGTCCCCGCGCACTGCGCTAAACCGGCGCAGTGTGGCATGGGGACTCGCTTAGGCAGCGCCGGAAATCACATCTGCACATGTGCAGACGCCAAAAATTGTGTCTGTGCAAACACAGACACTGGAAATCACAGAAATCGTGGATTAAACCTTGCTGACCCCTGGCCTAGAGCCTCTACCCCAACCCAAGGTGATTACTTCAAGCAGAGACCCAAACATTGCTTGATGTTTCCATCACCCAGGCGTGGCTCACCTTTGACAAATCCACGAGGGTGTTTGCCTGGTCGTTGAGCTTCCTCTGTTCCATTTTCACGCTCCTCAACCTGGAAAGCAAAAACGATAGCGGGAATTAAAGATGAGGGAAGGCGGGCAGGACGTTGGGGTTGCACGAAGCAGTGGTCTGCAGGTGGAACAGACAGGAGATGAGAGAAAGAGTTTCCACCATCACCGTAGACAGACATGCACACAATTCCAGATCCCGCCTTGCTGGATCCAAACACACACACACCCAGGCATGCAGGGAGCCAATGGCACGAGACCATTGGCTTGGGTGGAGACAGCTTAGAGAAGAGCCCTCTCTCAGCATGGAGTGACCCTCCACCTCTAGGTTTTTGGGGGACTGGAGAAGACCTTCCTGTCTCAGCTGAGCCTCGGAGGTCAGCCACTCAGCTTCTGAGAAACCCTGTTGGGTTTTCACCCCACTAGAAAATTTAGAGGCCCCTTACCACTTTTAGGGATATGGTCTGCTTTTAAATATTAGTCTGATTCACCCTGAGAGCTGTCTTCTTGGCTCGCATATTGGTTTTGGGGCACGGATCAGGTCATATTTGCATGAAAATGCAAACTGGATGGATGTATCTTCTAAAGCATCCGGAAGGCATCAGGGCAGGGAAGGTGCTGCAACCAGATCTCCTCCCTGCTTGTCTCCCAGAACCAGTAGAGGCATGAAAAGGGTGGAGAAGAGGTTGGCTGATGACAGGAGCAGTCTCTGATTGCTTGGGGGGAAAGTCCTGGAGAGGAGGGGGTGGGGACTTTCAGTTTCAGCAACTGAATTTTATGGAGGAAGACCACCGGAAATGAGATGCTCTCCTCATCAGGCCTGGAACTCAGCCAAGTCTGTGGAGATGATGTTTTTGCTAATAACAAGTTAACTCCACCTTTGATCTGTGTGATTACTGACTGGCATACTCCTGTGACAGTCCGAAGGATGGATTCAATGGACCTTTCCCAGCCTGGCTTATCAGGAAATTGGGAAAGTAAGGGTGGGGTGGGGGAGAGAATCATCTCACATTCCCTGAGTTATTTGAAGATGCTCACACTATGTTTACAGCCCTTAAACGACTCAGGTCCCAAATATCTGAGAGACTGCAGACTCTCACGTGTTAAGAACATAAGAAGAGACCAACCAGATGCCCATTATGGGAGACTCTCAACCAGGACTCGAACACAGAACCAACTCACCCTTCCCGTGGGTTTCTAGCAACAGGCATTGCTGTCTAGGCATCGCATAGCCATTGTTGCTAGCGGAAAACACAGCAGAGGTGGCCCTCTTGCCTGCAGAAGTCTTTTTTTTTGGGGGGGTGGCAGTTTGGGGAGAAAGATTGCCTTCTCTGTGGCAGCCCCTGCATTGCGTATATCCCTCCCCACAGAGATCTACAAGGCACCTTCATTGCGCAGCTTTTGTCACATGCGGAAAATGTGCTGCCTGATCCTGACACCCCAGTTGCGGTTTTGATTGTGGTTTTTTTAATGTTGAGTTTACATGTTGTGGCCTGTGGAAGGGAGAGCTATAATAATACTAATAGCAATAGCTAAAGGTAATCGAATTCGACTATGGGGTTCGGCGCTCATCTCCGCTTTCAGGCCGAGGGAACCGGCGTTTGCCCACAGACAGCTTTTCCAGGTCATGTGGTGAGCAGGATAAAACCGCTTCTGGCGCAACAGGACACTGTGACAAGTGCCAGGGCGCACGGAAATGCCGTTTACCTTCAGAATAATAATAATAATAATTCAGATGGGATCTGCCAGGCTGATGGGCAGTGCAATGATGACATTGGAGGGAGCAGTTTAATAATAATAATAATAATATAATTTTATTATTTATATCCTGCCAAGCTGGCTGGGTTCCCCCAGCCGCTCTGGGCTGCTTACAGCACTTATGGAAACATAGTAAAACGTCAAACATTAAAAACTTCCCGATACAGGCAGGAGGGTCCATGTGGGTGCTGTGAGATGGAGACATAATGACGCTCCCACTTATGGATGGGTCCAGAAAGCCCTTCCGTTGCTTGGCCTCTAAATCAGAGCAACGTCGCGAGACACAGGCAAAAGATGGAAACAGCTTGTGCTGAGAGATGGGAGGGAAGAGAAACACGGCATTTGCAAGTTGGCAGTGGACTGGCATGCTACGAACCCCCAAATTTCTGACTCTCACTCTCTCTCTCTCTTTTCTCTCTCTCTCTCTCTCTCGCTGTCCACATTTCGAAACGGAGAGAAATTTGGGTTAGCCGAGGGCTGGCCGGGGTGAAGCGCGGTTGGGATGTGCACCTTTGCGTGCGTAACTTGGGCATGCGTGTGTGTCTGAATGGGGTCGGCGTTGTGGCCTCCCGGAGGGGTGGAGACAAAGACGGGCAAACCATGCAGTCAAACAAAAGTTCTGGCGGAACAGTAACTTACTTCTGGGCTCTGCAAGGGCGGGGTGGGGTGGAGGGGGGGAGGGAACAGAGACAAAACAACAGCACAGGTTTAAATAAACATGAGAGATAGGAAGGGGGGGGGTCACACCGCCAGACACTGCCTTCTCTGCTCCCCAGAACCCATAGATCCCCACCCCGGAGTGGTCAAATTGTGGGTCGAAGTTATGAGGATAGCCGAAAACCCAGCACACACTAACCGGGGGGGGGGGCACTGCCAGCGACTCCCTCTTATGCGCAGGAACATAGGAATTCATCTTATACAGAGCCAGACCCGCTTCCCCACTCCATCTAGTTCAATACTGCCTGCACTGACTGGCAGCCAGAGATTTCCATCTCTTCCATGGCGATGCCATGCAGACCCTCCAGGTGTCCCTATTTCCTTTTCCTTTTTTAAAAATGCTTTTTATTAAGTTTTCATTTCAAATACACCAACAAAATACACAAATATTTCAAATCTTTTTACATCTGCCTTACTTTACGCTCCGTAGAGCAGTTGACATCCCTTCCGCAGGTTTTCTTATTCCAATCACTAATCCACAGTCCCTTAATAATAACTAAACCATGACCTAAGATTTATTTCAGTCCTGCTAACGTCTTCAAATTTCTACCGTTCTCACTTATATGGACCATAAATTTCCTCCATTCTTTTTGGTACGTTGTTTCCTCCTGACTACGAATCCTATGGGTTGGTTTTGCTAATTCTGCGTATTCGACCAACTTTGTCTGCCACTCCTTCACAGTTGGTATCTCTTGTGTTTTCCATTTTTGGGCTATCAAAACTCTGGCAGCTGTCGTAGCATACATATATAATCTTCTTAACCTTCTTAATATCCTCTCCTATTAAACCTAGCAATAGTTCTTCAGCCTTTTTTGGGAATGTATATTTAAGCATCCAAGTGTCCCTATTTTCCAGGGACAGTCCTGGGTTTACAGAAGCCGTCCCGGTTTCTGATCTGACCCTGGAATGTCCTGCTTTTCCTTAGGACGTCCCTGTTTTCATCAGGGAAATGTTGGAAGGCATGCGATAGAACTTGCATCCTACTGTATGGAAGACTACTGAGCTGGGGGACCATGTAAGATTCAGGTCCTTTGTTCACAAAGGAAGTTGCCTTCCAGTGAGCTAAACCACCAATCCGTCTAGGTCAGTATCACCGGCACTGGTTGGCTGAGCTGGGAAAAGCATTGGACTCTTGAGAGCGCCACTGATTCCGGTTCTGTCAGTTTGGTTACACCTCTCTCTCTCTCTCTTCCTCAGCCACCCACCCTTGCCCCGACATTACTTGTTATGTACTGAAGTTCTCACCCTGGGCCAGCAGGGGGATACTGTAGATAGTTATGCAAATAAGGGATCGAAAGTGACGTTCAGTGATTGGATAGTATAAGAAAGTTGTTACAGTAACGTTGTACTGGAGCTCTATATAAGCAGGCTGACTGAACCCTTCAGTTCAGTTCTGTCCTGGCCTGTGAATAAACAAGAGCTGTTTGAAGAATCGCTGTGTCGTCTGATATGTTCACCCACAACTTAACATTACTGATAACACACTGCATGTAAAACACAGTAAACGAAAGCTAGGGACCCACAATTTTGTCGCCTCAAGGTTATTTTGACGGCACACAGCTCTGCAAGTTCACACACTCTGGTTCGCTGACAAACCATCTCATCGTAGATCGCCTTCGACGCAAGGGGAAGCGAGGGAACCTCGACGTGCAATTGTGCGTGCCGCCACACCAACACATCTCCCTCTCCTCCCCATGTTGCATCGATGCACACAAGCAAATGGGTAACACGGATATGGGAGGGGGATTTGAAAAACACAAATGGTTTGAAACACATGAAAGTCTGTGTGGCGAAGGCGGCAGCTGTCCTTGACCGAAAATCTGGCAAAGGTGCTGTCCAGGATCTTGGAAGGTAAACAGAAGCTGCTCTTCTAGACTTGGGTTGGGTTGGGAAATCTAGATATGGGGCATGTGTTTTTTTTTATCAGACTCGCTGACCATGATGCAGAAGAAGCTTGCAATTTCTTGCATGTATCTATATCCTTGTCTAATGTCACACAACCAGCGGCAATATTGCCTTATCCCAGATACAGCTACTTTCCCAAACCAAGTCTCCTATGTATATTTTGCTCTGAGAGGCTATGTTTGGTCAGAATCGAGTAGATACTTCCAAAGTTAACACTAAACACCAGACCTTCCAAGTCCCCCTATTTTCCAGGGACAGTCCCAGATTTACAGAAGCCGCCCTGGTTTCTGATTTGATCCCGGAATGCCCCGCTTTCCCTTAAAGGTAAAGGTACCCCTGCCCGTACGGGCCAGTCGTGTCCGACTCTAGGGTTGTGCACACATCTCACTTAAGAGGCCGGGGGCCAGCGCTGTCCGGAGACACTTCCGGGTCACGTGGCCAGCGTGACGAAGCTGCTCTGGCGAGCCAGCACCAGCGCAGCACACGGAAACGCCGTTTACCTTCCCGCTATAAGCGGTACCTATTTATCTACTTGCACTTAGGGGTGCTTTCGAACTGCTAGGTGGGCAGGAGCTGGGACCGAAAGACGGGAGCTCACCCCGCCGCAGGGATTCGAACCGCCGACCATACGATCAGCAAGTCCTAGGCGCTGAGGTTTTACCCACAGCGCCACCCGCGTCCCTTAGGACGTCCCTATTTTCACGGGAGAAATATTGGAGCGTGTGAAATGCATTACTTCTGGTAAATGAGCCACCATATTCACTAGAGGGCCGTGAAAATTTGTGTCCTGGACTTTTTAGACTCGTCTTCCCATGTACTATCTGAAACCAAAGGGACACATTGCTTACCAGATGTGATTTTATTTTTAAACTCTCCCACCCCGCTATTAGTGGTTTGTGCAAACCGTTGTTCTGCCTTTTGTATGGTAGAGGTAGGAGGCCCTAAGGGTGCATTTGTGGAAGCAAGTGGGTGAGGTCCCCCCCAAAAAAGTTTGGCAACCGTTGCTCTACATTGTTATATTTGGATGTGTGGGATGTGAAACACAGAGCAGCCAAATACAACATTCCTAGAGTGAACATAAAAGGGGATGTCTGGACCAGCCAGTTGGAACTTCCTGTTTCCTCCTGGGCTGGGATAGTCTTCCTCTGCATGTGACCAGAGGTGGGCGTGACCTCACCGGTGCAGGTAACAAAACAGCACAGGGGAGGCAGCCATCTCTCTCTCTGACTCCATTCCTTGAAGAAGCAACATCTTAGCCTGAGATGCTCTCTTGGCATCTTGGCTTGCAGCCATGAGAGGACAAAGGAACTATCTCCTTATGGGATAGATCCCAAGTGTATATATTTTGTAACTTAAGTCTGCCTTCTGGGATCCATCTGTGAACAGAATGTGTGTGAGTAAACTCTTTTATAATTTTATACAATACTGTGTTGTGCCTAATGTTTTACGAAGGAACAAAGGGGAATTACGAGGAAGCTTATTTTAGAGGCTTATACAAGCCTGACAAATACGTTATCTGCTGTACAAATTTTAGAAGGGGAATGTTACTCTGCTAAATTATAGAACTTGCTAACACAAGTTGGGAAGGAAATAATTAAACAATATATCCTCTCCTGCCTCCCTGAACATTCCCACAGAATGAACCTAACCTTTCCCATGACAGGTATGGATTCTTGAGTCTTCTCCAAGGGAGCGATGGCAATACCTAGATGTGGACAAGGCCAGTATGTGGCTCCAAATCAAAGCAGCTCAGACTGTAGGATGTAACATCACAGAAAGCAGTCAAATACAACAGTTCCTGTTTGCCCAGAGTGGACACACAGGGGGATGTTGCTCCAGCCAGGAGGACTTCCTGTGACCTGGTCTGGAGCATCCTCCCCCTGCGTGTGACCAGGTAGATGGGCGTGGCCCTAGGAGACCCCATAAAAGGGCTGGTCACGCAGCCATCTTCCTTCTCTTGCTTCTCTTGATGATGTTCTCTTGATGTCTTTTTGTTTTCTGCTGGCTCTCAGCCAGCAGCACATATGGGATAAACTCTCTTCTGCAGCTAAAAGCTAAAGCCTGCCTTCAGGATCATACAGTGAACTGAATGTAAGTAAACTTCTTATCATTACTTTTAAAAGAAGACTGTTGTGGTCCTTATTGTTGTAACAGGGAATAAAGGGGAATTTACCAGGATCAAACCCAACCTGGACAAGCCAGATTGGACTGCTTAAGTAAAGAGATCCAAACGAATCTACCAACTAGCTTCCTGATGTATGCTGGGGGAAATGGACTCTGCTACGAACTCACTAGCGTGAGTGAGGAAGGATAATATTTAATCAATATATCCTCTCCTACTATCCACAACATTCCCACACAGACCTCCAATATGTGGGATGTGAAACACAAGAGCAGTCAAGTACAACATTCCTAGAGTGAACATGTTTACACATGGGGAGGAATGTTTGTCCAGCCAGCAGGTCAACTTCCTGTTTCCTTCTGGGCTGGACTTCTGCATGTGACTAGAGGTGTGCGTGGCCTCACCTGTGCAGGTAACAACAAAAGCACAGGGCAGGGCAGCCATCTCTCTCTCTATGACTACTTTCGTCAAAGAAGCAACATCAGCTTAGCCAAAGATGCTCTCTTGGCCTCCAGCCAAGAGAGGACAAAGGGACTGTCTCTTTATGGGATAGTTTCCAGGTGTATGTTACTTTTCTAAGCTAAGTCTGCCTTCTGGGATCCAGTTGTGAACAGAATGTGAGTAAACTCTTTTTATACTTTTATAGAAGACTGTGTCGTGTCTTATCTTTTATGAGGGAATAAGGGGGAAATACCAGAACAGTTATTATAGAGGCTTTAGCGAGCCTGAGCAAACGCATCCGCTGTGAGTTTAAACAGGGGGATGTTACTCTGCTAAATTGTGAACTTGTTAACACAAGCTGGAAAGGCTATAATCAGACAATATATCCTCTCCTGCATCCCTGAACGTTCCCACACGATACGGGTAGGTTTCGTATAACAACCCAATGCCACCCCCAGCTAGCAGCAGATTTTTGCAACGATTGAACGGTGCATCGTATTTAGTGGGGCGGATTCCCCTCCTTTCAGGCAGGGACCCCCAAGTCAGGGAGAGACCTGGACAACAGAACAGGGGGATGGAGGGTGGGTGGGTGGGAGCAGGAAGCAGCAGGCACTGGGGGGGGGGGTTGAAGCAGGTAAACATGTTTGACTTACTGATGGATGGCTTGGAGGAACTTACGCTGGTGTTTCCGTACTTTGGCATGGTCAATCTTCCTCACCAGCTTGGTATGCTTGTAGATCAGCCACGTTTCCCTGAGTACGTTGGCGGCAGAATTCTTCACCTGGGGGGTTGGGGAGGGGAAGGGGTTAAGGGGGAAAGAAAAGGAGATGGGCCTCAGACAGGCAGGAGAAATCTGAGGAGGTGAGCGGCGCTCTTCCAAAAAAATAGGCTCGCTGGAGTTCGTGATGGCACAGTCTCTGACCAATCCTACCTTGCTCCCATTGTGATAGCTCTCGGTTATCACCAACCAATCCAAGTTTGACTCTGTGAAGGATTGTTTGTGAAGATGCTAAGTTGCACCCGTGTCTTAAGAAAGCTAACTATTCAGAGTTAATTAAGAACTCGGTCTTTTAGTGTGGCAGCATCTACACTTTGGAACTCCCTGCCTTTTGATACCCCTGTACCCTTATTGGCGTCTGCTAAAGAGATTTTTGCCATCCAGATATTTAGAAAGGTGGTGTGAGTTTTAATCTGTTTTTAGTTTATTTTTAACTTTAAATCATTGCTATTAATTTTCCTTATTGGATCATTTTATTGTGATACACACACACACCTCTCACACTGCTCTGAGGTTTTTTTTTTTAAAAAAAAAACAATTAAGGGGTGCATGCATATTATGAAATAAATAAATATTACTGTTTTCACAGTCAAGTCTTGATTCTCTGAATGGCCGCTACAAGGAATTACCGTATTTTTTGCTCTATAAGACTCACTTTTTCCCTCCTAAAAAGTAAGGGGAAATGTGTGTGCATCTTCTGGAGCGAATGCAGGCTGCGCAGCTATCCCAGAAGCCAGAACAGCAAGAGGGATTGTGCTTTCACTGCGCAGCGATTCCTCTTGCTGTTCTGGCTTCTGAGATTCAGAATATATTTTTTTCTGGGGCGCCACTAGGGGGCGCATTGGAAGATGGCCGACAATACCATCTCTCCGACCCACACGGGGTAATTAAGAGGCTGTTATGGGAGTAGGCAGCCTCCCTTGTTGCCCCAAGGAAATGGGGAACACTGCCCTTGCCTGCTGTGCCCATAAATCACCCCCTAATTCGAAAGAAGGGGGTGAGGGCCCTAGGCAGAATGCCTCCTTGTGGACCTTGGCTCTCCTGGACGCTGTCTCTGATCACGCACTAGTTGCATCAATTTGGAATAATTAATTACAAAAGAAGCAAATGCACATATTTCAAGTGAAGAAGGGGAGTGAAGTCTGCTAATTTAAGTGATCTCTGCAAAAGAAGACGATGGGCTGGAGAAACAGGAATATTTTACGATGAAGATACACCAAAGGCGGGGTATGTTGACAACGGGGCTGAATGGGGGGGGGAACCTTTTTTACTTTCCTTCTATGTGATTTACAAGAACCCCTCCTCATTAGAACCGTCGGTTGAACTGACCCAAGCAGGATGATTAAGGTCTGTGTGGAGATAAACTTTAACCAAAAGTATGCTTTATGGAGACCGAGAAGCAATAAGAGCTTTTGGGAATGGCACAGCAATTAATTCGGAGTCGCCATCTTGCCAAAGGATTTATAGCTGGGAGGAAGAACAGATTTGTTTTCAGACTGCATTCCTAGTGAATCTCCTCAGAGGTTTTGAGAAAGGAGGCAGATTGGTGAAGATTAATGACGCTAAGACTGTTTTGATGTATGGAAGTGATGTTATATGGAAAACGTCTGGATATGGCTACTGGATAAAAAAAATAATATCCACGCAGGATTACAAACTGTTCTAACCAGCTTACGGAGACTATCAGAGGTCACAAAGAGAAAGGAAAAATATATGAAAATAACAACAAGAGATGTGGAAAAATAATAAGAAAGGACTGGATAGTACTGTGAACATCATAAGGTTAGATTTGTGGACATTAAAACAGCAGTAAGAAGCAATAAGTTGATTGGATTCCTTCGGAACTTGAAATATGGGTACCCCCAACAAAAATTTAAAATTCGGCTGTGTAATTTGGAATTTATGTAATTTGGTTTGATTTGATGTGATTGGTCGGTTCATAAAAAAATATTCTGAAAAAGAATATATTTTTTCTTGTTTTCCTCCTCCAAAAATTAGGTGTGTCTTGTGGTCTGGTGCGTCTTATAGAGCGAAAAATGCGGTACCTCTGGAACAGCAATCCTGTGCATTTTATAAAACAGCGGTAGACGAGGTTGTTCCTTGCATTATCCTCAAAGTAAAGATCTTCCGTGTAGAGACCCATTGAAATTCATGGTCCTCAAGTTCTCATGCCCATTGAATTCAATAGGTCTACTCTGAATATGACCAGCGTTGGAGATGACCCATGGAAAATGGATTGGCCCAAGTTATTCATGTCCATGACCTACGATGGGTTTACTCTTGAGCAGGACAAGGGTTGACTACCACCCACACTCTGTCTATGTTGAGGATCGGGGCTGAGGGTGTTGCACCTCTTACCCGCTTTGATAGCTGTGTATCCATCATGAAGTTGTGGACGTGCTTTTCTGCTTTGGTCAGTTCGAGCTTCCGGGCGACCACGGCAACCACAAGAGCCGTACAGCCTGCACCCTGCAAGACAGGGAAGAGGGTGGGTTAGAATAGGGAAAGCCAAACCAGTTGGATGCCTGCCTGCTGAAGGAGGCGGGAGAAGTGAGCCTTATCCAAGGACACTGCAGTGTGCTCCTTATTTTCATTTAAGTTAGTAACATGCCATTCAATTACCAAAATCTCTAAGGGGTGGACATATATATATATATATAATAATTTTTTTCTTAGTTTTTCAACATATCGTTTTCAACAGTAATTAAACATACTTTCATATCTTATATCATATTTTTTTTACTTCCATCAATCACATCTGAAAATTTTCCAATCTATTCACTAAATACACATTTCTTACTTCCACAATTGCATTTAATTCATAACTAATATCTCTATTCTTCCTCTATTTTGCAATGCTTCATACATTTCTCCTTACAAAACTTCTTGCAGTCCTGCTAGCGTGATTTGTTGATTACAGTTGCTCTTCAAATAATCCGTATGTTTCTTCCAATCTTCTGTAAATCTTGTACAGTGGTACCTCGGGTTAAGTACTTAATTCGTTCCGGAGGTCCGTTCTTAACCTGAAACTGTTCTTAACCTGAAGCACCACTTTAGCTAATGGGGCCTCCTGCTGCCGCCACCGCTGAACAATTTCTGTTCTCATCTTGAAGCAAAGTTCTTAACCCGAGGTACTATTTCTGGGTTAGCGGAGCCTGTAATCTGAAGCGTCTAGAACCCAAGGTACCACTGTATATTTCTAAGCAGTGATTCATAGTCTGGGAACAATTCTGGCTTCTAGCAGAAGAGGCAGGAGAGGAGGCCCAAGAGGCAGCAATGGGTTCGGCTGCTGAAGAATCCAGGGAGGCTCCCCCTCCTGCTGCAACCAGCTCTCCTCCCCCCCCCCCCGGCCTCCCAGGGCACTCAGTGAAATGAACGGAGCACGTTAGAGCTCTGTTTTGCACAGACTCAGGGCAGATCTACACACATGGTTTTTAATGTTAAGGAAGCGTTATGGAATGGTTTTGATACCTATATGGACACATGACGTCCTACTTTTAACATTCATAGGGCATTATTAAAATGTGACACTAGAGGGTGTTGCAGAGCGCAGATGGGAAACAGCGTTTTGACGAAAGAAAGAAAGGAAGGAAGTGTCAGGGGACTGCCATCAGTGCCGGAGGGAGAGAGCAAAATCCAGAGGGATTCCGGAGAGCGTCCCGGGATTGGGAGAGGCAGCCCATCTTCTGGGGAAGAGAATCAGCGTAGCACCAGTGGAGAAGGGGGGCAGATGGGGGAAGCGGCGAGGCGGTCCCATGACTCCTTGCCGGGGACCAGCGGGGAGAGTAGAGCTCCTCCGCTGCCTACGCCCTCCTTGCGCAGAAGGCTTCCGCGCAGGGAGAGTAGGAGGAGACGAGGCGTCAAAGAGCTTCTTTGCTGGAAGAAGTTTAAGAAACGCCCACTGACGGATTCTGCCAGCGATTGAGACAGCCACGGGTGAATGGCTGTCCGGACAGAAAAGGTTCACTCAGGCAATCCAGCCAGGTGTTTGCACCGGCTTACGCACGAGCAACCCCTAGAACAGGAAGGAAGGAAGGAAGGAAGGAAGGAAGGAAGGAAGGAAGGAAGGAAGGTTTTTTTTAAAAAAAAATCCAATTTACAAGTATGCCCTGTGATGTTATATATTTATGCCACTACGGCGGCCCGTGTTTTGTTAGCTCAAAAATGGAAAACGAGCGAGGTCCCAACCAAAGAAGAATGGCAACTTAAACTGGTGGAATATGCGCAGCTTGCAGATCTAACTTATAGAAAAAGAGAACAAGAAGAACATTCATTTAAAGAAGATTGGAAAATATTTATTGAATATATGGGGGGGGGAATTGTGTACACTTGGAGACTTTGGCAGCATTAAGAGAAATCCAGCAGTGTAAATAAGTTTTGATGGAAGTAATAATGGAATACTGAATGGTTTAGTTTATATAAAATATGCAGGGATTTATGCTGTGCAAAATGAACCATGGAAAGAGAAGAAGGGAAGTCACTGGTATTTTAAGGTTGTTTAAATGAATATTCTAAATTGTAAAGGAGAAAATTTAATAAAAATTGTATAAACAAAAACAAAACAATCCAATTTACATGTATGCCCTGTGATATTTTAGAACGGTACAGTGGTACCTCGGGTTAAGAACTTAATTCGTTCTGGAGGTCCGTTCTTAACCTGAAACTGTTCTTAACCTGAGGTACCACTTTAGCTAATGGGGCCTCCTGCTGCCGCCGCGCAATTTCTGTTCTCATCCTGAAGCAAGGTTCTTAACCCAAGGTACTATTTCTGGGTTAGCGGAGTGTGTAACCTGAAACATCTGCAACCCGAGGTACCACTGTATATCTAATGACAGGTCAGTGTCAATCCAGCCTCAGTTTGCAACTGCTTGAGAAAAACCCTGGAGAGGACTTAGATGGTTGTGGGAAGGTGGGGACCTTCATTACTTGCAACTGTCTCATTGGGGCAAGACCTACTGGGAATAGTTCCTTGGGTCACCAAGCCTGCGCTGTTTTGAATAAAGAGTTAACTTCACAGACACCATGTTGCTTTTTTAAAATCGCTGACCTACACCTGAAATTAAAGCAAGGCAGTCTCTGAAAGGCAATCTGAAAGGCATGGCATGAAAGGAAAGAGGTACAGGGAGGGAAGAGGAAAAAGAAGACATACAAGCTGAAAGGCAGAACGCACAGGGAAGGAAGAGCAGGGAAATGTAAGAAACAAAGGGTGATCTGTGCACCAGCAGGAAAGATACAGGCGGCAGATGGAACCTTACCATAATCCCAGTGAGCAGGCAGACTCCTTTCCCGCAGTAAGTGTGCGGGACCATGTCCCCATAGCCGATGGAGAGGAAGGTGATGGAGATCAACCACATGGCCCCCAGGAAATTGCTGGTCACGTCTTGCTTGTCATGGTATCTGGGCCGAAAAAGAGTAAAAGGAGGGGGGGGAAGTCTCCATCAAAACCGTCTTGGCTTCTTCCCATCCGCCCTTGGCCTGCCCCACACATAACCGGAGTGGGTGAGGGTGGGGCTACAGTAGGACACCCCCCCCACGTGCCCAATCTCTGCCCACTGCAGGCTGCCACAGAGGATGGAAGAGTTTTGCACTGGACTGGGTGTATTTCAGTTGTGAATTGTCGCCTTAAATGTGGATCCAAAACGGATGAGAATTTGTTGATTTTGGTTTCTCGTTTTAAATTCAGTTCTCCTCATCTGCCCAGCGATAGATGTATATCCTCGTGAAAGCTGGGCAGCATTTCTGGTGCAAATTTCTCCCAATATACCAATGTTTGCATGGGGTTTGACTAACGGACGCATTTTCTTGCAAAGCAACCTTTTGTAATATGATAGGGCGTCAGGTTGTTTTCACCAGTGCATGCACCGCAAAGCACACACTGTCCTAATTTTTTTCGCACACAATATTTCTCGGACAACTGCATTGCAAAATTCAGATAAGGGCAATTCCTGCCCTCCCTGTTTGAAGGACAGCTGTTATTTCACAATGCATATTTGCTCCAGGACTGTGAATGCAGCGTTGATCTTAGCCAACAGTGGTTTGGAAATTCAGTTTTGCAGACCCGGGGAACCCCTTTCCTGCCCATATTTTGCATGGATTCTAAATATGGCTTCTCATTCTATCCCTGTGGCAGCCTTGGAGCATTAGCACCACCATTCAAAGTGTCCATTCCTGCATTCTCAAAGCTGTGGTTGCAAGATTGCTCTCTGGGTTTCCAAGCAGAGAACTCCATCGGATGAACACCCGCTAACTTTTTTTTTTGCAGCTCAAAGACTGAAGGGTTTTGTTTGTTTCATTAAAAAAAAACAAGTCAAGATTCCTCTTTGGGTACAACACGGCTTTCCCCCCAATCAGTATGTTTGATTCTTTTACTTCCATTCTCTTTGAAGCTGGATCCTTTGCAAGTTTACTTGAAAGAAAGTCCTACTGTTCCTCCTCTTCCTCCTCCAAATACTGTTTCCCTAAGCCTTTTCAATCTGTGTCATCATACGCAAGGGAATACAGTGGTACCTCGGGTTAAGTACTTAATTCGCTCTGGAGGTCCGTTCTTAACCTGAAACTGTTCTTAACCTGAAGCACCACTTTAGCTAATGGGGCCTCCTGCTGCCGCTGCGCCGCTGGAACATGATTTCTGTTCTCATCCTGAAGCAAAGTTCTTAACCCAAGGTACTATCTCTAGGTTAGCGGAGTCTGTAACCTGAAGCGTATGTAACCTGAAGCGTATGTAACCCGAGGTACCACTGTATTCCATAAGAAGGGTCTCAGCTAGGAATAATAACAATAACAATAATAATAATAAGAAGAAGAAGAATTCTGTATTGTTTTTAACACTCAATTGGAAGCTGCCCAGAGTGGCTGGGGAAACTCAGCCAGATGGGCGGGGTATAATTAATAAATTATTATTATTATTATTATTATTATTATTATTATTATTATTACCTGTTGGATCAGGCCAGTGGCCCAGCAGCATCCTGTTCTCACAGTGGCCAACCAGATTGCCCAGTGAGAAGTCTGCAAGCAGGATCCTAGCACCAGATCTGTCTCCCTTCCTGCAGAGCATAGCGCTCCTGGCTAGTAGCCCTCGACAGCCCCCCTCCATGAATCTGTCCAATCCTCTTTTAAAGCCATCCAAGTCTGATGGCCGTCACTGCCTCCTGTGGCAGAGAGTTCCACAGGTTAACTGCACTGCGTGAGTAAGTTCTCCATCGTTCCTGTCCTGGATATCCCAACATTCAGCTCCGTCGCGTCCCCCACAAGGTCAAGTGATCTTTACAGAGGTCATCGCATATATCTCATCACAATGAAGTCAGGATTGCTGGTGGGGTTGTGAGCTCTGAGGAACATTCTCCCCATCTTTAGTGGAAATGCCCTCAGGCCTCATTATTCTGGTCCCCTAAAATACCAAGAGGGACTCGGGTGGCACTGTGGGTTAAACCATAGAGCCTAGGACTTGCTGATCAGAAGGTCGGCGGTTTGAATCCCTGCAACGGGGTGAGCTCCCGTTGCTCGGTCCCTGCTCCTGCCAACCTAGCAGTTTGGAAGCACATCAAAGTGCAAGGAGATAAATAGGTACCACTCCGGCGGGAAGGTAAACGGCATTTCCGTGTGCTGCTCTGGTTCACCAAGAGTGGCTTAGTCATGCTGGCCACATGACCCGGAAGCTGTACGCCGGCTCCCTCGGCCAATAAAGCGAGATGAGCGCCGCAGCCCCAGAGTTGATCACGACTGGACCTAATGGTCAGGGGTCCCTTTACCTTTTTAAAATACCAAGAAATCTCTAAAGTCATTAGACCACCTGCTCAGGCTTTCCCTCAATTGCAATGACTGAACAGGTCACAGAAAACCTCTCCTCTTTCCAGAGGGGAGGTGCTGTGAGCGGGAGCCATTTCCTGCGTTAGCAGGGGGGGTTCCGGCCCCTGCTCAGCTGTCCTGGCTGCCGTGCCATGCCCCCTGGCAGCCAACCAATCGGGCGGAGGCTTGGGGGCGGGGTTTAGCTGCTCAAATGTGGCTGTGGCAGCGCTTCCCCCTCATTGCATTGCTGGGTTTCGTCGGGTCACCCACCCACCCTCCCTTTAGTTCATTGTTTTGTTTTTGACCTTGCTATGGACCTGTGGTTGGTCGCGTTGGTGGCCCAAGGAGCCTGGTAGGAATTTTATCCAGCTGGCAAATTCACAGTGGCCACTTGGTTTTTCGCCTAGGTAAAGAGACCCCTGACCATTAGCTCCAGTCGCGGACGACTCTGGGGTTGTGGCGCTCATCTCGCTTTACTGGCCGAGGGAGCCGGCGTACAGCTTCCGGGTCATGTGGCCAGCATGACTAAGCCGCTTCTGGCGAACCAGAGCAGCGCACGGAAATGCCGTTTACCTTCCTGCCGGAGCGGTACCTATTTATCTACTTGCACTTTGACGTGCTTTCAAACTGCTAGGTTGGCAGGAGCTGGGACCGAGCAACGGGAGCTCACCCCGTTGTGGGATTCAAACCGCTGACCTTCTTATCGGCAAGTCCTAGGCTCTGTGGTTTAACACACAGCGCCACCCGCGTCCTGCCACCCACGTTTTTCACCTATCTCGTAGCAAATCGCCGCAACTTTTCGGGTATTGGCGGTTAGGCATTGGAATATGTTTGTGTATTGGAGGGCAGGGTGTGGCCATCGCCTACCCCTCCACTTTTTGGGTATTCCATTAAAGGAATCCGGCGGTCGTGGATCCTGTCCGACGCCCTTGCTGGTGGCTAGGGCCATGGCACGACCCCCGGTGACATCAGGGGGAGCTTACAGTTGTATTTGCATCAACAGGCTCCTCCTACTGGTGGTTAACCCTTGTTAGACTCACCCCTTCCTGAGGGGGTAGAGTCACGCTCTGTTGTTTTAGCCAATGCCTAAGCCAATACCACTCACATGCTGTAACCAATAAAGTTGTGGCCTTTTTTAGCCCATTAACCTAATATACTGCGTCCTGGTGTCTTTCTTATCCTCAAGTGGGTCCTCGACTCACAACAGTGGAATCAGAGCGATGGAAGGAACCACGAGGGTCAACAGCCGGCAATGCAGGAATCTTTTTGCCCAGTGTGGGGTTCGAACTCATGACCTGATATAAACAGTCTCATGCTTTACCAACTGAGCTATCCTTTGTCGATGGATGGCACGAATGCTTGTCACTTTGAAGAGGTTGTGACACGGCTGCAGCTAGGATTTTAGGAGCCTGGGAATGGAAAACCTAGAAAAATCTGCATTTGGCTGTGCGGTATATAAGAACATATGGGCTTTAGCTACCGGGCGTGGGGAGAGGGGGAAGGAATACATGAAAACTGTGTGTTTCTTTTGGAAGATCCAGAATGCTTTTAGGTCAAGCTGGAAGGCGTGCAAAGGAGGGCAAACAAGAAGATGATGGGTCTGGAAACCAAACCTTATGAGGAACGGTTGAAGGAGCTGGGGATTTTAGCCTGGAAAAGAGGAGACTGAGAGGAGATAGGAGGTAAAGGTAAAGAGACCCCTGACCATTAGGTCCAGTTGTGACCGACTCTGGGGTTGCGGCGCTCATCTCGCTTTATTGGCTTAGGGAGCCGGCATACAGCTTCCGGGTCATGTGGCCAGCATGACTAAGCCGCTTCTGGCGAACCAGAGCAGCGCACGAAAACGCTGTTTACCTTCCCACCGGAGCGGTACCTATTTATCTACTTGCACTTTGAGATGCTTTCGAACTGCTAGGTGGGCAGGAGCAGGGACCGAGCAATGGGAGCTCACCCCGTCGTGGGGATTCGAACCGCCAACCTTTTGATCGGCAAGCCCTAGGTTCTGTGGTTTAACCCACAGCGCCACCCAGGTCCCTAGGGATAGGATACCCATCTTTAAATATCTGAAGGGCTGTCACATGGATGATGGAGCAAGCTTGTTTTCTCCTGCTCCAGAGGGTAGGACTCGAACCCATGGCTTCAGGTTACAAGAAAGAAGATTCTGACTAAACAGCAGGAAGAACTTTCCGGCAGTTTAAGAGTCATTTTACAGTGGAATGGTCTCCCTCGGGAGATTATGGGGTCTCCTTCCTTGGAGGTTTTTAAGTAGAAGTTGGAAGGCCATCTGTCAGGGATGATTAAGCTGAGATTCCTGCATTGCAGGGGGTTGGAATGGATGACCCTCGGGGTTCCCTTCCAGCTTTACAATTTTAAGATTCTGTGATGTAACACTTCTGGGTTGTTAAGAAAGGCTGCTTTGTTTTGTTTCAACCAGCGGCTGTTGAGTGCCAATCCTGAGCATACAGACCTACAAGCCAGAAAGGAAAAAACCAGAAAAGCCCCCTGTGAATATTTGTAGGGTCCTGGGGGAACAGGGAAATGTCAACAACGCTTTGCAAAAGAAAGAAAGAAAGAAAGAAAAGGGCTTTGCAATTTAACGCCCGACTCCAACGCACACAGCAAATTAGCGCTAATGTGAGATGAGTGGAGTGATACCCGCAGAGGGATTTATTCTGCTGAGCTGAGCGTCACTCCTCTCCGGAGACTGGAGGAAAGCGAAGGAGCGTTTAAAGCTGCGCAGATTAGTTTTGAAGAAGCGCTATGGGGGGGATGGGGGGAAGTGTGACTTAATTGCTCGTGGTGCTAATTAGGATTGCTATTGATTCGCTGGAAGGTGGCAGCGCCTTCAGGGCAGGAGCCCAGGGCTCCTCTCACCAGGGTGGGCAAGGAGTGCGCAGGCCTTGCAATGTTGCAGAACTAGGGTTGGTATATTCAGAAGAAATGGGGAATAGTGCATCTGTCCTGACCAGACAGAAGGACTGTTTTGGGGGACAGGGGGCGGGCAGGTTTGGGGGCCTCCCTGATCCTGAGTGGGGTAATTGTGTCCCTGAAGGAGCAGGTGCGCAGCCGGGGGGCCATTTTGGACTCAAAGCTGTCCATGGAGGCACAGGTCATTCTGTGTCCAGGGCAGCTGCTTACCAGCTCCATCTGAGACCCTAGCTGCCTGCTCCCTGTCTCCCCAGAGTGGTCCATGTTCTGGTCATAGCTGTCAACTTTCAGATTTGAAAATAAGGGGTCAGCAGCCTCAAAAATAAGGGATCAGCAGCCTCACCTGTCCCGGGGACAGTCTACGGGATATCTAACAATCTGGGATAGCAGCAGGAAGTGGCGCTGGAATAAGGGAATTTCCTGCAAAAAAGGGAAGGTTGACAGCTATGGTTCTGGTTATCTCCCTCTTGGACTACTGCCATGCGCTCTACATGGGGCTACCTTTGAAGGTGACCCAGAAACAACAACTAATCCACAATGCAGCAGCTAGACTGGGGACTGGGAGTGGCCGCCAGGACCATATAACACAGGTCCTAAAGGATCTTCACTGGCTCCCAGTATGTTTCTGAGCACAATTCAAAGTGTTGGTGCTGACCTTTAAAGCCCTGAAGAGCCTTGGCCCAGTATACCTGAAGGAGCGTCTCCACCCCCATTGTCCAGCCCAGACACTGAGTTCCAGCTCTGAGGGCCTTCTGGCGGTTCCCTCACTGTGAGATGTGAAGCTACAGGGAACCAGGCAGAGGACCTTCTTGGTGGTGGCCCCCTCCCTGTGGAATGCCCTCCCATCAGAAGGCAGCCCTCTATTGGGAAGTTTTAAATGTTTCAACTGCCTTGGCCCCATATGCCTGAAGGAGTGTCTCCACCCCCATTTTTGATGGCTATCCTAGCTGCTCTCAGTCTCGTCTTTTCCAGGCTAAACATCCCCAGCTCCTTCAACTGTTCCTCATAAGGCTTCATTTCCGAACCCCTGATCATCTTGGTCGTTCTCCCCTGCACACCTTCCTGCTCGTACACACACTGAATTTTTTTTTGGGGGGGGGGGGGAGGGAGCCATGAATGTTTAAAATGGTGCTTTAAAAGGATTGTACGAATGTGGCCTAAATTAGAAAGTTCCATTAAGTTCAATGAGTGTGACGAGTCTTTAATATAAGGGAGCCTGGCTGGATCAAACCACCTGGCAATCCAATAGATAACTTCTGACATCCTTGGGGGGGGGGGGACGACAAAACTGGGCTTGCATGCCAGACCTGCTTGTTCCAGCAATTACTATTTGGAGATAGACTGTTCCTGATCAAGGAGGTTTTATTAAGACACCATGGCTACCAGCAGTTGACTCCTCCTCTTCAATAGTCTACCAATTTTCACTAAAATAAGACCCACAACTGTGCTCTCTGAGTTTTGCCTTGTTAAATTGTACGGTTTTCCCGAAGAGATCAATTCAGCATGGCAAAATTTTATCTGATCACTTGTGTCTGTAATCAATGCACGAATTGCAGCGCCCCCTGCAAATACCTATCTGCCTTCTGCCCGCCCTGCTTCTATAGCTGACTAAAACAGTGGCCACCGCCACATCTTGTGGCACTGAGTTCCGCAGGTGAACTGTGTGGCCTGAGTAAAGAAAGTTCACGGTTTTCAGCAAAACCCTTCAGTGCGAATCGCTGCAGGCAAAAAAGGAAGGGAGAAGGAAAGGAAAAGAGAGAGAATAACCTCCTCCCCGACCTTGGAAAAGAACCGGCATGGAGCGTGGTGGATTTCGGAAGATGCACTGGAAGTTAGCGAAGAAGAGGGTGCTTTGGAGTGGCATGCAGGGAGTAAGACTGGGATAGAGGAATGCAGAAATTTGCCCCCCAGGAGGGAAAAAAACTAAAGGAACAGAAAGACCCAGACAAGCCTGACTACGCCAAGCAATGTTAAGAGGAGGAATTTAGGATTGCTGCTTTCTTTCTTTCTATTCACCCTGCAAAGCTCAAGCTAGTGGACCCCCAGACCTTCTCCGTCCCCCATAGGTGTATCCAGCCCTCCTTGCCCAGGGAAGGGTAGCGGCGGTTGTGAACCGTTGAACATTTTGCTCGGAACATCGGAAAAGGTTGCGAGGGGTGGCGGGGGAATCTGCAGAGTCAGAAGCATGGGCCACCCCAGAGTCATCTAGTCCAACCCCACAACTGCAATGCAGGATGCGCATTGTGGAAAATCTGACTGCTTCCCAGGAAAGGACTTTCAATGGCGCTATGTTGCTTTCGCTAGATCAGCTTTGCTAGCTTGCAAAGATGCGGTTTTATATTGTTCTCAGTTCTGTCATAGTTTAATTGCTTTTCCCCCCTAACTGCTATCTCCGATAGATCTTTAGCTTTCTGCATTTTCTCTGCGTTGGTTTTAATTTTGAGTCCCGGTCCCAGGGGAAAAGTTGGGCCATAAATAATGATGGTGATGCTTTAATTGTGATTCCTGCATTGCAGGGGGTTGGACTAGATGACCCTTGGGGTCCCCCTTCCAATTCTATGATTTGATGATGGTGATGATGATGATGATGATAAACAGGGGTGGCATGATGTAATTCCTGCATTGCAGGGGGTTGGACTAGATGACCTTTGGAGTCCCCCTTCCAATTCTATGATTCGATGATGATGATAAACAGGGGTGGCAAGATTTAGCTGTCTGGCAGTTCTGTCTCTCCCCCCCCAACCCCCCAAAAATCTGTGATTCCTGCATTGCAGGGGTTGGACTAGATGACCCTCAGGGTCCCTGCAGTTCTATGATCCTGTGAAAAGCGGGCATCACTGGGCCAGGAAGGGATCAAAGTCTCCTCTGGCTCTCCTCTGGCAGTGGGTGTGCATGTGCGCTTGAATCACGCAGCCTTCTCGGTTCCCTTCACGGCTGAGTGTGGCCTGACTCACTGCTTCCTCGCACAGAGAAAACCAGGCAGCCCTGAAAAAAATCCACGGCGCGCTGGCTGAGCTCCTGGTGTTCACGAAAGGGCTTCCGGGGTGCTTCTCCATCCTGGCATCTAAGGGGGTTCTTCCTCAACCAGCAGCCACTGCTGCGCCAAGAAGAGAACGAGGGGGCAGGAGACAGGGCCACCCCCCTCCTCGCTCCCCTCTCAAGGTTGAATGCCTGCCTGGCAGCCGTGATAAATTTCCAGGAAATGACGCCGCCGCCTCGGGACAGCTTAAAGGCTGAGGATTTATGGGGGCACCAGCTTTTGTGGACGAAAGGATGTGGGGTGGGTTTGGAGGAGGTGGGCAGGAAGGGGGAACTGGGTTTTAGCCCATGTTTGCCATGCTCAGAGTAGGCCCATTGAAATTGAGGGACGTGGCTACTCTTCCCCTCCTGCAGTTTCCAGCATCTGCTATTCAGGAGCTCAGACACTGGACACAGAACATTGCCAACATGGCAGGGGTTCAGCATTAGCCATCTCCTGCTCTGTGATTTTTTTTCTAATCCTCTTTTCATACACTCATAGAGTTGGAAAGGATGCTGGAATCTCAGCAAAAGCATCCATCACAGATGGCCATCCCCATAAACCTTCAAAGTCAACCACTTCCCAAGGGCAATCGTTCCACTGTTGTACAGCTCTTGCAGTCAGAACATCTCCCTGATGTTTAGCTGGAATGTCTTTTCTTGTAACACGAATCCGTTGTTTCAGTCCTACACTCCAGAGCAGGGGAAAACAAGCTTGTTCCCTCTTCCATGTGACAGCCCTACAGATATTTGAAGATGGCCATCATATCTCCTCTCAGTCTTCCCTTTATTGGGCTACATACATTGGATATAATTCCCTCAACCGTTCCTCATAAGGCTTGGTCTCCAGACCCTTGATCATCTTGGCCACCCTCCTCTGCACACCTACCAGTTTGCCAACATCCTCCTCATGTTGTGGCACCCAGAATTGCACACAGGATTCCAGGTTGTGGGATGTGAAACACAAGAGCAGTCAAGTACAACATTCCTAGAGTGAACATGTTTACACATGGGGAGGAATGTTTGTCCAGCCAGCAGGTAAACTTCCTGTTTCCTTCTGGGCTGGGACAGACTTCCTCTGCATGTGACTAGAGGTGGGCGTGGCCTCACCTGTGCAGGTAATGACAAAAGCCCAGGGCAGGGCAGCCACCTCTCTCTCTTTGACTACATGCATCGAAGAAGCAACATCGGCTTAGCCAAAGATGCTCTCTTGGCCAAGAGAGGACAAAGGGACTGTCTCTTTATGGGATAGTTTCCAGGTGTGTGTTACCTTTCTAAGCTAAGTCTGCCTTCTGGGATCCGATTGTGAACAGAATGTGAGTGAGTAAAGTCTTTTTATACTTTTATAGAAGACTGTGCCGTGTCTTATCTTTTATGAGAGAATAAGGGGGAAATACCAGAACAGTTATTATAGAGGCTTTAGCGAGCCTGAGCAAACGCATCCGCTGCGAGTTTAAAAAGGGAGAATGTTACTCTGCTAAATTGTGAACTTGTTAACGCAAGTTGAAAAGGCTATAATCAAACAATATATCCTCTCCTGCATCCCTGAACATTCCCACACAGGTGTAGTCTGACCAAGGCAGAATAGAGCAGTACTGTTTCTTCCCTTGATTTGGACACTTGACTTCTCGTTATACAACCTAGAATAGCATTCCCTCTTTTTTTTGCTGCTGTATCACACTGTTCACTCATATTCAGCTTGTGGCCTGCTGAGACCCTAGATCCTTTTCACAGGTACAACCAGGAACCCCCCATCCTGTATTTGTGCATCTGGTTCTTCCAGATGTATAATACCTAAGAAATATATCCTCTTTTAGTTTCTATACCCATCCCTACAGCCAGCCAGGCAAGAACACCCAAGGGAGGGAGCAAAGCAGTGGTGAGTGATTGGAGTGGTCTGAGGAGAGGAGGATGTGGCCTAGAGATTGTCCTGAGGGTCAGACAGAGAGGCATTTATCCCCAGGCCTAAGGTTCACTGCCTTTGCAGTAAGGTTTCCTAAGTTGATGGACATCTATCATTATCTGGTGTTCTGGAAGGTTTCATCATGATGCAGTTTTGAAGGGAGAGGGTCTGGGACAGATCCTCCATTGCACACATCACAAATGAGGAAGATGGGGACGAAACAATTTAAGTAAATTGCATGTGTGTGCCATGCACAATTTAGACGCGAAGGATGACAAGGGCAAGATCTTGCATGCATGCGTTGTTTCCTCTTGAGAAAGAAGGACCAATCAGCTAGGAATGCAAACATCTTAAGATGGGAGGGGTTAAATGGGGAGAATTTTGGGAGATATAAAGCTTTTGGGAGGAGTAAATTCTCTGGACGGGAAGGTTGAGGTGGTGAAGTGGAAGGAAGGAAGGAAGGAAGGAAGGAAGGAAGGAAGGAAGGAAGGAAGGAAGGACATATGGATGAATGGATAGATGGACAAAGCTTCCTTCCGAAAGCTAGATTAGCTTTGGGATTCTGTTCAAAGTTCACAACCACCACCAGCACCCAGGGTTTCCTCTACCCCAGACCCCGCCCCCACAGACGACACCCCAAACTGCTAATCCCGCAAGCTGCAGCTAATCTTAAATTCTGAGCAAGTCTTGGTCTCCGTGCAAGGGTTGTGTCTACCCAGCTGCTAGCCAATCAGAACTCACAGTTTGTCCCTACGAGAAGCACAGCGGTTTGGAGAGGAGGAAAAACAACAACAACAACAACAGCACGTTATTGAGCAGTTTCCAGGCCGGAGGAAAAACAGGGCAAAAAGTCCAGAAAGCAAACGACACACACGAATGGCACAGAGACAAACACGGTGGGGGGGGGCTGCTGGAAAGTGTGGGGCACCCTCCTAGGTCCGACACAGCCGAGGGGAAAGCCCAGATCTGGCGCAAAGAGGGAGGGGTGAATTTGTTTCTGTTTCCCTCGATTTCTCCCAAGACTTAAGCTCAGTTCTCCAGGCATTTGACGCCTGAGATGTGTGCTTTCAGGGCCTCATTCCTGTGACCATAATCAGATTTAGCTGTTTTTAATCAGATGTCAAACAGATAAACAATATATGACTTTTGGAAGACACCTGAAGACAGCCCTGCACAGGGAAGAGTTTAATGTTGTGTTTCCAATATTTTGTTGGAGCTGCCAAGAGTGGCTGGAGAAACCCAGTCAGATGGGTGGCATAATAATAATAATTATAATATTTCTGAATTTTAAATGGCTGGAACCTGCCCTGGAACTTGCTGGTGAAGGGCAGGAAATAAATAAATACTATTAATATACTACTAGTAATAATAGTTTAGTTTTTACCTTATTTTTAATGCCCTCATACCAATTTGCCAGTAAAGGGAACCCTGACCATTAGGTCCAGTCGTGACCGACTCTGGGGTTGGGGCGGTCATCTTGCTTTATTGGCCAAGGGAGCCGGTGTACAGCTTCCGGGTCATGTGGCCAGCATGACTAAGCCGCTTCTGGCGAACCAGAGCAGTGCATGGAAACACCGTTTACCTTCCCGCCGGAGCGGTTCCTATTTATCTACTTGCACTTTGATGTGCTTTCGAACTGCTAGGTTGGCAGGAGCAGGGACCGAGCAACGAGAGCTCACCCTGTCACGGGGATTCGAACCGCCAACCTTCTGATCAACAAGTCCTAGGCTCTGTGGTTTAACCCACAGCGCCACCCGCATCCCTAATTTGCCAGTACTCTAGTATAAGGAGAAATTTGCACTAGAATTTGCCAGTACTCTAGTGCAAATTTCTCCTTATACACATTTTCTTATATGCAATTTTTGCCTGATCCACGAAAGTTTTTGAGAGGACTTTCCTGCAATATTAATGAATCTTATTTATTATTTTCACTAACTTTTTCTCCCCCCCCCTTTTGCATGCATTACTAGGCTGGAGAGCTTCACTGCAAAACTGCGATAAGTGCAAATTTTGAAGGATGGTTCTGTGCTCATGTTTGATTACTGTTTCCGAAAGGATGAATTAGATATAGGCTTGCATTAAAAGCCTAACAGCACCAAAATTCCTCCTCTGACCCGCTGTTACTGTATGCATTAGATAATAGGCTGAATATATTGAAATGTGCCAAATTCACCTCGGCTTCCATCCGACAGCGTTGCCTGTTATTTTTGAACAGTATCACAAATTTTAATCTATGTGACGAACTTTGTGGGGGGTTTGGGGGGCCTTTCCTGTAGTTGTATTGCTTTAAACTGTTTTTAATATTGCATTTTAATATTACTGTTGTGTATTAATTGTTACAACCTGCCCTGGGACCTTAGGGAGAAGGGTGGTAATAAATTGATAAATGATGAGATAATAAAAAATGTTTGATTATACCAAAACAACAACCCTGAAGCTTTTTTTTCTAGAGATTATAGGGACAGAATTTCCCCCCCAAAAAGACGGTTGAGTTGTTTATGTATGTAACTACAGCAGCTAGGATTCTTTATGCACAGAAATGGAAAGATGAAGGAGTTCCCACCGAAGAAAAATGGACAGGAAAAGGGATGGACTGTGTTGAATCAGAAAAGCCAACAGCTAAAATAAGAGAACTTAATGACGATTGCTTTATGAAATTAGAGACGCATTTTCCAGGCTATTCAAAGAAATATTATAATTCAATGAATTCGTGAGCAGGATTTGAACTATGAGAAACAGAAATAATTAGACATTATTGTATTACGGTTAGGATATAAAAGATGCAGTAATGAGATAGAATGAAAACCCCCTACAGAAAATGGAATGCAATGTTGATAAAACAAAAGGAAAAATTAATTTGCATTGGAACTTTATGTGAAATTTGTGGACATTTAATATTTTATATATACTGCGTCTACTCATTCTATTAAAGATAGTGGTGTTATTATTATATTTTGTTTGTGATAATGTAGTTCTTTGAGTGAATTAATGCCTTATTATCCCTTTGCAGCCACACTGCATCTTTGTACTTCCAGACTGCGATGCTCTGTGGTTTGCATTTTTTAGTTTTCTTTATTTCACACGGCCTTTTTTCTTTTTTGTTATGCTTGCACTTGGGATTTTTGGGTTAACAAATCAGTAAAAAGCAAAAGGAAGGGGGGGCAATGATGGGATATCTCCATCCTGGAGAAAGCGCAGAGACTCGAACTCAGCACCAAGCAAACCCAACGAGCTCAACGGGTGCAGGAACCTGGTTTTCCCCTTGGCTGTGAAAGGGGGCACCAAAGACCCCCTGGGTGAGTGCCATCCTTTCCCCTGCTATGCCCTCCTCGGCGGGAGTAGAAGAACCGGGACTTACCTCTCGCACACGCGGACCGTCCAGGCGGCGATAATCCAGGAGGAGATGCTGAAGACCAGAAGGACCGTCCCGGGGCAGATGGTCATGAGGGTCTTCATGACGAAGCGGGTGTTGAAGTTGATCTTGTTGAGGGCCCCGATGCTCCGCGAAGAGGCGTCGGTGAAGAGTTTGCTGTGGAGAAGCATGACCCGCCCAATCAGGTAGAGCCGGAGGAACATAGGGATGGAGAGGATGATGTCCACGTCGGTGTTGGCTTCCGAGGTGGCGTACGTGAACGCCAGGCGGGTCGTCCACGTGAAGAAGTACTGGCCCGGGATGGGATGGATGGCGCAGACCAGGAGCTCCAAGGTGATGAAGAAGATGCGCTCGTAGGTCATGGCAATGCGCCAGTCGTCCGCTCCGTTGTCCACCATGAACAGCTGCAAAAAGGGAGGGATGGCGTTCAGGCCAGGTTTGTGGGTACAGAAACCGCACACCCGCCATGGTCCAAAACAAGGAAGGTGGGCACTTACTTGGCAAGGGCCCTTCGCAGCCAAAGGAATGCGCATGGCACAAAGCCAATTCTAGATCTTACTTAATGGTGGCTCTTGAGTCTTTTATACATTTTATGTGTTTAATAGGTATTGATTTGCAACGTTGTGTGGATGATTGCTTCCCCCTCTTACGATTCTATTGTCTAACAAAGAAAAAGGGTAAAGGACCCCTGGATGGTTAAGTCCAGTCAAAGGCGATTATGGGGTTGCAGTGCTCATCTCGCTTTCAGGACGAGGGAGCTGGCGTTGGTCCACAGATAGCTTTCCGGGTCATGAAGCCAACATGACTAAACTGCTTCTGGCGCAATGGGACACCGTGATGGAAACCAGAGTGCACAGAAACGCTGTTTACCTTCCCGCCAAAGTGGTACCTATTTATCTACTTGCACTGGCGTGCTTTTGAACTGCTAGGTTGGCAGGAGCTGGGACAGAGCAACGGGAGCTCACCCTGTCACAGGGATTCGAACTGCTGACTTTCTGATCAGCAAGTCCAAGAGGCTCAGTGGTTTAGACCACACCGCCACCTGCGTCTAAATTGTCTAAATTATGCCAATAAAGGCTGAATTAACAAGAAGAAGAAGAAGAAGAAGAAGAAGAAGAAGAAGAAGAAGAAGAAGAGCAAGACCAACAACAACAACAACAACAACAACAACAACAACAACAACAGATGATTGATAGATATTAAATAGATATCCCTCTCCGCCAAGAGTGACACTTACAATTTTGTGATTTGGATTGAGGGGCATTGGCATCCCTCAAACTTTTCCTGCTACTCCCTCCCAAATATTAATAACTGCAAGACACCATGCTCTTCTTTCTATGCGGTTGAGACGCTCACATTCATCACAATCTCATTGATTTGTTTGTTAAGGGCGCAATCCTTCCTCCACTCACCTGGGAGTGAAACCCATTGAATTTCGAGGGATGTACACCTGAGCAGGTGTGGAAAGGATGGAGCCATAAATCAGAGTGGGACTGGGAAGGAATGGATGATCAGCTCACTTAAAAAAACCCTTTAACAGGTCTGGTCGTGCAAATTTTGGACACGCAGAAGCATGAAACTCAAGGGATTTTAAGAACGCAAACAGAAACCGAGATGGAATAATGTTGTTTAGTGTGTGTGGTTTTCAAGGTCTGCCTGGCACCTCAGAACGTTGAGTTTCGTCGAGTGCAGAGTTGTGCTCTCTCCATCTATCAGTGAAGGGCAGAGCAAGGTCAAAGACCCTCTCAGCCCTTGACCCAGGATCTGTTCATTCCAGGGCCCACCTGCTTCCCTTTGAAAATGTCCTCCTCTTCCGCCTCACCTCTGCAGGGCTGAGGGTCAGTTCCTCCGCCCTCTGACGCAGCCCATAAAAACATTTTAATGGGAAAATTCTCCCTGCTGTTCAGTGGCGGGTGCTAGATGCCTGTGAGGTGTCACAAGCGGGCGCCTCGCCATTCGGCGACGGCACTGGCGCCAGCTGGGGCTGCTCGACTGAGTAATGGCTCCAGGCTGCAGCAGCCCCAAAGTCAGACCTGCCCCATCTGTTCCTCGTTCAGCGGAAACAGCACCCAAAGCAAAACCCTACCAAATTGCTCCCACCTATGGACAAGAAAATCCGTCTAAGTTACACCTTCTCGGTTTCTCCCATTCCAGACCCTCCCAGCGTCCCTATTTTCCAAGGACAGTCCCAGATTTTCAGAAGCCATCCCGGTTTCGGATTTGATCCTGGAATGTCCCAGTTTTCCTTAAAGGTAAAGGGACCCCTGACCATTTGGTCCAGTCGTGGCCCACTCTGGGGTTGCGGCACTCATCTCGCTTTATTGGCCGAGGGACCCGTTGTACAGCTTCCGGGTCATGTGGCCAGCATGACTAAGCTGCTTCTGGCGAACCAGAGCAGCGCACGGAAACGTCGTTTACCTTCCCGCCAGAGTGGTATCTATTTATCTACTTGCACTTTGATGTGCTTTCGAACTGCTAGGTTGGCAGGAGCAGGGACCGAGCAACGGGAGCTCACCCCGTCGCGGGGATTCAAATTGCCGACCTTCTGATCGGCAAGTCCTAGGATCTGTGGTTTAACCCACAGCGCCACCCGCGTCCCTTAGTTTTCCTTAGGACGTCCCTATTTTCATCAGAGAAATTTGGGAGGGTATACGGTTTTGCTCGCTCTGTTTTAGCATCCTTGAAAACCACAGCCACCTATCTCCTAATACAGGCAGGTTCCCGTTGCCATTTTGCTTAGTATAGTGTTTCATAGAACTATAGAGCTGGAGGGGTCCCCAGAGGGTCATCTAGCTCAACCCGCTGCGATGAAGGAAGATTGTTGTTGCTGCTGCAAATGACTGTCGCAGACAGCTTTCCTCCATCATGTTACTAGAGTTCTACGGCGTTATCCAAGGAGGAGCTGAATGCTGGACAGTTCAGGGTAGGCAAAAGAAAATGCTTCTTCACACAGACACAGGGCGTAGTTAAACTGTGGAACTGCAGGAGACAGTGATGGGTGCCAACCCGGGTTGTTTTAAAAGAGGATTAGACAAATTCACAGAGGGGAAGACTAACAATGGCAAGGAGCCCTGATGTTTGCTGTGTTGCTGTCTCCATGACCTTGGGTGAAAGATTCCTGCATTGCAGAGGGTTGGACTAGATGACCGCTGTGGTCCCTTCCAACTCTGCGATTTAAGAACCCTGGGTGATACATATTCAGTGCTAACCCTACTCATGGTAGACCCGTTGAAATGTCTAACTCCTGTTTCGCTTCCCAAGAGAGGCATGCATACAAAACCCTAAATGTCTCAGGCCCCTTCCTGACAGATCAGCAGAGAGGGCCCTCTTGGAAATCCCTCCACCCTCAGAGGCTTGAGGGGTGGCAGCCCAGGAGAGGGCCTTCTTTGTGGTGGCCCTAAGGTATGAGACTCTCCCCCCCCAGGTGTGTCTGGTATCTAAATTGCACAGCTTCCAGCAAATCCTGAAGACACACCTCTTTAACCCTGGCTTTTGACATTTGAGGCTCAATCAGCAGAGCATGGGACTCCTGATCTCAGGGTTGTGGGTTCGAGTCCCATTTTGGGCAAAAGATTCCTGCCTTTCACGGGGTTGCACTAGAAGCCCCTTGTGGTCCTTTCCAACTCTGCAGTTTGTGATTCTATGTTTTTAGGACCCACCTTGTTCCTGGGATTGCAAGTCATTTCAAACCATTTTTAACATCGTGTTTCAATCGCTCTTGGACCACAGGGAGGAGGGCAGGTAATAATAATAATAATAATAATAATAATAATAATAATAATAATAAATTTTATTTATACCCTGCCCTCCCCGGCCAGAGCCGGGCTTAAGGTGGCTAACACCAATAAAATCAGAGTAAAAGCATAATAGGGGAAAGAAAAAGAAAAAGAAAATTAAAATGCAGCCTCATTTTAAAAGTGGCTGATAAATCAAGACCATAAGGGGAGGGAAACATAAGGGTCAGACTGAGTCCAAACCAAAGGCTCTGTCTTGCAGGCCCTGCGGAAAGATGTCAAGTCCCGCAGGGCCCTAGTGTCTTGTGACAGAGCATTCCACCAGATTGGGGCCAGTACTGAAAAGGCCCTGGCCCTAGTTGAGACCAATCTAACCACTTTGTGACCTGGGACCTCCAAAATGTTGTTATTTGTGGTCCCATGGGTACATGGGTCCTAGGCCGCATAGGGCTTTAAAGGTCAAAACCAGCACCTTAAACCTGACCCTGTACTCCACCGGGAGCCAGTGCAGTTGGTAAAGCACTGGATGGATGTGATCCCGCGGCAAGGACCCCGTAAGGAGCCTTGCCGCGACATTCTGCACCTGCTGGAGTTTCTGGGTCAGCTTCAAGGGCAGGCCAGCGTTAACAATAATAAGATATTTTCGGCTTTCGTACAAAACCTAGATTCTCACCTGGATCTCTCTCGCGTGGTACATGATGATGAGCCCCAGAAGTATCATCGTGGACAGGCTGATGAGGCATTTGAGGGCGAATGAATATGAAGACTCCTAGAGGGGCGAACAGAGATGAGACATGGTGCATTGTTAAACTGAGGAACTCACTGAGACAGGATGTGGGGATAGACACCAACTTGGATGGCTTTAGAAGAGGATTCGGGAGTGGCGGGGGGGAATCTACAAAGGAGAGGGCTGTCAACAGCTGCTATGTCCCACCTCCTACATTGGAATAATACCAGTTGCTGGGAAGAGAGTTGTGCTAATTTGGGGGCTTCCCTCCCAGGCCAGATGAGACATTTTGAATTCTGATTCTGCCTTCTGCGGCATTAGCTACCCCCCTCTCCCGGATTGGTGTCGCCTACAAATTGGATGAGCAACCCCCCTCATCAAATTTTAGTTAAATCTTTTAATTGCGTATATTAAATCATATTAAATATATTGCAAACACTTTAATTCACGATGTGAAATTTTAATTCAGTGGCATGGACCATGGGTTCTGTGTCAGAAGTTCACCTGCAGACCACCCAGTATGAAAAGTTGGACTATCCTGGACTAAAATTCCAGCTTGTCGATATCTACATTAAAGTGGGGTGCCCAGAACAGAAGATGTGTCTCTTTATCCTTTGACAACTGGTATGCATATCATTAGGATCATATGTGGTGGGATTGTAATGTAATTTTAAAAAATTGGGAAATGATATACAACGAATTGAAGATAATGTTCCATTTAACATTTGTTTTAAAACCTGAAGCATTTTTGTTAGGGATTGTAGGGAAAGATCTGCCTAAAAAGCTGAAAAACATCTTCATGTATGCAACAACGGTCGTGAGAGTTTTAATAGCACAAGGATGGAAGACTGAAGAAACCCCAACTAAAGAATCATGGCAAGAAAAATTGATGGACTATGCAGAACCGGCAAAACTGACATATAAGCTATGGGACAAGGATAACTGTGACTTTAAGGATAAATGGGAACCCTTTACAGAGTATCTGAAGACACAACAAAGCGAACTGGACTCCTTGGCTGGTTTTGAATAAGCATTCACAAACTTTTTATTGGTAATTATTACTTAAATAGTTTGAGGATCTATACAACTTTGTAACACGCAGAAAACAGCATTCTTAGAGAAACCAAAGACTGGAACTGAGGGAAGCCGTGGGTGGGGGTGGGTGGGTTTTGTGTGGGAGGGTGGGGGGAGGGAGGAAAAATGGGGGGGCGCGGAATAAGGATGATATGTTTCTGGTTAATATGTGCTGTTTTAACTTTGAATTTAAAAAAGTTTTTTTAAGAAAGGATCTACCTTGTTTCTGTAAGTCATTTTGAATTGCTTTATTGTTGCAGCCTGCCCTGGGACGTTAGCATTAAGGGCAGGCTGTAAGCCGTAACAATAATAATTAATAATGATAGGAATCTGGAGGCCCTTACCTTGGTGTAGACCCCCCACGACAGCTCCGTCTCCGTCACCATGACCACGATCCCAAACATCCCAAAGATCAAAGCGTAGTCGCTCAGCCGCTTCCTCTTCTCGAACAGCGCCCTCCGGTGGCCCAGCCGGTAGCCGATGTTCTGGTTCTTCTTGTGGCTGCGTGGCCTCTCCTCAGCCTCGGGGTCGTCGTCCAGGCGGGGGTCCGACCCCTTGCTGCGCTCAGACTTGGAGACCACCACCTCCAGGCCGGAGTCGTGGAAGGTCTGCAGGGGCTGGGTCTCGGCGTCTAGGTCGTGGAGGTTGTGGCGGGAGGAACTCAGGCTGCTGAGGGGCCGGATGACGCCGCCGTTGTATTTGCAGCTGTTCATGGCTATCTCGGCAAAAGGGCTGGGCTCGCTGACCGTGCTCCTGGACCCAGCATGGCTCAGAATTTGGGAATCAGCATTCACCTGGAGAGAGGAGGTGCCAGCAGTGAATCACACTGTGCAAGTTGGAGTCAATTCTTTACTGGCAAAAACATGATCTGCACAGGGATGTCAAGCCTAATGAGCACAGCAGCCCGTCTCTGGTAGGTCTTAGCTCCATGAAGCAGTTGCTGAGAGTGAAGGTCCCTGTCTCCCCACAGCTGCCTAAGCCTCCTCTTCTCCAGGGCTTTTCCCCAAGCAATCCGGGACTATGCCTGCATGCAGCCAACCAACCTCTCCTCTGCTCTTTTCATGCCTCTCCTGGTTCTGGGAGACAATGGGTGAGGGGAACTGGTTCATAGCTGTCAACTTACAGATTTGAAAATAAGGCACCAGCAGCCTCAAAAATAAGGGATCAGCAGCCAAAATAAGGGATTTTCCCAGCACAGGTATGTTCAACTTCTGAGCCCCTCCAAGCCAAAGGCAGAAAGCCTGGCCAGCAGCCAAAACGAAGCCTCACATGCTGGTTCCCACAGCACAGCAACCCAGCAAAGGGGATGCAGCAAGAGAAACCACCGTCACCTCTCCGCTGGGAAGTGCTGAGCAAAGGCGAGTCCCCAGGCAACGCGGCTGATTTGATCGGCACAAGGCATGCAAGCTCCACCCCCCAGTCGTTCTTAGACTCCTTATTGGGTGAGCAACGCAGCCAAGCAACACAGCTGGAGCCTCCCTCCTCCCTGGCCGGCAGGGAGGGAGGGAGGGAGAGGAGCTGCTTCCTTTGAAACCCGGGAAATTTAAGGGACATCATCAATAAGCGACAGCAGCGGGACACAGCGCTGGGATAAGGGGCTTTCCCGCCAAATAAGGGACGGTTGACAGCTATGAGCTGGTTGCAGCAGGAGAAATCCATGACTCTTCCCCAGCCAGATCCATCTCTGCCTCTTGGCCTGCCTCCTCTCCTGCTTCAGGTTCTGCCTCTGATTCTGGACTGCTCTCTGCCACAGACTCTCCCTGCTCACTAAGCCCTGTTACCTCTCCAGCTTCTGATACCTCCTCCGCCCAGGCTTCTCCCTCTGGCCACTCACTGTTGTCCCACCACCACTCCCTGGGCTCTGAGCCTTCTTTCCTTGGGGTTCCCTCAGTTGGTTCCCCCCGCCATTCTTCTGCCTCCAACCAGTTACTGGTTCCTATTAACCTTATGATACCTGGAGACCTGATCATATACAGGTGAAATTCGAAAAATTAGAATATTGTGGGAAAGTTCATTGATTTCAGTAATTCAACTTCAAAGGTGAAACTAATATATGAGATCGACTCATGACATGCAAAGCAAGATGTGCTTCTACTTCTCAGAGGTCCAGTCTTGCTCGATTTGCAATCCTTGTTTTGCTGATTTCCTTGAATGTTCTAATTTTCTGAGATTGTTAATTTGGGGTTTTCACCAGCTGTACGCCGTGATCATCGCAATGATAACAGATCAAGGCTTGACATATCTCGCTTTGCATGTCACGAGTCTATCTCATATATTAGTTTCACCTTTTAAGTCGAATTATGGAAATCAAGGAACTTTTCCACGATATTCTAATTTTTCGAGTTTCTCCTGTATAGGAGAGTTTTCCCCAAGCAATTGGTGCCTGACTGCAGACCATAGCCATTGCTCCATCATGTATTTGCCCTATCCTCTTTTAAAGCCATCTAAGTCGGCGGCTGTCGCTGCTTCCTTTCCCCCCAATTCCATTTTATTAAGTTTCAACATTTTTAACACAGACAGTCAAAACACAGTTTTGCCTCTTCTCTTATTTTTGTCACCTTCCTGTTTTCCACAGAGTTGTCGTTTCTCTCCTTCTGTTGCTTCTATCTATCACATCAGACCCACAATATTATACTCTAATCACTTCGGCTGCTTGTAGCTAAAATCCTGCTTGCGAGTTCATCATACCACAAAATTTCTTTAAGTAGTCCAAAAAAACAGGCACCAGTTCTTCCATAAAACACTCATCGTAAGGTCCCCTGGCCAGAACCCCTCTGACATGATTTTCTATCTCCTCGCAGACACAGATAAGTATGTGACCTGGCGTGTAGCACTCTTTGCAACTGCCGCTAGGAAAATTAGAGCAAACTATATAGCCAAGGTAGCCACCGACTGTAAAAGAGATGAATTTATTTGACCCTATCTACATCAAGCTATATTCTATCTTTATCACCAAACTCCGAATATAATTGCACATTGTATCAATTAACATTATTTTTTAATATATCAGTGGCCATGTGATAATTTTAGCTTGTAAATTTTATTGTTTAATGTCTTAACTTGTATATTAAGGTACTTTTATAGCTCTGTTTAGAGTAGGTAATGTCTTGATAATATAAATGTCTTAAGTTTTTTGTATCAATCCAGTAATTTTCTTTTAATTGTTGAATGATTCTGTGTGCATTGCGGCAGCCTTTGGCTATGTGCAATAAAACTGACTGGCTGACTGACTGACACTCATCATTAGATTCTCTTAATTTTGTTGTTGATTTTGCCAGTTCTGCAGGTTCCTGTGGCAGGGAGTTCCACATCTCAGCTCTGTGCTCTGTGAAGAAGGTCTTCTTTTTATCTGCCCCAAATTTTCCAATGCTCACCCTCATTGGATGCCTTCGAGTTCTAGAGTTATGACAGAGGAAGCAAAGACAGTCCTCTAAAATATTCTGCCTTCCATGCGTGTTTTCCTCTATCCGGAGCGAGCGATGTAGCTGGTTCAGTCAACGCACTGGACCAATGGACTGAGTCAGCGTACTACCTTCTTGTGCTCACTTTGGACAGGCACCCAATTAACCCATCCGTGGACGCCTTTACCCAACCCCTTCCCCCAGTCGTGAGCGTTTAGCGGCTCTGGGAGGGTCCCGTGTGCCAATCAGACATCGCACCCGCTCTGCCAGGCTGCAATTGTACCTGCCGAGTCCTGCTTTTGTGACGGCCCTCCTCTCCCCTGAGATGGCGGCTTTGTTCCCCTGCCAAGAGGTTCCTTGCAGCCTCGGCGCAATGTTCGTGGTGTGGCTAATTACACCCTGCGGGGCTCAAAAGCTTTGGCACCAATATTTTCCCGTCCTGACGCCCTCCGAGATGTTCCCGGGACTGGCAGGCTAATTGCAAGGCAAGGTGACTCAGTGGCTCCCAAGGAAGGGAAGAGAGAGAAGGAAGAAGTGTGTGATGGAGCCGGCTTGTTTTGCTCCTGCTCAGGAGGGTAGGATTCGAACCATTGGCTTCAAGTTGCAAGAATGCAGATTCCAACTAAACACCGGGAAGAACATTCTGACAGCAAGAGCTGTTCAACAGTGGAACAGGACTCCCTTGGGAGGTTGTGGAGTCCCCTTCCTTGGAGGTTTTTAAGCAGAGGTTGGATGGCATTATAGCTTGAGTTGAGATTCCTGCATTGCAGGGGATTCAATTCTTACCCTTACAACTCTATAGTTCTATGACACCGGGAATTAGTAGCCTCAGGAGAAGAGACTGGGGCCTTGCAAGAAATGACCAGCTCATTCCAGAGTTACGACTAGAGGTGGAAGGATCAGAATGAAAGAACACCATTATTACTTATTCCTTTTATATATATATATGCCCTTCTCCTCCAAGGAGTTCAAGGTGCTGTAGATGTTTCTCCCGTGCCTGCTTTGCAAAGTGTTGCTGCTGTTTAGCGTTCTGGTCTCCTCGCCTCCAAAAGGAGATGGCAACGTGGGAAAAGGTTCAGGAAAGGACAACCCCAAATGATTGAAGGGATGGTGGAGTTTAGATGGTACATGATAGAGGGTTACAAAATCATACATCACATGGAGAAAGCAGATAGAGAGGTTCTCTCTCTCTCTCTCTCTCTCTCTCTCTCTCATGTAACACTAGAACTCGTGGTGGCTTCCAACATACCGTATTTTTCGCCCTATAGGACGCACTTTTTCCCCTCCAAAAATGAAGGGGAAATGTGTGTGCGTCCTATGGGGCGAATGCAGGCTTTCGCTGAAGCCTGGAGAGCGAGAGGCGTCGGTGTGCACCGACCCCTCTCGCTCTCCGGGCTTCAGGAGAGCCCCACCGCCAGCCCCACAAGCTCGGGGGACAGCGGGGAGGTGCAGCGCGCCTCTCCCACTGTCCCCCGACTTGGTTAGAAGGCTGGCGGAGGGCTTCCCCCTCCTCAAGCCCCGCAAGCTCCCAGAGCGATGCCAAAGCTCCGCGCCTGGGGGGGGAAATAAATTTTTTCCCTTTATTTCCCCCCCCAAAATCTAGGTGCGTCCTATGGACCGGTGCGTCCTATAGGGCGAAAAATACGGTATATAAAAACATAATAAAACCTTTAAAAGTGTCCCTATACAGGGCTGCCTTTGTATGTCTTCTAAAGGTTATATAGTTATCTCCTTGACATCTGGTGGGAGGGTGTTCCACAGGGCGGGCGCCACCACCGAGAAGGCCCTCTCCTGGTTCCTTGTAACCTCACTTCTCGCAGTGAGGGAACCACTAGAAGACCCTCGGAGCTGGAACTCAGTGCTGGAAGATGCGGGTGGAGACGCTCGTTCGGGTATACAGTGGTACCTCGGGTTAAGTACTTAATTCATTCCGGAGGTCTGTTCTTAACCTGAAACTATTCTTAACCTGAGGTACCACTTTAGCTAATGGGGCCTTCTGCTGCCGCCGCGCCGCCGGAGCACAATTTCTGTTCTCATCCTAAAGCAAAGTTCTTAACCCGAGGTACTATTTCTGGGTTAGCGGAGTCTGTAACCTGAAGCGTATGTAACCCGAGGTACCACTGTACAGGGCAGAGGCTGTTTATAGGGCTTTCAAGGTCAGCACCAACACTTTGAATTGTGCTCAGAAACATACTGGGAGCCAAAGCAGGTCTTTCAGGGCCGGTGTTATATGGTCCCGGTGGCTGCTCCCAGTCACCTGTCTAGTTGCCGCATTCTGGATTAGCTGCAGTTTCTGAGTCACCTTCAAAGGTAGCCCCACGTAGAGAGCATGGCAGTAGTCCAAGTGGGAGATAACCAGAGCATGCACCACTCTGGTGAGACAGGGAGCAGGCAGGGAGAGTCACTACCGGCGCTCCAGATGGAGCAGGATCCTCGTAGAGCAAGATAATGGTAGGGACATTGCCTACCACGCTTGCAAGGTTCCTGTTTGAGCATCTGATTGGCTACTGTATGAACAGGTGGGCCATTGGCCTGATCCAGCAGTCTCTTCCTATGTCCTATATCCTCGCTCTAAGTGGGGCTGCCCTTGAGACTGACCCAGAAACTCCAGCGGGTGCAGAATGCCGCGGTGAGACTCCTTAGGGGGTCCTTGTCGCGAGATCACATTCACCCGGTGCTATACCAGCTGCACTGGCTCCCGGTGGAGTACAGGGTCAGGTTTAAGGTGCTGGTTTTAACCTTCAAAGCCCTATAGGACCCTCGTACCTATGGGACCGCCTCTCCTGGTATGTCCCACAGAGGAACTTACGGTCTTCAAACAAAAACATCTTGAAGGTCCCAGGCCACAGAGGGGTCAGGCTGGCCTCAACTAGAGCCAGGGCTTTTTCGGCTGTGGCTCCAATCTGGTGGAACGCTCTGTCACAAAAGACCAGGGCCCTGCGGGACTTGACATCTTTCCGCAGGGCCTGCAAGACAGAGCTGTTCCACCAGGCCTTTGGCCAGGGCACAGCCTGACCCCCTCCTCTGGCAATCTTCACAGAACTCTAGCTCAATGGTTGCCATCAATTTGATTTGAATTAATTTTATAATGAAATGATTTTAGAATGTTGCATTATTTTATTGTTGTTAGCCGCCCTGAGCCCGGCTTCGGCTGGGGAGGGTGGGATATAAATAAAATTTATTATTGTTGTTGTTGTTGTTGTTGTTGTTGTTGTTGTTGTACGTGATCCGTCAAAAAAACCCCCACCACTTTTAACAATTTCTTTTAAATGGGGTGGGGTGGAATTGTTGAGGTATAAAGCCAATGAGCTTTCAAGGAAAACCCAGGTGATTGGCCCTCATCCCTGTGCATATAAGTGAATGTGCCGGGTACAGTATTTGGATAGGGCACCAGGGAAGCTGTGCCACACCCCCTTGAGGCATCTTTCATGGGCTGGTTTGGAAGTTGTTTCAAGGTGAGACAGGCCACTGTTCCATCTACTTCAGCATTGTCTACACTGACCGGCAGACATTGAATGTGGCTTATTCTGCATGCAAGGCAAATGCTTTGCTGCTGAGTTATGGCCTTTCTTCAAAGAAAGACGCTAGTCCTCAATGTTTGGGGGGTGGGGCAGACCTATATTTTGGGCCCCTGAAGCTCAAACTGTCATCAGGGCCCCTTCTCAACCGGCAATGAAATCTGGGCAACCACTGAAGCCATCTTCTTCAAGGGGGGTTCTCCACAGCAGATCACCAGAGCTTTACAACATCTAAGCTACTAACACCAAACTTTTGGGATATTGAAATATATACAGCAAAAAAAAATCAATACATTTGACTCAAACCAACGCGGCTCTAATTGGGTCTATGAGGCCCCCCAAATTAAGTGATGTGGGGTCCTTTTACCTAGAATCATAGAATCATAGAATCCTAGAGTTGGAAGAGACCACAAGGGCCATCGAGTCCAACCCCCTGCCAAGCAGGAAACACCATCAGAGCACTCCTGACATATGGTTGTCAAGCCTCTGCTTAAAGACCTCCAAAGAAGGAGACTCCACCACACTCCTTGGCAGCAAATTCCACTGTCAAACAGCTCTTACTGTCAGGAAGTTCTTCCTAATGTTTAGGTGGAATCTTCTTTCTTGTAGTTTGGATCCATTGCTCCGTGTCCGCTTCTCTGGAGCGGCAGAAAACAACCTTTCTCCCTCCTCTATGTGACATCCTTTTATACCTTGTGGGGGGCAAGCCCCATGTTGGGCGAAAGACTCCTGCAGTGCAAAGGGTTGAGCTAGATGGCCCTTGTAGTCCCTTCCCAACTCTACACTTGGTCCCTTACCTTTCCCGCCCTGACCTGGCCACAGTGATCCATGCGACGGTCACTTCCAGGCTTGACTACTGTAATTCGCTCTACGCAGGTCTGCCCTTGAAGCTGACCCAGAAACTCCAGCGGGTGCAGAATGCTGCAGCGAGGCTCCTCACGGGGTCTCTGCCATGGGAGCATATTCACCCAGTGCTTTACCAGTTGCACTGGCTCCCGGTGGAGTACAGGGTCAGGTTTAAGGTGCTGCTTTTGACCTTTAAAGCCCTTTGTGGCTTAGGGCCCTCGTATTTACGGGACCGCCTCTCCTGGTATGCCCCGCAGAGGACCTTAAGGTCCATGAATAATCATAGTTTAGAGGTCCCAGGCCCTAAGGAAGTCAGATTCTCCTCTACCAGGGCCAGAGCCTTCTCAGTGATGGCTCCGACCTGGTGGAATGCTCTGTCCCATGAGACCAGGGCCCTGCAGGATTTAACTTCCTTCTGCAGGGCCTGTAAGACAGAGCTATTCTGCCTGGCTTTCAATTTAAACTTAGCCCAATCTTTTATTCCCCTTCCTTCCTCCCCCCCCCCCCTTTTATGAAGATTACCCGCTCTGGGATCCCACAGCTAATTGTCCCCTGATCTCCTCACTGGCCCAAATAGGACTAATTTAGCTAGCTAGACCTGGGGATTATCTAATGTTTATTGAATGGATTTTCCCCCTAAATTGATTTTTGAATTCTGAATTTATTGTTATTCACGTTTTATACTGTATTTTATGCTGTTTTTTTGTTGCATCAATAAAGTGTTTTAAATTTGTTGTTAGCCGCCATGAGCCCTTTTTTTTCAGAAAACTGGAACCGGGAAGGGCAGGGTATAAAAAAAATATTATTATTATTATTATTATTACTATGAACCTATGGCCTTGAGCTCCCCAGAAATACTGCAGAACTTTCATTCTTCCTAGACTTAATTCCTTCCATAATTTCTAGACTAATTCCTTCCTTAATTCTCAGTTTGTAGGTGCTAAGCTAAATCTGTCTGGTTCAGCCATGTTTCTGAAACCTTCCTATTTATCAATGGATGTTGTTGCTGTTAAAACAGAAGATCATAGAATCGTGGAGTTGGAAGGGATCCCTGAGGGTCATCTAGTTCAACCCCCTGCAATGCAGGAATTCCCCCCCCACCAAGGTGGGGCTTGAACCCACAACCCTGAGATTAATAGTCTCATGCTCCGCCGACAGAGCTGTCTTAAATGTCAGGCAAAACTGAAATTAAAAGACGTAAGGCAAACCTGCTGGGCCAGGGCAATAGCCCATGTGCCCCAACATCCTGTTCTCACAGTGGCCAACAAGTTGCCCCCCCCATGGGAAACCCAAAAAGCAGGACCTGAACCCAAGACCTGCTCTTTCTCCCCTCCTGTGGCTTCCAGCAACTGCTGTTCAGAAGCATTACTGCCTCTGGACTTTGGAGACAGAGCGTAGCCATTGTGGCTGGCAGCTATCAAAAGCCTTCTCCTCTTCTACAAATTTGTCCAATCGTCTTTTAAAACCATCGAGGTTGGTGGCTGTCCTTGCCCCCTGCAGGAGTGAGTTCCATAGTTGAACTGTGTTATATCAACTGCTTATATCGAGTCCTTGCTCTCCTTTAAGGGGAAAACAATTTTCAAATGAATAAATAAATGGGGGGGGGAGGCGGTGTCGGGAGAAGACTCCTTCTACAGGGCAGGGCTGTCGGGTCAAAGTGCAAATGCACACACACATACACACACACACACACACAGAGAGAGAGAGAGAGAGAGAGAGAGAGAGAGAGAGAGAGAGAGACCCCTCTAAAGGCAAATCGGTGATCTTGACGATGAAACCCAGAAGTAGTTTCTGGAAGAACCTACAAGGATACCAACTTGCATAAAAAAATTTTTGGGGGGGGTGTACAGGTAACCCCCACCTTGCCTAACTGATCACAATACACAGCTCATGTAGCCAGGATTTATGTTAGGGGGCAGGACTTATTTGGAGAGGGGGCAGAACCTCAGTTAAGTATTTCTAAGTATTTGCTTGATTTAGGGGGCAGCTGCCCCCTTCCCCCCTTGGCTACGCCCATGGGAACACGCACATCATTTGAATGGAAATGGCCATCCATTGGGAGGGCCGTGACCCCTCAAATATTTTACTGGAGGGGGCGTTGGCCTTGGCCCCTAGGAGTTGGTTCCTACCAGAGACAGAGAGCCGCCTGTCTCCTTTCCTCACATAGATACTGGGGGGCTGCAATAGAAGACTCTCCTACTCCCCATCTCCCAGGGAGGACAGGAAGAGAGAATGAACCTGCTCTGAAATGCTCTCTTTGGCCTCACCCCCTTCTTCCGTATCAATGAAATCACCTACGGATCCCTGGTAGGCAAAGTTCGGGTCTGAATGGGATGGATCACGTGCGCGCACACAGAGTGCCTGGGGGTCGTTTTCCCCACCCCACAAATTGCGGGTTTCTCAAATCGGTGGGTCATTGGCCTGGTTCCTTCTGAGCTGCTTAAATAACAGGACCCCTGCCGCAACACTCCTTTCCAAGGAACGAAGCCTTGCTGTGGCAGACTTTTTAAAATAATACTAAAGCAACGACACCCTACTACAAATGGTGACAGGGTTTCTAGAGTGGAAAGGACTCTGCAGTTACTAAATAACTGGGAAGGAGGTGGATGGTGGTATAAACCCCAAATATGCCGCCGCCCCCCTCTCTCTCCGCACACGCAGAATTTGGACATCAGTGAGATTGCAGCGAAAGGAATCGCTGAGGTGAGATCCTCCTTTTCTCAACCCCCTCCTCAAATTCTGCAGCAGTCTCCACACAGGTGCCAGAGACACCGAGATGGTGTTGCATGTTGTGCTGTGTGTTTTAAAAAACACAAATAGTACCCCCCCTTCAAAAACACAAATAGGCTGACCTCCCACAGATGGAGGGATAATTTTTTGTGTGTTTGGGGGTTGGATGGTGCCTTGATTTATTTATTTCTCTCATGGCTATCGATCCACTTTTCTAGGATGCTACAAAACCGCACGAGGACGGAGGGAGTCCGTCCCCCATCCCCACCCCACAGATATGTGTAGGTGCACAGAAAATGGAGAAAGGCAATTTAAAAAGGAAAAAAAACGCATCAGAGGAAGCAATGAAACCGAACTCGCCAGCTGCAAAGGAACGATTCATTAATATATGGACAATGTGTGTGTGTATATATATATATATATATGGACAATTGCAAATAATTGCTTAGGGGCCAGTGAGGTCGGGTCTTGAAGTTGGGATTCTGGCTAAACAGGGCACACCAGCTGCAAAGGGAGAATTAAACAGGGTCTGTACCTGTGCATATATCGAAGGTGAGCGTCAGATGAGGCAGAGCGATTAAACAGAATAAATACGCATGGAGAGAGAGAGAGAGACAGAGCGAGACGGAGAGACAGAGAAAGATCATGCATATTAATTGCTTAGGAGCAAATGGGATTGGGTCTTGAAGTTCGCCACCAGGTTACAGAGAACACACAGGCTGCAAGGGGAAAATTGAACATCATAAACATGCATTCGAAGAGAGAGAGAGAGAATGTCTAGGGGCAAATGAGTCTTGGAGCTTGGCTACGGTCTTATGGGGGGCGGCAGGGGTGCTCAGCTACTTATAACGATGGGGACTTACTTACGGGGGGGGCTGCCCATCCCTCCTCACAGCCTGCAGCCATGACCCCTGGATGCGTGGCTAAGAACGTAGATCCCCCCCCCCCCCAAATTTGCCACCTTCTTCGATACCACCAACACCAAAGGAGGGGTTTATTGTTCGGGGGAGGGCTGATTTTACCTTCTGCGAGCCGAGGGTTCCTGGCGGCTGCTTCCCGGAGCGGCTGTGGCCAAGGCTGCCTCCGGGAGCCAACTTTCCCTGCAGAGGCGAGCGGCCAGGCAGAGCCCGCTCCTCGCCCGTCGGCGGGCACCAGCGGCACCCGGGCGCGCTCCGGCGCTGCCCTGCGTTTCCCGGCGCTGCGGACGAGCACGGCTGGCGGGGGGGAGGCGGCGGCGGCGGCGGCGGCAGGAGCCGGGGGGCTGCCCAGTGTCCGGGCCCCGATCCGGGCCAAGCGCCGCCCTCCTGGTGGGGGCAGGGGGAGTGCCAGCCGGAGGGCAGGCGGCCGGGGTCGCGGGCCCTCTGGAGCAAGGGGTAGAGCGAGAGGAAGACCAGCTGGCTGGGCGAGGGCCGCCCGGGGGCCAGGAGACGCGGGTCGGGGGCCGCGGCGGGCCGGACGGCGCCCAGGGAGCTGTCCGGGTGCTGAAACGAGGGAGCAGCAGCGCGGACCGCAGAGCGGCCGCCGCCTCTGCCGCTAGCGCGCTGCTGCGGCGGCGGCGGCGGGTGGTGCTGAAGGACAGCTCCCGGCGCCTGCCAAGGCATCTCCCGGGCGCCGAGTCAAGCCCCTCTCGCCCGCCTGGCGCGCCACCCGCGGCTCCCCTCGCCCGGCTCTCCGGCGGAATCCGGGAAAGGGACCCTCTCCTCCCATTGGTGGGCTCCCTCCCCCAGCCCCTCCCCAGCCTTCGCCGCGCAGACCACCCGCCTCCCCTCCGCTGCGCCGCCCCTTCGACTCCTCGCCCTCCTCTTTCCGTCTCTCTCTTTCTAGGTAATCCGGGGTAATTACTCTTGGCGCAGGACGGCGGCTGTCTCCCCCACCGCTTCCGCTCAGTCTGCCCTCGCCCCTTTCTGCGCTGCCAATGGGGAGGTTTTAGGCCCCAAGGGGGCAGAGCGCCTTATCCCCCAGGGTCGTCAGGACTGGGGTTTCGCTCTGTTTTTAAAGGGAGGTTTCCCGACTCGCTGGTACAGGCAGTGGCGTAGCAGAAAGGTTCCAGGTTCAATAATAGGAATCCTAGAATTGTAGACTTGGGAGGGAGCTCGAGGGTCATCCAGACCAACCCTCTGCAATGCAGGAATCTCAGCTCAAGCATCCAGGACAGATAAGGCCATCCAATCTCTTCTCAAAAACCTGCAAGGAAGGAGAGTCCACTGTCTTTCGAGAGAGTCCGTTCCACTGTGGGAAAGCTCTCACTGTCAGAAAGTCCTGCCTGATGTTTAGTTAGATGTTTCTTGCAATTTGAAGCAATGAGTTCCAGTCCTACCATCCCGAGCAGGAGAAAATAAGCTTGCTCCATCTTCCATGTGGCAGCCCTTGAGATATTTGAAGGTGGTTATCTCCTCTCAGTCTCCTCTTTCCCAGGCTAAACATACTCAGCTCCTTCAACCGTTCCTCATAAGGCTTGGTTTCCAGACCCTTGATCATGTTGGTTGCCCTCCTCTGCACACCTTCCAGCTTGTCAACATCCTTCTTAAATTGTGGTGCCCAGAACTGGATGCAGTATTTGAGGTGCTCGATTTGAGGCAATCTCAAAGCAATATTGTGTTCAAACTCAACCAAGGGGGAATTGGTGGTTCCGGCTGAGGCTGAATCCACACTACCAAGATGAAGGTTCTCTTGGGCCTCATGAAATAATCATAAAAGAAGAAGGAGAAGAACTGAATGTACTATATTTCAAAAGCAGGTTACACTTGCTCCGTGTATGGAAAATGAAAGAGTCTGGGTTCACAAACACACAAGCCTAGTTCTTTCTTCATGGAACCTGTGGCTGGGGACTTGCTGTATTTTCCTGGATGTGACTGAGTACACCTCCACACCACACACACTCTATCTATCTATCTATCTCTCCCTGCATTTAGAAATGTAGCATGTCAAGGGAAAAAAGTTTCCAGTTGGCTTTTTCTGGCTGAGGAATATGTATTTAGATACAGGAGTGTTCAAATTCTCTACCCACATGCAGACACACCTAGCATGCCGGGGGAAAGAGGTCTTGCCTATTCATCACCTCCCTGACATGCTATCTTTCTACGTTGCAAGGGTTATACGTATACAAGTATACAAGTATACAAGTATACAAGTATACAGACTCCCTGGCAGGTGTCAAGCAGGTGGGTTATAGTCCAGCTTTCCGAAGAATGTAGGAACGAAAAAAGAACTCTTGGTGAGGGATTTCGCTGTTGTTGTTTAGTCGTTTAGTCATGTCCGACTCTTCGTGACCCCCTGGACCAGAGCACGCCAGGCACTCCTGTCTTCCACTGCCTCCCGCAGTTTGGTCAAACTCATGCTGGTAGCTTGGAGAACATTGTCCCACCATCTCGTCCTCCGTCGTCCCCTTCTCCTTGTGCCTTCCATCTTTCCCAACATCAGGGTCTTTTCCAGGGAGTCTTCTCTTCTCATGAGGTGGCCAAAGTATTGGAGCCTCAGCTTCAGGATCTGTCCTTCCAGTGAGCACTCAGGGCTGATTTCCTTCAGAATGGAGAGGTTTGTTCTTCTTGCAGTCCATGGGACTCTCAAGAGTCTCCTCCAGCACCAGAATTCAAAAGCATCCATTCTTTGGCGATCAGCCTTCTTTATGGTCCAGCTCTCACTTCCATACATCACTACTGGGAAAACCATAGCTTTTACTATGCGGACCTTTGTTGGCAAGGTGATGTCTCTGCTTTTAAAGATGCTGTCTAGGTTTGTCATCGCTTTTCTCCCAAGAAGCAGGTGTCTTTTAATTTCGTGGCTGCTGTCACCATCTGCAGTGATCATGGAGCCCAAGAAAGTAAAATCTCTCACTGCCTCCATTTCTTCCCCTTCTATTTGCCAGGAGGTGATGGGACCAGTGGCCATGATCTTCGTTTTTTTGATGTTGAGCTTCAGACCATATTTAGGCATTTCGCTACTGCACACCAAAGCCAACATATCTTGGGGCGGGGGCATTAATGTGTGAAAACAAAGCAAAGAGAGTGTTGTGTCAGAAGAAGGGAACATATTCCTGCTTCTCTGGATAGATTTTTGTGGGGTTTGGTGGTGCTGATGGAAAACCATCGTGATATTCTGTATCTGATGCTTTCCATTAAACACCAGAACATCAGAAGAGCTTGGCTGCAGGATCAGGCCCTTGGCCCGTCTAGTCCAGCATCCTCACAGTGACCAGCCAGATCCCTCTCCGGTGGGAAAACAGCCAGCAGCACCAGAAACAAACACAGGGAATGCTGCCACCGAGGAAGGGATCAGTTAATTAAACTAATGGGATACAGGATTGTTAATCCTAGGCTTGTTTTGAGTTTTCAGGAAGCAAACTCTCTGTGGGCTCTTTAACCTGCAGATTTGTTGAGAAATGTTTACCTCGAATACATTACATTCATAGGTGTAGCCAGGATTAATTTTACGGTGGGGGGGCAGGCATAATGTTCGGGGGGGCAGTACCAAGTTATCTGTGATGCAATTGGTCAGTTAGTTAAGTATTTCTTCTTCTTCTTCTTCTTCTTCTTCTTCTTCTTCTTCTTCTTATTTATTTATACCCCACCCATCTAGCTGGGCTTCCCCAGCCACTCTGGGCGGCTTCCAACCAAATATTAAAATACAGTAATGCATCAAACATTAAAAGCTTCCCTCAACAGGGCTGCCTTCAGATGTCTTCTAAAAGTCTGGTAGTTGTTGTTCTCTTTGACATCTGGTGGGAGGGCGTTCCACAGGGTGGGTGCCACCACCGAGAAGGCCCTCTGCCTGGTTCCCTGTAACTTGGCTTCTCGCAGTGAGGGAACCACCAGAAGGCCCTCGGCGCTGGACCTCAGTGTCTGGGCAGAATGATGGGGGTGGAGACACTCCTTCAGATATACTGGGCCGTTTCTTTATTTGCTTTGGGGGGGCACCTCCTCCCCCTGCCTCCCTGGCTATGCCTTCCATGGTTACATTGAGGGGTGGACCCCAAATACAAAAAGTTCAGGTGGAATTTGAGGGGATATATTTTTCTGGCTCTGGAGTTCCTTTTGTGTACAGGGAGGCAGGGGGAAAGGATGTTGGAAATGGCTTAAGATTAGGGAGCATGATGCACTGTCAGGAAGGTGACAACATGGAGAAAAAGGATGTCAGCGACGGATAGCCACAAAGGCTACGCTCTGCCTCCACAGAGGCAGGAAATGCACGAGGAAGAATAAGAATGAACAGTCACAGCTGTGCTAAGCTGACACACATTTGGGGGACCCCAGCCTCAACTGAAACCTAGTGGACAATATGTTGTTGTTGTTGTTTAGTCGTTTAGTCGTGTCTGCCTCTTCGTGACTCCCTGGACCAGAGCACGCCAAGCACTCCTGTCTTCCACTGCCTCCCGCAGTTTGGTCAAACTCATGCTGGTAGCTTCGAGAACACTGTCCCACCATCTCGTCCTCTGCCATCCCCTTCTCCTTGTGCCCTCCATCTTTCCCAGCATCAGGGTCTTTTCCAGGGAGTCTACTCTTCTCATGAGGTGGCCAAAGTCTTGGAGCCTCAGCTTCAGGATCTGTCCTTCCAGTGAGCACTCAGGGCTGATTTCCTTCAGAATGGAGAGGTTTGATCTTCTTGCAGTCCATGGGACTCTCAAGAGTCTCCTCCAGGAATTCAGGAATTCTGAATTCCTCCAGAATTCAATCAATTCTTCGGCGATCAGCCTTCTTTATGGTCCAGCTCTCACTTCCATACATCACTACTAGGAAAACCATGGCTTTTACTATACGGACCTTTGTTGGCAAGGTGATGTCTCTGCTTTTGTCTGTGGACAATATAGGAATCTATATTTACACACATATATATGGGGTTGTATGGGGTGTTAGGGGAGCTGCAGTACCACCGCTTGGGGGACATGTTTTGCTCCTTCTGGGGTCATTTGTCCATCTTGGGTCCCCCACCTGCACTCAGCTCCCACCTGTGGCTCCTGGAAGCTGCCAGCAGGCGACAGCAGCCATGATCCTGGAAACGGTTTTGACTGGCCAGTGAAAGCAGGTGAGGAAAGCCGATGGGTCTGAACCCCTCGGTGAATTAGGGGCTTCCCTGGGTGTGAAGACAGGCTCTGGCAGGCAGAGAAGACGAGACCGAGAGTGGGACCCATGGTCAAGAAGGTGGTTTCTGCCCTTGCTGTAGAGGGATGTGAGGGGCAAGTGGGGCTCATTCACTTGGGAAGGGAGACCATCTAGGACAAGGATCAGCAAACTAAGGCCCGGGGGCCGGATCTCGCCCAATCGCCTTTTCAATCCGGCCCGCAGATGGTCCGGGAATCAGCGTGTTTTTACATGAGTAGAATGTGTCCTTTTATTTAAAATGCATCTCTGAATTATTTGGGGGGCCTGCCTGGTGTTTTTATATGAGTAGAATGTGTGCTTTTATTTAAAACGCATCTCTGGGTTATTTGTGAGGCACTGGAATTCGTTCATTTCCCCCATCAAGATATAGTCTGGCCCCCCACAAGGGCTGAGGGACAGTGGACCAGCCCCCTGCTGAAAAAGTTTGCTGACCACTGGTCTAGGAGAAGGAAAACTCTGGCCCTAAACCTCCACTGCCTTGTGGGATCTCTGCAGGGAGGCAAAGGCTCAGGAATAGACCCTCCACAAATCTGGAGTCCCTAAGGCGGTTGGGTGGCACCTTGTACGCCTCCTTCTGGCAACTCCTGCAGCCCAGCTGGTGCCAAACGTCTTGCTCTGCTTTCCTTTTGGCCATATCAGCCAGGCCAAGAATATAAATAAAATAATTATTTTTTTTATTTATACCCCGCCCTTCCTGGTTCAGAAACCGGGCCAGGGCTGCTAACAACAAATTTAAAACACTTAATTGTAAAAGCAGCATAAAATACAGTATAAAAACATGAATACAGTGGTACCTCAGGTTACATACGCTTCAGGTTACATACACTTCAGGTTACAGACTCCGCTAACCCAGAAATATTACCTCGGGTTAAGAACTTTGCTTTAGGATGAGAACAGAAATCGTGCTCCGGCGGCACAGCGGCAGCAAGAGGCCCCATTAGCTAAAGTGGTGCTTCAGGTTATGAACAGTTTCAGGTTAAGAACGGACCTCTGGAATGAATTAAGTACGTAACCTGAGGTACCACTGTAACAATAAAATTCAAAGTTCAGAAATCGATTTAGGGGAAATCCATCTAATAAGCATTAGATAATCCCCAGGGCTAGCTGGCTGAATTGGTCCTACTTGGGCCAGCGAGGAGGCCAGGGGAGAATTAGCTGTGGGGTCTCAGAGCAGGTAATCTTCATAAAAGGGGAGGGGGAGGGAAGAGAAGGGAAATAAAAGATCAGGCGCAATAAAAGAAGGGGGTCTTGTCATCTGGGCAGCCCAAGACCTCCTTGCACACTACCCGGGCTTGCGCAGCCAGAGGCTCACTCTTCCATCTCTCAAGACAGACAGATGCCACCTAAATATTGCATGCTCATGACTGGCAGGCCAGCTGGAATGGCATTTGTGGACTGTGCAAATCTCCTTTTGGATCTGTCTAGCCACTGGTGTTCTGAAGACAACTCAGCCTTCTTGAGGATATGACGGAAGGCTGCTCATGACACAGTCTGCCCAATTCCGAATCTGGAAACTGAGGTTTGCCACCCTTAGGCCAGTGCTCTGCCAATATGTGTGGGTTTCTTCTTCTTCTTCTTCTTCTCCTCCCATGCAAAAAGAAACAATGCACTTTGTAGGGCATGGAAAGTCTGTGGCCTGGAGATAAGAAACCTTAAAGTCCGTCCAGCAAGTGCGAAGTCAGAACGCTTTATTAGGATAGAAGCACCTGGAAATGCAGGGTGGATTTTTTGACAAGGGGAGGGGACGTTACCGGAAAAATTGTGCACACAACAAAACACCCTTCTTTGTGGGCAATAAAACAAGGAAGGAAACCGCCCATTCTCCCTTGTGGGTTTGACAAGAATATCTGGCTGACCTCATGGGTCACACCAGGTTCCTGGACTAGAGGGATGTTGACAAGCTGGACGGTGTGCAGAGGAGGGCAACCAAGGTGAACCAGGGTCTAGAAACCAAGCCTTGTGAGGAACGGTTGAAGGAGCTGGGTATGTTTAGCCTGGAAAAGAGGAGACTGAGAGGAGATAGGAGAGCCACCTTCAAATATCTCAAGGGCTGCCACATGAAAGAGGGAGCAGGTTTGTTTCCTCCTGCTCTGGAGGGTAGGACTCGAACCCATGGCTTCAAGTTACAAGAAATGAGATTCCGACTAAACATCAGGAAGAACCTTCCAACAGTAAGAGCCATTTGACTGTGGAATGGTCAACCTTGGGAGGTTGTGGACTCTCCTTCTCGGGAGGTTTTTAAGCAGAGGTTGGGTGGGATGCTTGAGCTGAGATTCCTGCATTGCAGGGGGCTGGACTAGATGACCCTTGAGGTCCCTTCCAACTTTACAATTCTATGATGTAACACTCTGCTACTGCTTCTGGGTTTTCTTTTGGGACATCTGTGACAACAGGGTGCTGGGCTGGATGAGTCCCCTATGGCCTGATCCTGTGGCCAAGTTCTGACAGTCTTGTATGGAGCCTCCAGCTGCAGAGGCAGTCTACTTCGATTCCTGCATTGTAGTTTTTTTTTGTTGCGCTTCAATCCTGTGAGAACAGGACTCTGGAACTAGCTGGGCTACTGGGCTGATCCAGCCAAGCTTTCCTTATAAGCTTTTACTAAAAACAATCAAACAAACACGAAGACAGCTGGTCAACAACAACAAAAGCATTCATGAGCAGCAGCAGCAGTTTCAAAAGTTGTTTTTTGTTTGTTTCAGTAATGTGTTTGATTTCCAGCAGAATGCAAATAAAGAGGGAGCTGGACTCTTGAAGCAGTGAGTTCCACAGGCTGGGTGCCACCTCAGAGAAAGCCCTCTCTCGCTCATTGCCATCAACTGTACAGTTGACCAGAACTCAGGCCAACAGCCAGCACCAACTTGGGGTGAGTTGTCCCTGAAGGTCTCCACAAAACACGTACCCCTGTCTCCTCTGGGGGTTTGCCCCAATATCCGAAGCCCATCCTTTGACATTCAGCAAACATACGGTTTCAGTATAGGGGCAGCTGGCATGAGACAGGATTGGGCAGCTGGAGCAGCGTGACAGACGGCAGGTTTCTGGGTTCTGCCTTTCCCCGAAAATAAATCAGCAAACTGGCAACAAACTGCCACTGCAGAGAGAAAAAGTTCAGATCCCTTATGGAGATGACAAAGTCCACCTCACTAGGCCAACATTCAGGTTTTCTGCCTGCAGTCGACACATTCCCCCAGGAAGCCAACAAGACCTTCGTATCTCTTCCCCCTTGCCTAGGTGTTCTCAGATAGACTCCCATGGCAGCGGCAGAAAAACTCCAGAGTTCTTTAAACCTATGCACTGCATGTGTGAGGAAATCTTTTCCCTTCGCTCCCCTTCGCTGGCTGATCCCTGAGTGGCTTCCAGTGTTTTGGGAGAGACAGGAAAAGAAGAAGAAGAAGAAGAAAAACCACTTTCTCCAACCACTGCTTCGTTTAATACACCTGGGTCAAGTTCCTCCTAACTTGCCTTTTCCCTTTCTTTCTGCAAACAACAAATCCCTCATCTCCTCACAGGGAGTTTGTTTCCAACGCCTTTGAGCATTTTCGCCTGCCCTTTCCTGAACCAACTCTGTAGCTCTGCAATATCAGATCAGGACTGCAGAACACAGCATTATGAGCGCAGTGAGACCACAGATTTATATAAATGCTTTGTAATATTGGCTGTTCGGTTGTTCGGCCTCTTACCTAGCAAACTGTAACGTGGAACTGGCTTCTCCCGCACCCCCCATCCTTAAATTGGGAAATCCGCCCCCCCATCCCATTTTTATGATTTGCTAAACACCCATAAAAAGCATTAATAATGTTACATCAGGTTGAAAGCAGCATAAGGTTGAACATTAGCACTAAAGGTACGGTTCCAAAAGCATTGCAAAAAAAGAAAAACAAAAAACCCATTTCCCCAGAAACCTGTTAGGTTTATTTATGTGCATTATTGTGTAATAGGTTTACTTAATCATTGTTCCTACAGACCGGATCCCACCCCCCAAAAAACCTATTAGCATACAGATATACTCTGCACACACCCTCCCAATTGTTACTTATCTGGGATAGCTCAGTTGGTAAAGCATGAGACTTAATCCACGGGTCTTAATCTCAGGGTTGTGGGTTTGAGCCCCATGTTGGGCAGAAGATTCCTGCATTACGGGGGTTGGACTAAATGAGCTCTGAGGTCCCTTCCAACTCTGAGTCTAACCAGGCCTTTGGCTAACCAAGTAAGTTAAACAACAGATCAACAAAGCCAGAGACAGACCCAAAAGAGGACTATATGGAACTTGCCGAACTGACTGGGAGACTCCGAGACCAGAGAGAAGAGACAGTGGAAGAAGACTGGAAGAAGTTTAAAGAATATTTGAAAAAATATGTTAATATTTAAATCTTAGAATAGCTTTGGAAGTGGATATAGGCTGTAGGGTTAGAAGTAGAAGATAGTGTATTTTAAAATAGTATTATTTGTAAGTGATAAAATGTGAAGATTTTTATGGTAAAAGTAAAGGGACCCCTGACCATGGTAAAAGTAAGTGTGATTAAAAAAAAAAGGTTAAAAATTAAGATATATGAAACTGCTAAAGATGAGGTAAAATGAAAATCAGATGGCGGGACTTGGGGAAGCTCGCCTAACAATGTTTAGAAAAAATAAGGATAAGACAAGAATTCGTTTGTATTGTTTGTTTTTCTGTTTGTATTGTTTATTTCTGTTATAAAATGAATAAAAAAAAAATTGAAAGGAAATTGAAAGACAGACCCAAAAGAGAAAATAACAGAACACCACTAGTAATCACATACAGCTCCCATTTCAATGCATCATCAGAGATCTACAAGTTCTCCTAGACAACAACAGTTCTCTTTCTCAATCTCTGGGAGGAAGACCTTTCATTGCCTACAGACAGCCACCCAATCTTAAACAACTCCTCACCCACAATAATACAGCAAGCAGACTTAACATGGACAAGACTTAACATGCAACAAACCCAGATGCCAACTTTGTTGCCACATACACCTGGACAACACCATCACTGGACCCAACAACATCAAACATACCATCTCAGGTCTATTTAATTGCTCATCTTCCAACATTGTGTAGGCCATCAAATGCCAGCAGTGCCCTTCAGCTCTCTATATTGGACAAACAGGCCAAACCCTACGCCAAAGGATAAATGGACATAAATCTGACATCGGAATCACAAGACAGAGAAGCTTCAATCTCCCAGGATCTCAAAGCAGCTGTCTTATTACAAAAGAATTTCAGAAATAGACTTGAAAGAGAAGTTGCTGAATTACAACTTATTGCTAAACTGAAAACTATGGAGAGGCCTGGTCTGAATTGAGATACAGTATTGGATTCTTGTCTCATTACATATGCTAAAGCTATTTTTGGTCATCTACATACTATCCCTTGCTTTTTCTTGTAGGACTAATTGCAGTCATTAACAGTCGTCAACAGGTTTACCATACCCATTGAGTCAATCACCCATCTCCTACCACCCTTCTGAGAAAAACCCCACCCCACCCTCTCACTATATATAAGGGTCTGGGGACTTCTGTTTCAGTGTATCTGAAGAAGGGTGCATGCACGCAAAAGCTCATACCAAGAACAAACTTAGTTGGTCTCTAAGGTGCTACTGGACAAATTTTTAATTTTTTCAAGTAATCTTTGTAGCAGTTATAAGGCTGGCGGCTATTTCTCGATCATTTTCCTGGATAATACCCTTCAGAAAAGCGAGTAGGAAAAGCGAGTATGTGATATCCTAGCACATCAGAAATAGTAGCCTAGAGAAATTTCCAAAATATTTGTACCTGCGAGCAGTTCCAGTGATTCTCAGCACCCTGAACGAAATACACATCCCAGGATTCTTTGGGGGGGAAGCCATCGCTAGGATACTTATTCAGATGCAGAGTGCAGACGAGGCCTCAGTTTTTCCCCTTGAGGAGCAGGAGTATGGGCACAAACCTATAATGGGTTGACTCCTCCTGTCAATGGTTCTGGCCCCCCTGGCTTCTAAGAATGCCTTGGCTAGTAGCTCAACTGGTTAGAGCGCAGTGCCGATAACGCCAAGGCTGCAGGTTTGATCCAGCTGCATATTCCTCCATTCCAGTTCTATAATTCTATAGTTCTTGCCCTGAAAGGGCACAAGCCAACCTGGAGCAAAATTATATCATTCTAGGATTCTGCATCCACAAACGGAGAGAGTCAGATGGTCATCTGTGCCCCCGCCCCACCTTGCTTTCTCGTTTCCTCTCTGCTGTGATGCTTAATTACTTTTCCTTAATTTATTGTTACGGTGGCACAGGCTTGAATATTTCATGGGGTCGCTTCCCTGCTCTCCCGGCTGCTGCACCGCTGGATAAATTACTCTTATTAGCCTGATTAATCTGCTGGTCCCTGGGGAACGAAAAGGGTTAAGGCCGCCAAAGGAACTCAGATTCTTTTCCGTTCCACTCGTAGGAACAAAGGAGAGCCGGCTGGTTCAGGCCAATGGCCCGTCTAGTCCAGCATCCTATTCTCTCAGTGGCCAACCAGATGCCCATTAATGGAAACCCACGAGCAGGATTTAAACACAAGAGCAGCTCTCCCTCCTGTGGTTTCCAGCAACTGGGATTCACCCACTGGTAGCATTCGATAGCTCTCTCCTCATCCACAAATTAGTCCAATCCCCTTCCAAAGCCATCAAGATCAGTGGCCGTCGCTGCCTCATGTGGCAGTGAGGTCCGCAGTTTAAAGATGCACTGCATGAAGAAGGACTTCCTTTTACCCGGTGGCAAACCTACATTTGGGGGGACCCTTTGCAACAAGCAACAAGGTCGGGGTAACCACCGTTATCTTCTTAAAGGGGTTGAGCCACAACAGACTGCCACTTTATTATTATTATTATTATTATTATTATTATTATTATTATTATTATCTACATCACCTACAAGGATCTAGAGATCATGCTAAGGGGGGCCAAATTCTGTGCGACTGCCATAAAACTTTTTTTTTTTTTAAATGATATTTATTGGGGAAAAAAATTTTTTTTTTTAGAGTTAGAGTTACAAAAAAAAGAACAAAGAAAGAACAGAGAAAAACACAAACCACAACCCACAATACAAATTAAAAAAAAAAAACACCGCAAACATTTAAAAACAAATCCATTATTCTCAAATCCTCAACTGTCATTACCTTCTTTCTTTGACCTCCTCCTCCTCCCTTTTTTTGTATCCTAGTTGTTAATTGTTGCAGCAAATCCTTTCCATATTTCATAAAATTCTGTCATTACATTACCTTAAACTATTTTAATCTTATCTTACTATAAAAAACCTTGAAACTTAAAACTTAAATCTTATTTTTACCAACTTCTCATAACCATAATATTCTTACATAATTCTTTAAACATTTTTACTAAAGCCAAGTAATTTCATTCCAACATTTTTCTAACATTCATCAATTTTAAAAAACAATCCTAGTAGTAGAAAAAAAAAATCCAATCTTCATCCAGCGTCCCTTCCTCCTGGTCCCGGGTTTGTCAGTCCTTATTATCCCATCGATCTAGCGCATTAGCCTGGTAACCTTATAGCCGAGGCCCTTAAGTCTCTTCCATGTCCCTTCCGCAGCTCCTCTTCATATTTGTAACTGTATTTTCCCTTGTCTCCTGCTCGTTTCACTCGTAGGAACTCCAGCTTAACAATATTTTTGACCCTTCTCGACAGATCAGCCCCTTTTCCATAATCCACACTAAATTCCATGTGATATTTAAGAACATGTTTCAAAATTCCTCCAAAATTAGGAGCCCCCACAATCCCAGACATCTCACGGCCCATTGCCAGACTTGAAAAGTCCAAATATCCCTGCATAGGGGGGTCTATCCAACCCCCCATTTCCAAACCAAACCAAACTTTTTCTTTCCAAATCTGGCTTTTTCCAAGTTCATTTGTCAAATCCGAAAGCTCATGTTCCTGTTGGGCCTGTTCTGTCAGGGCACACTCCTGATTTAATTCCTGGGTGGGCTCCACATAGTTTCCCACTGCCTGTTCAAAGTTTCCCACTGCCTGCTCAAAATTTCTAATCGAATCAGCCATTAAATTCGTCTTCTCATGTAGCTGTTCCAGTAGGGCATTTGTTTTATAGAAAGCACACAACAGAGCTTCTGAATACATTGTCCTGCAAGGTCAGATGTCTGTTCCCACGATTGTAATCTGTAACAGCTGCCAGCTCCCCAGAGTTGGTTACAGTTTCACAGTCTCCCTTTAGGGGGAAAACTTCTATTTGTTCTTTCTTTTAAAGACAAGTCTAGCAACAAAAGTTTCCTTTTTCAGATATTTTGTCAATATTTGTTCCTTTAAGAAGCGAAGGGGAACAATGGAGTCAAAGTTTCTCTTCTTATAGCTATCTGTCAAAAACGTTGTCTCTGGTCAATGAGCTTCAAAAAACGTCAGTCCTAACACCCCGCTCCAGGATCAGGACGGTGGAAAGTTACTTTACTTTACCCTCACTTCTGCAGGTTTAAACAGTCCAAAAAAATCCCCCCTCTTCTCCTGCTTCCGAAGGGGGTTCAACAATCTTAGATGATGAAAGTTAATCTTTTACAGACGATTTTCTGAGCTCTAGTTTGCCATGTCTTTGCTTTAATCTATCTACAAAGAAACGGAAGGCTGACTTCCTGTTTAGACCTTCCCGTTTCAGCGCCAAATTAAGGTAGACTTTTAAGTTCAATTTTCCTTTCAGCTCACAAGTCCTTATTTAGAGTCCAATTATCCAAGTTTAGGTACTCACGGGTGATTATTTTAGAAGCCAGATTGTCCCAGGAAAAAGGCAGCGCTCTCCGGCAACGGCTGTGCAGCTTCGCTCCACGGAAGAAGCAGTTGACTCTCAGCACCGCGCCACTTCCCCCTCTTCGCTTCGGAGCCCGTTAGTGGGTTCCTTTGCGGGTTGGGGGGGCGCTATGGGTGCCTGCCAAGTCCCATGGTCACAGGCTTCATCCGCCTGTGATTTTTGAATGGGTCCCCGCTTCGCCGTAGCGGAAAGGACCCGATCCCCGTGGAGCTGGTCCCTCCAGTTCAGAGGGAATCCGCCATTGCCGATGGCGCCACCCCGGAAGTGCGACTGCCATAAAACTTAGGGAACAAGCTGTACTACCAAAATGACTAATGTTTTAAATGACAATTTTAGGTTATATTTTAATGTTCAATATTTAATATATATTTTTAACTGCCGCTATATCTGAATTGTCTCTGTTATACCCAATTGCAATTCAGTGTATTCCTGTTTTATGATTTTCCTGATATTGTAAGTGAGCTGGAACTGGTCTGTGACCGTAATAATAAAATTCAATTCAATTCAATTCAATTCAATTCAATTCAATTCAATACATCATTTCAGATTTTGATTTAAATTGCTGCACTGGGTTATCTCACATGTTAAAGTCACTGGTGTTAATGAAAAAATTCTTACACCTTATATTTTCCGAGTTATGGGGGGTGGATTAAAATCAGGGGGAACCAGGGATGCAGTTTTTAAAGCACAATTTTTAAGCAATGTGGACTAAGGTAGATTAGGAGCCCTGAAGCTTAAGTTCCATTCTTTTCATAGCGGATCTGCCCCTGGTTTTACCTGTCCTGAATTTTCCAACTTTCAGCTTCACTGCAGGCCCACGAATTCTGGTGATATGAGAGATGGGGGGGGCACTTTCCCCTGTGTGCTTTCTCCTTCCAATGCGAGTTGGAAAGTGACCCAGCAGGCTTTCTCATGTTCTTACGGCCTCCTAACAACTCTCAGCACCCTCAGCAAACTATAACTCCCAGGATTCTGGTGGGGTAGGGGAGCCACGTCTGCTTCAAGCAACGCCATAGCACTTGAAATGGAAGTTGTGGGTGCGGTCAAAGTTTCAGCCACAGAAATTGCAGGTGTTGCTCAATTTGCTGGGCAAAAGATTCCTGCATGGCGGGGCGTTAGACTAGATGATTCTTGGGTGTCTCCCAAATCAATGATTCTATGGCTTTATATACCAAGAGCATGGAAAAGGGGTCAGCGAGGCCTTTCTGGTGGGGCTGCTTTGGCCCATGGCCCACACACACTCCGGAAACCAGGTCACCCCAACCTCAGCCGGTTCCCTCTCTGCTCTGTTGTTGTTGTTTAGTCGTTTAGTCGTGTCCGACTCTTCGTGACCCCATGGACCAAAGCACGCCAGGCATTCCTGTCTTCCACTGCCTCCCACAGTTTGGTCAAACTCATGTTAGTCGCTTTGAGAACACTGTCCGACCATCTTGTCCTCTGTTGTCCCCTTCTCCTTGTGCCCTCCATCTTTCCCAACATCAGGGGCTTTTCCAGGGAGTCTTCTCTTCTCAGGAAGTGGCCAAAGTATTGGAGCCTCAGCTTCAGGATCTGTCCTTCCAGTGAGCACTCAGGGCTGATTTCCTTCAGAATGGAGAGGTTTGTTCTTCTTGCAGTCCATGGGACTCTCAAGAGTCTCCTCCAGCACCAGAATTCAAAAGCATCCATTCTTTGGCGATCAGCCTTCTTTATGGTCCAGCTCTCACTTCCATACATACTACTGGGAAAACCATAGCCCTCCCTGCTCTGTGGCTAGGTAAATATTTCATTCATCAGCACTTAAGGAGTCGTTCCCCCTAATAGGTTATATTGATGCCAACACAAAAGGAGGTGCCTTAAATCTTTTGCTCTCTCTGGGAAGGCCAATAAATGTATCTGTCTCTCTGAGAGAATTTACGCCTGCTCCCTGGGCAATGGAAGGTGATTAAGGGGAGAGGGGACAGGTGTCCTGGAGACTCAGAGCCTGAATTTAATCGGAGGAAAACAGGGGCCTCCTTGCAACACCCAAGACTGTTGCTCCACAATCCTGGGCCAACATTCAGATTTGCTGGATGCCCAGCAGTTCTAGTGTTAGGGCACACCCGGCACGTGGGTGGCACCGTGGTCTAAACCATGGAGCCTCTTGGGCTTGCAGATCATAAGGTTAGCGGTTCGAATCCCTGTGATGGGGTGAGCTCCCGTTGCTCTGTCCCAGCTCCTGCCAACATAGCAGTTCGAAAGCAAGTCAAAGTGCAAGTAGATAAATAGGTACCACTCCGGCGGGAAGGTAACTGGCATTTCTGTGCATTCTGGCACTCGTCACGGTGTCCCGTTGCCCCAGAAGTGTTTTAGTCCTGCTGGCCACATGACCCGGAAAGCTGCCTGTGGACAAACACCGGCTCCCTTGGCCTGAAAGCGAGATGAGCACTGCAACCCCATAATTACCTTTGACCTTCCTAGCAGTTCGAAAGCACGTCAAAGTGCAAGTAGATAAATAGGTACCGCTCCAGCAAGAAGGTAAATGGCGTTTCCGTGCGCTGCTCTGGTTTTGCCAGAAGCGGCTTAGTCATGTTGGCCACATGATCTGGAAGCCGTACGCCGGCTCCCTCGGCCAATAAAGCGAGATGAGCGTCGCAACCCCAGAGTCGGTCACAACCGGACCTAACCATAGCTGTCAAGTGTCCCTTATTTGAAGGGACAGTCCCTTATTCCAGCGCCATGTCCCGCTGCTGTCCCTTATTGATGGATGTCCCTTAAATGTCCCTTAAATGATGTCCCTTAAATTTCAAAGGAAGCAGCTCCTCTCCCTTCCTCCCTGCCGGCCAGGGAGGAGGGAGGCTCCAACTGTGTTGCTTGGCTGTGTTGCTCATCCAATAAGAAGTCTAAGAACGACTGGGGGGTGGAGCTTGCATGCCTTGTGTGTGGCTAGTTAATGCAAGATGAGGGGGTTTTTGAATGCTGGACGCCATTTTGTTGCACGTGCTGTTGCAAACTTTGCAGTGCAAAGCCAGGCCGGGGAGCCATCTTAAGTTGAGGCTGCATAGGCCTTGTGGTGCAAGTGATTCAGATTCTATTCAGTTGAACCTCTGGTTACAAAGTTGGTTGGACAGTGTTCTCAAAGCTACCAGCATGAGTTTGACCAGACTGCAGGAGGACAGGAAGACTGGAGTGCCTGGAACAGGTGAGGCTGCAGGTCCCTTATTTTGGCTGCTGGTCCCTTATTTTCAAGGCTGCTGGTCCCTTATTTTCAAGGCTGCAGGTCCCTTATTTTGGCTGCTGGTCCCTTATTTTCAAGGCTGCTGGTCCCTTATTTTCAAATCTGTAAGTTGACAGCTATGGACCTAACGGTCAGGGATCCCTTTACCTTTACCTTTACCTTTATTCAATATAATAATGATAATAGTAACAGGAAGAAGAAGAAGAAGAAGAAGAAGAAGAAGAAGAAGAAGAAGAAGAAGTAGTAGTTTTATTTACAGTGGTATCTCAGGTTAAGAACTTAATTCATTCCGGAGGTCCGTTCTTAACCTGAAACTGTTCTTAACCTGAAGCACCACTTTAGCTAATGGGGCCTCCTGCTGCTGCCGCGCCACTGGAGCACGATTTCTGTTCTCATCCTGAAGCAAAGTTCTTAACCCGAGGTACTATTTCTGGGTTAGCGGAGTCTGTAACCTGAAGCGTATGTAACCCGAGGTACCACTGTATACCCTGCCCATCTGACTTGGTTTGCCCAGCTACTCTGGGTCTCTTCCAACATACATAAAAACACAATCAAACATGAAACAGGGCTGTCTTCAGATATCTTCTAAAGGTTGTCTAGTTACGTATCTCTTTGGCTCAGAGGTCAGATATCTCCAGACATTTCTCCGAGGAAAACAGGGACATCTTAAGGAAAAGCAGGACGTTCCAGGATCAAATCAGAAACTGGGACGGCTTCTGAGAATCTGGGGCTGTTCCTGGAAAATAGGGACACTTGCAGAGTTTGTCAGGGGTTGCCAGGTCAGGAACATCCCAGACGATCAGATTACAGGACCCAAACAGGAGCATTTAAAATTCTGAATTTTTAAATGCTTGCAACCCTCCCTGAGACCTGCTCTCAAAGGGCATGTAAAAGATTTAACAATGGGGGGGGGGGGAGAGGATAAAATGCTAAAATACGTTTTTTAAAATGCAATTTGGAAATGCATGTAATATTGGGCAGAAAATAAGGGTGGGTTGGGGAAGCAATGAGGCAGGGAGTCAGCTGTTAAATTTGTATTAAATTTGAATTAATTTGCTGTCAGTGTGGTAAATTTTTTGAAAAAGCAATAAAAATATAATTGGCCAAAACAACAACAACCAAGAAGAACAAGAAACAAAACAGTTTAATAATGATCAGACTTTCCCCGACTGACACCACCTGCCCCCAGGAGGAAATACTTGTTTTTCAAGACACACACACATCGCAATCTGCTGTGCGCTGCAACACTTTGGGACAGCCTTCCCTCCACAACCCTCCTTCCCAGGGTATGCATAGAAAGGTCAAATGTTCTTTAAATAGGAACTCAGAACAGGATGAGCTTCGCCAGAGTGTGGCTGACTAAGAAGGAATTAATTCCACATGGGGTCCTTGATTCTCCCTTCCGGGAATGGCCAGGCCAGACAGAGAAAAGACACCCCGCAAGACGCAACGGGAAGCCAGAGTCTGCCTGGCCTGGCCTTGTGCTCAAAGGAGGTGGTAGAGTCCTGAACCAGGAGGGAGGACTCTACCACTTTTTAAAAAATGTTTAATTTCTCATCTTGAGGCGCTGCACTGTTTTGTCTTCACAACAGCCCTGTGATGTCGGCGGGCTCAAGGTCACACCTTGAGGGCAGAGTGGGGGGATTCGAACCCTGGTCTCTCCCAGGTACTAGACTGACACACTAACCACTACACCACGACTGGACCTTATGAGAGAAGTCCAGAATAATCAGCAGAAGCCGAAACAGGAGAGGAGGAAAGCCAAGAGGCAGAGATGAGTCCACCTGGTGAAGAGTCATGGATGTTTCCTCCGTCTGCTGTGACAAACTCCCTTCCCATCTTGTCCGCCAGAACCAGGAGAGGCGTGAAAAGGGCGGAGGAGAGGTTGGCTGCAGGCAGGCATAGTCTCTGATTGATTGGGAAAGACCTGGGAGAGGTGGAGACAGGCAGTTGTCATGGATTGGCTGGATGCAGAAGAGCAGTGGGAGGCACCAGCTGGGGAACCCCCAAGGTTCCCCAGCAGCTGCTCCTCCACCTGCAGCTGCTGGGTGACCTTGGGCTAGTCACACTTCTCTGAAGTCTCTCAGCCTCACTCACCTCACAGAGTGTTTGTTGTGGGGGAGGAAGGGCAAGGAGAATGTTAGCCGCTTTGAGACTCCTTCAGGTAGTGGTAAAGAGGGATATCAAATCCAAACTCTTCTTCTTCTTCAAGGGAACCCCCAGGGGAAGAAGGCTCTGAGCCAGGCGGCTGGTGGTGGGATGACAATAAGCGGTCAGAGGGAGAAGACTGGGAGGTGGAGGTGTCGGAAGCTGAAGAGGCAACAGGGTTTAGAGAGCAGGGAGAGTCTGTGGTAGAGAGCAGTCCAGATTCAGAGGTGGAGGGGGGCAAGAGACAGAGATGAGGTAGGCTGCTGAAGAAGCCAGGGGGTCTCCCCCTCCTGCTGTGACCAGCTCCCCTCCCTGATGGTCTCCCAGAACCAGAAGAGGTGTGAAGAGGTGTGAGGAGCAAAGGCAGATGTGAGGCAAAGTCTCAGATTGCTTAGGAAGGAGGAAAATTAAGGAGCTGTGGGAAAGCAGGGACCTCCAGTCCTCACTGGGGCAAGATCTACCACACGGGTAGGCAACCTCCGGCCCAATCGCCTTCTAAATCCGGCCCACAGACGATCCGGGAATCAGCGTGTTTTTATATGAGTAGAATGTGTCCTTTTATTTAAAATGCATCTCTGGGTTATTTGTGGAATTCGTTCATTCCGCCCCCTCCAAAATATAGTCCGTGGACTATATGGAACTTGCCAAACTGACCAGGAGACTCCGAGACCAGAGAGAAGAGACGGTGGAAGAAGACTGGAAGAAGTTTAAGGAATATTTGAAAAAATATGTTAATATTTAAACATTAGAATAGCTTTGGAAGTGGATATAGGCTGTAGTGTTAGAAGTAGAAGATAGGGTATTTTAAAATAGTATTATTTGTAAGTGATAAAATGTGAAGTTATTTTAAATGTGATTAAAAAAAAAAAAGATGGTTAGAAATTATGATATATGTAAACTGCTAAAGATGAAGTAAAATGAAAATCAGATAGGTGGGACTTGGGGAAGCCCACTTAACAATGTTTAGAAAAATAAGAATATGACAAGAATTTGTTCGTATTGTTTGTCTTTTCTGTTCGTGTTTATTTATTTGTGTTATAAAATGAGTAAAAAAAATTCATAAAAAAACCATATAACACCGAGACCATATAACACCGGTCTTGAAAGACCTACATTGGCTCCCAGTACATTTCCGAGCATAATTCAAAGTGTTGGTGCTGACCTTTAAGGCCCTAAATGGCCTCGGTCCTGTATATCTGAAGGAGCGTCTCCACCCCCATTGTTCTGCCCGGATGCTGAGGTCCAGTGCTGAGGGCCTTCTGGCGGTTCCCTCCCTGCGAGAAGCCAAGTTACAGGGAACCAGGCAGAGGGCCTTCTTGGTGGTGGCGCCCGCCCAGTGGAACACCCTCCCGCCAGATGTCAAAGAGAACAACTACCAGACTTTTAGAAGACATCTGAAGGCAGCCCTGTTTAGGGAAGCTTTTAATGTTCGATGTATTACAGTATTTTAATATTTTTTTGGAAGCCGCCCAGAGTGGCTGGGGAAGCCCAGCCAGATGGGCGGGGTATAAATAATAAATTATTATTATTATTATTATTAGAAACAAAATATAGTCCGGCCCACCACATGGTCTGAGGGACGGTGGACCAGCCCACAGCTGAAAAAGGTTGCTGACCCCTGATCTACAAGGAAGAATTGCTGCGCTCACTAGGCCTGGTCTCTGGAACTGTTTTATTTCTTGGAATAAAGAGAGTTAACTGACGCTGTGTGAGTTATGGCCGACGTGCTCTGACACCAAACCCGATTGTTTCATGGGGCAGCATACCTTGAAATAGGCGGTGGGGGGGGGGAATGGGACAGGTGACAGGCTGGTCATTTTTTGGCCTTCCTGTTGGAGCAGCTGATTGGCTGCGTCCCAGAACAGGATGCTGGGCTGAAGGGCTGGGGGAGCTGATCCCAGAGGGCTCAGCCAATGCCCTGGTAAAAATAGTTTGCCGAGGTACCACCATCCAAAGCCTCCTGTTGAGCCTGCCAGACATATGACTCCAGGCTGCGTTTATAGAATCACAGAGATGGACGGGACCCCCCAGGGTCATCTAGTCCAGCCCCCTCAAATGCAGGAATCGAGGCAAAAGAATCCCTGACAGATGGCCTTTTTAAAAAACAGAGGTTGGAAGGGACCCCAAGGGTCATCCATTAACTCCCACCAACACTAGCAAAGCATGTCTTTATAATGAACCCCGAACTGTTGGGAGTTGTAGCGCAAAACCTCTAGCTGGCGCCCAGTTTGGAAGCCTCCTTTGGGATGGATTTTTATTCCACGTCTTCATAAATGCATTCTTCTATACCGCAAAGAATCTTAGGGCTGGTTCACAAAATACATTTTTAGATGCATGAGTTATCACGATCATTCCTGAGTGCATACTTATGAAGCCAAACAATGTATAAAAGCAATCAAAGTTACAGCCTTATTGTATAGCTGTTGGGGGGGCGGGGTGGAAATCACATTAGGTTGAATGCTGCTGACTGTATGATTGCTTATTTTTACACATTTTTTGTCCATATGAACATGGTGGTGGTGACAGCCTGGAGCACTCACATGGGAAAAAAGAAATCTGGTGTGAACCAGTCCATTCTAATAAAGGTTTTCATAGATACATCAGCAATACTTGGTTTCCAGTTCTGGCATTTTTGTTGTTGTTTGTTGTTGTTGAGTTGTTTAGTCATGTCCGACTCTTAATGATCCCCTGGACCAGAGCACGCCAGGCACTCCTGTCTTCCACTGCCTCCCGCAGTTTGGTCAAACTCATGCTGGTAGCTTCAAGAACACTGTCCCACCATCTCGTCCTCTGTCGTCCCCTTCTCCTTCTGCCCTCCATCTTTCCCCACATCAGGGTCTTTTCCAGGGAGTCTTCTCTTCTCATAAGGTGGCCAAAGTCTTAGAGCCTCAGCTTCATGATCTGTCCTTCCAGTGAGCACTCAGGGCTGATTTCCTTCAGAATGGAGAGGTTTGATCTTCTTGCAGTCCATGGGACTCTCAAGAGTCTCCTCCAGCACCAGAATTCAAAAGCATCCATTCTTCGGCGATCAGCCTTCTTTATGGTCCAGCTCTCACTTCCATACATCACGACTGGGAAAACCATAGCTTTAACTATACGGACCTTGGTTGGTAAGGTGATGTCTCTGCTTTTTAAGATGCTGTCTAGGTTTGTCATCACTTTTCTCCCAAGAAGCAGGCGTCTTTTAATTTCGTGACTGCTGTCACCATCTGCAGTGATCATGGAGCCCAAGAAAGTAAAATCTCTCACTGCCTCCATTTCTTCCCCTTCTATTTGCCAGGAGGTGATGGGACCAGTGGCCATGAGCTTCGTTTTTTTGATGTTGAGCTTCAGACCATATTTTGCGCTCTCCTCTTTCACCCTCAATAAAAGGTTCTTTAATTCCTGCTCATTTTCTGCCATCAAGGTTGTGTCAGCTGCATATCTGAGGTTGTTGATATTTCTTCTGGCAATCTTAATTCCGGCTTGGGATTCATCCAGTCCAGCCTTTCGCATGATGAATTCTGCATGTAAGTTAAATAAGCAGACCAGTCCAGGCATACTTATGCTGAAGTTTGCACTTGTGACTGACCAAAGCCTTGGGTTGTGAATGTCCTTTAAAAACAAAACACGACTACAATGTTTCTAAGAAATTAATGTTTTCACAAGGAAATTTATTTTGCCCAACTCATATTTTAAACAAATACACTCTCAAGCCTCAATTTCTCTTTCTTATAACTAACTCTGTTGTTATGTGGGAGTCTGGCCTTCCTGTTCATTTTAACCAGATTTACATGTTGCCTGATTGCGACTAAAGCTTAAAGCAATTTGCAAGAAATGCTCAAAATTAGTAACAAAAAACCTGTAATTAAAACAATTAGAATCAGCTAAGGATAGCAAGACAGGTTGAGTTTGGGAGTTTGTGTTACAAGTTATCACGGATTGTGGCCAGCTACATTTTACGCAGAGTAAGCCCACTGAAATTAATGGATGTAAGTGAGTCAAGAATGTTAAAAAAACCTCAACAGGTTAAGAGCAGACAGAGACTGAAAGAAACTGAAACTGCACGAAAGTTGGAAAGAAGAATGAAAGATTTAAATTACTGTAACCTCAATTTCTGTTATTTGATATAATTTTGTTTTGTCTATTTACAGGAGTTCGTAAAGGGACAGCCGAAGGACGAGGAATTTGCTTTAAAAAAAAAAAAATTAAATTTTAAGACTGTCAATAAACCTGTAAAGGAAGCAGCATGTAAAGGGATAAATCGGAATACATCTGAGAGAGTGAGAAAACAGTTTGGAACTAATTGTACTAAATTAATTTTAATTTGGTTTTGACGTGTTATAAATTTGAAAATGAATTAAAAAATTATTGGCGGGGGGAAAGGTGCCCAAGTTTGATGCTTTCCTCTTCCCTCCCTGTCTATTTTCCTTGCGTGTTGCATCAGTTTTAGATTGTACGCCTGTGCGGGCAGGGACTGCCTTGTTCTAACTGATTGCATGTGAGCCGTTCTGGGAGCCTTTCTTGATGAAAGAAGCAGAGGGTAAAAATGCTCCAAATAAACAATAATAGCCTTTGTGAGTTTAGCACAACCGCGTCTGGCACCACCAGATAAACCCACAAGCAAAGGTCACCTTTCTCGGGGGGGGGGGGAGGCGGAGATTGCTGCCCGGCCCCCCCACCCCAATGCCAGGAGTGGGTCCCGGCTGGGAGTTCCCGTCCCCGTCAGCTTTCCAGAGCTTCTGCCAAATCCTGCGTGGCTCTGATCTAAACCATCTGCCAGCCATTCATTCCCAAAACAAAGGAGCGTGCTATTAATAAACCCCTCTGAGGAACGTATTGTTGGGCACCAACCCTAGGAAAACACACCCAGCCGGCGTTAAGTTTTTCTTTGCAAATGCATTTCTATTATTATTATTATGTTTTTAAAAACCCTGTATGCTTTCAATACAGCAGGGCAGCAAGTACAGGTGAAACTCGAAAAATAAGAATATCGTGGAAATGTTCCTTGATTTCCATAATTCGACTTGAAAGGTGAAACTAATATTTGAGATACGACTTGTGACATGCAAAGCGAGATATGTCAAGCCTTTATTTGTTATCATTGCGATGATCACGGCGTACAGCTGATGAAAACCCCAAATTAACAATCTCAGAAAATTAGAACATTCAAGGAAATCAGCAAAACAAGGATTGCAAATCGAGCAAGATTGGACCTCTGAGAAGTAGAAGCACATCTCGCTTTGCATGTCATGAGTCGATCTCATATATTAGTTTCACCTTTTAAGTTGAATTGCTGAACTTTCCCACGATATTTTAATTTTTCGAGTTTCACCTGTAGCTGTTTTTCAATTCAACGCCAGGTTTGAATCTCCTTCTTCAAGCATTCGCTGGGCTTTGGGGGTTTTGGGGGTTTTTTCTCAAGCTGGCCATGGAACGGAAGCTCCGAGGCATGTACAAAGTGCTTTCTGTCTCTTATGACCATAGGCTGCTGCTCCATACTGAGTGACAACTGTTTTGGCCATCAGGATAGTTTACAGTTCATAGAAACACAGAAGTCTAGAATTGGAAGAGACCCCCACGGTCATCTGGTTCAACTCCCTGCAATCCAGTCCCTCCCCCCAATGTGGCGCTCGAACCCATGTCCCTGAGATTACGAGTCGCATGCTCTTCCGAGTTCACGTCCCCAAAGGCCCTTGAATCATTTCAAGTCAGCATCCCAGGAACTCCCACCTTATAACTGAGTCAGACTAATGGGTCTATCGAGCCCAATAGTGCCTACTCTGACTAACAGCATCTCTCCAGGGTTGCAGCAGGCAAGGGCTACAGCTCTTCCCTTAGAAAGCAACATTCTAGTCCTCATTGTTAAACAGGAAGCTGCCTCAGGGTGTGTCACTGTTGGTCTGCCCAGATCGGCACTGTTTACATCAACTGTGGTTGGAAGCCTAGCTGGATAGCTCAGGCCATGGATCGTGAGGCTCTTAAACTCAAGGTTATGGGTTCCAGCCCCACATTGGGTCAAAAGATACCTGCATTGCCGGGGGTTGGACTAGATGGCCTCATGGTCCCTTCCAAGTCTACGATTCTCTGCAGGTTTTTAGGCAAGGGAGTCCTTTCTAGTCCCAGGCTGGAGATGATGCCCAACAAATGTGCAAAGCAGGTGCTCCGTCACTGAGCTATTGACCTTCCCCTAAAAAACTAGAGTAAGTTTCTAGTCCTCCTCGTTCCAAATACTGTATTTTTTGCTCTATAAGACTCCCTTTTTCCCTCCTAAAAAGTAAGGGGGAATGTGTGTGCGTCTTATGGAGCGAATGCAGGCTGCGCAGCTATCCCAGAAGCCAGAACAGCAAGAGGGATTGCTGCTTTCGCAGCGATCCCTCTTGCTGTTCTGGCTTCTGAGATTCAGAATATTTTTTTTTCTTGTTTTCCTCCTCCCAAAACGAGGCGCGTCTTGTGATCTGGTGCGTCTTATAGAGCGAAAAATACGGTATATATGGGAATGCAGGAAATGGGCCTAGGCCACAGCCAGACTTCCTGGCCCTCCTAGCTCAGGAGCATCCGCACTTTCAGACTCAGAGGCCACTCCCAGCACAAACTGGAGGCACTGGGAACCAAGCCCTCGGCTTTCTGCATGCAAAGTGAGCATGCTGAGCTGCAGCCCAGAAGCTTCCCTGCAAATCTGGACCTCGGCAACCTCACGTTTCGCTGCTAAAAGACCCCAGCCGTGTCCTGAGCGAAGAGACGACAAAAGCAAGTGGCAGCGAGCGCCCCAGGGCCTTACCCTCCAAATCTGCTGTTTGCAAGAGGCGTGTTGCCACCCGCAAGCCTTGAATTCCTACTCCCCCCGCAGAAGAATCCTGCTCAACTCAGGACTATCACGTTTCTCTCGACTTGCTCAATTGCTGCATGCGTTTGGGTATAGGGTTCCCGTGTCCTTTGGTGAGGCCGGACGACAAAGACGTTTCTCCAAAATAAATAAATGTGACCCGATTAGTATGTGTTTGTGTGAAATGGAAGGGGGGCAGGGAGGTGGTGGAGGAGAGCCACAAGGCAAAATTCCTTCTTGCCAGACCTGCAAGCGCTGGCACGCTTCGGAAATGCGGTGGTGGGAGTCTGGGCCCCCGCAGAGAGTAGAGGGCTGGCAGGTGACGCTCCCTCTCTCCTTAGATGGAGAGGGAGAGAGGGATTTGTTCTTGACTTGCCAATCATGATTTGATTAAGCAAGATAAGATAAAACTTTATTTGCAGTAGCCAATGGCCATAGCAGCAGTAAAACATTACAGTATATGCAGAAAAGGAAATTTGGTATAAGAGCACAGTTTAAAGTCCTGAATCAGCCGTCTGTCCGTGGTCCTGATTCTGATTGCCCCTGCTATGAACCTAGCAACCTTTGCTGTTATCTGCTCATTTTGACCTGATAGAAGAAAGGACATTGTGGCAGTGGCTAAGCGCCCTGGGATGGTTAGTACGAGTGGGGCGATGATCTCGTTCCTCAGGTCTTTGTAGAGAGTACAGGACTGGAGGACGTGTGCCGCTGTTTCAGTGCTACCATCTCCACAGGGGCAAAGACGTTTCTCAGGTGGGATCTTTTGGAATCGACCCTCTGGAGAGCGAGAACGTGTGCCAAAATGCCATCTTTTGGCAGTGACGTCGCCAGGATCAGGGCCAGTGGCAGGGGGCAACAACCCTCCCAGAGAACACTGATTTGCCCAACGTAGGACCTCTGGCTCTCAAGCTTGCAGAAGGCCACAGAACTGCAGATGTCAAGATGATTGCTAAAATTATCGGACTTAGCTGAGATGGCAAGGCTGGCATGTTTAATCAGAGTAATAATTTTATTATTTGTACCCCACCCATCTGCCTGGTTTGCTTCAGCCACTCTGGGCCGCTTCCAACATTTATAAAAACATCATAACATATCACACCTTTAAAAGCTTTGCTATGCCGTAAAATCACTGTCAAATGTTTACTAAAGATTGGGAACTCCTTATAGACTTCTTGCGTGGAAAGGAAAAGGAACTTACGGTGCCTGGGCTTGTGGACTGAAGAAAATATTGGTTTATAGAAAGTGGAATTGTTGGAGCGGATGGTTTGAATACTTTTCTATACATAGCAGACAGACAAAGAATCGGAAGTTCATTATCTTTTTATTTTCTCTTTCTTCTTCTTTCCCCCTTCCCTGTTCCTCTTTTGGTTTGATCAGTGTTTTAAGTTGGATTTCTTAAAAAATGGATATTTGTTACAAGCCTTTGTATGTTTTCTTTCAAACTTTAGTAAAATTGACTGGTGGGAAAATATAGATGGACTCCCAAGTCTAACTTCCATAGAATCATGGATTTGTAAAGTTGGAAGGGACCCCGAGGGTCATTTAGACCAACCCCCTGCAATGCAGAAATCTTTCACCCTGCGTGGGATTCGAACCAATGACCTTGAGAATAGGAAAGGTGGAAAGAAGAAACAGCTCCAGCAAAAGAGGATTGGCAATTAAAATTGATGGATTTTGCAGGAATAGCAAAACTTACCAGAAGAATAAGAAATAAGAATAAGAGACATTTTTTTATGACTGAGTGGAGAAAATATATTGACTATTTGAAGATACAACTCTAAACAACTTAAAAAGTTAGCAGGGGTGCCATAAACTGGCGCAGCTAGAGATAAATAAAAAAGAATAATAATGAGATATTAGTATTTGGATATAAATTTGATATGCAGTGGAGGAAATATATAAAATATGTAATGGCAGAAAGGAGGGGAGGGAAGCTGAAATAAATGCAGATTGTTTTCATATACATTTGCTTTTCTTTGTTAAAATGTACGTAAAATGAGAGAATGAGAAAGACAATTTTTAAAAAAGAGAGAATAAGAATCTCATGCTCTACCGAGCCAGCTATCCATTGTTTCCAAGAGCGTTGAGATGACCCTGGTTAGAAACTAATTGCTGGAGTATATAGCATCTCCCTAATTTTCACCCCTACTGAATTTTCACCCCTACTCATACCCCGTGCTTGAACCCACAGCCCTGAAATTAAGGGTTTTGAGCTCTACCGACTGAGCTATGAGTACTATGCCCCTTGCCTGTAGCCCTAGAAATCCACAGCTACCTGTCAGGGTAACAACAGATAGACCCACAATCTGACTCGGGGTAGGGAAACGCTCCTGTTTAAACAAGCCCTGTTTGGGAATAATGAGGACTGGAACTTTATCTTCAGGGAGACATCACCTTGCCAACCAAGGTCCGTCTAGTTAAAGCTATAGTTTTCCCAGTAGTGATGTATGGAAGTGAGAGCTGGACCATAAAGAAGGCTGATCGCCAAAGAATGGATGCTTTTGAATTATGGTGCTGGAGGAGACTCTTGAGAGTCCCATGGACTGCAAGAAGATCAAACCGATCCATTCGGAAGGAAATCAGCCCTGAGTGCTCACTGGAAGGAGAGATCCTGAAGCTGAGGCTCCAATACTTTGGCCACCTCATGAGAAGAGAAGACTCCCTGGAAAAGACCCTGATGTTGGGAAAGATGGAGGGCACAAGGAGAAGGGGACGACAGAGGACAAGATGGTGGGACAGTGTTCTCGAAGCTGCTAATATGAGTTTGACCAAACTGCGGGAGGCAGTGGAAGACAGGAGGGCCTGGCGTGCTCTGGTCCAGGGGGTCACGAAGAGGCAGACACGACTAAGCGACTAAACAACAACAACAACTCAACAACAGAGCTGCTGCGATCTATGAACTGCCCTACAGATGAAGGGCAGCATACAAATTTAACAATCAATAATGATTCTCATGTATAGCTGTCAACTTTTCCCTTTTCTTGCGAGGAATCCTATTCTGAATAAGGGAATTTCCCTTAAAAAAAGGGAAACGTTGACGTATGTTATGATGGTGCATGCAGAACATCCCAGCTTCCATCTCCTTAGGTAGGTTTGGCTGGGTGGGTTTGTCCATGTATCAAAAAATGGTCTGATTCAGCCTAAATCTATTCCTATTTTCCTATGTTTCACGAGGACTACAGAGAAACTTAGCCATCCCCGATGCATTCAGATACCAGTCCATCCCTTTAAATGGCGTATCACCAGAATACTTTAGCATTGCCGATGTATATATATTGTCAAAATAGATGGTCTTATATATGATCTTGGCAGCTCACATAGTAATTGCAATTCAGTGGAAGACAGCCCCAAATCTTACATTGACGGCTTGGGAATTTGCACTACTCTGAATTTTGCAACACCGTTCTCCAGCCAGGTAATGTGTTCAGAAAAGATGCTTTTGTCTACACAGAGAAATTCACACTAAAAGGCTGGTGAATTTTCACGGGGACTTTTTAAATAATAATAGTGAGTTCCGAAGTGATGTGAAAATGAGGAGAAGCAAGACTGGGGGGAAATGAGAAACTGAGAGAGAAACTGATATCAACGTTCTCTTTAAAAACAATCATTTTGGAGTGACCCCCCCCCCCTTAATCCTATCAGTTTAGGGGGCTGTAAAACTCACACTGATGTCTGACAGCTTTTGGGAGAAAGCGATAAAATGCTTTTGATGGTTCTGAAGACGTCATGGAAGACGATTTCCATTTGCCTTTGCAGGGTATGTATGTGACATGGAAATAATAATAATTTATAATGATTTTATTGTTTATACCCTGCCCAAATGTGACCACCCAAACTCCTGCCACTAAGGGCGGCTGGTGCAACATCTATCTTGCACAACCCACTCTTGTGTTTTGGGGAAGTGTTTAGATAGAAATTTACAAGAAGCAAGAGCCGCTCACTCGACCTTGGGCTCTCTGCAGAGAGCTCTTTCTGCCTGTGTGAGTCAGGGTGGGGCTACCTAGGAGGCCCAAGAATGGTTGCCTGCGACGCCATGGGGCAGCCTTGCACCCCCAGGGTGTCAATGACATCAAGAAGCAGCCTTGCCTCTCCGCAGAGCAGTTTTCCAACTTAAATATCTGTTGTTGCTTCCTTTTTTAAAAAAATAATTAGGTGCTGTACTGACTAAACAAGAGAGGGCTTCGATAATCTTACACATGGTGCCGTGAAAAACAGACAGGAAAAAGAGACAGAGAACTCCTCAGATGTATTGGGGGACAAGTAATTATTAGATGAAGAAAATCAAGACTTGGTACAGCAGTGATTGGATACCCCAACAGAGCTAAAATGGACCAACTTCTGAATCTAAGCTCCTAACCCTTTAACCTTACAGAGCAAGAAGGAAGATCTTGCAATAGTAAAGGCATTTCTAATGCATGTGAACTTATCCTGGTAAGGCAAAACGTGTCCAAGGACAGACGCATGCTAACAGAACCAGGCCTCGAAGGTCCACTGCAGAGTTGGAAGGGACCCTGAGGGTCATCTAGTCCAACCTGCTACAGTGCAGGAATTTGCAGCTGTCCCATGCAGGGATCGAACCTGCAACCTTGGCGTTGTGAGCACCACACTCTAACCAACTGAACTCTGTCCAGGGCAGAGCCAAAGCAGATTGACAGCTGCGTAAAATTCAGCTTGGGGAGGTGGGGGAGAGGCAGGCAGATCGCAGGCAGCAGGGCCAGCCCCCCCACAACTGCCTTTAAAAGGGGGTGTGACCTGGCAGACGTTCCTGAACCAAAGGAGGCCTGGGGAGTGGTCCAATGGCAAGAGGCGCAGCCGTCCAGCCCCCTTCAATTCTAACTCCCCCAGCAATTTTTCCTCCTTCGCACTGCATCCTGACCTGTCTCTCTCACCCTACTTCACAAGCCCCCAAAGCAGCTTCTCACATTCATATCAGCAATTTGGTGCAGAGACAGACATGGCCTGGAGATCTGAGGTGCCTGTGTTTAATGAACATAGGCAAGGAGAGGGGGGTTGGGGTGGGCTTTGGGGCAGAGGTGACAATATTTCCCCAGGCATTTGCCCAAGCCTTCCAGGGAACCACCTGCCTGAGTGGCAGGACACCTGCTCTGCATGCAGAAGATCATCGGTTTGCTCTCCAGTGGCACCTCTCCAGGCAGGAAAGAGCTTTCCCCCGTGAAACCCTGGAGAGCTGCTGCCGGTCAGTGCCAGCCACATGGAGCTAGGCCAATGCGTCTGACTTGGGCCAAGCCTGTGTCTTACATTCCTTGGGAGCTTCCAATTCCAAGGCCACTGAGCCATGGGCCCTTCCTCCAAAACAAATATGGCAGGAACACAGGAAGCTGGAAAAATATCAGGTCTGTCTCGGTTATTGTCGTCACTGGCTGGCTGGGTTTCAGATGCAGGTTTTCTCCAGTGCTGCCACTGGGGACTGAACCTGAGGCCTTCTTCAAGCAAAGCAGGGGCTCTACCCACTGAGCCACAGCCCCATTTCCTCCTTAAATGTACCGTTATATTCAGATCGATGAGGACCAGACCCTCTGATTTGTGATTTGGATACACACACCACACCATATCTCCTGTGGCAGAGAACACACATTGCATGCACAAGCCCTGGGGATCTTCAAACAGCAACCCGCCCCCTCCTTAAATCAGCCTTGTATTCAAATTCATGAGGACTAGCGCCTTTCCCCCCCTGTGCTCGGGAAATGAACTGCAGCTCAGTGGCAGAGCACACATGATGCACACAGAAGGCTCATAGAATCACAGAATGATGGAGTTGGAAGGGAAGCCCAAGGGTCCTCTAGTCCAGCCCCCTGCAATGCAGGAATCTCGACTGAAGCCTCAGTGACAGATGGCCAGCCAACCTCAGCTTAGAAACCTTCAAGAAAGGAGAGCACGCAACATCCTGAGGGAGGGAGACCTTTGCGCTCCAGGGTTCAAGGAGATGAGTAACTATATAACCCCAGATGTCAAGGAGACAAGAAGATATCTGAAGTCAGCGCTGTATAAGAAAGCTTCTTAAGGTTTAATGTTTATTATTATTATTAGTAGAAGTAGAAGTAGCAGTAGTATTCAGCCCTGGAGATCTCCAAAAAGGGCGAGGTGTCCATCCCCTCCTTAAACCGCCTTATCTTGGGACCCCATGAGGACTACAACCTTAGGAAACGGACCCTCGAGCCACGACACTTTTGCGCGCAGGAGACCCAGTCCTGGACGTCTTCAAGCAAAGACGCACACACACCACCACCTGAAACACGCCGCCTGAGCTGGAGGAAGCCGCGGCAGACCTCCCCGGTTTGCTAAGCCGGAACTATTGGACTTTTCTGAGACGTCCAGGCGGCCACACCGAGGCTTCCCCATCCCTGCAGGGAGGGCGCAACTGCCACCGGGCGGGGAGAGAGAGATAGAGGCGCGCACTTACCCGGAGGAGGAGAAGGAAAGGCTAGCTGCTCCATCTCTCTTCGTCCTTTTTGGAAGGAGAGACTAAGACGCACCTGCCTCAGCGCCTGGTTCCTGGATAACTGCACCTCTCTCCTCCTCCCTCTGGGTCCAAAAAGAGCCCTTCTATAAATACACAGACAATATAGCTCCTGGGAGGGTGGATTGGGGTGGGGGGTGTCCGCCTGACACCGCCCTGGCTGGCGCTCCCTTCGCGCTCCCTTCGCCAGCGAAGGACAAAAGCTGCCAGCCCGCCTCTCTTTCTTAATTGGAGCAGCGCAGCTCCCTGGCAGAGGGGGATCCCTAGATGATGGAAGAGGAAGGGAATCCGCTCCTGGAAGACGGGGAGAGGCGCGGGGCGGGGGGAGAGAACCGGGCGGAGCTGCTGGTGCGGCTGTCCACCCCCCAACACACTCCAGTCACCTTCCCAAACAGAGGCACCCAACGCTGGGTGGTTGTTATGTTTTAATTTCGGGGAAGGATACCGCGGGCGCCTTCGCTCGCCAACCCAAAAAACCCCAAAGCGATAGCAACTCTTTTGCAATATGTTTGGGGTCTCTTTGTTTGCTGCCTGCCCCCAATAAAATATTTGAGGGGGGCAGACCCAGTGCCGCCCTGTGCAACGCCCTCCCGTCGGATGTCAAAGAGATGAGTAGCTATATACAACCTTTAGAAGACATCTGAAAGCAGCCCTGTCTAGGGAATCCTTTTTAATGTTTTATTATGTTTTATGTTGGAAGCCGCCCAGAGTGGCTGGGGCAACAGATGTGGGGGGTACAAATAATAAAATTACTACTACTACTATCAAATAGGCAGAGTATTGGTTTATTAAAATTGTTGGTTGGTAAAATCAAAAATTGTATTAGGAGATGATTTGCGAGCCCCCACCCCGTCCCGAGATTTCTGTTTCCCTCCCCTTGCTGAACCCTGTCATCTATCTCTTAAACCTTAACAAAGCTCCTGTAATCTTTACTCCCTTTATGTTGCTCATAGTTCGAATCCTGCTTGCGGGTTCATGGTATAATAACACTTATTTGAATTATCCCGAAAGGGTTTCTAGTCTTCCACAAAGCATTGGTTCTCTTAAGTTAGCTGTTAACTGTGCCAGTTCTGCAAAACCCACCACCTTGCTTATCCATTCCTCTTTAGCGGGCGTTTCTGCTTCTTTCCATATTTTTGTGCGTAGAGAATCCTAGCTGCAGATGTAACATACATAAACAACCATCTTTTGGGGGACTTCATTTTTGGAAGAACATTCTCTTCCTATCAGTGTTGCATTAAACCCTGTGGAGGCCCCTGGGCAGGCGAAGTCTAGGGAGGGGGGGCATCGCAAATTATCTCCAAATGCGTTTTTTATTCTACCAACCAAAAATTCTAATAAGTACATTTTATGACATATTATTGTTTCGATGCGTTTTCGCAGGGCCCCGAAAAGGCACGGGGCCAATAGGCCGGTGCCTACTCTGCCTATCTGATAACCTCGCCTTGTTTCTTATATTCTTAATTTTCTCCCTGTGGCCTGGCACGGTGGGTTGGTTCGAGCCGACGGCTGTGCCAGGACGAGCTCACACGGCCGATCACGTTACAGCCACTTCCAAGCGCCGTGTGACAAAGGACGGTTTCTCAAATTTAAGCCCTGGTGAATGGCTTTTTGGGGGACGCCCTTTGATGCCCCCCCTCTCCCTCCCCTTGCAAGCCACTGACCGCTTTGGAGAGAAAAACAGGAGCCCCCCTCGCCACGGCGCGCCGTGCCAACGTGGCACCAGTCCTTTTCCGATGCCCCGCAGTGCCAAGGTCTCCAAAGGTCGGAAAACATATCACAGGGCGTTTGATGGCAAGGCGACGAGACGTGTTTGTGTATGTGTGTGCGTGTCTGTTGAAAGAAGGAACATCCGTTCTGCTCGGCGGGGATAAAATGTTCCAGATTCAAAAAAAGGGCAACCCTGTCAACAGACGGAAGTCCCTGGGAATAAAAGAATGACATCGCCACCCTCTAGTTTCTGGGAACTGGAGGGTGGGCGAGGGAGAGAGGAGGCAAGTCTTAGGTGCTTGCAATTTAACCAGGGGGTTTTTTGGGGGGAGGGGGCGGAGGACAGGCAGTTGAGGAACGGTGCAAGGAGATCTGCACAAATTCATGCCCATGTCCCAAAATCACAAACATAAGGATATCCTTCCTTCCTCCTTTTTTTGGTCGGGGAAACGGCATCACAAGATCTGGAGAAGCGTGAATTTCAAAGGACAGGTGCATGAATCATCGTCTTGCTTATTATTGGGACAGAAACACGCCAAAACGCGAATGGCGCCGAAACAGGGGCGCCAACTTGAATAAAATATAGAGGAGGGCAGGTAAGCCCCATCCTGCAAAATCGAACACAGGATCACATGTACATCATTGGAATGGCAACGCCCATCAACTTTGGGGGAGCCTGGCCCCCTCAAATATTTCATTGTGGGAGCTGAAGGGGCCTCGGCCCCTGGTGAGTGTCTGGCTCCTATGGGGCTGAAGACGCATCCACAACCCTATGATGGGAATAAGTGTCACTAGGGATAGGAAGGGCAAGGAAAGAAACCTAGAAAAAATTAGGGGGGGAGAGGAGCAAAGATGCAAAACCACCCCTAAGGTATCTATCTTGCGCTTTGCACGCTTCTCGTTCGCTGGAAATGTTGGATTCCGCAGAAGAGGCTGTCTGGGGAGGTGTTGGCAGGTCTGCCTGCGTGAGGCATGGATCAACGAGCGCTCTCCCCCCCCCCTTTCTCCAAACCAAACCTTGCCTCTTTCCTTTCCTTCTGCGATTCGTCATTCGTCTTGGGTGTTGAGAACAAAGCCAACCTTCGGCACTGCGGTTCTGTCCCTTCACACGCGCGCGCGCGCACCCCCCCCCCCAATAATTGCCTCGCTTAGCACAGAAGCCATTGGGAAACCCCTGAAGTGGAACGGAAACAGCTGCCGGGGGTTGGGGGGGGATAGGAGGAGGAGAGAGAAAGACAGATTTTTCAAGGCCAGATTTCCCCCGAGCTGGTGACCTCCGGATATCTGGGGCTATAACTCCCACAGCTCTTGCGGGTGGGGGGGGGGGCGCGCTCCAACCAACCAAAAACCCATTCGTGGAGGAAAGGACTATAGACGGCTACTAGCCATCCTAACTGTGCAATTCTGCTTCATTTTGCTTTGACACATGAGATCATAGCATTGTGGAGTCGGGAGGGAACACAAGGATCATCAAGTCCAACCCCCCTGCAATGCAGGAAATCTTTTGCCCTAGGAGGGACTCGAACCCGTGACCCTGAGATTAAGAGTCTCATGCTCCAGCCAACTGAGCTATCCCAGCTGTTGCTTTGAACCCAACTTGCTGGAAACCCCAGGGAAAGTGCTGGCCACCAACGTCAGTGGCTTTTGATGGTGTTGGTGGTGGTGTTGTTGTTAAAATATTAAACTATACTTTCACATTTAACTTTCCCCCATTTCCATTTTTGACCACCACTACTATGCCTAGGACTTGCCAATCAGAAGGTCGGCAGTTCGAATCCCCGCAATGACGGGGTGAGCTCCCGTTGCTCGCTCCCTGCTCCTGCCAACCTAGCAGTTTGAAAGCACGTCAAAGTGCAAGTAGATAAATAGGTACCACTCCGGCGGGAAGGTAAACGGCGTTTCCGTGCGCTGCTCTGGTTCGCCAGAAGCGGCTTAGTCATGCTGGCCACATGACCCAGAAGCTGTACGCTGGCTCCCTCGGCCAGTAAAGCGAGATGAGCGCCACAACCCCAGAGTCGGCCACGACTGGACCTAATGGTCAGGGGTCCCTTTACCTTTACTATGCATTATCAAAACATCCCCTACATATTAGAAATTAAAAGGGTGGGGGTTCTGGTCTTTAAAAACTGAACAGGCATTTTAAGACAACACATTCTGGGCAAAATATTATGGACGACTGAAACTTAAAAAGGAACTATTTAAAATTCGATTGGACAAAATCATGGGGGCGGCTATTGAAGATTATTACCCCAAAGAGGGATGTGGAGATAGGTGTAGCCAGGAATTATGTTGGGGGGGGCACCTGTCATCAGATTGGGAATGAAATGTCTAACAATAGTTGTTTTCCATTGTTTTATTTTGATCCCAAGCGCTCAGAAAAATCTGTCCAGATATTCAGTCATTTGAAAACTAGGAAGTTAAATGGAAAATTAACATCAGGAAGTACCTTTCATGTGGTTAACGATTTGCAAAATCACAAAGAACACTCCTTTTTTTTAATCTTACTCTTTTTTAAAAATGTAAACTAAAGTAAGTTTTTCTTGGATTTGCTGAAGACCTTTGTCAGCAGTTCCTTCTCAAATTCCTCCCCCCCCCCCCTTTGCAGCTTTCCTGTGCAAACACAGTAAGCAGAGGCCATTGAGGCCATCGGTCATGGATGCTTTAGCTGAGATTGCTTCACTGCAGGGGGTTGGACTAGATGACCCTTGGGTTCCCTTCCAACTCTGCGAATCTTTGATTCTATGAGATGCTCCCCTGCCATCGTCGACCTTAGCCAGGTCTTTATGCAAGGTATTGAATGACTGCTCTACGGTCAAGTTAGACCCACGGCTGCAGCAACTTAAATTCTGATGTTCTGCACAGAACGGCTCGCACATGTCAACGAAGGATGAAATTATATGCTACATGCAGAAGCGTAAAAAAAAAAAGCAGGCACTCATTTTTTTCCCCTAGGGAAATGCTAGCCAGAGAGGAAGACTGTGTATCTCAGCGAGCATTCCAGTTTCAAATATTCAGATTATATCTACTTTTAGTTCTTTGATTCCCCCTCCCCCTACGGCCCTAGGGATCCATCACCCTTGAGCTCTAGGGGGTGCGGTCCTCTGCCTGCCACTTTTCTCCACCACCCCCCAAAAAAGCCACCCTGTTCTAACAAACCCAGAACCCCTTTTCCTGATAATTTTGCCCATCTGCTGAGCCTCCTGCCAAACATTTTCCAGGGGTGTCCCCGGGAACGCCGGCGTGAACCCTCCCGTCCCCCCCTCACATGGCGGGAGAAGAAAAGAGGTGTAGAAAGATGGCCTCTCTCCTGCTCTCTTGTGCCTTCCTTCCTTCTTTTCCTTCTCCTGCCCACCCCTTCCTCAGTTTGGCTCTCCCTCTCGCCTGCGTCTCAGGAACGCCTGAGCTCAGCCCAGCCAGCAAACGCCCCCGCAGCAAACGGTTCGGGGAAGCCCGGCTAAGCGGAGGATTCCTCGTAGGCAGAGGGCCTCGTGACTCGAATCCCTAACACGGATTTCCCCCCCCCCCCTTCTCCCTCCCTCTCCCTTTGCTCTTTTCTCCCTCCTCTCTGTCTCTATCTATCTTTCTCTCTTCCCACCCCTCTCCTCCCGGCCCACGCTTCATCTCCTGCGCCCCTCCTCGCTCCAGGGGCTCTGCAGAGAGATGCCCCGTCGCCATGGCAACGAGGCAGGCCTGGACCACGTCCCCCCGCCCTCCCCTCCTTGGATGGTTGCAAAAATAAAATAAAAAATATCTATCTAAAAAGAGGCAGCATCAGCAACAAGCAACAGCCCATATGCAGCGAATCTATAATTCATTGGCGAAGCCTCCTGGCTTTTCCTCCCCTCGCTTTGGTGCAGAGGGAGGAGGGAATCCCCTGCTCCAAAAATAACCTGCATTAGCTCGGGGGAGGGAGGGAAACCCCTCCCTCTGCACACATATGCATTTATATATAGCCGCAGATGCACAGATAAAAATGAGAGGGCACGGTTTTTGCATGCGAAGCCGTGCGTCTGGTAGCGCGCCGTGCGCCCACCCAGAGAAAGGCGCACCCAGGCTGGTGGGGGGGGGGGTGTCAAGAGGGTTTCCCCGCCCCCGCCAGCGCCTGGCCGCCCCCGCACAGCTCCCCGCACGGTTGACTGCATCAGGGGGAGGGAGCGCCGCAGGGCGTCTGGAGGAAGCTCAGGTGGAGAGGAGCTGCGCTATGAATAGCCTGGCGCACGTGCGGGGACTCCGTAATGGGGTCTCCCCCTAGCCAAAGGGCACGGAGGCGGCTCGGGAGGCAGGATCCAGCCGCGGAAGAGCCGCTGCGCTGGAGAAATAAAATGCAGGGGGAAGAAGGAGGCAGCCCAGGAAGATCTACTACTAAGCAGATGAAGCGACTGGAGTCCACGCTGCTTTAAAAAACGGGTCTAGTAAGCGCAATCTGAGTGTCAGGCAGGGGCAGGGCGGGAGGCAAGGGGAGCTGCCCCCCCCCCATAAAGTAAACAAGTAAAAATACAAAAAGTGGAAACAATCAGAATATTTGAAATTGAAATGCTCGCTGAGATACCTCCCTGGTGAGCATTTCCCTAGAAAGTTAGTGTCTGCTTTTTTTGCGCTGATGCATGTAGCAAATCATTTCATCCCTCATCGAAATGTGTGAGCCATTCTCTGCAGAACATCAGAATTTAGGATGCTACAGCAGAGAGTCTAACTAGCCATCTCTCTTGCTCTGTCAGGCACCACTTAATAAATAATAATAATTTTATTCTTTGTACCCACCCATCTGACTGGGTCTCCCCAGCCCCTCTGGGCAGCTTCCAACAGATATAAAAACATAATAAAACACCAACATTTTTGCAGCCAGGTGAGGTGAGCAAAATGAATATACTAGGGGCAGGCATGCGTACAAATGCAGACGTTCATGGGGGGGTTGCTCTGCAAAGAAAAGTGAAATTGAAATACCCCAAAACAATGTGTACGTTAAGGAGAAATTTGCGCTGAGAGGCTGGCGAATTTCCTTGGCGACTTACGGAAATAAAAACCGGAGGCGGATGTGAAGAGTAGAACTCAAGATGCAATAAATAAGAAAAATAGATGGATCCGCCCCTCCCTGGTAGCCAAGCCCACCCCAAACAAAAGATACCCACCCATCCTTTTGTCCTTCTCAGCTCTCTTACAAGGATCCCAAATATAAATTCCTCTGCGGTCTTCCAACGCCAGATTTTGACTATGACGCCTCACATGGCGGCAAACGGTTTGCCGCGGGGCAGCGTGATATTCAAGGAAGGAAGGAGTGTGTGCGGGTGTTTATTCTGGGTGAGTCAGGACGGCGTTACTCATAATCTGGATTTTTTGCACTCTGAAGGGTTTCAGATGTAAGAATCTGACATCAGATGATTATTATCAAGTCGGCTCTAATTAACCCGTCCATAATTTAACAACAGGGAAAATACAGATGGAAGCTAATGCTGATTTCAGCATGCATTTAAGCTTTAGGAGGTAAGGAAAGCCTGGTGGAGATGGACCCAAGGAGGTCCATCTCGCTGGGAATCCTGTTTTCGCAGCAGCCAACTAGAAGCCTGTGGGATATTTGCAACGCAGCCGAAACAACAATGCATGTTTGCTGCAAAGGCACACGATAGGAGCTGAAGCTCGCAAAGTTTTTCTGCAAGTTTGCTAGCAAGAACTTTGAGGGACACGCTCCATGTGTCCTGACAGGGGCCGGCTTGACTCATCTCATCACCAAACCAGAAATGTGAGAACCTCCTCCGTATGGGCCTGTGTTCCATTGCTCAGACACCACCCTAAGCCAGACTTAAGAGGGAACGGTCTCCCTGGGGAGGTTGTGGGCTCACCCTTGGAGGCTTTTAAGCGGTGTTTGAATGGCCATCTGTCATGGATGCATTAGCTGAGATTCCTGCATTGCAGGGGGCTGGCTTAGAGCAGGGGTAGGGGGCCGGATGCAGCCCAATCGCCTTCTCAATTCGGACCATGGACGGTCCAGGAATCAGTGTTTTTACATGAGTAGAATGTGTCCTTTTATTTAAAATGCATCTCTAGGTTATTTGTGGGGCATAGGAATTCGTTCATTCTTTTTTCAAAATATAGTCCGGCCCCCCACATGGTCTGAGGGACGGTGGACTGGCCCATGGCTGAAAAAGGTTGCTGACCCCTGGACTAGAGGATCCTCGGGGGGGGGGGGTGTTTCCCTTCCAACTCTACAATTCTATGATTCTGTGTCTTTGCAACCGAATTACTATTTTAAGGCTGCCTGAACAAAGCAGCTGTGATTTGTTATTCTGCAACAGAATATGCTGTTTTCGCCTTTTACAAGATTCTTTGTGTGGTTATTATTTTAAAGGGGGGGGGGAGGGAAGGGGAGAAATACCAGGAAAATCTATAGTCTGCCTTAAAGCACCCCAGATTACACAAACTAAAAGGCTAAAACCAGACTATCTAAGCTTCCCTTTTAAGCTGCAAAGGGATGCACTCTGCTGAACTCACAAACTCCCTCTCCCAATTCTATTTTTTAAGTTTCAATATTTTATTAAGTTCCAACAGTCTTGTCTCTTATTTCTGTCGACTTCCTAGCCAAGACGGGTGGCCTGCGGGATGAAGTTCCATAGTTTCACAACAGCCAGTATGCAAAAATTGCAGGGGGTCGGACTAGATGAATCTCGGGGTCCCTTCCCAACTCTACAGTCTGCGAAAAGCATTGCTGCCTTGGCGGCTAGTAGCCTGGGATAGCCCTCTCTACAAATTTGTCTAATCCTCTTTTAAAGCTATCTTGGGTTTTGCATAATTCCAGAAACATTTTGTTTTGCTGTTTTAATGGAGGCAGAGCTCTGTAATCTTTGCAGGGCTCGGGTCCTCAGAAGGTCTGAAGGTCTGGATGGAGCCACGCACTGGCTTTCAATCCCCCCTTTCTAATTTATTTATTTTTAACCAGGAAATTAAAAGGAGAACTGAACCAGTGTCCTTCGGGCGACCTTGGGGGGGGGTTGGCGCTTCTGCGGCACGGCGGACCGTTATCGCTCGTGCATCAGCCTCTGCTCTGGTTATCTCGGTCCCCGCAGAGGTGGGGAGCGATGCTAAGGCATGCCATATCTGCTGAGAGGATGCAGGAACATCGGGGCAGGAAGGGAGAGATAACAGAAGACGCTCAGGCTGGATGATGGCCAGGAAAAGAAGATCAATGCCAGAGACAAATGGGAAAAACAATGGAGGTTGTGATGGTCACCTGCTGGGGGTTCTTTAGCTGTGATTCCTGCATTGCAGGGGGTTGGACTAGATGGCCATTGGGGGGCCCTTGCGACTCCTCAATTCCATGATTCTATGTGCTCAATGCTGCCCCAGGCAGCCTATCCTGCTCAGTTCCCTTGGCTCCCTCCTCCTGGCGGAATTAGGACAACTGGGTTGTCTTCAGGGCTAGCCCTATTTTGTTGTTGTTGTTGGCATCTGTCAGTCTCGAGAGGCAACGGAGTGCACCTCTGGTAAAGGTAAAGGGACTCCTGACCATTAGGTCCAGTCTCGGACGACTCTGGGGTTGTGGCGCTCATCTCGCTATACTGGCCAAGGGAGCCGGTGTACAGCTTCCAGGTCATGTGGCCAGCATGACTAAGCCGCTTCTGGCGAACCAGAGCAGCGCACGGAAACGCCGTTTACCTTCCCGCCGGAGTGGTACCTATTTATCTACTTGCACTTTGACGTGCTTTCAAACTGCTAGGTTGGCAGGAGCAGGGACCGAGCAACGGGAGCTCACCCCGTCATTGCGGGGATTTGAACCGCCGACCTTCTGATTGGCAAGTCTTAGGCTCTGTGGTTTAACCCATAGCGCCACCCACGTCCCTACACCTCTGGAGGTGAAGGCAAACTGCTGTTTTAGCAGCACCAAAGTGACCTCTCCGGGGAGCAAGCCTGGGCAGTGTGCACAGAGGTCCTGGGCTGCCCAGACGACGAGACCTGCCTCTTGGGCTCACTGATGTGGTCCAAAGGAAAGCAGAGCAAGACGTTTGGCACCAGCTTGGCTGCAGGTGTTGCTGGAAGGAGGCGTACAAGGCGCCATCCAACTACTTTAGGGACTCTGCTCCATTTTTGCAGAGGGTCTACTCCTAAGCCTTTTCTTCTCTCAAAGAGATCCCGGCCGCAAGGCAGTGGAAGTTTAGGGTCAGAGTTTTCCTTCTCCTAGACTGGCTCCCTCCCCAGGTGGACAAGCACCACCTACCCCCTCTACAAGAAGGGCAGAAACTGCCTTCTTGACCACTGGACCCACTCTTTGTCTCGTCCACAGGGAGGCTGTATTCACATGCAGGGAAAGCAGCAGGTTTTAACCCGGCCCTCCACTGCTTTCGATGAAACCTAGGAATGGGTGAATATGGCTTTTTGAAGTGGTCTTGGCACACCTGGGAGTTAGGGAGCTGCTTCCTGATAGGGAGACCCAGCTCCCCGAAACTACTAGGAAGTGGGATACATTTGGCTTCTAAAGGGTTAACCGTCCCCTTTCCAAGGCTTGCTGTTTTCCTGCTTTCTGTAAATGCTGCAATTACCGCTCCAGACCCCGCCTAATTAGGAGGCCTTGTTTTCCCCCCAGGAAAGGCTCAGCAGAGCTAATGATAATTAGAAAGAGGCGTCTGGGGGATGTCTCTAGATGGGATCCTCTGGCTAAGCCTTTTGCTGCAGGGTTGAGAACCCCAGTTCATCCGTGGTGGGGGAGAGAGGCGTTGGTCAAGGTGGGCTTTTGTGTCCATTTACAGGCTGGAGAGCCTTTCAAAAGAACACAGAGTCATTTTGGACTCATTGCTGTCCATGGAGGCGCAGGTCAATTCTGCGTCCAGGGCTGCTGTCTACCAGCTGCATCTGAGACCCTACCTGCCTACATGCCCTGGCTATCTCCCACTTGGACTACTGCCATGAGTTCTCTGTGGGGCTGCCTTTGAAGGTGACTCAGAAACCACAGCTAATCCAGAATGCGGCAGCTAGACAGGTGACTAGGAGTGGCTGTGAGGCCATATAATACTGGTCCTGAAAGACCGACGTTGGTTCCCAGTACATTTCTGAGCACAATTCAAGGTATTGGTGCTGACCTTTAAAGCCCTAAACAGTCTCGGCTCAGTATACCTGAAGGAGCATCTTCACCCCCATCTTTCAGCTTGGACACTGAGGTCCAGCTCCAAGGGCCTTCTGGTGGTTCCCTCAATGCGAGAAGCCAAGTTACAGGGAACCAGGCAGAGGGCCTTCTCGGTGGTGGCTCCCACCCTGTGGAATGCCCTCCCACCAGATGTCAAAGAGAAGAAGAACTACCAGACTTTTAGAAGACATATTGAAGGCAGTCCTGTTTAGGGAAAGTTTTAATGTTTGATGCAGTTCCTTTGGCAGTTCCCTCACTGAGAGAAGTGAGGTTACAGGGAACCAGGCAGAGGGCCTTCTTGGTAGTGGTGCCCTCCCATCAGAACGTCAAGGAGATAAACAACTGTATGACTTTTAGAAGACGTCAAAGAGATATCCAATTACACCACCTTTTGAAGAAGAAGAAGCAACGGAGGAAAATCAGATGATGGCACAGTTCAAACACTTTATTCCTTTTGGGAAGTTGGGTTTACAAATTTGGGGCAATATGTATATATTCTTTTTGTTTTTAATGCTGAAACTTTTCTCTGCAGAGAAGAGCAGCAACACTGGGGTATGTCTGGCGAATTGGGGTTGGGGGGGGGCTCATAATTGTCCTTGGGGGCCAGATGGGATCACATCGAGCAAAAAGGGAAGACCCTGGTGCTAAAAACTGGGGAGAGAGGAAGATGATGCCAAATTAGTAGGCCAGTTTGCGTACACACACACACACACACACACACACACACACAGAGAAAAATGGGTGTCCCCTGCTGCTCTGACACCCCCATCTGAAACTCAGCAAGCATTCCTGGATTCAGCAGAGGAAAGAGGGGAAAGGAACACGCTGTTTTTTGAGCGGTCAGTTCGTGCCTTGGCAAGACAAGAGCCCTGCTGCCACTGACCTGTGGCACAAGGAGAACGAGGAAGGCTGTTCCTCATCATGCAAAGCCCTCCTCAACAACAGGAAGACGTCACCGAGTTGCACCTTGTTCCAAATTCACCTGAGCAAGGAAAAACCCCATGCCAGAAGGGGGGCAGCGGTAAGGGGAGGCGAGATGAGAGGTGCATGCTCCCTGCAGATTTTAAAAGACCCCCCAAAGAAACCGTCTGTTGTTAAGAGAGTCAAAAGAGGGGCGCCGATCGCACGGCAAGAATGCAAAAAGGTGATGCCAAGCTCGGAGGCTTCACTGAGATGGGTGTGTGAGGATTTTCCACCCCCGCCTCCTCCTTACTCCTCCAGGTCCTGAGTGCGATGCCAGCCCTCCTGACCTAAGAAGCAGCTTATGGCTGCCAGATGAATCGGAGATGGAGGGACATTTGCGGCCTTCAAGACACCACTGGACCCCCAGCAGCCAGCAGGGTCAATGGTCAGGGACAACAGTGGCAAGAGATGGAGGGCAGCAGTATCTGGAGGGATAGAGGCACTGAATAAACAAGCGGAGCAAGAACTAAGCGAGGGCAGCAAGTCCTGGCAAGGGGCAGCCTCGGCCTCCTCCTTACAGAGGGGGCCACCCTACTTTGGGTCACGAGAAGAGGCTTGCAGGATTGGGGAGGGGGCTCGCGGTTGTTGCTGAACGGATCCTCTGCACCAAACCGCCCTCCACAAACAGAGTAAAAGGCCAGTTTGGAAAACTGGAAGGCTAAGGAAGAACTCCTCTCCCTAAGGCGGCTAGCATGGCAAAGTGATCTGCCCCCGCTTTTTCTCGCTTCTGCAATGCTGGGGGGCGGTATTTCTTTGTTGTTTCACCTGCAAGGGCTTTCACGCCTGCCCCACTGACCCACAACCCAATCTTGGAAGACATAATGACCTCTAAAGAAGAACTAGCGCCCGTCTTGAGACGCGACGTGGCAGAGCAAAGTGTTGCCCTCTGGGGTTAGGAAGAGAAGGGGGTGGCACAGATTTTTGCTACGCCTGAGTCTCCCCCAGCCCCCCAATCCAAAGCACAAAGAGGCAGGTGAAGACAGCACCGTCCCAGAGAGAGGAAGAAGGTTAGGTACCCGGGGCAATCCCATCTGGCCCGGCAGGAAAGGTTTCGGAGCCAATTTGAGCCTGCTTCCGCAGGAGATCAGGAAACCCAAATTTAAGGGGCGTGTCTGGGGAGGGGAGAGGTTTTCGAGTCCAACGGGGGAAGTCAACGAAAGCAAGGGGGAATATTTAGTTGCACCTTAATTTTAATCCGTAGAGCGGAGCTTGGAGGGACCACCGTGGCCTTGGCTGCTCTTGAAAGGCGGTTCAGTGTTGGGGGGCGGGAAAAGGAGGTGGTCTCTCTCTCTTTCTCCCTGCACTGCTTCCCACGCCCACACATGGGGGGCTTCACCAGTCTCATTTCTGGCTGTTGTAAGCCGTGTGCCGCTGGTTCATGGGGTTCTCGGGCGACTTCATCCACTCTTTCTTGAGGAGCTGCTTCAGCTGCGAGAGGCGCATGTTGGGGTTCTCCTGCTTCAGCCGCGGCAGTTGAACCTCCTCGAAAGCCGTGAAGGCGGCCTTCATCCGGCGCTCGGGGTGGCGGTCCAGGTCGTCGGCAACGCTGGAGGTGGGGGGGAGAAATGAGAATCACAGACATGGCAGAACTGCAGAGCTGGAACCAAGGATTATCTAGTTACAAGCTTAGTGGATCAGGGGAATGCTGCACATAGTATACCGTATTTTTCGCTCTATAGGACGCACTTTTTCCCCTCCAAAAATTAAGGGGAAATGTGTACGTGTCCTACAGAGCGAATGCAGGCTGCGCGGCTAAGCCCAAAGCCAGAACAGGGAGACGGAGCGCTACAAAGCCTATCCGAGAAGCCTCAAGCTTTTGGAGTGCAGCGGGAACTCGCGCTGTGCTCCAAAGGCTTTGGGTCAGCGAAAAGAACCCGAAGCCTTTGGAGCACAGCACAAGGTCCCGCTGCGCTCCAAAGGCTTTAGGGATCTTTGAGGCTGGTGGTGGGGGAAAGCAGCGCTTCACCCCACTGCCAGCCCTACAAGCTCAGGGGAAAGGCAGCGCGCCGCCTTTGCGCTGCTCCCCGACCTCTTTGAGGCTTTTCCCTGAGGAGGGAGAAAGGAATGACTGGCCATGTCAGTCCCTTCTCCCTCCTGGTCGAAAAGCCCGCAGGAGCCGTGCACTCCTTAAAGGGTGAGCGGCTCCTGTGGGCTTTTGCGGGAGATGGGGGAATTCCCCCACCTCCTGCAAAAGCAGGGAGATGGTCTGGGAGAAGCACACAGGCCTGTCCGCTGCTCCCAGAGCTGGGGGGGGGGGGACCATATTTTTTCCCTTGATTTCCCCCTCTGAAAACTAGGTGCGCCCTATGGAGCGAAAAATACGGTGACTTGATTTCAACAAGACTTTTGACAAAGTCCCCTATGATATTCTTCGAGGAAGCTGGTGAGTTGAATGAAGGAACTGTTAGTGGGTTGATGGACCGAACCTAAAGGTAAAGGGACCCCTGACCGTTAGGTCCAGTCGCAGACAACTCTGGGGTTGCGGCGCTCATCTCGCTTTATTGGCCAAGGGAGCCGGCGTACAGCTTCCGGGTCATGTGGCCAGCATGACTAAGCCGCTTCTGGCGAACCAGAGCAGTGCACGGAAACGCCGTTTACTTTCCCGCTGGAGTGGTACCTATTGATCTACTTGCACTGTGACGTGCTTTCGAACTGCTAGGTTGGCAGTTCTCATTAATGAGAGTACTCATTAATGGTTCCCCATCATTCTGGGAAAAAGTGACCAGTTGGGTGCCGTGGGGATTTGTCCTGGGCCCGTTGTTGTTCAACGTCTTTATAAACAACCTGGATGAAAGAATTGAGGTGATGCTCATCCAATTTGCAGGTGGCACCAAACTGGGAGGGGGAGCTAATGCCGCAGAAAACAGAACCGGGATTTGAAATGACCTTAACAGTTCTATGATTCTATGACTTTAATACAGGAAAGGAGATTCCGACTAAAAATCAGGAAGAACTTTCTGACATTAAGAGCTGTTTGACTGTGGAATGGACTCCCTTGGGCGGTTGTGGACTCTCCTTCATTGAAGGGAAGGGATTTAAGCAGAGGTTGGGTGGTCATCTGTCAGGGATTCTTGGCTGTGATTCTTGCATTCGTAGAACAGTAGCGTTGGAAGGGATGCCATGGGTCATCTAGTAGTCCAACCCCCTGCAATTCAGGAATCTTAACTAAAGCATCCATGACAGCTGGTCATCCAAGCTGTGTTTAAAAACCTCCAAGGAAGGGGAATTCACAACAGCCCAGGGGAGTCAATTCCACAGTCAAACTCCTTTTACCCTCAGGAAGTTCTTCCCAATGTTTTGCCAGATTCTTCTTTTTTGTCATTTGAATGCATCACTTCAGACCCTACTCTCCAGATCAGCAGGTAACAAACTTGCTCAATCTTCCATGGGGCAGCCCTTTCGATATCAGAAGATGGCTGTCATATCACCTCTCAGCCTTCTCTTTCTCTGAATAAATTTAGCGACTTTTCCCCAGCCGGGTTCATCTCTGCCTCCCTCCTTTCCTGCTTCAGTTTCCACCTCTGATTCCGGACTTCCCTTGGGGGTTCCCCCAGCAGGTTCCTCCCACCACCCTTCTGCATCCAGTCAGTCCATGACAGCTGCCTAGGTCTCCTCCCCTCATGGGTTTTCCCCAAGCAATCAGAGACTGCGCCTGCGCAAAACCAACCTCTCCTCCGCCCTTTTCATGCCTCTCCTGGTTCTGGGAGACCAGCGGAGAGGGGAGCTTGTTGCAACAGGAGGGGGAGACTCCCTGGCATCTTCACCAGCCTGACCCATCTCTGCCTCCTGCCTCTCTCCTCTCCTGCTTCAGTTTCCACCTCTGATTCCGGACTTCCCTTGGGGGTTCCCCCAGCAGGTTCCTCCCACCACTCTTCTGCATCCAGTCAGTCCATGACAGCTGCCTAGGTCTCCTCCTCTCATGGGTTTTCCCAAGCAATCGGAGACTGCGCCTGCGCAAAACCAACCTCTCCTCCGCCCTTTTCATGCCTCTCCTGGTTCTGGGAGACTAGCAGGGAGGGGAGCTGGTTGCAATAAGAGGGGGAGACATCCGTGACTCTTCACCACCCGGACTCATCTCTGCCTCCTGGCCTCCCTCCTCTCCTGCTTCAGCTTCTGCCTCCGATTCTGGACTTCTCTCTGCCACAGACTCTCCCTGCTCACTAAGCCATGTTGCCTCTTCAGCTTCTGCCACCTCCTCCTCCCAGTCTCGTCCCTCTTCTGCCCCTGACCACTCATCATTGCCCCACCACCCCTCTCTGGACTCTGAGCCTTCCTCCCTTGGGCGGTTCACTTCATGAAATCTGGCCCTTTGAAAAAAGTTTGGGCACCCCTGCTTTGGAGCATCTGACTGGCCCCTGTGAGGGCAGGATGCTGGACTAGACGGGCCCCACTTTGTCCTCATCCAGCTGCTGCAGGACGCCTCCTAGGCTCTTAGCTCTCATGTGGATTACCTGAGCACCGCAATGGCATCCTCGATGGTCCGTGCCTCTACAGCGCCTTCCTCCAGGACCCTGCGGTTGATGTTCTCTTCCAAGGGCATCTCAAGGTGACTCTTCAGCTTCTCTCCTGGCAGAGAAGGGGGCAAATGGAACAACAGGTTAGCTGGAGGTCAACCTTTTTTTAAAAAATGCAGTAATACATTGCAGGGGACTGGACCACCCTCAGGGTCCATTCAAACTCCATCATTCTAACACACTGCATTCTGTGAGTCACTCTCTGCTCTGGATGTGGCTGTGGTCTAAACCACTGAGCCTCTTGGGCTTGCTCATCAGAAGGTCGGAGGTTCGAATCCCCACGATGGAGTGAGCTCCCGTTGCTCTGTCCCAGCTCCTGCCAACCTAGCAGTTCAAAAGCACACCAGCGCAAATAGATAAATAGGTACCGCTGCGGTGGGAAAGTAAACGGCATTTCCATGCGCTCTGGTTTCCGTCACGGTGTTCCGTTGTGCCAGAAGCGGTTTAATCCTGCTGACCACATAACCCGGAAAGCTGTCTGTCTCCGGCTCCCTCGGCCTGAAAGCGCGATGAGCGCCACAACCCCATAGTCGCCTTTGACTGGACTTAACCATCCAGGGGTCCTTTACCTTTTTTAAACCTGGACTCCCAGCACCCGCTAATTCAGGCATAAGCAAACCCCGGCCCTCCAGATGTTTGGGACTACAATTCCCATCATCCCTAGCTAACAGGACCAGTGGTCAGGGATGCTGGGAACTGTAGTCCCAAACATCTGGAGGGCCGGAGTTTGCCTATGCCTGCGCTAGCCCATCATCTCCCGCTCACCGGGTTCCCCGTTCTCCTTCTGCTGCTCTTTCCGGAGCGCCTCGTCGATCTGCGCCCGGGTGACTTTGCCCGGGGGCAGCGGCTTAGGCGTCTTCCCCTTCAGCTTGGCATCCTCTTCTTCCAGGAGGCGTTGCAGCTCCTTCTTGCGCTCCACCTGCTCCAGGCGCCGTTTCTCGCGCTCTTCCTAAAGCGACCGGAGGGCGGGAGGGAGAGAGAGAAAAGAGTCTAGTCCTCAGTCTAGAGCCAGTGTGGTGTAGTGGTTAAGAGCGGTGGACTCGTAATCTGGTGAACCGGGTTCGCTTCCCCGCTCCTCCACCTGCAGCTGCTGGGTGACCTTGGACCAGTCACACTTCTCTGAAGTCTCAGCCTCACTCACCTCACAGAGTGTTTGTTGTGGGGGAGGAAGGGAAAAGGAGATTGTTAGCCGCTTTGAGACTCCTTCGGGTAGTGATAAAGCGGAATATCAAATCCAAACTCTTCTTCTTCTTCATGATTCTGAATGAAGGATGGAGTTGAATAGGAGCACCGTGTTCTGCCTCATACGGAGTCAGAAACACTTGAGCTCAACACTGTCTACACTGGTTGGCAGCAATGGTTTCCGACTCAGGGGTCTTTCCCACCCCTAATCTGGTGATGCCTTTGGGGACTGAGACTGGGACAATCAGAATGCAAAGTCCAGTGTGAGAAACTCCGAAAAATAACTTAACCTTAAGCCTAGGTTACTGTCGTCGCCACAATGGAATGTCTAGGAGCCTTTTTTTGGCAACTGATTTTATTTTATTATTATTCATTTCATTTCTATACTACTTTCTATTTGAAAGAGAGAGAAAACCCTCAAAGCAGGTTTTCAACACATTAAAACGTCCAATAAAACAATCCAGAATAAAAGAAATTCAGGAAAGTATTTCAGATCCTTCGGCAGGTTACAGTTTGCTTTCCCCGTATTTATTTACCTACTTAATTTATAGAGCTGCCCCATAGCAGAAGAGCTCTAGGAAGGCAGGGTGGTGTAGGGGTTAGAGTGTCAGACCTGGGAGATCAGGGTTCAAATCCCCACTCAGTCCTGGAGCTCACTGGGCGACCCTGGAGTCAGTTCCAGCCTCTTAGCCCACCTCACAGGGTCGTTGTCGGGATTAACGGAGGAATGGGGGGGTGAACCATGTACTCCCTGGAGAAAAAGGTGGGAGATAAATGCTGACCGGCTTAAGAAAGCTGGAGGGGCCAGCCAGGTGATGCCAGTCGCAACCTGGTGCCCAGAGATCTCCACGTGGCTGTAACTGGGCCCGCGCCAGTCGCAAAACGTGCCTGGGGGATTTTGAGCACTACCACTGAGCTATGGCCCTCCCCTGCTGCATGGACTACAATTCCCATAACTCCCAGATAGCCTGGCTGCATGATACCAGGGAGGATGGTACCTGTAGCCCCAAACATCTGAAGTCTGGGGAAAGTTGGCCTGCAATACAAGCCTTCCTAAATAATCAAAGACAGCAATCCATTCAACGATTCGCCAAGAAGCGCAGCTAAGCCCAAGATCAACGGCGCGGAAAGCCCAACATGCCCGTTAACACCTCCCAACTGGCCAAGGTGGTACAGAAAGCAGTTTGCGCTTTGGATCTGGTCAATAGCAATCAACAAATCCAAAAGCCCAGGAGATGCATTAAGACCAGGAGTCAATAAGACCAGAGACTCTTTCGAATTGGAAAAGCTGTGTCTCAAAGCGCCCCTCCCCACGCATTTTGCCCAATTGAGCCATCAGATCATTTAACATTTGAAGATTCAGAGCAGATGAAAGAAAGGTCTTCCCCTCTGTGGTGGAGAGATGAACTGTGGAACTCCCCGCCACAGGAGGCAGTGATGGCCATGACTTTGAGAACTGCAGAAGCAGCCAGGAAGAGAGGAGAGGAGTTCAGGGATATATTTGTTTAAAAAAACAATAGCTGTGTGCCCTTGTTTTATATTATTATTATTATTAGTAGTAGTAGTAGTAGTAGTAGTAGTATACTGCTGTACACTTGCAGGTCTCAGGGAGGTTCACAATATAAAATCACATAGTAGTAATATAATAATAACAAGAATTTATTATTTATGCCCCACCCATCTGGCTGGGCTTCCCCAGCCACTCTGGGCGGCTTCCAACCAAATATTAAAATACAGTAATGCATCAAACATTAAAAGCTTCCCTAAACAGGGCTGCCTTCAGATGTCTTCTAAAAGTTGGGTAGTTGTTGTTCTCTCTGACATCTGGTGGGAGGGCGTTCCACAGGGCGGGTGCCACCACCGAGAAGGCCCTCTGCCTGGTTCCCTGTAACTTGGCTTCTCGCAGTGAGGGAACCGCCAGAAGGCCCTCGGAGCTGGAACTCAGTGTCCGGGGAGAACGATGGGGGTAGAGACGCTCCTTCAGATATACAAACAAAATCATATCTATATCTATCTATGTATGTTATAATACAAACAATTTGATCGCTTTACATGGTTTTTTTGTACTTTGTGGTATTTGTAGTTTTGTATGTTTCATTTTATGCATTGTGATTCACCATTATTTTTTATTGATTATAGCTTAGCAATTCTTTATTGTAACTGCTAGGTGCAAACTTCTTAAGTGTTATTTATTAATATGTATTTAATATTACTGCTTAGTATTATATTCTAATGGATGATGGAACGGTGCTTGATATACAGCAAGTTGTGCTTTTTTTGAAGTTATGTTTTTATTATGACTTTCTTTTTGTATTGGATCTATGATCTGCCTGAAACCCTGGAGAGCTGCTGGCAGTCAGTGTGGGCAATACTGGGATAGATCCAATGGATCTGGCTCAAGGTGAGGCAGCTGGCCTTATAGGGTTCGCATCCCATTAAAGATTTCAGAGTGTCTCAAAACGGCATTGTGCTCAAACTTAATGGCAGAGGAGAAATTGGCCGTTCTGGCCGAGGCTGAATCCTCACCAAAAAGAGGAAGGTGCTCTTGCAAGAGGCTAGGAAGCAGAGAGAGATCACGGAATTATAGAGCTCAAAGGGACCCCCAAAGCCATCTAGTCCAACCTCCTGCCGCACAGAAGATGGAAGTGAGGGAGAGAGAGGATGGAAACAGAGAGAGAACACTCTGCATCCCTGGAGCCAGCGGGTTCGTGTCACCATGGAAGCATGATCAAATTAACCCAGGTGGTCTGATCCAAAGGATGCGTCCCGCCCCAGGGGACAGGTCGATGTCACGGAGATGCACGGCTGAAACAGGAACCTCGTTGAGATGGGAGCAACGCCGCCCTTGGTCTGGCGCAGTTTCAAGGCTCCCGAATTACGGAGGTGCCTTTAATTAAGCTCTCTGGTCCTCCCCCTTGGGACCTTCCGCATGCAAAGCAAGCGTCCTTGCCGCCCCTTTCTCCCCTCGCCACCCCACAAAAGGGAAACGAGACACTATAGGATTCATCCAAAGAGACAGAAGAGAGGGACAAACCTCTTCTGTGTTTCCAAAAGCTCCCAAACCAGCTAGAGAGATTTATCCATTGCTGCCGCCTCCTGGGCAGAAGGGAGAAGTGCCCCTTCGCCAAATGGAGCGTGAAAGGTGTTGTTCGCCTGCTTCAGAAGACTCCAGCGTCTACCCAAGTAACACAGACCACTGGGTCACCTGGCTCAGCTTTTGGCTAGCACTGGTGGCAGCAGCAGTTGCTGGGGGGGGGGTCTTCCCCAGCCCTTCCAGGAGACACCACTGCAGAATGAACCTGGGGGCTCCTGCAGGTTCTCTGCCCCAAGCTCCGTCCCATCCCCAAAAGATAAAACAAGATTCTATCTAGTCCTCATGGTTATCATAATAATCCTGCCTAAGCTGGATGGCTTTCAGGCAAAATTTCTATGATCTCTGCTGCAGGTACCCAACTGTGTCCCCAACTCCATACAGTGGTACCTCAGGTTAAGTACTTAATTCGTTCCGGAGGTCCGTACTTAACCTGAAACTGTTCTTAACTTGAAGCACCACTTTAGCTAATGGGGCCTCCTGCTGCCGCCTCGCCGCTGCCACGTGATTTCTGTTCTCATCTTGTAGCAAAGTTCTTAACCTAAAGCACTATTTCTGGGTTAGCGGAGTCTGTAACCTGAAGCGCATGTAACCTGAGGTACCACTGTACTTCTGTTAAAGGTAAAGATAAAGGGACCCTTGATAGTTACCGTATTTTTTGCTCTATAAGACTCACTTTTTCCCTCCTAAAAAGTAAGGGGAAATGTGTGTGCGTCTTATGGAGCGAATGCAGGCTGTGCAGCTATCCCAGAAGCCAGAACAGCAAGAGGGATTGCTGCTTTCACTGCACAGCGATCCCTCTTGCTGTTCTGGCTTCTGAGATTCAGAATATTTTTTTCCTTGTTTTCCTCCTCCAAAAACTAGGTGCGTCTTATAGGGCGAAAAATACGGTAAGTCCAGTCGCAGACAACTCTGGGGTTGTGGCGCTCATCTCGTTTTACTGGCCGAGGGAGCCGGCGTACAGCTTCCGGGTCACGTGGCCAGCATGACTAAGCCGCTTCTGGCGAACCAGAGCAGTGAACGGAAACACCGTTTACCTTCCCGCCGGAGCGGTATCTATTTATCTACTTGCACTTGACGTGCTTTCGAACTGCTAGGTTGGCAGGAGCAGGGACCGAGCAACAGGAGCTCACCCCGTCATTGCGGGGATTTGAACTGCCGACCTTCTGATCGGCAAGTCCTAGGCTCTGTGGTTCAACCTACATCGCCACCCGCGTCCCTTATACTTCTATTAGAAGCTGGTGAGTGCCCAATTTCAACTAAAGCGTGGTGGGCTGCCCTAAAACATTGGCTCAGGATTTCAGTGTTTAATCTAGGGAAGGGTTTGTACCAACACCTGACCAATGAGGAATTTGTCAGCAAATGGCAGAAAACCATGGATAGAAAAGCCACCTCTATTGGTCTGTCACCCGCCCAACTTTATTACCTGGGTTATGAAGGTGCCCTAAAGACGTTAAAGAAAAGATTATGGGATAATACACACAGTGACTTGCGATTTCGATCACATGCAGTCTGTAGTTTGCTGGCAGTAGGAGTACAATATGGGCATGTCTTTAAATTAACACCCTACATTAAAAACCTGACAGAACCAAACTATCGAAGGCTTTTCACCAAAGCCAGACTAAATGTCTTTCCTTCTGCAGTGTTGGATGGCAGGTTGAGAGGAGTTCCCTACCAGGACAGACTTTGCTCGTGTGCTCAAGACATCGATTCTATAAAACATATTTTGCTGCACTGTGCGAAATATGAGCAAGCCAGGGCTTGCTGGTACCTTTCCCGGGAAAATCAGAGGCTCATTATGTTAGGTTCCTATTGGAAGACTGGACAAACACTAGAACATTAGCAGTGGCGAAATTATTATCGGTGGTCGCAAGAACCAATGATCCCTATCTTTAAGTCTGAACAAAATGCTTGTTAAACTGGAGGTAGGCTGTCTGAATTGTGCATTGCTTTGTAATGATTTGCTGGGTCTCTGGACCGTAATAAAGATTGATTGATTGATTGATTGATTGACTGATTGATTGAATAATTTATTATTTATACCCCACCCATCTGGCTGCGTTTCCCCAGGCACTCTGGGCGGCTCCCAACAGTTCACGATAAAACATCAAAAACTTCCCTATGCAGGGCTGCCTTCAGGTGACTTCTAAAACTCAGATAGTTGTTTATTTCCTTGACATCTGAAGGGAAGGTGTTCCACAGGGCGGGCGCCACCACCGAGAAGGCCCTCTGTCTAGTTCCCTGTAACCTCACTTCTCGCAGGGAGGGAACAGTCAGAAGGCCCTCGGCGCTGGACCTCAGTGTCCGGGCTGAACGATGGGGGTGGAGACGCTCCTTCAGGTATACTGGGCCTTTGAGGCCGTTTAGGGCTTTAAAGATCAGCACCAACACTTTGAATTGTGCTCGGAAATGTCCTGGGAGCCAATGTAGGTCTTTCAGGACCGGTGTTCTATAGTCCCGGCAGCCACTCCCAGTCACCAGTCTAGCTGCTGCATTCTGGATTAGTTGTAGTTTCCAGGTCACCTTCAAAGGTATAAACAAAGGGCCTGGATTAAATTGGGATCGTAGCAAGTTGCTGGACACCAATGCAGGCTATCCGTGCATCTAGGCCTGTGTTGGTTACACTGGCTGGCAGCAGCTCTCCAGGGTTTTTTGCAGGGGCAACCCAGCCAGATGGGCAGGGTATAAGTATATTATTATTAGTAGTAGTGGTGGTGGTGGTGGTGGTGGTGGTATTAAGGGACATGGGTGGCGCTGTAGGTTAAACCACAGAGCCTAGGACTTGCCGATCAGAAGGTTGGTGGTTCCAATCCCCACGACGGGGTGAGCTCCCGTTGCTCGGTCCCTGCTCCTGCCAACCTAGCAGTTCAAAAGCACGTCAAAGTGCAAGTAGATAAATAGGTACCGCTCTGGCGGGAAGCTAAATGGCGTTTCTGTGTGCTGCTCTGGTTCACCAGAAGTGGCTTAGTCATGCTGGCCACATGACCCGGAAGCTGTACGCCGGCTCCCTCGGCCAATAAAGCGAGATGAGCGCCGCAACCCAAGAGTCGGCCATGACTGGACCTAATGGTCAGAGGTCTCTTTACCCCTTTACCTTTTTAGTTGTGGTATTATTATACCTGGGGATTGCAGTAGGGACCTTTCACACACCCAAAGGAGGCACTCTACCTGTGAGCTACAGGCCTTGGCTTGGGTGTTAGGGGAGAGATAGTACTTATGGCAGGGGACATGTTGTGCTCCTCCTGGGGTTGTTTTCCCACCTGCATTCAGCATTCACCTGTGGCTCCTGGAAGCTGTCAGCAGGCGACAGCAGCCACAATCCCAGAACGGCTTCGACTGGCCAGCTGAACCAGGTGAGGGGAGCTGATGGGTCTCAGACCCTCGGCGAGTTAGGGGCTTCCCCTGCATGTGAAGACAGGCTCCGGCGGACGGAATGGACAAGACCAAGAGCGATCCCCATGGTCAAGAAGGCGGTTTCTGCCCGTGCTGTAGAGGCAAGTGAGGGGCTGGTCTCCTATCTAGGAGAAGGAAAACTGTGACCCCAAATCTCTGCTGCCTTGTGGGATATATTTGGGAGAAGGCTCAGGAGAAAACTCTAAACAAATCCTGAGTGGAGACTCTAAGGCGGTTGGATGTTGCCTTGTACGCCTCCTTCTGGCAACTCCTGCAGCTAAGCTGGTGCCAAACGTCACACTTTCTGTTGCTTTGGACCCCGTCAATGAGGCTGAGAGGGGGGTCTCAATGTCTGGGTAGCCCAGGACACACACCTTCACGGCCCCAGAAAGGCCACTTCAGTGCCGCTGGCCCAGCAAAAACAACACAGGAGCCAGCAGTCACAGGCCTCAGGTCAAGAAAGGGAGACACACCCCAGATCGGATCCTGCCCTTCCAGATTCCAGGGAGGTGAATAAGCCCTGAAATGCTCAGAAAGAGGAAGTCAGCCCGGTCAGAGAGTCACAAAACCACATTATTTGTCTCAGGTTGGGCAATTCGGAGAGTGTCTGGTCTGCTTAAGAATGCCAGAAGATGCCCACCGACTCCAAGTTTGCCCATGATGGAGTGGGGATTCGAACCCTGATCTCCCAGGTCCTACTCCAGCACTCTCACCACCCCACTTCTGCCATGGGGCAGCTTTAAAAATCTAGCCGGTAAATAAATAAGGGGAAGGCAAAATGCCAATTAAAGAAGGATCTAAAAGATTCTTGAAGCCTGAATTTGTTTTATTCTGGATTTGTTGTTTTAATGCGTTGTCAACTGCTTTGAGGCTCCCCCCCCCCCATTTAAAGTGGTGCATGCTCTGGTTATCTCTCGCATGGACTACTGCAATGTGCTCTATGTGCGGCTACCTTTGAAGGTGACCCGGAAACTACAACTAATCCAGAATGCGGCAGCTAGACTGGGGACTGGGAGCGGCCGCCAGGACCATATACTGAAAGACTTACAATGGCTCCCAGTACATTTCCGAGCACAATTCAAAGTGTTGCTGCTGACCTTGAAAGCCCTAAACGGCCTCAAAGGCCAAGTATACCTGAAGGAGCATCTCCACCCCCATCGTTCTGCCCGGACACTGAGGTCCAGCTCCGAGGGCCTTCTGGTGGTTCCCTCACTGCGAGAAGCCAAGTTACAGGGAACCAGGCAGAGGGCCTTCTCGGTGGTGGCACCCGCCCTGTGGAATGCCCTCCCACCAGATGTCAAAGAGAAGAACTACCAGACTTTTAGAAGACATCTGAAGGCAGCCCTGTTTAGGGAAAGTTTTAATGTTTGATGCATTACTGTATTTTAATTTTTGTTGGAAGCCGCCCAGAGTGGCTGGGGAAGCCCAGCCAGAATGGGAGGGTAGAAATAATAAATTATTATTATTATTATTATTATTATTATTATTATTATTATTATTATTACAGTATAGAAATGAAGCAAATAATAAAAAAAAGTTTTAAAAAAGTAAAAAAAGAAGAACTTGTTGTGGGTTTTTATGACGTATTTTGTGTTTTCATTTTGCGGTTTCCTGCTGCAGCTGCTCTGAGAACCGCAGGCATAGGGCGGCATACAAATTTAACAAATAATAACAAAACAATAAGGAACATTTTCATTCCTATGCCTCTTTGTATTTTAAAGAAAAACAATAACCCCGAAGCAGTTGACAACACTTGAAAACATCAAATCAAACCATTTGGAACGAAACGAATTCAAGCTTCCAGACAAGAATATTTCAGAGCCTTCTCTCAGTGGCGTTTGGCTTTGCCCATATTTATTTCCCGACTTAATTTATATAGCTAATTTAATAAATAAAATGAATACACAGATTAAAAAGGCGCCTAGACATTCTGCTGTGGCGACCGCAAGCTCGGTTTAAGGTGCATATACGTTTGAGTTTCTAAGGCAGCTCGCTCTGCTCCTCTTCCCTTTGCAACCTGCCAGAGCATTTTTTGGGGACCCCTGTCCTGCCCCCTTCCAGCCAGCCCCTCCCCGCTCACCTTCCTCTGCTCCTTCCTCATGACGTGTTTGTCCTCGTCTTTCCAGAAGGCATCCTCCAGCTCTTTCTGCTTCTTTGCATCAGCTGCTGCCTTGGCCTCCGCCTTCCTCGCCCGGGCGGCTGCCGACTTGGTGTTCTCCCCTTGGAACTTTTTGGGCATCCCTCAGGGTCCTCTGGCCTGGCCGGGGGCAAAAGAGAGGGGTTCGCAAACGTGATTTTTGTTTTATTTGCAATTTTGCACCCAGAGCGACCTGCGCCGTAAAAGCAAAGCCACGGAGATGTTAGGTAAGGTAAAGGGACCCCTGACCATTAGGTCCAGTCGTGGCCGACTCTGGGGTTGCGGCGCTCATCTCGCTTTATTGGCCAAGGGAGCAGGTGTACAGCTTCCAGGTCATGTGGCCAGCAGGACTAAGCTGCTTCTGGCGAACCAGAGCAGCACACGGAAAGGCTGTTTACCTCCCACCGGAGAGGTACCTATTTATCTACTTGCACTTTGATGTGCTTTTGAACTGCTAGGTTGGCAGGAGCAGGGACCAAGCAACGGGAGCTCACCCCGTCGCGGGGATTCAAACCGCTGACCTTCTGATCGGCAAGCCCTAGGCTCAGTGGTTTAGACCACAATGTCACCCGTGTCCCATACGGAGATGTTACAGGCAGACCAAATAATAATAATAATAATAATATTTTATTTATATCCCGCCCTCCCCAGCTGAAGCCGGGCTCAGAACGGCTAAAAACAGTAAAATGATACAACATTCTAAAACCATTTCATTATAAAATCAGTTCAAATCAGATTAATGGCAACCATTGGGCTAGAAGTTCTGTGAGGATTGCCAAAGGAGGGAGTCAGGCTGTGCCCTGGCCAAAGGCCTGGTGGAACAGCTCCATCTTGCAGGCCCTGCGGAAAGATGTCAAGTCCCGCAGGCCATAGACTCTTGCGACAGAGTGTTCCACCAGATCAGGGCCAGTACTGAAAAGGCCCTGGGCCTAGTTGAGACCAATCTAACCTCCTTGAGGCTCGGGACCTCCAAAATATTGTCATTTGTGGACCTTAAGGTCCTCAGCGGGGCACACCAGGAGAGGCGGTCCCGTAGGTACGAGGGTCCTAGGCTGCATAGGGCTTTGAAGGTTAAAACCAGCACCTTAAACCTGATCCTTTACCCCACCGGGAGCCAGTGCCGCTGGTATAGCACCGGGTGAATGTGATCTCACAGCGAGGACCCCATAAGGAGTCTCGCCGCGGCATTCTGCACCTGCTGGAGTTTCTGGGTCAGTCTCAAGGGCAGCCCCACGTAGAGCGAATTACAATAATCCAGTCTGGAGGTGACCGTCGCGTGGATCACAGTGGCTAGGTCAGGGCGAGAGAGGTGAGGAGCCAACAAAGCAGCTGTACCCCTAGCACTAAAAGGCTCATAGCTCAGTCGGTAGAGCATAAGACTCTTAGGGACCCTGAGGGTCATCCAGTCCAACCCGCTGCAACGCAGGAACCTTTTTGCCCAATGTAGATCTCAAACCCACGACCCAGAGATGAAGAAGTCTACTAACTGAGCTACCCAGAGTTTTGGGTTCGAGCCCCACGTTGGGCAAAAGATTCCTGCATTGAAGGGGGTCAGACCAGGGGGTCCTTTCCAACTCTACAGATCTATGGTTCTACATGGAGGTTTCTGGGCACCAGGTTGGCAGACACAGTTTAAAAACCTCCACCTTAGTCCACACTGTGTGTGTTTCTCCTTCTTGCAAACTGGGACAAGTGAATTACTGTAAGAGCAAGCAACATAGTTGAGATCATAGAATTACAGCGTGGGTAATTCTATATAGGGAAGTGGGTGGCGCTGTGGGTTAAACCACAGAGCCTAGGACTTGCAAATCACAAGGTCAGCGGTTCCAATCCCCCCGACGGGGTGAGCTCCCATTGTTCGGTCCCTGCTCCTGCCCACCTAGCAGTTCAAAAGCACGCCAGTGCAAGTAGATAAATAGGTACCGCTCTGGCAGGAAGGTAAACGGCATTTCCATGCGCTGCTCTGATTCGCCAGAAGCGGCATAGTCCTGCTGGCCACATGACCTGGAAGCTGTACGCCGGCTCCCTCGGCCAATAAAGCGAGATGAGCGCCACAACCCCAGAGTCGGCCACGACTGGACCTAATGGTCAGGGGTCCCTTTACCTTTACTAATTCTATAAGAAAAATGTATTCCTTTACGCAACAGCAGCGGCCAGAATCTTGATCGCAAAGAATTGGAAGGGAGAGAAAATACCATCATTATTAGAATGGCAAAGCAAGCTCTGTGAGTTTGTGGAAATGGCAAAATTGACGGCAACTCTTAGAGGCCATTCAAATCAGAGAATAATTAAAGAGTGGGATGGAGTGAAGGAATACATGAAAAAATATGGTTCCGGAACTGGAATATTAATAGATAATGTGTAAAACGTGCAGGGGTAAGCAAGGAAATAATAAAAGAATCAACTGAAAACTACAACAACACAAGATGGAAGAAGTAATATATATATATATATTGAGATCACACATGGGTGAAGGGGAGTGGGGGGTCTAGGGGAATTTATGAAAATTTCTAATATAATATTTCTAATTGTGTTGCATTTATATATAGCAAAGGGAAGTCTATAGCAATTAGGTATATTTTAATCTTGTCAACCATGTAATAGGCTTATGTGACAAAATGAATATGGATTTTGAATTTGATGTTTGTAATTCTTTTTCAGTTTTGGAATAAAGTTAAAAAAAAAAAAGAATTACAGTGAAGGAAGGGACCCCAACAGCCATCTAGTCCACCCAAACCTGAATTATAGGTGCCGTTTGGCGCCTAGTTTATACACCCGAGTTTCTAACACTGCTTCTAACCCTACAATCCTATGATGATGATGATAATAATAATAAATTTTTATTTATACCCCACCCTTCCCGGTTCAGAAAACCGGGCTCAAGGCGGCTAACAACAAATTTAAAACACTTAATTGATGCAACCCCCCCCCCCCAGCATAAAATACAGTATAAAACATGAATAACAATGAATTCAGAATTCAAAAATCAATTTAAGGGGGAAATCCATCCAATAAACATTAGATGATCCCCAGGGCTAGCTGGATAAATTAGTCCTATTTGGGCCAGCAAGGAGACCAGGGGAGAATTAGCTGTGGGATCCCAGAGCGGGTAACCTTCATAAAAAGGGGAGGGGGAGGGAAGGAAGGGGAACAAAAGATTGGGCTAAGTTTAAATTGAAAGCCAGGCAGAATAGCTCTGTCTTACAGGCCCTGCAGAAGGAAGTTAAATCCTGCAGGGCCCTGGTCTCATGGGACAGAGCATTCCACCAGGTCGGAGCCATCACTGAGAAGGCCCTGGCCCTGGTGGAGGAGAGTCCGACTTCCTTAGGGCCCGGGGCCTGTAAACTATGGTTATTCATGGACCTTAAGGTCCTCTGCAGGGCAGACCAGGAGAGGCGGTCCCGTAAATACGAGGGCCCTAAGCCACAAAGATATAGATACAGGCTGCATACACACCCCATATTTGAGGCACTGGATCCCACACACCCCACCTCCCCCCCGAATCATTTGAAAATAGATGAAGGTCTTTGGGAAGTGGAACCACTTAATGGTTTTCTCTGCTTGTGGCAGCCACTGTAACCATCAAATCAGAGGGTTGGGGCCTCTAAGGGTCATCCAGTCCAACCCCCCCTGCAATGCAGGAATCTCAGCTCGTGCCTCCATGACAAGTGGCCATCTAACCTCTGCTTAAAAACCTCTGAGGAAGGTGATGTGCTGTGTGGCTTTAAATTTTATTTTTTACAGACAAGCCATGGGCCACCAGTGATCTCCAGACCACAATTTTGGGACCTCTGATCTAAAGTACACGACTTTGCTCCAAGGATCCTTTGCATTTTAACCTGTATTTTAAATTGTCCCCCCCCCATTATGTTTTTACTGTAATTTTACTGGTGTTAGCCACCCTGTGCCTGGCTCTGGCCGGGGAGGGCGGGGAATAAATAAAATTTATTATTATTGTTGTTATATATAAAATATATACCACACTTCATCAGAAGATCTCAGGGCAGTTCGCATTATAAAATGCAAGATAAAACACAAGTAAATAATTAAACCCAAACAATTTTATGGCGTGTCTGTATGCAGCTACAGTTTGTGTAATAATGCTTACAAAATCTTGCAACACTGCTATATATACAGATCAGGGGCGTGCAAACTATGATCCCAGAGGACCTGCATGCAAACATGGTAAAGCAATGTATTTCCAAAGACTAGACAATGGAAAGTGACCACCAGGCGATTGAAAATAAAAGTAAAAAACTCTCTAAATCACAATTAGGGGATTAAAAAACGAAATTGAGGTGAGGTGGGTAGACTGCTAGAATTAAAGAAAAAAATGAGGAAAAAATTTATTGAAGAATGGAAGTATTTTGTGGGTTATTTAAAAATATATATCATGGTCACGTTAAAACATATGCAAGACTTGAAGCATAGCAACAGATGAGAAACGGTAGTTTAATAAGTTTGAATTAATGTATATAATGGGTAAAATATAAGTAATACAGCAGCTTTATACAGTAAGGAAAGAACATCATGGAAAGGGTGGCTGGGAAGTCAACGGAGAGGAGAGATTTGACTGAGTGTTGCCTCAAAGAATTTGCAAAATCTGATAATTTAGTAACAAAAAAAATCAAAATTTAAGAGCTGTATGCAAAAGTATGCCAAAACGAAGAATGCCAAACGCACAAGAGCACTTTCACAATTAATAATAATAATAATAATGGGATTTGAGGATACAGAAGTAGCAGCTGGCACGAAGTAAACAAAGGGCTTGATTTATTTATTGTTAAAGGGCACATTTTATTCAATGGAGATTAATAAGAAGAGCTAACAAAATGCATTGCAAGGTTGGAGAGATTTCTTTTCTTCTCTCCTCCTTTCCCTTTCTCTCTTTCCACCCCATGGCTTTGGGGGGTCTCCCCCTCCCCCCTGAAGGCAGCCCCTTGCCCCCTAATAAGACGGGGAGGGGGGTCTCGCAATCCCCTGCCATCCTGCCCCACCCAACCCTCCCCTTACCTGCCGCCTCCACCTCCGGCCGTCGCAGCCTTTGTCCGTCACGCCCCCGCCTCCCTTTTCGAAAGCCACCCCTCCATGGGGCGCGGAAAAGGGGGGATAGTCTCGCCACCGCCTCTTTCGACGCCATTTTTGTTGAGGGCGGTTTCCATATTTGTCGAGGGCAAAGCCAGCAAATCCCCCTCCCCTCCATTCCCCAATTTTTTGTTCCCCTGCCTTTTCTTCGCTTCCTCACGGCAGACCGGAGGGCCAGAGATGTGTGGGAAAGGAAAAGAAAGAAACACCCCCCCTCCTCACTTCTTCAGCAGCATTTCGAATTAATGTTGCCCAATACGAAGATGGCGTCGGCCACGACACGGAAGTGCCCGGGAGCAAAAGGGAGCAGTGTGCCCACTACTAAGATGGCCGCCGGCTCCTCACGTGAAAGCGTGACCTGCTCCGAGATGGCACCTGCGCTCACACTCTATGGGCTTTTCTTATCTCTATGGGTGAATCCAAGATGGCCGCGGAACCTCACCCGACGCAAACATGGCGGCAACCGCCTTCACGCTGCCCTTTGCCATGATGGCCGACCCGTCGCCTTGGAAACGGCTGTACCAGCTGTCTTAGGGCCTAAGAAGCTTTGTGTAAGTTTTTATGTTGTGTTAAATGTAATGTTTCTCTATGTGTTTTTGTCTGTATGTTATAAGAGGAAACTAATAAACTTTTTTTTTGGGGGGGGGGAGAAGCTTTGTGTAAGGGCAGCGCCCGCCACAAAGATGGCGGATTCGGCTACAAAAGCCACATTGGTTTATTATGCTTTTCAAAAGTCTCGTTTTTTGTTTGTTTTTTAATGGCAAACCCGAGACCACAGGAAAAAGAAAACAAAAAAGACGACAGGGCGAAAGCAAGGAAGGTTTGGGGCTCCAACGGAAAACAGCCCCCAGCACTGGCAATACTAACAGACTTGTTGCAGCTGGACCCAAATGGGTCTTACTTCTGAGTAGTCGCGCACAGGGATTGCATTGCAAGGCTGCAACCTTCAATGCACTTTTGGTTGCAATCTTAGGAAAAGCTTATGAAGTTTAGCTAATTGGTCTTTAAAAAAAAGTATTTCCCCCACCCAAGCATCTAAATTTATGAAGGGGTGGGAAAAGGTCTGAAAGACCAGTTTAATTTCAGGGGCTTTTTCCTCCATCACATCCCTGCAAACTTCAGCACATTTGCGAGAATAATAAAACAACGAACAAAGTTCAAATCTCAAATTATCCTGATTTGCGAACTGAAACCACATACACATCTCCATTCGCCACAATCCTTAATAATAATAATAATGGTGATGGTGATTGTTGTTTTATTTGTACCCCTCCCATCTGATTGAGTTGCCCCAGGTACTTTGGGCGGCTTCCAACATATATAAAAACATAATTAAAAAGCTTCCCTATACATATTTACTGAAACAGGCAGTTACCCAGGTTAGTGGATCTTGCTCCATTACAGATCCACCAAATAAATAAGTGACGCAGTAGGTTTCTGCCTCCCACCAAATCCGCCTCCTCATTCTGGCTAATAATAACAGTTTTAATAATAATTTGATTATTTCTATGCCGCTTGTCTGCCTGGGTTGGCCCAGTGGGATGTCCAGTCTTGCTCATGTATTTGAATTGCTGACCAGTTAGCAGCTTCCCACAATTCCTTGCCAGCAGCCATTTTCTGCCCTCCTGTGCCAGCCCGAGACATTTTGGCGCCTGAGGCACACCACAAAATATGTGCGGAAAGATCTACATCAGGAACAAGGCAGCAGGGGATAGAGATCTTCTGTTGCCCCTATGGATCCTGCCGCCCGAAGCAGTCGCCTTGCCATGCCTCATGAGAGGGCCGGCACTGAGCCATGCAGTAGGAACAAAGCCTAAAGCTGCAATGTTTCATCCTTCTTCCTGGCTATTCCTTTTCAAGAGAGGAATTATTCCAAGTGCCTAGAACGGTGTGCCGATAACACCAAGGTTGTGGGTTCGATCCCCGTATGGGACAGCTGCATATTCCTGCATTGCAAGGGGTTGGGCTGGATGACCCTTGAGGTCCCTTCCAATTCTATGACTGCCCTCCTATTGATGCACAATGGTGGGCTGGGTCTAAAAATATTGGTTGTCAGGAGTTAACTACGAGGCTACCATTTAATTTTTATAAGAAATAAATAGAAAATTTCAAAAAACACCTAAGTGGGAAAAGGTACAATTAAAATTTGTGTGAAATGAATGCATTTTTTAAAAAAGTAATCACAATGTACATATACTGTACACCTGACCCCCTTCTTTCTATGGGACCCTGTAAATAAGTGACCTCCTTGGCTCTTATTACCTATGGGACCAGCATGGGTGGCCAGGCCTGGTGAACATTTAATTCCTTACCCTTACGGTTATGATTCGTGGGTTCCCACTTAATTTTATTTTGATTTTAAATGTGATTTGAATTGTATTTTAAACTAATCCTTTGATTTTGTGTTTTTAATGTATTTGGTGTTAGCCGCCCTAAGCCCAGTCTCGGCCGCGGAGGGCGAGGTATAAATAAATTATTATTATTATTATTATTATTATTATTATTATTATAAGAAATGCAGGTGGTTATAAATTATTTTTTAAAATTAATATTAAATAAATGGTGTACATTTTTAAATAGTTTGCTAGTAAATGAATATTTTACACATTAACAGGTAGTTCAAAACCATATTCCATGCAGTCGACTGCATTAAGAGCAATTGTTTGAATTCACAAGATGACTGGGCAAATAGATCATATTTTCTAATGCTTAAGGGGGCCGACTGGCCGTTGGGCAAGCTGACACCCTGGCCAGTCCGCCACTGGTGATGCAGCAATAAAACTGCTGACACGTTTGCAAAGCTAAGCAGGGTCTGGTGTGATTTCAAATTGGATGGGGACCACATGCTGAGGTTCCTGCATTGCAGGGGGTTGGACTAGATGACCCTCAGGGTCCCTTCCATCTGTATGATTCTATGACTCTGCCCTGTTATAACCGAGTCCCCCACCCGCCTTATGAAACTATGCCTGGTCCTCAGGCACCGCTTTGGGTAGGCCGCCATTGGAGTCCAGCCTCCATTTTGGATTTAGGAGCTCAGCTTCTCACAAGCCCTAGACCAGAACCTGAACTAAATCTAAATCCCTGAGCTCAGCAGACAAACGAAGAGCACTGCAAACATGTTTCTCCTCCCGCTGAGATTCACTCAACGTTTACAGGAATATAATGATTTACTTCTCCAGCTTTGGAAGCCACAGCAATTACAGTAATGTTTGTTCCCTGGAGGTGTCTTTCAATTTGCCATGCTAAAAACAAAGAAATGTATTGCAAGCGGTAACTCAGCTCAATTCCCTTGTTCTTATGCATCAGGGGAAAAGTCTCTTGACCCTTAAGATTGCACTATAGGGATGCTTTGATTTCTGCTCCTGTTTTTCTGTTTCACCTTTCAATCCATAGCAAGTCAAAGTAATTTGTTTCTTCTTTTGTGATGTGTTTGGACTCGGGGCTCAACTTATGGTTTGCTACTTGTGTTTTTGACTTGTTTTATATGTGTTGCACTTGAGAATAATCAGGGTAAACATTTTATGAGGCACCTACACATCCATCTATCTATCTATCTATCTATCTATCATCATCATCTATTCTTGGGAGTAAGTCCCATTGAATTCAATAAGACAAATAATTCCGTAAGCTTCCAGCTAAATACCAAACCTTGAGCAGTCACAATCCTAAATCACATCAAATACAACGGCATGTCAGGCATTGCATTTTGGGGGAGTCTAAGATGGTGACTGCCTACAAACCTTGGCTCATAATTTTAAGCAACCACGTTAACTACCAGGACAGGATAACATGCCTTCCAAGTGACCCTATTTTCCAGGGACCGTCCCAGATTTACAGAAGCCATCCTGGTTGCTGATTTAATCCCGGAACGTCCCAGATTGTCCTCGTTTCCCCTTTCCTCCCCCTCCACGTCTCAGAGAACATGGTGGAGAAATCTGACCTCCTGCTCTTATCCTTTGCATTGTCTCCCTCCCTCCCTCCCTTATGTAGGTGCAAAAACAGAGTCCTGGTTATTCTGAAAATAAAATACCGGCATAAAGACCAACACATTTGATCAGGTATCCCATGGGATACCGGCTGAAAATCAAGCCCAGAGGTTTTGTGGTTGTTGCTGCTACTTTAAATTCATTTTCAGCCTTCATGCTGTATGCAAAATGGCTGGTAAAGACTTCTCTAAAGACCAGAAATCTTAAGATTTTGTTGTCAGGTGCTCCTTTGTGTTCAGATCAGGCCTCAGCACAATAATGTAGCACTTGGGAAGAAAGATGCAGCCCAGAAGCCCAGCACTGGAGGCCAACATAGAGAAGATCTGCACGGCCACCATGTACTTGCCCTTGGTGCTCAGGTAGGTGGGCACAAAAGACACCCAAACACTGCAGAAGACCAGCATGCTGAAGGTGATCAGCTTGGCTTCGTTGAAGGAGCCGGGCAGCTTCCTGGCTAGGAAAGCCACCGTGAAGCAGGTGGCAGCCAAGAAGCCCATGTAGCCGAGGGCAACGTAGAACATGGCCACAGACCCTTCGTTGCATTGCAAGATGATCTCTTCCACCTGGGAGCGCATGTCGGGCTCTGGGAATGGGGGAGAAGAGCCCAGCCAGATGGTGCAGATGAGAACTTGCGCCCCAGAACAGGAGATGACCATGGAGTTGGCCAGACTCTTGCCCAGCCATCTCCTCACCCTGTTCCTGGGCTTTGTGGCCAGGAAGGCCAGCACCACCGTGATGGTCTTTGCCAAGACAGAAGAAACAGCAACTGAGAAGATGATGCTGAAGGCCGTTTGTCGGAGAAGGCAGGTCTCTTTCCTTGGGCGCCCGATGAAGAGGAAGGAGGACCAAAAGGAAAGCAGGAGGGAGACGAGCAGGATGTAGGAGAGGTCCCGGTTGTTGGCTTTGACTATGGGAGTTTCCTTGTATTTAATGAAGATTCCCAAAACGATGCCTGCTGTTAAGGACAAGAAGAGGGCAATGGAAGCTAAAACTATTCCTAAATATTCTCCATAAGTCAGGAAGGTGATAATCTTGGGGACACATTGATCTCTGTCCTTGTTTGAATGGTGATCTTCTGGGCATTTGGTGCAATGTTCTGCATCTGGGGAAGAGAGTAAGAGTGGCTGCAGCATCACTTACATCCCTAATGATCTGTGCTCTATTAACATTGTGATCTAGGATAAACTGAGAGGCAGTGACCACTCCACTTCTGTTAACTGTATTGTTTGCATCCTGCCTATTCCTCTTTGTCTGAACCTTTAAAATGCAGACATTGCTTCCATGCAATGTTCATAGCAGTGAGATCAGAACGGTCCATAGCTTATATTGTAATAATTTTCACATGAAGTATTTATTTTTATTGTGCTTTTGCTGTTAATAATTTCTGCTTTTCATCGTCTATCCATTATTTTTGATAAGTGTCAACATTATTTCCTTTTTCTGTGGCTTGGTTTAAAAAATAAAAAGGAATGCTTTGTGGGCATTCCTCTCACAGCTGCCCAGTTTGCACCCCAGAGATTTCTTCCTTATGGTCATTCCTATCAACTCACTTCCTGGATGTAATAAAGGTGATTAATACTAAGGAAGTCAAGGAAGGATTCCCATTTCCCTATGTCTGCAGAATAGTCATAAAAAGTGTGTGAGACTGAATTTCTGCCCTGTGTTTACTCTCTCCAGGAATTCCTTTCCCCTTGGAGTCACCCACCTTCCTGGGCGGAGAAGGTCCCTTCTGCACACCGAGCACAAGCGTAGCAGCAAATGGGCTTTCCTTCTAGAACCACCTTGGCATATCCAGGTCGACATCTTTCTGTACACCTGGAACGAGGTACAGTCTAACCAGAAAACAAGAAGGTGCAACCAAGAGGAACAGTTAGGAGTATTTGTGTGTATGTAATTCACTCAACGCGATTTCTATAGCATGGTGGTGATCCCTGACAACCGGTCTTGCCAGCTCAGGATGATGGGAGTCCAAAGACAGCTGGGGACCCAAGTTTGGGAAACCCTGATCTACCCCAAGATTTGCAGTTGTGGCCCCCAATGAATCATCCAGGAAATCATCACAGCTCTATATCAATCACATAGAGGTTGGGGAGGGGTCTGTCTGGCAGGGAATCCTGAGAGATCCCAGTTGCCGTTTCCAGCAGCCAAGAACCCCAGTTGCCTGCCATCTCCCCATTCCCTGAATGCGGTCAGTTCTCTTTAGCTGCAGAACATGATCTCTGGAATGCAGCCTTTGACCCCACATCAGGGTCCTTTCAACCCCCCACTGACCATTGGGGTGACCAGAATATCTTGTGCTTTAAATTTAGTTCAGTACAGCTGAGGTTTGAGCCACAGAACTCTGTTTCCTCTTCTCCATTTACCTGTTTCCCTTCTTAAAAAAACTTCAAAGCAAATGGCAATGAGTCTGACATGTGATTCCCCCAAATTTCAGGATTCAGAGAGAGAGAGAGAGAAAGCGCTTTGCTGTTCAATACCCAACTGAAAGGAGAGTTGGGTTTTTGGGTGGGGTTTTGCCAAATCGCTTGAATTGATTTTCCAAATTTCACTACATCAACCACAAATTAAGACAAATTTAATACAAGTGAGCTTACTCACAAATTTAAAAAAATATACAATAAATCAGTAATCATCATTTGTAAAATAAATTACTTTTCATCCTTCTGCATGTATGAAAGGTCAGTATCCTTTATTTGAGCATCCCAAATTCCCCTCCTATTTCAGCTGCTGTAGAAAGAAGGCATGCTGGTTCCAGCTGTTACTGGACAGTCAACCTGACATGGTCATTCTGCAGTGGTTGTTCAAGGAACAGCACAGTCAGGATCTCCTAGCCCCTCTCCCCCAATTATTCCCCCTACCTTGTTGAATTTCTTGGGCCACTCAATGGCTTCTGGCCTTCTCCCTCTGTGATTTACCCTACCTTATTGAATTTCTTGTTCCACTCAATGGCTTCTGGGTTAATGGTGAACTTTATGCCAGCAGACGTCTCTTTCCTTATATTTCCAATTTTCACAAGGTCACGAGACTTATTGGGAGACATCACCCAGTTCATAATATCAAAGTCCGCTGGTTGCTCCCAGTTCTCATCCAAGCACAGCCTGCCTCTGGAAGTATTCAGACACCGGATTTCTCTTAAGAAAGGGTGAAGCTGGAATGACAGGGGAAAACACCGGCACTGAGAAACTGGGAAGCTACAGCAGACAATTAATCAAGCCAAAATGGGAAAAACACCTATGGCCAGGTGGGCTATCAGCAAAGTACTATAAAAAATTACAAGATTATTTGGCACAACCACTAAAAGATTTAAGATACTTACATTACACTGATTCTTAAAAAAAGATACAGATCTATTATCAGTCAAAAATTATAGGCTGATTTCTCTATTAAATAATGACTATAAGCTGTTTGCAGACCTATTGGCAAACAGCATGAAAGTGCTATTAATGGATTTAATTCATCAGGACCAGGCTGATTTTTTACCAGGCCGCCAGATGAAGGATTATATAAGGAATATAATTGATATAATAGAAGATCTGGAAGTTAGAAATGATAAGCAAGCAGTGTTGATTTTTATAGACGCAGAGAAGGCCTTTGACCATGTTTCATGGACTTCTACGAAGAAGACTATAGAGATGATGAATGTCAGAGAGTCATTACAGTGGTACTTCAGGTTAAGAACTTAATTCGTTCTGGAGGTCTGTTCTTAACTTGAAACTGTTCTTAACCTGAGGTACCACTTTAGCTAATGGGGCCTTCCGCTGCCGCCGCGCGATTTCTGTTCTCATCCTGAAGCAAAGTTCTTAACCCGAGGTACTATTTCTGGGTTACCAGAGTCTGTAACCTGAAGCGTCTGTAACCTGTAGCGTCTGTAACCTGAGGTACCACTGTACTTACAGGAATTGACTCAATTTATTCTGACTAACAGGCTATGATGATAGTAAATAATGTAATAACAGAAAAAATCAAAATAATGAAAGCAACAAGACAGGGATATCCCCAGTCACCATTATTATTTTAGTTTTAGAGACCCTGGTCAGAAGTAGAAGATCAGATGAATAAATAAAAGGGATAACAGTAGGTTAAAGGTAAAGGTAAAGGGACCCCTGAACATTAGGTCCAGTCATGACCGACTCTAGGGTTGTGGCGCTCATCTTGCTTTATTGGTCAAGGGAGCCGGCGTACAGCTTCCGGGTCATGTGGCCAGCAGGACTAAGCCGCTTCTGGAGAACTAGAGCAGCGCACGGAAACGCCGTTTACCTTCCCGCCAGAGCGGTACCTATTTATCTACTTGCACTTTGACGTGCTTTCGAACTGCTAGGTTGGCAGGAGCAGGGACCGAACAACAGGAGCTCACCCCGTCGCGGGGATTTGAACCGCCGACCTTCTGATTGGCAAGTCCTAGGCTCTGTCGTTTAACCCACAGCGCCACCCGCGTCCCAACGGTAGGTTACAAAGTATATAAACTCAAGGCATTTGCAGATGACCATGTGGTAACTGTAGGAGACCCCATGGCTAGCCAACCAAGGGTCTTGAACAGATTCTCAAGTTGGAGAAGTAGCAGGTTTTAAACTAAAGGTAGAACGAAAGTATTGGTGGAAAATGTGACAGAACTGATGATTGAGAAGAAAGTTTAATATTTAGGAGTATGGATAACAGCTACGAACATAAATATTTTTAAGATTAACTATACAGGAGCTTGGAAAGAAATAAAAAAAAAACTTAAATAAATATATATATAAAAAATAGAGATATCTGGAGGGTGGCAGCACGACAACAGGACTTTTCTGTGGTGGCTCCTCGCTTGGGGGATGCTCTCCCAGGGAGGCTCCCTGGACACCTTTGTGACAAATCCTTGGGGGGCCAGGCGAGAAAGTTATTCTGTAACCAGGATTTGGGTGGATAAAACCATCTCTGGGCATTTTAATGTGCTTTTGGTTTGCTTGTTTTCTTTCTTTCGTTTGCTTTTTCTATTCTCATTTTGTATTTTTATTCTGCAAACCACCCTGTGATCTTCAGATGAAAGTTGATATATAAACAGAATAATACTAATATTATTACTACAGACCCTCCAAAGGTCAAAATGGCACCCAGTTGAGAGGTGCTGGAGCTGAGTTCCAGCGAGTTCCCCCTGAAGAAAGCCCTGGGTATAAATAGTAAAATGATCGTTATGGGATGGGACATCCCTATTTTCATCGGAGAAATGTTGGAGGGTAAGCTACTATAACTATTACTAATAGTAACTATGATATTTTACAGGTCTATCCCCAGTCAAGATCAGCATCTGTGTGGACTGCAGTTTGCAAAAAGGGGAAGGAAATACCTGCCACGGCTGTAGCCTTTGGGCTCCCCATTGCTCTCCTTCCTCCACCATCAGCCTCCTCTGGGATCTAGATGAAAGCGAAGCATGCAAGGCCTGAGCCACAGCTTGAACATTGATGTAAGTGCCATAGCTGTCATAAGACAGGGCTCTCTCACGCTCCCCTTGGAGCAATGGCTGCAGTTTCTCCTCCTCTCTGCATCTTATCCTGCCTTTCACGGACAACAGATGCTTTGAATATGAACACTGATAAGCTTCATCTAAAAAATCTCCAAGAAGATTGGTCTGCAATTTATATTTGTCACCTTTGCTGCTCCTTATTCCAGTCTGAATTGCAAAGGACAGAGAACCATGGAGGTGCTGGAAGTTATTTGGAAGGATGTAAAAGCCAATTCTGATTTCTAGCAAAGCTGTTGTGATCCAGACTTTCGCCCCTATTTCCTTCTCATAGATATCGTGTATTACCATGAATATTATGATACCCAGTGCATTGGTTATATAGGAAACAAATACCCCAACTTGTCTCCATAGGAAAAAAGGTTCCCTAGGCCTGATAAATTGATTTAGATCATTTTCTGGTACTCTTTTTGATAAAGCAATGCAGATCCCTTTGCTGAGCATCAGAGGTTTCACAGCGCTCACAAATCTTTCTCCACTGTCATTGTCTGGAGTAAAGAGGCCAATCCACGTCCATCCAAAATACAGGAGCAATTCAACAATCCCCTGGTACTGACTTTCCTCTTTTGGACTCATCCGGTAGACAAAAGGGAACAGGGTTTTACCTTCGAGAACCTGGGCAGTGAAGCCATAACTGATCTAGCAAGGGAAGCACAAGATCAGCAATTTATTTTACTTTCAGCATAACAGATATTTAATCATATGAAATGACTGATATCTAAATCTCTGCTGGCTGAGGCTGATGGGAGTTTTAGTCGGAAACATCTGGAGGTGTCAAGTTGGTGAAGGCTCAGTTTTGAAAAAGGGATGTTGGATCCATAGCTCAGGATTTTCCCATTTTTAAAAATATCCCTACTTGACCCCTCCAAAGAGAAAGTAGAATCTTATGCAGTTGAAATTCTATGTCCTTCCATGCTCTTCCCCTACTTACCTGTGGGATTTTGTAGATGCCTGACAGGGCTGAAATCACTCTTGAGATCACAGTGTTGCCTCTTTCAAGAACAGCCAGCAGGGGATTCTGTTCTCCACAGTGATAATTGGGAATCTTGCATCCACTGCCTGCAAGCAGCTCTAGCATGGCGTCCGAAGTCATCTTTGCATCTAAATAGTTCTCATAGATGTTGTAGCCCAGAGTAATGTTGGGTAAGAGACTGAGATCCTGGTTGATCTCTTGGATGGTGAACAGGAAAGACAGCATGTGCCAGAAGAACCTAGTTGACTCCCTGCAATAAATGAATTATTTAAAAAGAGTGAAACTGATATTCATATTAATGGGAGGAAGGAAACATTACATGATCCACAAATATTAGTATATTTTATTTATTTATTTATTTATTCATTCATTCATTCATTCATTCATTCATTCATCCACCCACCCACCCACCCACCCACCCATCCATCCTTTTGCATTAATATCAAACCTTTTCCTGTCTAGCATAGAACAAAAATTTGGAGACCGCTGCTCCATGACAGGAGCTTTGATGCAAACAGCACACAGAGCTGTTTAACAGTGGAACAGACTCCCTCCGAAGGTGACCATGTGTCATGGATGCTTCAGGTGAGATTCCTCCAGGTCCCTTCCATCTCTACAACTCTATGATTCTTTACTACTGTGGTTGTATGAGTAGGAAATGAAAGTGGCCCTCAAAATGTGTGATATACTGGGAAGCTGCTCCATAGGCTGCTTTTGCTGCAGTGGTCTTTGGCGCCTTCCAAGGGGCTAGACTACAGGTAGATAAGAGACCATTTTATTGAAAGAGGGGAAGCACCAAATACCTCAGTACACTTTTACTTAGAAATGAGGCCTGGTCGCTTTCAGGTTTGAGTGTGTGGTAAAATTTATAATTTTGCCCATATTTTGGATCACTGGCTCCCACCAATGAGGACACCCCTGGTCTGTATTATTTTACATAATCATTTTATTTGAAGCATATCATTCCTGTTCTTCGCCCATAAAAATCCAGCCATTTTCAGGAGTTTCTTAAAACGCTTCTAATTTTTTTAAAAAAATGACAGAAAGGGGAAAGTGCTGGGATTGGAGGAGGAAACCTTTAATGTAGCTGAGGCAGATTTCTCCATGATGGGCTGTAGGTCTCCGTTGCATTGTGTAAAGAGAACTGTGATAAGGCTGTTCACAAATGATCCCAATAGAATAAACATAAAATAATCTTAGCAGCTTGGGAATTTCTTGAGTTTCATGCCACCCTCTGGCTTAGGAAGAAACCTCAAACACCTCAATACTTTGAAATGAGGCCAGTTGTGTGTGGTCAAAAAAGGAATAATTCCTTTTCACATTTTAGAGATCTAAGTCCACTTACAAGGAACTCCCCTGGCATATTATTTTATTTATCCTTTCAATTAAAGCACATCTTTCCTTCTGTTCAGCCTCCAAATGTCACCAAGAGGCTCTTAAAATTCCATTTGCAAAACTGTAGCATTCCTTAATGACAGTTTATGAATTGTCCAAATGTAATAATAATGAATAAAACCTTTGAGCCTTGAAAATTGCCTGAGTTTCATGGCATCCTGCAGGTGGGGAAATTCAGTGCATCCTTTTGAACCCTGACCAGATCATTGGCTTTCTTGCATTCTTCTAAAAGCAACACAGACGCATAGGAACAGGATTGTTTTACTTAGGAAGACAGAGGGAAGAAGGAAATAAGAAAGGTTTTTTACTGGACCCCCCCAGCTCCCATCACCCCCAGCCAGCAAGAGCAATGATCAGGGCAGGGCAGTCCTGCAACATCAGTCCTTGGCTCCCCAGCCCTGAGATAGGGGCTCTTTCCTATTTCAACCATTACAAGGACTGGAGGACCATGAAACCCATCCGCATATGATTTTACATACACTTCATTCCTGGCGAAGGGTGTCTGAGTAAAGTTGTATGGGGTTGTCTCAATTAGGCGTTTTGGAGAGATGATCCCACTGATGAGAAAGTGTCCCGGCCAGTAGTAATTGCGAGCATCCGTTTCATCCCTGACCAGATTCAAGGGGCATTTCGCCTTGTGGTTCCCGCAGACTCCAAAGGGCATCATGAGCAGCAGAAGCAGCAACAGAAGGAGCAAGGATCTCATTCTGGCTCTGCTTCCTCCTCCTCCTCTTACCTGCCAAGGAGGCAAAGCAGAAGAACCCAAAGACTCTTGCAAGACCAAACTGGGTGGGCTTTCCCAATCTGGGTGGTTTTCAACTCTGCCTTCAGAGCTAGGAAGCACAAGGCAGGCACACCCCTCTTTCACCAGCTCTGCATCTTGACTCAGTCTGTCTCCAACACAGGAAATATTCTCTGCACCAACTTTTTCTTTCCCAGTCACAGTTCAATTAATATTGCCATGCTGTTGTTGCTTTCCGAGGCTCATGCAATCTCCAGAAATATCTCCTGAGCTTTTAGAAGATGAGATCACTATAATTTCGACTATTCTAAGTGGAATAATTTTCAGCACAATAACTTTCTGGAGTCTTGAATGGCTCAAGCGGCAGGTGCAGAACTGGAGAAAAACATGTTGGACAGAAGTCAAGGGGAGTGTTTGGGAGTTGGAAGTTTGGTCTGAACTTTGCTCCCAAGGACCAAAGAAGGAGCTGGATCCAACCATGGACTCTCCTTCCTTGGAGGTTTTGAAGCAAAGGTCAGACAGTCAGGAATGGACAACAGCCAGATGGAGGAGTCCCAGACTTGTATCCCAGGCATCCTAAGCCCTTTTAAAATTTGGGGGGGAGGGCAGAGGCTGTTATTGGGTTGTTGTTTTTATTTTGATTATATATATTGTGCTTTTGAAGGAAGGTTTTTGATTTTGTTCTGTGAACCGCCCTGAGACCTCCAGGGATAGAGCGGTATATAGATTAAGTACATAAATAAATAAAGGAATAAGTATGAATAAATAAAAATGAATAAATGAAGAATGTTGAGAAATACCATCCTTATTACTGTGAACGGGATACATGGCGGTGGGATCTTGTTTCTTAGAGGCTGCTAGAGACAGAGACTGGTGGAGCCTGCGATGGGGATGGTTTTCTCAAGCCCACCCTCAGGCCACTTTGGGTGAGTTTGGGCTGCTTGATTCCTGCCACTTGCTTCTGGTTCTCCCCCGGAAGGGAAGTAGCGCCTTGGTGGCTTCAAAGCCACTTCAAGTGAATTTCCACCCCATCTTTGAAAGGCTTCTCCAACAGAGGGAAGCTCTCTGGGGTTGGTTGAGGAGAGAAAGGTTGTCCTGAGCCTTAGACCCCCCTTCCCCTTTGACATGTGTCGTCTGTTATGTTGACCCACAACTTAACATTTCCCTTCCCCTTTGACATGTTCTGAGGAAGGTGAGCTTCTGTTGTACATGGAGCCAACTTGCTCCTCTTCTTTGGGCAGAAACTTCTCTACTCATAAACGAATTGTCTGCCCACAAGCCAGGCTAGTATTCTAGCAGCTTTATTAATCTTTATCAGTTCTTTCTTTCTTTCTTTCTTTCTTTCTTTCTTTCTTTCCTTATTTAATCTGTTTCATAAAATCGATGCAGCACTTGATTAGGCCAATAACCCCTAAAGCACTTTATTTTAAGATAAGGCAGGACATTCAGAAAAAAGTTTACAAACTTACTTCAGAACATTTAAAAAAGTAATAATAATAATAATAATAATAATAATAATAATAATAATAATAAATTTTATTTATATCCCGCCCTCCCCAGCCGAAGCCGGGCTCAGGGCGGCTAACAACAATCAAATAATCAAACAATCAAATAATCCAACATTCTAAAAACATTTCATTATAAAAATTAATTAAAATCAAATTAATGGCAACTGTTAAGCAAAATTCTGTGCAGGTTGCCAGAGGAGGGAGTCAGGCTGTGCCCTGACCAAAGGCCTGGTGGAACAGCTCCGTCTTGCAGGCCCTGCGGAAAGATGTCACGTCCCGCAGGGCCCTAGTCTCTTGTGACAGAGCGTTCCACCAGATCAGGGCCACAGCCGAGAAAGCCCTGGCTCTGGTTGAGGCCAGCCTAACCTCTCTGTGGCCTGGGACCTTCAGGATGTTTTTATTTGCAGACCGTAGGTTCCTCTGTGGGGCATACCAGGAGAGGCGGTCCCGTAGGTGCGAGGGTCCTAGGCCGTATAGGGCTTTAAAGGTTAAAACCAGCACCTTAAACCTGATCCTTTACCCCACCGGGAGCCAGTGCAGCTGGTATAGCACTGGGTGAATGTGATCCCGCAGTTAGGACCCCGTAAGGAGTCTCGCCGCGGCATTCTGCACCTGCTGGAGTTTCTGGGTCAGTCTCAAGGGCAGCCCCACGTAGAGCGAGTTACAATAATCCAGTCTGGAGGTGACCGTCGCGTGGATCACAGTGGCTAGGTCAGGGCGAGAGAGATAAGGGGCCAACTGCTTAGCTCGGCGGAGATGAAAAAATGCCGCCTTTGTTATAGCTGCAATCTGCGCCTCCATAGAGAGGGAGGTATCGAAGATTACACCCAAACTCTTAACTGACGGTGCTGGCACTAATTGCACCTCCACAAGAGATGGGAGTTGCCCCCTCAATCCCATATCGTCCCATCCCAGCCAGAGGACCTCTGTCTTCGAAGGATTTAACTTCAACCGGCTCCCACGTAACCATCCAGCCACAGCTTCCAGACATCTGGTCAGTGTGTCTGGGGCCGAGTCAGGATGGCCATCCATCAACAGATAGAGTTGGGTGTCATCGGCATACTGATGACAACCCAGCCCAAAACTCCGGACAAAATAACAAAACGGACTGAAATTGTATCAGCTTCCTAAGAATCTGGGTGTGTAGCCTTATGAGGCTTTGCCCTCGGGTGGGAAAAATATTGCGCCTGGGAAAGGGAAGTGGGAGTCAACAGACACTCAAGGAATAGTTTCGGAGAAAAGGCTTTTATTTCTACCATCCATGAACTGGTAGAAGGAGCAAGTGTGATAAGTCACAAAAAGCATGCATGAGTTCACAGTCATGTGCACAAGCATATATACCCCTTTCCAGTTCCCTCCCCCTTTCTCCTCCCTCAGGAGTCCTGCCCCATGTTGAGGTTCCTGAGCATGTACAGAAAGCTGTCTTGGGACTATTGTGGACTCTTGGCAGGAAAGGGGGTGAGGGGGTTTCAGTGTGTTCCAGTTGTTTCATTCTTGTGCTTTGGCATGGTTCCCGGAGAGAAAGCAAGTTGCAACGTGGTTCTGAGAAAGGCCTGAGAAACGATGGACTGTGTTCCCTACCTTTGTTGCAATCTTTTTAGTTACAGCAAGCGGAATGTTTCTGATGCTTAGCTAATGCCTTTTAGCTGCTGAGAAAAATGATTTTGAAAAGCTCTGAGAAGCTTTGAGCCTGCTTTGGTGGGGGGTGACTTCTGGCCTAGGTGAGGTCACCTGTCCTCACCTTCCTTCAGGTGGATGCTATATTTATTAAATTTATTTTTTTTAAAAAAAAATTATTAAGTCTCCAAAGATATTCCAAAACACTTGTCTACCTACCAGAGGTTTTTTTAAAAAACAACTAAATACATAATGCTTCTTGACTCCCCACCCCTCTTGATGTTTGTTTTATTACTCCTTTTTATCACCTGTTTTAAAAAACATGTTTAAGTTATCTAAGCCCCGAAGTCGTATACAGCGGTGCCTCGCAAGACGAAATTAATTCGTTCCGCGAGTTTTTTCGTCTAGCGAATTTTTCGTCTTGCGAAGCACGGTTTCCCATAGGAATGCATTGAAATTCAATTAATGCGTTCCTATGGTCAAAAAAAGTCCAATCAAAGCCAAATTTGGTACAACAATAGTTTATTAACTGCTCTTTAAAGTCACACATACTTTAAAGAGCATATCAAAATTGAAGGAACAATAAATTAAGTTTCTAAACATGACAGAAAAACATTTAAAAATCAACAAAGTGTACTGTACATACATTTTCTAAGACTCTGGGGAACCACTCGAAGAAGGTTCCTCTTCCACTCTTTGCTTCTTGCTGAGGAACCTGTCCATGGTCTGCTGCTTCATCCGCCTTTTCAGCAGCTCCCTGAGAGGCAACATGACCGTCGTATCAAAAGTGTTCGCTTGGTCATGTGCCACGTGCTTGTTAGGGTGGTGCCGCTCTGCAAAAGCCTGCACCTCCTTCCACTTCTGGCAAATGTCCCTCAGTTCTTTGGAGGACGGCCGTTCCTCAGTTGCTTCCTCCTCTTCCAGCGAGGCCTGCTCCTGCGCAACCTCTGCCTGCAGTTCAACCAGCTCCTGGGTGGTCAGCTCGTGGTCGTGCTCCTCCACCAGCTCGCTGACGTCCTCCTCTGTGACCTCCAGGCCCATGGTCCTCCCCAAGGCAACAATGTCCTGCACCACTGTTGACTCTGGTGCATCAGAGTCACTTGGTGCCACACAGTCCGGCCACAGGCTGCGCCAAGCGCAATTCAAATTTCTCTGGCTGATCCCGTTCCAGGCCGTGGTGATCATCTTCAAGCAGGTGACGATGTCGAAGTGGTCCTTCCAGAATTCCCGCAGGGTGATGGTGGTGCAATCAGTCACCTCGAAGCATCGCCTGAAAAGCTCCTTGGTGTAGAGTTTTTGAAATTGGCGATGACCTGCTGATCCATCGGCTGGAGCAGTGGCGTGGTGTTAGGCGGCAGGAACATGATGTTGATGAAGCTGAACTCCTCCAACAAGTCCACCTCAAGGCCTTTAGGATGAGCAGGAGCATTGTCCATCAGAAGCAAAGCCTTCAGCGGCAGGTCGTTGTCCAGCAGGTACTGTTTGACAGCAGGGCCAAAAGCAAGATTGACCCAGTCCACAAACAGCACACGTGTGACCCAAGCCTTGCTGTTGGATCGCCACATGACACTCAGCCGCTCCTTGTCGACCTTGTGTTTCTTGAAGGCCCGTGGGTTCTCCGAGTGGTACACCAGCAGGGGCTTGATCTTCAGGTCGCCGCTTGTGTTGGCACAGAAGAGCAGGGTCAGGCGGTCCTTCATGGGCTTGTGGCCAGGCAACTTGGCCTCCTCCTGTGTGATGAAAGTCCTTTTGGGCATCCTCTTCCAAAACAGCCCGGTCTCGTCGCAGTTGAAGACCTGCTGTGGAACGTAGCCCTCCGTCTTCACAACCTCCAGGAACTCCGAGGCAAAGTCTTCAGCCGCAGGAACATCAGAACTGGCAGCCTCTCCATGCCTGACCACGCTGTGGATTCCAGATCTTGCCTTGAACCGGTCAAACCAGCCTCTGCTTGCCTTGAAGACTTCTGGCTCGCCTGAGGTTCCTGGCTGTTCCCGGATGAGGTCTGCGTGCAAGGCCTTGGCCTTCTCACAAATGACGGCCTCAGTCACTGTGTCCCCTGCACGCTGCTTCTCTTTTAACCAGATGAGCAGCAACTTCTCAACCTCCTCCAGAACAGCTGGGCGGTTCTTCACGATCCTGGCTGCATCAGTCGCAAGGATCTTCTCCCTCATCTTCAGGATGGTCCCGATGGTCGATGGGTTCCTGCCGTACTCCCTGGCGAGGTCCGTCACACGCATTCCACCGTCGTGCTTCCAGATGATCTCCTTCTTAATTTCCAGCGTCACCTTCTCCTTCTTCCTCTCGCCGGCCTCCGCAGCAGCAGCAGTCTTCTTGGGTCCCATGGCAGCACAGCTCTTACCTTCGTAAACTCAGAAAAGAAAAAAATAAATCAGCAATTCAAACCCAGAACCAAGTCCTTGAATTCCAAACACCCAACCCAAAATCCAAAAACCCCCAAAAAAGTTTTAAAAGTTTAACTTACGAAATGGCTGCAAATCGCCAAAGTCTTCAAAATCCTCAAATGGCTGCAAAAGAAGTTTGGGGAAAGCTTTAAAAATCACCAAAGTCTTCAAAAACCTCAACTGTTCCCCCAGCCCCTCCCCAACTGTTGCAAACCCCTCCCCAACTGTTGCAAACTCCTCCTCAACTGTTCCCCCATCCACCCAGCACACAGAAATTCAAACCCAGAAATTTTTTCAAAAAAACAACAACATGGCCCAATGGTTACAGAAAACCATAAAAATTCATTAAAAACCACACAAGCTTCCAGATTCTTGCAAACCCCTCCCCAGCTGTTCCCCCAGCCACCCAGCACACAGAAATTCAAAACCCAGATTTTTTTTTCAAAAAAAAAATCATGGCCCAATGGTCACAGAAAACCATAAAAATTCATAAAAAACCACACAAGCTCCCAGATTCTTGCAAACCCCTCCCCAGCTGTTCCCCCAGCCACCCAGCACACAGAAATTCAAAACCCAGAATTTTTTTTCAAAAAACAACAACATGGCCCAATGGTCACAGAAAACCATAAAAATGCAGAAAAAACCACACAAGCTCCCAGATTCTTGCAAACCTCTCCCCAACACCAAGTCCTTGAATTCTAAACATCCCAACCCAAAATCCAAAAACCCCAAAAAAAGTTTTAAAAGTTTAACTTACCAAACAGCTGCAAAAGAAGTTTTGGAAAAGCTTCAAAAATTCAGCAAACTCTTTAAAAAGCTCAAAAAGGCCACCACACCGCGTGCAATGTGTTGCTCCTCAAGGTCAAGTCGCAACTGCACCTCTTCCAGCAATGCACCCTGGGTATTAACGGTTTTACGAAAAAGGAAACAAACTTGCAAGACGTTTTCGTCTTGCGAAGCAAGCCCATAGGGAAATTCGTCTTGCGAAGCAACTCGAAAACGAAAAAACCTTTCGTCTTGCGAGTTTTTCGTCTTGCGAGGCGTTCGTCTTGCGGGGCACCACTGTATCAGTAATCCTCTGCTTATATTTCAAATCCTGCCTTTGACTTCAGGTATGGATGTTAGTATGACAGATAATGTAACAATGGTCTCCATTCTTCCTTGAACAATTCTTCCTTATGTCCTCTTAGTTTAGCAGGGAATTTCTCCATTTCAGCATATTCCACCAGCTTCATAAGCCATTCCTCGTTGGTGGGGAATTCTCCCTCTTTCCACTTCCGTGTGTATAAAGTCCTAGCTGTTGTGGTTGCATTCAGAAAACCTAACTAACTACTGGTCAGTTTCTCATCTCCCTTTCGTGTGTAATTGTTATGTACTGAGTTGAATAGGATCCAAAATGCAGCAGTCTGATTGGTCCTAGAACAATAGGATTCAGAATGCAGCACTATGATTGGTCTCCAGGAGCCACCCAATCCAGCTCCAGATGGAAGTGAATCCCCAACCTGATTGGCTCACAGGAGAATCCCGGAATTAGCCAATCACGTGCAGCCCATTGTGTAAATAATGTATATAAAGCAGATACTTTGGGGGGACTTTCATTCCTCCTCACCACTATGAGCTGAATAAAGAGCATGAAATCCACTCTCGACTCTGAGTTTATTTCAGTAATGTTCTGGAGTGAGTGGCCGCAGACCAGATCCAGGCGCTTTTGAAAGAAACTGATTTTCTGGATCCGTTTCAAGTGGGGGTTTTGTGACAAAGACACCTGAGAGCCGAATCAGCCAAGCAGGCTGGGAAGTGCTGGGACTGCGCCGCCATTTGGGCCTAGTCATGTTCTCCAGGCCTGACTGCTAACTGCTGAGTCGCTCTGGCATGGGACTTGGCAGCCATTTTGTCTCTGCGTTCTCTGTAAGGTTTCAGTCAGAGTCAGTCTGCCTCAGTTGTGAGCAGTATGGAATCTCAGTCAAACTGTTTGGAACCATGTTGTTTAGGAAGAAGTTTATTTTAACTTAGTAAAGTCAATTAAAAACTCTGCATTAGTAGTTTACGCTGCGCGTCAGTTTAGGTCTGACGTCGTTTCCAGACGGTGTTAGTTGGGGAATGCTTTTCAGCTCCGGGAGCCTTGAATGTGGGGTTTACAGGGCTCAATCCTATCCACAGGGCACTGGCTCCTGGTGGAGTACAGGATAATAATAATAATAATAATAATAATAATAATAATAATAATTTATACCCCACCCATCTGGCTGGGCTTCCCCAGCCACTCTGGGCAGCTTCCAAAAAAATATTAAAATACTGTAATACATCAAACATTAAAAGCTTCCTTAAACAGAGCTGCCTTCAGATGTCTTCTAAAAGTCTGGTAGTTGAATAATAGTAATATGTAGGATCAGGTTCAAGGTGCTGGCTTAAGCTTTAAAGCCCTATAGGGCCTAGGACCCTCGTACCTACGGGACCACCTCTCCTGGTATGTCCCATGGAGGACCTTATGGTCTTCAAACAAAAACATCTTGGAGGTCCCGGGCCACAGGGAGGTTAGACTGGCCTCAACCAGAGCCAGGGCTTTTTCGGCTGTGGCCCCGATCTGGTGGAACGCTCTGTCACAAGAGACTAGGGCCCTGCGGGACTTGACATCTTTCCGCAGGGCCTGCAAGACGGAGCTGTTCAGCCAGGGCACAGTCTGACCCCCTCCTTTGGTAATCCCCGCAGAACTGTAGCCCAATGGTTGCCATTAATTTGATTTTGAATTGATTTTAGAATGAATTGATTTTAGAATTCTGTGTTACTTTTATTGTTAGCCGCTCTTAGCCCGGCTTCGGCTGGGGAGGGCGGGATATAAATAAAATCTTCTTCTTCTTCTTCTTCCTCTTCTTCTTCTTCTTCTTCTTCTTCTTCTTCTTCTTCTCCCCCACATTGTTTAACATCTACATGAAACCACTGGGTGCGGTTATCCAGAGGTTTGGAGTATGTTATCAGAATTATGTTGACAACAGAGGGACTTCCGGGGTGGCGCCACCGGCAATGGCGGACTCCCTCTGAATTGGAGGGACTAGCTCCGTGGAAAACGGGTCTTTTCTGCTACGGCGAAGCGGGGACCCACTTAAAAATCATAGGCGGATGAAGTCTGTGACCATGGGACTCGGCGGGCACCTTTAGCGCCCCCCCAACCCGCTAAGGAACCCACTAACGGGCTCCGAAGTGAAGAGGGGGAAGTGGCGCGGTGCTGTGAGTCAACTGCTATTTCCGTGGAGCGAAGCCGCATAGCTGTTGCCGGAGAGCGCTGCCTTTTTCCTGGGACAATTTGGACTTTAAAATAAGCACCTGTGAGTACTTAGACTTTGAACAATTGGACATTAAATAAGGACTTGCGAGTAGGAAAGAATCGGACTTTAAAAAAATTACTTGAATTTGGTACGGAACGGGAAGGTCTAAACAGGAAGTCATCCTTCCGTTCTTTTGTAAACAGAATAAAGCAAAGGCAATTTAAACTAGAGCTCAGGAAATGGCTTTTAAAAGATTGGATTTCACCATTTAAAATTGTGGAACCCCCCTTCGACAGCAGGAGAAGGGGGGAATCTTTTTGGACTGCTTTAAGTGACTTTAAAGTGAAGTAACTTTCCTCCGTCCTGATCCTGGAGCGGGCTGTCAGGACTGACGTGTGAAGTTCATTAACCAAAGACAAGTGTTTTTGACAGATGGCTAAAAGAAGAGAAACCTAGTGATTCCACTGTTCCCTTTCGCATTTTAAAGGATTATATATGGACAAAGTATCTTTAAAAAGGAAACTTTGTTGCAAGAATAAATAGAAGTCTTCCCCCTAGGGGGAGTCTGTGAAATTGTAACTGTGAAACTGTAACTAACTCCAGGGAGTCGACAGCTGTTACAGATTACAACCGTGGGAACAAGTATCTGACCTTGTAGGACAATGTATTCAGAAGCCTTGTTGTATGCTCTCTATAAAACAAACGATCTACTGGAACAATTACACGAGAAGGTGAATTGGATGGCGACTTCCACTAGAAATTTTGAACAGGCAGTGGGAAACTTTGAACAGACAGTGGGAAAATACGTGGAGCCCACTCAGGATTTAAATCAGGAGTGTGTCTTGACAGAACAGGAGTTTTTGACACTAAATCAGGAGTGTGTTTTGACAGAACAGGCCCAACAGGAATATGATTTTTTGGATTTGACAAATGAACTTGGAAAAAGCCATATCTCGAAAGGAAAAGTTTGGCTTGGTTTGGAAATGGGGGGCTGGATTGACCGCCCTATGCTGGGATGTTTGGACTTCTCAAATATGGCAACGGGCCGTGAGATGTTTGGGACTGTGCGGGCTCTCAATTTTGGAGGGCCTTTGAAACATGCTTTTAAATACTACATGGAATTCAATGTTGAACATGGAAAAGGGGCTGATCTGTTGAGAAGGGTTAAAAACATTGTCAAGCTGGAGTTACCACGAGCAGGAGACAAGGGAAAATACAGTTACAAATATGAAGAAGAGCCGCGAAAGGGTCATGGAAGAGACTTGAGGGCCTTGAATATAAGGCTGCCAGGTTAATGGGCTAGATTGACGGGAATATGGACTGACAAAACCCGGAACCAGGAGGAAGGGACGCTGGATGAAGATTGGATCTGTTTATACCTCTTTTTTCAACCATTAGAACTGTTTTATAAAATTTTTATAAAATTGATGAATGATAGAAAAATGTTGGAATGAAATTACTTGGCTTTAGCAAAGATGTTCAAAGAATTATGAAAGAATATTATGATCATGAGAAGTTGGTAAGGATAAGATTTAAGTTTTAAGTTTTAAGGTTTATTTTATTATAGAAAGATAAGGTCAAGGATTTGCTGGGATAATTAATAACTAGGATACAAAGAAAGGGAGGAGAAGGAGGTCTAGGAAAGAAGGTAATGACAGTTAAGGATTTGAAAATAATGAATTTGTTTTTAAATGTTTTTAAAGTTTTGTGATTTTTGCATTCTTCTTTTTTTCTTTTTTTCTGTCATTTTTTCTCATTTGGAATTTTTTTGTATATGGTGGGAAGGGGTTGGTGTTTTTTTTTTCCCCTTTCTCTTTCTATTTTGGTAATTATTTTTATCCTTTATACTCTCTTCTGCTTTTATTTTATTTTTTCTCTTTTTTGTAACATTTTGAAAATCTCAATAAATATCTTTAAAAAGAATTATGTTGACAACATTCCGCTCTATTTCTCCTTCACATGTGCAGGGGAGGCAGTGGAAGTGCTGGACTTCCTTGGTCTTGTCTTGGTAATGGATTTCAAGTGGGGTTTAGGCCTGGTTTTGGTACAGAAACTGCTTTGGTCGTCCAGTATGGTGACCTCTGTTGAGAGAGAGAAACATGTCCCTGATAATTCTTCTCGACTTCTCACCGGCTTTCAGTACCATTGACTATGGTGTCCTTCTGGAGTGACTCTCAGAGCGAGGGGTGGGTGGCAGCGCTTTGTGGTGGTTCCAGTCCTACTTGGATGGTCATTTCCAGACAGTGTTACTTGGGGAATGTTTTTCAGCTCCGGGAGCCTTGAATGTGGGGTTCCAAGGGCTCGATCCTATCCCCACATTGTTTAACATCTACATAAAACCGCTTTTCAGTCAAGGCTTGGCTAAGGTCAGCTGCTACTCTTTGGAACAAGGAGCTTACACGATACAGAAATTAAACCAACAGACTACGGGAGATAACTTAAATTAATTTCTCAGTTTATTGATATACAAAACTTAGGAGAACGAAATGAGATGAAGTGCACTTGTAAATGATACAGCATACAAAAGATTTCCACCCATCTTACTGTTCATGTCAACAGGACTTCCTAAAACCGAGGCTAAGAATGAACACAATCTCTTTCAGAGATGGAGAATAAACAGCATGGATGAGCAGGTGTGTTTCCTTTATGAACTTCTGGACATAGGGAATATGGACTATTTTAAGAATCAGATGTCCCCTTAATTCCTTGTTGTCAGGTGCTCCTTTGTGTTCAGATCAGGCCTCAGCACAATAATGTAGCACTTGGGAAGGAAGATGCAGCCCAGGAGCCCAGCACTGGAGGCCAACATAGAGAAGATCTGCACGGCCACCATGTACTTGCCCTTGGTGCTCAGGTAGGTGGGCACAAAAGACACCCAAACACTGCAGAAGACCAGCATGCTGAAGGTGATCAGCTTGGCTTCGTTGAAGGAGCCAGGCAGCTTCCTGGCTAGGAAAGCCACCGTGAAGCAGATGGCAGCCAAGAAGCCCAGGTAGCCGAGGGCAACGTAGAACATGGCCACAGACCCTTCGTTGCATTGCAGGATGATCTCTTCCACCTGGGAGCGCATGTCGGACTCTGGGAATGGGGGAGAAGAGCCCAGCCAGATGGTGCAGATGAGAACTTGCCCCCCAGAACAGGAGATGACCATGGAGTTGGCCAGACTCTTGCCCAGCCATCTCCTCACCCTGTTCCCGGGCTTTGTGGCCAGGAAGGCCAGCACCACCGTGATGGTCTTTGCCAAGACAGAAGAAACAGCAACTGAGAAGATGATGCTGAAGGCCGTTTGTCGGAGAAGGCAGGTCTCTTTCCTTGGGCGCCCGATGAAGAGGAAGGAGGACCAAAAGGAAAGCAGGAGGGAGACGAGCAGGATGTAGGAGAGGTCCCGGTTGTTGGCTTTGACTATGGGAGTTTCCTTGTATTTAATGAAGATTCCCAACACAATGCCTGCTGTTAAGGACAAGAATAGGACAAGAGAAGCTAACACCATTCCCAAATATTCTTCATAAGCCAGGAAGATGATAATCTTGGGGACACATTGATCTCTGTCCTTGTTTGAATGGTGATCTTCTGAACATTTGGTGCAATGTACTGCATCTGGGCAAGAGAAAAAGAGTGGCTGTAGCATCACTTACATCCCTAATGATCTGTGCTCTATTAACATTGTGATCTAGGATAAACTGAGAGGCAGTGACCACTCCACTTCTGTTAACTGTATTGTTTGCATCCTGCCTATTCCTCTTTGTCTGAACCTTTAAAATGCAGACATTGCTTCCATGCAATGTTCATAGCAGTCAGATCAGAACGGTCCATAGCTTATATTGTAATAATTTTCACATGAAGTATTTATTTTTATTGTGCTTTTGCTGTTAATAATTTCTGCTTTTCATCGTCTATCCATTATTTTTGATAAGTGTCAACATTATTTCCTTTTTCTGTGGCTTGGTTTAAAAAATAAAAAGGAATGCTTTGTGGGCATTCCTCTCACAGCTGCCCAGTTTGCACCCCAGAGATTTCTTCCTTATGGTCATTCCTATCAACTCACTTCCTGGATGTAATAAAGGTGATTAATACTAAGGAAGTCAAGGAAGGATTCCCATTTCCCTATGTCTGCAGAATAGTCATAAAAAGTGTGTGCGACTGAATTTCTGTCCTGTGTTTACTCTCTCCAGGAATTCCTTTCCCCTTGGAGTCACCCACCTTCCTGGGCGGAGAAGGTCCCTTCTGCACACCGAGCACAAGCGTAGCAGCAAATGGGCTTTCCTTCTAGAACCACCTTGGCATATCCAGGTCGACATCTTTCTGTACACCTGGAACGAGGTACAATCTAACCAGAAAGACAAGAAGGTGCAACCAAGAGGAACAGTTAGGAGTATTTGTGTGTATGTAATTCACTCAACGCGATCTCTATAGCATGGTGGTGATCCCTGACAACCGGTCTTGCCAGCTCAGGATGATGGGAGTCCAAAGACAGCTGGGGACCCAAGTTTGGGAAACCCTGATCTACCCCAAGATTTGCAGTTGTGGCCCCCAATGAATCATCCAGGAAATCATCACAGCTCTATATCAATCACATAGAGGTTGGGGAGGGGTCTGTCTGGCAGGGAATCCTGAGAGATCCCAGTTTCCGTTTCCAGCAGCCAAGAACCCCAGTTGCCTGCCATCTCCCCATTCCCTGAATGCGGTCAGTTCTATTTAGCTGCAGAACATGATCTCTGGAATGCAGCCTTTGACCCCACATCAGGGTCCTTTCAACCCCCCACTGACGAGTGGGGTGACCAGAATATATTGTGCTTTAAATTTAGTTCAGTACAGCTGAGGTTTGAGCCACAGAACTCTGTTTCCTCTTCTCCATTTACCTGTTTCCCTTCTTAAAAAAACTTCAAAGCAAATGGCAATGAGTCTGACATGTGATTCCCCCAAATTTCAGGATTCAGAGAGAGAGAGAGAGAAAGCGCTTTGCTGTTCAATGCCCAACTGAAAGGAGAGTTGGGGTTTTTTTTGGGGGGGGTTGCCAAATTGCTTTAATTGATTTTCCAAATTTCACCACATCAACCACAAATTAAGACAAATTTAATACAAGTGAACTTACTCACAAATTAAAAAAAAATACAATAAATCAGTAATCATCATTTGTAAAATAAATTACTTTTCATCCTTCTGCATGTATGAAAGGTCAATATCCTTTATTTGAGCATCCCAAATTCCCCTCCTATTTCAGCTGCTGTACAAAGAAGGCATGCTGGTTCCAGCTGTTACTGGACAGTCAACCTGACATGGTCATTCTGCAGTGGTTGTTCAAGGAACAGCACAGTCAGGATCTCCTAGCCCCCCTCCCCCAATTATTCCCCCTACCTTGTTGAATTTCTTGGGCCACTCAATGGCTTGGGCCTTCTCCCTCTGTGATTTACCCTACCTTATTGAATTTCTTGTTCCACTCAATGGCTTCTGGGTTAATGGTGAACTTTATGCCAGCAGACGTCTCTCTCCTTATATTTCCAATTTTCACAAGGTCACGAGACTTATTGGGAGACATCACCCAGTTCATAATATCGAAGTCCGCTGGTAGCTCCCAGTTCTCATTCAAGCACAGCCTGCCTCTGGAAGTATTCAGACACCGGATTTCTCTTAAGAAAGGGTGAAGCTGGAATGACAGGGGAAAACACCAGCACTGAGAAACTGGGAAGCTACAACAGGCAATTAATCAAGCCAAAATGGGAAAAACACCTATGGCCAGGTGGGCTATCAGCAAAGTACTATAAAAAATTACAAGATTATTTGGCACAACCACTAAAAGATTTAAGATACTTACATTACACTGATTCTTAAAAAACGATACAGATCTATTATCAGTCAAAAATTATAGGCTGATTTCTCTATTAAATAATGACTATAAGCTGTTTGCAGACCTATTGGCAAACAACATGAAAGTGCTATTAATGGATTTACCGGTAATTCATCAGGACCAGGCTGATTTTTTACCAGGCCGCCAGATGAAGGATAATATAAGGAATATAACTGATATAATAGAAGATCTGGAGGTTAGAAATGATAAGCAAGCAGTGTTGATTTTTATCGATGCAGAGAAGGCCTTTGACCATGTTTCATGGACTTCTACGAAGAAGACTATAGAGATGATGAATTTCAGAGAGTCATTACAGTGGTACCTCAGGTAAAGAACTTAATTCGTTCTGGAGGTCCGTTCTTCACCTGACACTGTTCTTAACCTGAGGTACTATTTTAGCTAATGTGGCCTTCCGTTGCCGCCGCGCGATTTCTGTTCTCATCCTGAAGCAAAGTTCTTAACCCGAGGTACTATTTCTGGGTTGCCAGAGTCTGTAACCTGAAGCATCTGTAACCCGAGGTACCACTGTACTTAGAGGAATTGACTCAATTTATTCTGACTAACAGGCTATGATGATAGTAAATAATGTAATAACAGAAAAATTCAAAATAATGAAAGGGACAAGACAGGGATATCCCCAGTCACCATTATTATTTTAGTTTTAGAGACCCTGGTCAGAAGTAGAAGATCAGATGAAGAAATAAAAGGGATAACAGTAGGTTAAAGGTAAAGGTAAAGGGACCCCTGAACATTAGGTCCAGTCGTGACCGACTCTGGGGTTGTGGCACTCATCTCGCTTTACTGGCCGAGGGAGCCGGTGTACAGCTTCCGGGTCATGTGGCCAGCATGACTAAGCCGCTTCTGGCGAACCAGAGCAGCACATGGAAACGCCGTTTACCTTCCCACCGGAGCAGTACCTATTTATCTACTTGCACTTTGACGTGCTTTCGAATTGCTAGGTTGGCAGGAGCAGGGACCGAGCAATGGGAGCTCACCCCGTCACGGGGATTCGAACCGCCGACCTTCTGATCTGCAAGTCCTAGGCTGTGTGGTTTAACCCACAGCGCCACCCGCGTCCCAACATTAGGTTACAAAGCATATAAACTCAAGGCATTTGCAGATGACCATGTGGTAACTGTAGAAGACCCCATGGCTAGTAAACCAAGGGTCTTGAACAGATTCTCAAGTTTGGAGAAGTAGTAGGTTTTAAACTAAATAAAGGTAGAACTAAAGTATTGGTGTAAAATGTGACAGAGCAATATAAAAAAGACAAAAAACGGAACTGATGATTGAGAAGAAAGTTTAATATTTAGGAGTATGGATAACAGATACGAACATAAATATTTTTAAGAATAACTACACAGGAGCTTGGAGGGAAATGAAGAAAAACTTAAATAAAATATATATATATATAAAAATAGAGATATCTGGAGGGTGGCAGCACGACAACAGGACTTTTCAGTGGTGGCTCCTCGCTTGGGGGATGCTTTCCCCAGGGAGGCTCACCGGACACCTTTGTGAGAAATCTTTAGGTGCCAGGTGAGAAAGTTATTCTGTAACCAGGCTTTGGGTGGATTAAACCATCTCTGGGCATTTTAATGTGCTTTTGGTTTGCTTGTTTTGTTTCTTTCATTTGCTTTTTCTATTCTCATTTTGTATTTTTATTCTGTAAACCACCCTGTGATCTTCAGATGATAGTTGATATATAAACAGAATAATACTAATATTATTACTACAGACCCTCCAAAGGTCCAAATGGCACCCAGTTGAGAAGTGCTGGAACTGAGTTCCAGCGAGTTCCCCCTGAAGAAAGCCCTGGGTATAAATAGTAAAATGATCGTTATGGGATGGGACATCCCTATATTCATCGGAGACATGTTGGAAGGTAAGCTACTAATACTAATAGTAACTATGATATTTTACAGGTCTATCCACAGTCAAGATCAGCATCTGTGTGGACTGCAGTTTGCAAAAAGGGGAAGGAAATACCTGCCACGGCTGTAGCCTTTGGGGTCCCCATTGCTCTCCTTCCTCCACCATCAGCCTCCTCTGGGATCTCGATGAAAGTGAAGCATGCAAGGCCTGAGCCACAGCTTGAACATTGATGTAAGTGCCATAGCTGTCATAAGACAGGGCTCTCTCACGCTCCCCTTGGAGCAATGGCTGCAGTTTCTCCTCCTCTCTGCATCTTATCCTGCCTTTCACGGACAACAGATGCTTTGAATATGAACACTGATAAGCTTCATCCAAAAAATCTCCAAGAAAATTGGTCTGCAATTTATATTTGTCACCTTTGCTGCTCCTTATTCCAGTCTGAATTTCAAAGGACAGAGAACCATGGAGGTGCTGGAAGTAATTTGGAGGGAAGTAAAAGCCAATTCTGATTTCTAGTAAAGCTGTTGTGATCCAGACTTTCGCCCCTATTTCCTTCTCATAGATATCGTTTATTATCATGAGTATTATGATAACATGTGCATTGGTTATATAGGAAACAAATACCCCAACTTGTCTCCATAGGAAAACAGGTTCCCCAGGTGTTATAAATTCATCAAAATAACTTTCTGGTACTTTTTTTGATAAAGCAATGCAGATCCCTTTGCTGAGCATCAGAGGTTTCACAGCGCTCACAAATCTTTCTCCACTGTCATTGTCTGGAGTGCAGAGACCAATCCACGTCCATCCAAAATGCAGGAGCAATTCAACAATCCCCTGGTACTGACTTTCCTCTTTGGGACTCATCCGGTAGACAAAAGGGAACAGGGTTTTACCTTCGAGAACCTGGGCAGTGAAGCCATAACTGATCTAGCAAGGAAAGCAAAAGACCAGCAATTTAATTTCATTTCAGCATAAAAGATATTTAATCATATGAAATGACTGATATCTAAATCTCTGCTGGCTGAGGCTGATGGGAGTTTTAGTCGGAAACATCTGGAGGTGTCAAGTTGGTGAAGGCTCAGTTTTGAAAAAGGGATGTTGGATCCATAGCTCAGGATTTTCCCATTTTTAAAAATATCCCTACTTGACCCCTCCAAAGAGAAAGTAGAATCTTATGCAGTTGAAATTCTATGTCCTTCCATGCTCTCCCACTACTTACCTGTGGGATTTTGTAGATGCCTGACAAGGCTGAAATCACTCTTGAGATGACAGTGTTGCCTCTTTCAAGAACAGCCAGCAGGGGATTCTGTTCTCCACAGTCATAATTGGGAATATTGCATCCACTGCCTGCAAGCAGCTCTAGCATGGCGTCCGAAGTCATCCTTGCATCTAAATAGTTCTCATAGATGTTGTAGCCCAGAGTAATGTTGGGTAAGAGACTGAGATCCTGGTTGATCTCTTGGATGGTGAACAGGAAAGACAACATGTACCAGTAGAAAATATTTGCCTCCCTGCAATAAATGAATCCTTTAAAAAGAGTTAAACTTATATTCATATTAATGGGAGGAAGGAAACATTATATGATCCACAAATATTAGTATATATTATTTATTTATTTATTTATTTATTTATTCATCCACTCACCCACCCATCCATCCATCCATCCATCCATCCATCCTTTTCAATTAATATCAAACCTTTTCCTGTCTAGCATAGAACAAAAATTTGGAGACCGCTGCTCCATGACAGGAGCTTTGATGCAAACAGCACACAGAGCTGTTTAACAGTGGAACAGACTCCCTCCGAAGGTGACCATGTGTCATGGATGCTTCAGGTGAGATTCCTCCAGGTCCCTTCCATCTCTACAACTCTACGATTCTTTACTACTGTGGTTCTATGAGTAGGAAATGAAAGCGGCCCTCAAAATGTGTGATATACTGGGAAGCTGCTCCATAGGCTGCTTTTGCTGCAGTGGTCTTTGGCGCCTTCCAAGGGGCTAGACTACAGGTAGATAAGAGACCATTTTATTGAAAGAGGGGAAGCACCAAATACCTCAGTACACTTTTACTTAGAAATGAGGCCTGGTCACTTTCAGGTTTGAGTGTGTGGTAAAATTTATAATTTTGCCCATATTTTGGATCACTGGCTCCCACCAATGAGGACACCCCTGGTCTGTATTATTTTACATAATCATTTTATTTGAAGCATATCATTCCTGTTCTTCGCCCATAAAAATCCAGCCATTTTCAGGAGTTTCTTAAAACGCTTCTAATTTTTTAAAAAATGACAGAAAGGGGAAAGTGCTGGGATTGGAGGAGGAAACCTTTAATGTAGCTGAGACAGATTTCTCCATGATGGGCTGTAGGTCTCCCGTTGCATTGTGTAAAGAGAACTGTGATAAGGCTGTTCACAAATGATCCCAATAGAATAAACATAAAATAATCTTAGCAGCTTGGGAATTTCTTGAGTTTCATGCCACCCTCTGGCTTAGGAAGAAACCTCAAACACCTCAATACTTTGAAATGAGGCCAGTTGTGTGCGGTCAAAAAAGGAATAATTCCTTTTCACATTTTAGAGATCTAAGTCCACTTACAAAGAACTCCCCTGACATATTATTTTATTTATCCTTTCAATTAAAGCACATCTTTCCTTCTGTTCAGCCTCCAAATGTCACCAAGAGGCTCTTAAAATTCCATTTGCAAAACTGTAGCATTCCTTAATGACAGTTTATGAATTGTCCAAATGTAATAATGAATAAAACCTTTGAGCCTTGGAAATTCCCTGAGTTTCATGGCATCCTGCAGGTGGGGAAATTCAGTGCATCCTTTTGAACCCTGACCAGATCATTGGCTTTCTTGCATTCTTCTAAAAGCAACACAGAAGCATAGGAACAGGATTGTTTTACTTAGGAAGACAGAGGGAAGAAGGAAATAAGAGAGGTTTTTTACTGGACCCCCCCAACTCCCATCACCCCCAGCCAGCAAGAGCAATAATCAGGGCAGGGCAGTCCTGCAACATCAGTCCTTGGCTCCCCAGCCCTGAGATAGGGGCTCTTTCCTATTTCAACCATTACAAGGACTGGAGGACCATGAAACCCATCCGCATATGATTTTACATACACTTCATTCCTGGCGAAGGGTGTCTGAGTAAAGTTGTATGGAGTTTCCTTAAGGTATTTTGGAGGGATGATCCCACTGATGAGAAAGTGTCCCGGCCGGTAATAATTGCGAGCATCCGTTTCATCCCTGACTAGATTCAAGGGGCATTTCGCCTTGTGGTTCCCGCAGACTCCAAAGGGCATCATGAGCAGCAGAAGCAGGGATCTCATTCTGGCTCTGCCTCCTCCTCCTCCTCTTACCTACGAAGGAGGCATACCAAGAAGAACCCAAAGACTCTTGCAAGGGCAGACTGCCTGGGCTTTCCCAATCTGGGTGGTTTTCAACTCTACCTTCGGAGCTAGGAAGCACAAGGCAGGCACACCCCTCTTTCCCCAGCTCTGCATCTTGACTCAGTCTGTCTCCTTCACAGGAAATGTTCTCTGCACCAACTTTTTCTTTCCCAGTCACAGTTCAATTAATATTGCCATGCTGTTGTTGCTTTCCGAGGCTCATGCAATCTCCAGAAATATCTCCTGAGCTTTTAGAAGATGAGATCACTATAATTTTGATTATTCTAAGTGGAATAAGTTTCAGCACAATAACTTTCTGGAGTCTTGAATGGCTCAAGCGGCAGGTGCAGAACTGGAGAAAAACATGTTGGACAGAAGTCAAGGGAGTGTTTGGGAGTTGGAAGTTTGGTCTGAACTTTGCTCACAAGCACCAAAGAAGGAGCTGGATCCAACCATGGACTCTCCTTCCTTGGAGGTTTTGAAGCAGAGTTTGGATGGCCATCTGTTGGGATTCTTTAGCTGAGATTCCTGCATTGCAGAGGGTTGGACTAGAGGACCTTGGGGTCCCTTTCCAAGTCTCCCATTCTATGATTCATTGGAGGTTTTTAAGAAGAGGTTGGACAGTCAGGGATGGACAACAGCCAGATGAAGGAGCCCCAGCCTTGTATCCCAGGCATCCTAAGCCCTTTTAAAATGTGGGGGTTGGGGGGGCATTATTGGCTTGTTGTTTTTATTTTTATGATATATGTTGTGGTTTAATATTTTGAACCGCCTTGAGACCTCCAGGGGTAGGGCGATACAGTATATAGATTCAGTACATCAATAAATAAAGGAATAAATATGAATAAATAAAAATCAATCAATGGAGAATGCTGAGAAATGCCATCTTCATTACTGTGAATGGGATACATGGTGGTGGGATTTTGTTTCTTGGAGGCTGCTAGAGACAGAGACTGGTGGAACCTGCGATGGGCAGGATTTTCTCAAGCCCACCCTCTGGCCGCTTTGGGTGGGTCTGGGCTGCTTGATTCCTGCTGCTCTCTTCTGGTTCTCCCCCTGAAGGGAAGTAGCGTCTTGGTGGCTTTGAAGCCACTTCAAGTGAATTTCCACCCCATCTTTGAAAGGCTTCTCCAACAGAGGGAAGCTCTCTGGGGTTGGTGGAGGGGAGAAAGGTTGCTCTGAGCCTAAGGCTCTCCCTTCCCCTTTGACATGTTCTGCGGAAGGACAGCTTCTGTTTCACATGGCGCCAACTTGCTCCTCATCTTTGAGCAGAAACTTCTCTACTCATAAACAAATTGTGTGCACAGAAGCCAGGCTAGCATTCTAGCAGCTTTGTTATTCTTTATCAAGTTATTAGCTGTTAGAACGGCTTGAAATCTTCCAAAATTTTTACCTCAGAAGAATTCTAGGCCTCCCTCAGAGTACTCCGGCAGCTCTCCTAAGAGTGGAAGTAGGATTACCTTCTGTGTCTGCCAGGGCCCACTTAAGATTCCTGCGTTTTTTCATCAACCTCACAGATGCCCCGAACACCTTATTGGCTAAACAAGCCTTTGTATCAGTACAAAATAATACGACTTGGTATAAAAACCTACTAGATATCCTATCCAGATACAATCTACCTGAGTTTAATACCCTTAAATTGTGGAGCCCTGATAAAGTTCGGGAATGGATCTTTGAAAAAGACGCCTTTTTGGACTCCACAAAGATAAAAACTCTGGGTTTTCCTACTGGTTTCCCGAGTAAAAGCAGTCAAAATCTGTGCCAACTACTTGGTGGAGATCACTGATCCCACCCTTCGGAGAGCTTTCACTATGGCACGGTTTCAAACACTGCCAACTGCATATCTGACCGGTAGATTCACAAAAACCCCAGTAGAACATCGTTTATGCCCTTGCCTAATGAAAATTAAAGAGGATCTTACACATTACCTCCTCTATTGCCCCATCTACTCGGGCTTTAGAGACGCATTGCTGCAAATTATACCCAACTCTATAACCAATCCTGAAGATAGAGTAAAATTTTTGTTAGTTGATGCAAACCCACGTATTACCCATGTGGTAGCGGTTTTTGTGATGAAGGCCATGAAAGCCAGGGAAAGACTTATGGATGACAATGTAAAGACCCCTTCATCGTCTGTTTAACTCGTTGCTCGTTTTCCCTCTCTTTCTATTTTGTGGGATGAAGGTTTTGTTGGCGTAGTATGTAATGAATTTTAATATTTTTTTTTTTAACTATTGTTATGTTAATGTTTGTGTACAGGCATGGTCCTCACAATAAACGGATTTGATTTGATTTGATTTTATCAAGTTATTTATTAATATGTATTTATCTATTTATTTAATCTAATTCCTAAAATCCAAGCACCACTTGATTAGGGAAATAACTGTTGCTAATCTCCCTTTGCTGAGCAAGGTTTTGGAGCATGTGGCCGCACACCAGATGGTGGTGGTGGTTCCAGTCCTGCTTGGATGGTCATTCCCAGACGGTGTTACTTGGGGAATGCTTTTCAGCACTGGCAACCTTGAATGTGGGGTTCCGCAGGACTCAATCCTATGCTCCACATTGTTTAACATCTACATGAAATTGCTGGGTGGGGTTATCTGGAGGTTTCAAGTATGTTGTCAGAATTACACTGATGACACTCTGCTCTATTTCTCATTTACACCTGCAGGTGAGGCAGTGGAAGTGCTGGACCAGTGTCTTGTCTCGGCAATGGACTGGATGAGAGCCAACCAACTGAAGCTCAATCCAGATAAGACTGGGGCACTGTTAGTGGGTGGTTCCCTAGACCAGATGGGTGGGAGGTCGCCTGCTCTTGATAGGGTTATGCTTCCTCTGAAGGAGCAGGCTCATAGCTTGGGGGTACTCCTGGATCCTTTGCTGTCGCTTGAGGCTCAGGACACTTCAGTGGCAGGGAGTGCCTTCCATCAGGTTTGGCTGGTGGCCCAGCTACACCCCTATCTGGACAGGGATAGCCTAACTACTGTTGTCCATGCTCTGGTAATCTCAAGGTTAGATTACTGCAATGCGTTATACGTAGGGCTGCCTCTGAAGACAGTTCGGAAACTTCAGCTAGTGCACAATACACTGATCCTGGTCCGACTGTACTGCTACCAATTCATTTCTGGGCCCAATTCAAAGTGCTGGTTTTGACCTATAAAGCCTTAAATGGCTCAGGACCGCAATACCTCAAGGACCGCCTCTTTCCATATGATCCTACCCAGACCCTGAGATCATCTTCTGAGGCCCTTCTTCGGGTGCCTCCTCCTCAAGAGGTCAGGAGGGTGGCAACACAAGAACGGGGCCTTCTCTGCAGTCGCTCCCCGTCTGTGGAATGCTCTCCCCAGGGAAGTTCACCTAGCGCCTTCATTATACGCCTTTGGACATTAGGCAAAAACGTTCCTCTATGGTCGATTTGCTTGACATCCTTTGCCCTTTTAAAATGTGGTTCTTTTGGGGGGTGTTATTGGGTTGTTGTTTTTATTTTGATTATGTATCTTCTGGTTTTATATATTAATTTTGTTCTGTGACCCGCCTTGAGACCTCTGCATATAGGGCAGTATATAGATTCAACAAACAAACAAACAAGTCAGCTTTCTCAGGACCTTTATTTATTAAATTTATATAGCACTTTTCATTGGAATGCTACAGGTTGAATTGCTATAAGACTGAGAGTCTAGTAAGCTTTCAACTTGTATGGAGTGATGAAAGTTTAGGTACGATGCAACCTTGGCTAATTAATGTAAATGCTTTATCAGTGAATCATCAAGCATTTATATCAATGGAGAATGTAGGAGAGGTCCCGGTTGTTGGCTTTGACTATGGGAGTTTCCTTGAATTTAATGAAGATTCCCAACACGATACCTGCTGTTAAGGACAAGACGAGGGCAATGGAAGCTAAAACCATTCCCAAATATTCTTCACAACCCCAGAAGGTGGTAATCTTGGGGACACATTGGTCCCTGCCCTTGTTTGGGCATTTGGTGCAATGTTCTGCATCTGGAGATGAGTTTCTTCAGCATCTCTTACATCCAGAAGCAGCTGTGTACAACTACATTCTGAAAATCTATGCTGCTGTGGGGGAGGTCATGAGATGATAATGTCCAACAGGGAAAGAGGGGCAAAAATAGTTTGTTCATTACTTTTTAAAGTTGTTTATGTGGTGTGCAGGTTTTCTCTCACTTTTGGTCACCAGAGCAACCTTGTGATTTAGGGCATAGCTGAGGGGCTCTACGCTGTCGTCTTTATTGCATAATTGCTGCTGGATGCTGAAGAGACACCTCTTTACCTTGACCTCTGACACTTTGTTTCTTATCATTTTTATTGTTTTCTTTCATCGACATACCACCTTTCCTCCATTGAGTTTCAACTGATGACCATGCTTCTCCCTTTCTCTTGCCATCTTCATAACAATATTGTGAGGCGTGCTCAGGATGCCCCTCTTTGCACCAGAGAAATGTTGGAGTTTATGCTGTTATCCGACCCCCGAGATGCCTGAAGGCAGCCCTGTATAGGGAAGTTTTCTTAATGTTTAATGCTTTCTTCTGCTTTTATCTATGTTGGAAGCCGCCCAGAGTGGTGGGTGAGGTATAAATAATAAAGTTATTATTATGGAATAGGACATCCCTATTTTCATTGGGGAAATTTGCTGCCAAGGAGTGTGGTGGAGTCTCCTTCTTTGGAGGTCTTTAAGCAGAGGCTTGACAACCATATGTCAGGAGTGCTCTGATGGTGTTTCCTGCTTGGCAGGGGGTTGGACTCGATGGCCCTTGTGGTCTCTTCCAACTCTATGATTCTATGAAATGTTGGAGGGTATGTGTGGATGATTATTTACATCTCAGTCTTGGGGAAGGGTGTCTGTGTAAAGACATATAGAACTTGCTTGTGCAAATGTTTTGGAGATATGATCTCACTAATAAGAAGATCTCCAGATTGGTACTGGTAGTAATTTTGTACATCTGTTTCATCCCTGATCAGATTCAAGGGGCATTTTGCCTTCCGGTTCCCACAGAGTCCATGGGGCATCTTTAGCAGCCGAAATAGCCAGAGAAGCAGCAAAGGTTTCATTCTGGCTCCAGCTCCTCCTCCCCTGTGGCACCTCTGATGCCCTGAGCCAGCCAAGCAGAATAATCAAAAGACTCATGCAAGACGAAAGCTGCAGTGGCTTTCCCAATCTGGGCAATGTTCAGAGGTGTTAAGCACCATGTAGACATATCCCTGCTCCCCTCAGCCTTTCACCTGCACCAAATCTTGGAGAAATCTGTCGCTTTCTGGCACAGGAAATATTCTCTGCACTAATGTTCTTTTGCAGCCACTGTGCAATTAACAACATCACACTGTTGTTGCGCCTGGTGATTAGGCAATCTCCAGAAATATCTCTTGAGCTTCTGGAAGAGGAAATCACTATGATTTCGATAATTGGAAGTGGAAGAAGTCTCACCTTGATAACTTCCGGGAACCTTGAGTGGCTCAAACAGCAGATGCGGAGTTAAATCCGGGATGGTCCCTGGAAAATAGGGGTACCTGGAGGGTCTGTACATCACATTTGAGGTTTCACTTACCATTCACTCAGCTTGGAGAGTGAAGTGCACAATATTTCCTAGGAAATATGACTGTGCAAAATCAGCCAGGATGACCCCAGATTAGCTTCAGAAAGATCAAAGGACTTGATAAGGTATCCCCTGGGATATAGGCTGCGATAAAGAAATACACGCTGGACATGAAGCCCAAGGGGCTTGTGCCCATTTCTGCTGCTTTAAATCCATTTTCAGCATTTGAGATATATGCAAAATGAAGATCTATGGAGCTAGAATCCCAAGACAACTACCATGTTGCCTTGGCAAAAGAGGCATGCCAAAACAGGACACCTATTTAGACTGCTAAAGCCAGGGAAATCCCCAGAGCTGAGGGACCAAATGTGTCGCTATCATATCCCAAATGGCCCGAGAATGCTGCGTTCAGGACTAAGGTAATTTCTAAATAACGCCCAATGAATGATATGGAAGTTGGGTCTATTAAGATAGTAAAATAGCAGGAATACACAGAATATAAACAATCAATCTTTACTGGCATGCAGGGAGGACAGGAATATGTAAATGGACACATACAATTGGCATCTGTTTGCAGGAGGACAAAACTTGACAGGCCTAGTAAGGTTAGAAAGTACCCCGTAAGTCTTTTGCCCATGTAGTTTCATGGCTTTTCTCAGATATTTTGCTATTTTCTCCAAACTCTCATGCCCACAGCTGTGATCTTGCCTAGAGGTTTCCCCCAGGCATCTACTTGGCCTCTGGGCTTCATGGCACGTGGGCCTGATCCAACAGGCTTGCTGGCCGTAGCCCTGTTCCGAGTCCCGTGACAACAGAGTGCAAAGCTCGGTGGAACGTTAGGCCAAGCAAACAGGAGACAAGTCTCCAAGAACTCTTGCATGAAACCGCATCCGAAGCCAAGCCCGTTCCGAGGGTTGGGCAGACAGCATCCCACGTAGTCAGACAAGCCAGAGGTCAGGGAATGCAAATGACTCTGTCTTCTCCTCCTAGTTTTACAATTTAGCCCATTAACATTCCACGAAATAATTTTAAGATCCATGCAGATTCAATGGTAAGCGTCTTTATTTCAAACAATAATCAAAAATTATATAATGCTTTGTATCTTCCCTTTACGCGTTCCCTCCCACTTATTTCTTCCCACCCCTTTTTATTTTCTGCCTTTCCTTTCAAAGTCTTCCCTTAATACCTTCCCCCCTTCCTTATATCCCTCCTTTATAGGCTTATCACCTAAGAAAACAGTCCAACAATATAATACAGAATTATACATAAAAAGGAAATAGAACAATGCAGTACTATTAGCAAGCTGTGGGGGGGAGGAAACTCACTTTCCTTCTTATTGTAATTTCTTTGACCCCCAGAAGGTCTCGCTGTCTCTTTTCTCAGTTCTTTCTTTAGCTGTCCCTTCTTGCTCGCTTGCTTTCCTCCTTTCCTTCCTCCTCCTTTGGGCGTGGGCAGCGTGAGCTAGCGGTTTTTCTACGCCATATTGCCCCTTCTTTTCAAGCCACCTTCCAGGATCGTTCCCCTCTCAGTCCTGCCTTCTCCTTCTCCTCCGCCACCGCAGACGCTGTCGTTCTCTCGCACTTCTCCTTCGCTGTCCACCCTTTGCCAGCTGTCTTCTCCGTTCCACTCCACAATCTCCAAAGGTGACAGGCTCTAGGACTGGGGGTGGCCGTGTGGGACGCCGGCATAAGGCCATGTGGGGTTGGGTTTCCCCCTACATTTCTCGCCCCGCTTGCCTCCGCGCTCTGATCTTTTATTCCTCCTCTCCAGTTTGGACCACAAGGATTAAGACCTGTGGAAGGACAACAAAAAGGAAATGTCCCTTAGGGACTCCCCTGCCACCACTGGCGGAGGAAGGTGGGTGCGGGGGGGGGTATCGCCCCGAGTGTCATCTCTGGGGGGGGGGGGAGGGTGACAAAATCTCCCCGGGTGGATCGGTGCGAGCCTCCCAACTCCTCACCTTGGTTCAGGGTGGACACAGCTGCCTGAGCCGCGTGCAGAGTGGCCTCCTTTCTCCCTGCGCCCCCTGCTGCCTCTTGTACTGGGTTGCCCCGGTGGCACTGGTGGTGCTGGCGGCGGCCCTCTTCTGAAGACCCTGTGAGTCCTGAAGACGATGGAACCGAGGCAAGTGGGGGTCTTCGGAGGTCTCTCTTCCTCGCAGTCCTGTGAAAAAAGTAAACAATTCACCTCCAGATTCTGGGAAAATGCCACAATCATTAATCAATCAATCAAAAGATTGATTGATTAAATCCGTATGCCGTCCTTCGTCTGAAGCTCTCAGGGTGGCTTACAGCATAAAAATACAAAATAAAAATACAACATATGCATTAAAAAAAACAACGAACTCATAAGCCAACCTCCCAATCCACAAGCATGTTGAAAAGGCCATGCATTGTTCAATTAGCCAAAGGCTGGTTCTGGAGCAGAACTTTCCATGTTGGTGACACACTTTGGAGACATGCCTCATTTCGCAACACAAGGATTCAGTTCAACTAGCCCTTTTCCAGCCCTGGGAGGAGCACACAGTTTGGAAAGCTCTGTTCTAGAGAAACATCTTTGCTTGGCACCTAAAGATACATAATGAAGGTGCCAGATGAGCCTCCCTGGAGAGAGCATTCCACAAGTGGGGAGCCACCACAGAAAAGGCCCCTTCTTGTGTTGCTGCCCTCCAGACCGTTTGTGAAGGAGCCACACGAAGAAGGGCCCTTGTGGTGGCAGGCTGTCATAATCCCTCCTTTTCTTTTCGGGGGCGAGGCATTATACAAAAGGGTTGTAGTCAGTAGGGAACACTCCTCTCCCAAGTTCTCATGTGGTCGGCCTTGGAGAGATCTGAACGAGACACAAAACCAAGAACAAGGGGGTGGGGGGAAGGTATAGGAGGCAGGAAAACCCCAGAGAGAACTGGCTTTGCGAAGTGCCAACATGGTTTTATTATCGCCAAACCCACTTTGCAATTAATAACTTCATTTGGCAGGAGCCACCTGGAAACTCATTCAAAAGAGATATCTTACAAAACAAATAGCAAACCAAAAGCAACCCAGGAGAATTATCTCCACCCCCATCGTTCTGCCCGGACACTGAGATCCAGCGCCGAGGGACTTCTGGCGGTTCCCCCACTGCATAGGGCCTTCTCGGTGATGGCACCTCCTGTGGAATGCCCTCCCAGCAGATGTCAAATAAATAAACAACTATCTGACTGTTAGAAGACATCTGAAGGCAGCCCTGTTCAGGGAAGCTTTTAATATGTCATGAATGATTGTATCTTAATGTTTCGTCTGACCTCTTAGCTCCAGGTGTTCTTCTGCGTTGTCTCCAGGTGGGGGGGGGGGCACAGCAAATCGGGCAAATCAAGGGTCTCCTTGTCCTCCCCTTCCTCCTCTGGGGGGCTCCCTAGTTCTTCCTGTGGCTCATCCTCCTGGCTAGCCACTTTTTCATCGGATTCAGAGGCTGACGTCCGGCAGAGACAGGACCCTAGAGGTGGTGGCAGTGGTGGTGGGGAGAGAGGAGAAAGAGAGCAGCACAAAATGAGGCAGGAACCCAGAAGGGAAACTCTCTTGCCTACATTGAGTCACTAGTCAGGGAAGCCCTACAGCCCTGGCGCCATGGGGGGCTGGTCCATCAGGAGGAGTGGGGCAGCAAGCATGGTCTGCCCTTAGCAGCCCCCTGCCTGTTTGCCCCCTTGCTCACAACCGTCCAGAAGGTGGCCTGGCCGGCCAGCCAGCCAGCTTCCTCCTCCTCCTCCTCCTCTCCAGCCTCAGGGTTGCCCTTGTGCTGTTCAGCAGGGCTTCTCTCCTGCTCTGTCTGCTACGTACCTCATTGAGTGAGTCCCAAAGGGAATCCAGGGAGGACACGGAGGACGGAGGAAAGGCTACTAAACGGGGACAGACTTGGAACCTGCAAGGAAAAGATGCAAAAAAACGAGCAATTAAAAAACACAATCAAACATTAAAACTCAAGGTATCCATAACTGAAACAACAGCTTCATTCTGCGGTTGATATGCCCCCCTCCCCTTCTGCCAATCACCGCTTAGGCCACAGCCACCTACCCAGTCGGGACTCAGGAGATCCAGATGTCTCGGGCTCTCCTTGTCTTTGCCTACGTCTCCTTTTCATCGAAATCGTCACACTCGATGGCTGACTGCTGGCAGAGACAGGACCCCAGAGGTGGTGGTGGGGAGAGGGGAGAAAGAGAGCAGCCCAAAATGAGACAGGCAGGAACCCAGAAGCTAAACTCTCCTGCCCACATTGAGTCGCTAGCCAGGGAAGCCCTATAGCCCTGGCGCCATGGGGGGCTGCTCCATCAGGACAAGTGGGGCAAGCAAGCACAGCACATTAACTCTCAAGGCACCCATCATTAAAACAACAGAACAGCGGCATAGCCAGCCACTCGGGTGCCTGGTTCAACACGGGGGTCCTGTGGGCGGGGGGCGCTGCCTGGAGCCTCTCTGCTGCCTTCCCCCCAGCTGTAGGGCGGTTGAGGGAGAGGCAGGGGGCAGACGCAAGCCCCACGCTGCCGTTTCAGGCAGCGTCCAACCTGCAGGGGCCCAAGCCACCACGTCACCCCCAGGAGAGATGCGTGGATCAGGCACTCTGCACCCCCCCCCGGTAAGTGCCAGCCCCCATGGTGTGGCGCCCAGTGCCAGCCGCGTTTTTTGACTCAACTAAAAGGTTTGGTGAGCCCAATTTTTATTTATTTTTAAACTCTGCTTTTTGTCCTTTTGCCACCCGCCTCAGTGATGACACCTGGGGCGGACCCCTTTTCTCCACCCTCTTTTCTCTGCAACTGCAAGAGAATAAAAGGACTCAGACTCCCTTAGCAGTTTCCTGTTGGCCCCCTCACCATTTTCCCAGACGTCAATCTTCTCCCTTTGCAGTTGCAGATTAGGCCCCCAAAGGCGGCTGCGCAGGGCAGGGGTTGGCCTCAGCTGCAAAGTGAGGTTGGGATTCTGAGCCGACGTCACAGCCAGGTTCCCATCAGTCCATTTCCTCCAAGGGGGGGAGACCTGTTTCCTCTGAGGGTGACCGCTGAACACACCACCCAAGAGAAACAGAAGGAGAAAAGCGGAGAAAGCTTTTAATTCTGTAGCAAGAAAGAAGGCGTGCCAGGAGTTTTCTTTTCCCTGCACTCCTCCATTGCAACGCCTTTTCATCATCATCATCATCATCATCATTAAACTAGATTTAATGAACACGCATATCAGAGTGCTCTGTCAACTGATAGCCATAGTCTTTGTCGTAGTACATTACCGTATTGGCCTGATTATAAGCCTCACTTTCCCCCCAAATTCCGACCGTGAAAGGTTAAAGTGCAGCTTCAATTCACGACCTTACAAAAGCTGGCTTTTACAATATCGCTGCCGGAACAGACTTAGGGTCAAATGGAAGAGGGGTGAGTGCCTGCGGGATTTTAAGGGAGCATCTTATATTCGGGTATTGTCTTCTTTCCTCCCCCTTGAATTTTAAAGGTGCGGCTTATATTCGGGCCAATACGGTCATGTACTAAATAAATATTTTTATAACTAAATTTACTCAATACTCCAAATTTCTTCTCCTTTATTTGATTTATATGCCACCCTTCCTCATGAAAGATCCCAGTTTAAAAGCAGTTAAAAACATCTCAGGGTTATTGGGAAAAGAAGAATGGTTGGTGTAAACCCAAAACCAAGTTAATAATTGCATTTCAGTGGGTCTGCTGTAGGTTTCATTGCAATCAAGGCGATGAGCTAATAATAATAATAATAATAATAATAATAATAATAATAATAATATTGCTTTCCCTGGCCACTCTGGGCAGCTCCCAACAAAATATTAAAAGCACTATAATAATCACAGCCACAACATGCATTTCAAGCATTTTTGGAGCTCTAAATTGCAGGTCAAACAACTGGCGGGTGGCCAGCGCCATTTTGGCCTCTGTTGTCCAGGGCGCAGGAGCCGCGGGACGTCGGGAAAAGGGGGAAGCCGTTCTAGGTGCCTCCAAGGGAATGAGGAAAAGGACGAGGTCTCTTCGCGACTTCCTGGGTGATGGGCTTTATTAGTATAATAATTGGTTATTTTTAGTTTATGAGCACGCCTGGAGGAAGGTTGCGCAGGGCAGCCTGGGAAGGGTGAGGGAAAGGCTGTGAGGAAAAGCCTTCTCTCTTTCTCCATCGCTCTGCCCCTCCATCAAGTTTAAATGGAAGAATCCAAATACGTCTAGAGAAAAATAAAATGATAGGAAACAGGATCCATGTTTGTGAGAAGGGGCAGCAAAGCATGCTGGGAAGAAGGACCTGAGGGAAATGAAATCAAACCTAACAAAGGATAATTTACCAATAAAGCTAATAAGTGAAACCTATTAGCTTCAGATTTATTTATTCAGTTATACGCTGGAAAATGGGTAAATTTCAAGTATAGGAAGCTGGATCCATGTTTGTGAGAAGAAGGGGTAGCAAAGCATGCTGGGAAGAAGGACCTGAGGGAAGGATAATTTATAATAAAGCTAACAAGTGAAACCTAACAAAAGACACTTTCACATGTATTTATGCAGTTATACGTTCGAAAATGGGTAAATTTCAATTATAGGAAACAGGATCCTTGTTTGGAGAAGAGGGGCAGCAAAGCATGCTGGGAAGAAGGATGTGAGGGAAATGAAACCTAATAAAGGACAATTCATCAATAAAGCTAATAAGTGAAACCTAACAAAAGACACCTTGGGATTTATTTATCTGTTTAGACAGTGGTACCTCAGGTTAAGAACTGTTCTTATCCTGAGGTACCACTTTAGCTAATGGGGCCTCCCGCTGCCGCCACACAATTTCTGTTCTCATCCTGAGGTAAAGTTCTTAAGACTATTTCTGGGCTAGCGGAGTCTGTAACCTGAAGCGTGTGTAATCCGAGGTACCACTATACACTGGGAAAACGGCTAAATTTCAAATTAATCCGAAACCCCACAGCAAGGCATGCTGGGAATCGACTGTTGGCCTGAGGGAGCTGGCAGTGCATGCTGGGAACTAGACTCAGCAACCTGGACGGCGCCCACGGCGGAGGCTGGCGGGAGTCGCAGGGCCTTTGGAGGGTGGCCCCTTCCCCTCCTCGTCCGCCAGGGACACCAGCGCCTGCAGCCCGTCCAGCTGCACTCTGCACGCTCTCAGAGGCCGGAGAGGCTGGCAGGGGCAGGGCCCCCAGGTGAGCCCAGGAGGGAGAGGGGCCCCTGGGGGATTTGCACTCTGCACGTCCTCAGAGGCCAGAGAGGCTGGCAGGAGCAGGGCCCCCAGGAGGGAGAGGGGCCCCGGGGGGATTTGCACTCTGCACGCCCTCAGAGGCCAGAGAGGCTGGCAGGGGCAGGGCCCCCAGGTGAGCCCGGAAGAGAGAGGGGCCCTTGGGGTGGGGGGATCCTGCTCTGGCACTTCCGGGAGGAATTGCACTCTGCACGCCCTCAGAGGCTTCGTAGTCTAAGCTCAGGGGGCTCTCTGAGCCAACCTATCTCTGGGGGGGTGAGGGGTTTCTTCCCATTTGTCAACATGCTTCTTAAATTATGGTGCCAGGAACTGGACACAATAATCCAGGTGGGGTCTGACCAAGGCAGAATAGAGCTCAGTCTTGTAAGCCACTGGTATTAGTAGCAATAACAGTAATAATAATCACAAGAAGATAGTAATATTAGACTTCGTTAACAAATATTTATGCTGCTTAACTGTGTGTGCGTTGCAATCCCTTATTCATTGTTGTGCATAGTAATTTTAAGTGCATTCTTAATATTACAATCAAGGTGCAATACTTTTAAAATGCATATTTTCTTTAAATATAAACATAGAAGTAAATGAAGCTCCAAATTCATCGCATGATGACCTGTGCCGCAAAGAGGGAACCAGGCAGAGGGCCTTTTCAGTGGTGGCGCCCGCCCTGTGGAACGCCCTCCCAGCAGATGTCAAGGAAATAAACAACTATCTGACTTTTAGAAGACATCTGAAGGTAGCCCTGTTCAGGGAAGTTTGTAATGTTTGATGTATTTATCGTGTTTTTATTATTCTATTGGGAGCCGCCCATAGTGGCTGGGGAAACCAAGCCAGATGGGTGGGGTATAAATAAATTGTTGTTGTTGTTGTTAAACTAGACGTAATGAACACTCATATCAGAGTGCCCTGTAAATTGATAGCCATCGTATTTTATATACTAACCTTTTATGCTCTTCCACATCCGTTTAATGCTCCGAAACCCTTCTTTTAGCTTCTTTTAGACTTTTATATATACTTTGTGTTTTAATACATTTTAGCTTTCCAAAACGTTTTACAGATTGGAAATGACTGTACCCCACCCTACTGAATGCTGGACTACTACCATAATAAAGATTTAATTGATTGAAATGAAGTATCCTATAGTAATGCAGTGATTGGACACCAAAATAATATAATACGGGTAATTCATAATGAAATATACAGTTTCCAGATCCTGTAAGACCGGCGCTGACACGGACCACAGCTGCGAACCATGAGGCAGATGTACTCATACAGTTTGTGTCCCGCGACTGAGGGAAGTGATGGAGGTGATAGTGCGCGTGTCACGTGACCAGTCAGGCCAAATGGCTGCGTCCGCAGTGGAGAAGGCGTTTTGTGTTCTTGAATTGAGCAAAACGGAGTTTGTTGTGCAACGGCATTTTCAATTGTGATGTGTGTTGTGTGACAAAGGGTGCACACATAGAACATCTGTGACTGTTTCTAAAATACTTTAAACATTCCCCTACAATTCTGTCACAGGTAACATGAGATATATTATATTCTTTTTTATAGTGTGTTGAAACGGTATACTTCATTATGAATCACTCTGTATAACATAACATAACATAACATAACATAACATAACATAACAACATAGCAACGTAATATATCGTACTTTTCCGTGTATGAGACGAGTAAAATGGGACCCCCCCCTTTTTCTTAATTTTCAGTTCCCCAAAATAGGGGGTATCTTATTCACGGGGGCATGTTCTACATGGTAAAATACAGTAATATGTAATATAATATAATATAATGTAATATAATATAATAGGAAAAGGTAAAGGGACCCCTGACCATTAGGTCCAGTCGTAGCTGACTCTGGGGTTGCGGCGCTCATCTCACTTTATTGGCCGAGGGAGCCGGCATACAGCTTCTGGGTCATGTGGCCAGCATGCTCATTCTGGCGAACCAGAGCAGTACACGGAAACGCCGTTTACCTTCCCGCCAGATCAATACCTCTTTATCTACTTGCACTTTGACTTGCTTTCAAACTGCTAGGTTGGTAGGAGCAGGGACCAAACAACGGGAGCTCACCCCGTCGTGGGGATTCAACCTGCCGACCTTCTGATCGGCAAGCCCTAGGTTCTGTGGTTTGACCCACAGCACCACCCGTGTCCCAATGTAATATAATATAATATAATATAATATAATATAATATAATATACCTCGCCCCAGCTCTCCCCGCTTTCCACTGCTGCCTTTCGTGACCCATTGCCTTCCCCAGCTCTACTCTCCCCACCTCCTTTCACAATGACTCGCCCAGATTGGCGTAGGCGGCCTGCCATTCCCGTGAGCCCCGGAGTTCCCTCTCCCCTCTCTTCCCGCTTGCCTCGCCCGCCCCTAACCCTATCCCTAACCCTGGCCAGTGCAATAAAATTCATTGGATCCCAGTCAAGGCTTGGCCAAGGTCAGCTGCTACTCTTTGGAAAAGGGAGCTGAGCTTACACAATACAGAAATTAAACCAACAGACTACTGAAGATGTCTTAAATGAATTTCTCAGTTTATTGATATACAAAGCTTAGGAGAACGAAATGATGTGAAGTGAGCTTATGAATGATAGCGCATAAATGAGGGAAATGGAGCATAGAAAATTGAATACATAGTACTGGCATAACCAAACAGTATTGTTGAATATTAGAATTGATATGGTTAATAGGTAGTCATGACAAAACAAACTGACTCAAAAACCTAACTAATCTCTCCCTCCAGCCTATCTGGTTGTGAGATAAATATAAGTTCCCAAAACACAAAATTATTAAAAGATCATAGTTTACAAACTAAGGGCAGTAGACCAGGACTCATTGTAATCCTTGGCAAAGCAAGGTAGCAAAACATTTCCTCCCATCTTCCTGTTCATGTGAACAGAACTTCCTAAAACCCAGGCTAAGAATGAACACAATCTCTTTCAGAGATGGAGAATGAGCAACATGGAGGCCTAGCTGTGTTTCCTTTAGGCACTTCTAGACATCAGGAACATGGACTATTTTAAGAATCAGATGCCCCCTTAATTCCTTGTTGTCAGGTGCTCCTTTGTGTTCAGATCAGGCCTCAGCACAATAATGTAGCACTTGGGAAGGAAGATGCAGCCCAAAAGCCCAGCACTGGAGGCCAACATAGAGAAGATCTGCACGGCCACCATGTACTTGCCCTTGGTGCTCAGGTAGGTGGGCACAAAGACACCCAAACACTGCAGAAGACCAGCATGCTGAAGGTGATCAGCTTGGCTTCGTTGAAGGAGCCAGGCAGCTTCCTGGCTAGGAAAGCCACCGTGAAGCAGATGGCAGCCAAGAAGCCCAGGTAGCCGAGGGCAACGTAAAACATGGCCACAGACCCTTCGTTGCATTGCAGGATGATCTCTTCCACCTGGGAGCGCATGTCGGACTCTGGGAATGGGGGAGAAGAGCCCAGCCAGATGGTGCAGATGAGAACTTGCCCCCCAGAACAGGAGATGACCATGGAGTTGGCCAGACTCTTGCCCAGCCATCTCCTCACCCTGTTCCCGGGCTTTGTGGCCAGGAAGGCCAGCACCACCGTGATGGTCTTTGCCAAGACAGAAGAAACAGCAACTGAGAAGATGATGCTGAAGGCCGTTTGTCGGAGAAAGCAGGTCTCTTTCCTTGGGTGCCCGATGAAGAGGAAGGAGAACAAAAAGGAAAGCAGGAGGGAGACGAGCAGGATGTAGGAGAGGTCCCGGTTGTTGGCTTTGACTATGGGAGTTTCCTTGTATTTAATGAAGATTCCCAACACAATGCCTGCTGTTAAGGACAAGCAGAGGGCAACAGAAGCTAAAACCATTCCTAAATATTCTCCATAAGCCAGGAAGATGATAATCTTGGGGACACATTGATCTCTGTCCTTGTTTGAATGGTGATCTTCTGGGCATTTGGTGCAATGTTCTGCATCTGGGGAAGAGAAAAAGAATGGCTGCAGCATCACTTACATCCCTAATGATCTGAACTTGATTACGATTTGAAGAAATCCTAGAGATTTCTTCCTTATGATCATTCCTTTCAACTCTCTTCCAGGATGTAATGAAGGGATTAATCCAAAAGAAGTTGAGGAATGAGCCACATTCTACAATGTCTGCAGAATTCTCACAAAAAGTGTGTGAGACTGAATTTCTGCCCTGTGTTTACTCTCTCCAGAAATACCTTCCCCCCTTGGAGTCACCCACCTTCCTGGGCGGAGAAGGTCCCTTCCGCACACCGAGCACAAGCATAGCAGCAAATGGGCTTTGCTTCTAGAACCACCTTGGCATATCCAGGTCGACATCTTTCTGTACACCTGGAACGAGGCACGGCCTAACCAGAAAGACAAGAAGGTGCAAGAAAGAGGAAGAGTTAGGCATATTTGTGGGTATGTAATTCAGTCATAGGGACGCGGGTGGCGCTGTGGGTTAAACCACAGAACCTAGGACTTGCCGATCAGAAGGTCAGCGGTTCGAATCCCCGTGACGGGCTGAACTGCCATTGCTCAATCCCTGCTCCTGCCAACCTAGCAGTTCGAAAGCTCCGGCAGGAAAGTATACAGCGTTTCCGTGCGCTGCTCTGGATCCACACGACCTGGAAGCTGTATGCCGGCTCCCTCGGCCAATAAAGCTAGATGAGCGCTGCAACCCCAGAGTCGGCCCCGACTGGACCTAATGGTCAGGGGTCCCTTTACCTTTACCTTAATTCACACATAAAGTGAATTCAAATGGATCTCTGGAATGCAGCCTTTGACCCCTCATCAGGGTCCTTTCAACCCCCCACTGGCCATTGGGGTGACCAGAATATCTTGTTCTTCATAATTCGTTCAGGACAACTGAGGTTTGCGCCACAGAACTCTCCTTCCTCTTCTCCATTTACCTGTTTCCCTGCTTAATAAATTTAATATGACTTTTCCAAGTATTGGTTTCCCTCACTCTGTTCTTGAGGCATGCAGGGTTTCCTCTTATCGTTGATGAATTTCCTAGTTATTTCTAGTACATATGCCATTCCTTAACATTGACCTTATATTAAATTAGGGTTTGTGTTTTTGTTTTTTTTAACTTCTCATCCTTCAACAACAGCTCTGCACTTCTCAATTTCTGCAGATACAATAGTTTAACATTTGCAACATCTAGAAGTGAACTGACTACACAAATCCACAATAAATCAGTAATTATCATTTCTAAAATAAATTACTTTCCATCCTTCTGCATGTATGAAAGCTTTTTACTAGGGGCTTTCCCTTTTCTTCTTATCTACGTAGTCCTTTCAGTTGAAGATTCTGGTGTCTTCTCTGAGGACCTCTGGGCTCTATCCTTTCTTTGATCACCCCAAATTCCCCTCCTATCTCAGCTGCTGTGGAAAGAAGGAGTGGTGGTTGCAGCTGTTATTGACGGTCAAGACACCATTGGGCAACCTGATATGGTCATTTTTCAGCGGTTGTTTAAGGAAAAACATAATAAGCACTCCTAGCCTTCTCCTCTGTGATTTACCCTACCTTGTTGAATTCCTTGGGCCACTCAATGGCTTCTGGGTTAATGGTGAACTTTATGCCAGCAGATATCTCTCTCCTTATATTCCCAATTTTCACAAGTTCACCAGACGTATTGGGAGACATCATCCAGTTCATAATATCGAATTCCGCTGGCAGCTTCCAGTTCTCATCCAAGCCCAGCCTGCCCCTGGAAGTATTCAGACACTGGATTTCTCTTAAGAAAGGGTGAACCTGGATTGACAGGGGAAAGCACCAGCACTGAGAAACCTGGAAGCCAAGATGGATATCTCAGTCCTACTCACTTCAGCCTCTTATGATTTGGGGCCTGCGTGTATCTCATGTAGACTGGAATTCCTATTCAGCTATTTGTATTACTACAGACCCTGCAAGCGCCCCAATTTTCCAGGGATGTCCCTGAATTAGAGACAGTTTTTCATTTGATCCCGAAATTCCCCACCTTTCCTTAGAATGTCCCTATTTTCATTGGATAAATGTTGGCAGATGTGGAGTTATCCAACCCACAAGGCGTCCAATCCTATATTGGGAATTTATTATTATTATTATTATTATTATTATTATTATTATTATTTGAATATGAATTTCTTTATGTTGGGAGCTGCCCAGAGTGCTGAGGCAACCCAAAAAGATGTGTGGGGTATAACCTCCGGGGTGGCGCCATCGGCAATGGCGGATTCCCTCTGAACTGGAGGGACCAGCTCCACGGGAATCGGGTCTTTTCCGCTACGGCGAAGCGGGGACCCATTCAAAAATCACAGGTGGATGAAGCCTGTGACCATGGGACTTGGCGGGCACCTATAGCGCCCCCCCAACCCGCGAAGGAACCCACTAACGGGCTCCGGAGCGAAGAGGGGAAGTGGCGCGGTGCTGAGAGTCAACTGCTTCTTCCGTGGAGCGAAGCCGCACAGCCGTTGCCGGAGAGCGCTGCCTTTTTCCTGGGACAATTTGGCTTTTAAAACAACCACCCGTGAGTACTTAAGCTTCGGACAATTGGACTCTAAATAAGGATTTGCGAGCAGAAAGGAAAACTGGACTTAAAAGTTTAATTTAATTTGGCACTGAAACGGGAAGGTCTAAACAGGAAGTCAGCCTTCCGTTTCTTTGTAGATAGATTAAAGCAAAGACACAGCAAACCAAAGTTCTGAAAATCGCTTCTAAAGGATTAACTTTCATCATTTAAAATTGTGGAACCCCCTTCGGAAGCAGGAGAAGAGGGGGGATTTTTTCTGGACTGTTTAAACCTGCAGAAGTGAGTGTAAAGTAAAGTAACTTTCCACCGTCTTGATCCTGGAGCGGGGTGTCAGGACTGACGTTCTTTGAAGCTCATTGACCAGAGACAAACGTTTTTGACAGATAGCTAAAGGAAGAGATACATAGTGATTCCATTGTTCCCCTTCGCATTTTAAAGGAACAAATATTGACAAAATATCTGAAAAAGGAAACTTTGTTGTTAGATTTGTTTTTAAAAGAAAAGAACAAGCAGAAGTTTTTCCCCTAGAGGGAGCCTGTGAAACTGTAACCAATTTTGATTCGGGAAGCTCGCAGCTGTTACAGATTACGATCGCGGGAATAGACTTCTGACCTTGCAGGACAATGTATTCAGAAGCTCTGTTGAGTGCTTTCTGTAAAACAAGTGCCCTACTGGAACAGTTACATGAGAAGACGGATTTTATGACTGATGCGATTAGAAATGTTGGACAGGCAGTGGGATATTATATAGAGCCCACCCAGGAATTAGATCAGGAGTGTGCCCTGACAGAACAGATGAGGGAAGAGGATGTTGCTGAATCTTGGGCGCCAGAGATGGAGGGAGCTGCGGCCCAGCAGGAACATGAATTCTTGGATTTGACAAATGATCTTGGAAAAAGCCAGATTTGGAAAGATAAAGTTTGGTTTGGTTTGGAAATGGGGGGTTGGATAGACCCCCCCTATGCAGGGAGGTTTGGATTTTTCGAGTCTGGCAATGGGCCGTGAGATGTTTGGGGTTGTGGGGGCTCTCAATTTTGGAGGGACTTTGAAACATGTTCTTAAATACCACATGGAGCTTAGTGGAGACTATGGAAAAGGGGCTGATTTGTCGAGAAGGGTCAAAAGCATTGTCAAGCTGGAGTTCCCAAGAGTGAAAGAAGTAGGAGATAAAGGAAAATATAGCTATAAATATGAAGAAGAGCTGCGGAAGGGACATGGAAGAGACTTAAGGGCCTCGGACATAAGGTTACCAGGTTAATGCGCTAGATTGATGGGATAGAAAGGACTGACAAAACCCGGGTCCAGGAGGAAGAGACGCTGGATGAAGATTGGATTGTTATTTCTTTTATTATGATTGTTTTATAAAATTGATGAATGTTAGAAAAATGTAGGAACGAAATTATTTGGCTTTAGCAAAAATGTTTAAAGAATTATGTAAGAATATTATGGTTATGAGAAATTGGTAAAAATAAGATTTAAGTTTTAAGTTTTAAGGTTTTCATAGTAAGATAAGATTAAAATAGATTAAGGTAAAGTAATGACAGAATATTATGAAATATGGAAAGGATTTGCTGTGACAATTAATAATCAGGATACAAAAAAAGGGAGGAGGAGGAGGTCAAAGAAAGAAGGTAAGGACAGTTAAAGATATGAGAATATTGGATTTGTTTTTAAATGTTTGTGGTATATTTTTGTTTTTAATTGTGTCGTGTTATTTTTGATTTTGAGTTTTATTAATCTGTATTGTTTGACTGTGGTTTGTCTTTTCTTCGTTTTTTCTTTCTTTTTTTCTTTTTTGTTCTCTTTTGTAATTTAAAAATTTTCAATAAATATCATTTAAAAAAAAAAAGATGTGTGGGGTATAAACAGTGCTATTTTCCTAGAAAAGAAGGTGCCGGAACTCACCATGAACACCTCCCTCTGAGAATGGCAATGGCACCAACCTGAGAGGTGCCAAAACTGAGTTCTGAGGAGTTCCTCCCTGAAAAAAGCCCTGGCTATAAACAGTAAAATTATCGTTATGGAATGGGATGGTTCTATTTTCATCAGAGAAATGTTGGGCAGTATGCTACTATTACTAATACTAATAGTAACTATAATATTTTACAGATCTATCCCCAGTCAAGATCAGCATCTGTGTGGATTGCAGGTTTCAAAAAGGGGAATACCTGCCATGGCTGTAGCCTTTGGGGTCCCCATTGCTCTCCTTCCTCAACCATCAGCCTCCTCTGGGATCTAGAGGAAAGCGAAGCATGCAAGGCCTGAGCCACAGCTTGAACATTGATGTAAGTGCCATAGCTGTCATAAGACAGGGCTCTCTCACGCTCCCCTTGGAGCAATGGCTGCAGTTTCTCCTCCTCTCTGCATCTTATCCTGTCTTTCACGGACAACAGATGCTTTGAATATGAACACTGAAATGCTTGATTGAAATAATCCCCAAGATTGGTCTGCAATTTATATTTGTCACTGTTGCTGCTCCTTATTCCAGTCTGAATTGCAAAGGACAGAGAACCATGGAGGTGCTGGAATATATTTGGAGGGAAGTAAAAGCCAATTCTGATTTCTAGCGAAGCTGTTGTGATCCAAACTTTCGCCCCTATTTCCTTCACATATAGTTTGTGTATTGCCATGAGTGGTATGATATCCAGTGCATTGATTATATAGGAAACAAATACCCCAACTTGTCTCCATAGGGAAAAAGGTTCCCAGGCCTGATAAATTGATATAGATCTTTTTCTGGTACTCTTTTTGATAAAGCAATGCAGATCCCTTTGCTGTGCATCAGAGGTTTCACAGCGCTCGCAAATCTTTCTCCACTGTCATTGTCTGGAGTGAAGAGGCCAATCCACGTCCATCCAAAATGCAGGAGCAATTCAACAATCCCCTGGTACTGACTATCCTCTTTGGGAGTCATCCGGTAGACAAAAGGGAACAGGGTTTTACCTTCGAGAACCTGGGCAGTGAAGCCATAACTGATCTAGCAAGGGAAGCAAAAGATCAGCAATTTATTTTACTTTCATCATAACGGGTATTTAAACATATGAAATGTCTGATATCTATCTAAATCTCTGCTGGCTGAGGCTGATGGGAGTTTTAGTCGGAAACATCTGGAGGTGTCAAGTTAGTGAAGGCTCAGTTTTGAAAAAGGGATGTTTGACCATACCTCAGGATTTTCCCATTTTTAAAAATATCCCCACTTGACCTCTCCAGAAAGAAAGTAGAATTTTACGCAGTTGAAATTCTCTGTGCTTCCATGCTCTTCCCCTACTTACCTGTGGGATTTTGTAGATGCCTGACAAGGCTGAAATCACTCTTGAGATGACAGTATTGCCTCTTTCAAGAACAGCCAGCAGGTGATTCTGTTCTCCACAGTGATAATTGGGAATATTGCATCCACTGCCTGCAAGCAGCTCTAGCATGGCGTCCGAAGTCATCCTTGCATCGAAATAGTTCTCATAGAGGTTGTAGCCCAGAGTAATGTTGGGTAAGAGCCTGAGATCCTGGTTGATCTCTTGGATGGTGAACTGGAAAGACAACACGTGCCAGTAGAACCTAGTTGCCTCCCTGCAATAAATGAATCCTTTAAAAAGAGTGAAACTGATATTCATATTAATGGGAGGGAGGGAATATTATATGATTCACAAAGATTAGTATTTATTTATCCTTTTACATTAATATCAAACCTTTTCCTGCCTAACATAGAACAAAAATTTGGAGATCTCTGCTCCATGACTGGAGCTTTGATGCAAACAGCACACAGAGCTGTTCAGCAGTGGAACAGACTCCTCCGAAGGTGACCATGTGTCATGGATGCTTCAGGTGAGATTCCTCCAGGTTCCTTCCATCTCTACAACTCTATGATCCTTTTCTACTGTGATTCTATGAGTAAGAAATGAAGGCGCCCCTCAAAATGTGTGATATACTGGGAAGTGGCTCCAGAGCGGCTTTTGCTGCAGTGGTCTTTGGTTTCTTCCAAGGGTCTAGAGTATAGCTAGATAAGAGACAATTTTATTGAAGGAGGAGAAGCACCAAATACCTCAGTTCCCTTTTAGATACAAATGAGGCCTGATGGCTTTCAGGTTTGAGTGTGTGGTAAAATTATAATTTTGCCCATGTTTGGATCAGTGACTTCACCAGTGAGGACACCCCCTGGTTATTTTATATAACCATTTTATTTGAAGCATATGGTTCCTGCTTTCACCCATAAAAATCCACCCATTTTCAAGAGTTTCTTAAAACGCTTTTAATTTTTTAAAAACAGTGTAAGAAAGGAAAAAGTGCTGAGATTGGAGGAGGAAACCTTTAATGTAGCCCATGGTGGGCTGTAGGTCTCCTGTGGTCTTGTGTCAAGAGAACTGTGCTAAGGTTGTTCACAAATGATCCAAATAGAATAAAGATAAAATAATTTTGGCATCTTGGCAATTGCTTGAGTTTCATGCCTCCCTCTGGGATAGGAAACAGGTACCTATGGATTCCAAGTGAAGAAATATCAAACATCTCACTACTTAGAAATGAGACCAGTTGTGTATGTGAAAAAAGGAATAATTGGTTTTCACATTATAGAGACCTGACTCCGCGAACAAGGAAGTATCCTGATTCATATTATTTTTTTCATCATTTCAATTAAAGCACATCTTTCCTGCTCTTCAGCCACCAAAAGTCACCTAGAGGATCTTAAAATTCCATTTGTAAAACTGTAACATTCTTTAACGACAGTTTCTGAATTGTCGAAATGGAATAATATTGAATGAAACCTTTGAGCCTTGGAAATTGCCTGAGTTTCATGGTGGGAAAATTCAGTGCATCCTTTTGAACCCTGACCAGATTCACTAACATTCTTGCATTCTTCTAAAAGCAACACAGAATCAAAGGTAGGAAAGTGTTTTCCTAAGGAAGACCCAGAGGACATGGAAATAGGAGAGGGTTGGGTGGAATCTTTTACTAGACCCCCCAGCTCCCATCACCCCCAACCAGCAAGCCCAATGGTTAAGGGCAGGGTAGTACAGCAACATCAGCCCTTGGCTCCCCAGCCGTGAGAAAGGGGCTATTTCCTTGATAAATAGGAACCACTAGAAGGACTGGAGAACCATGAAACTGTGAAGTACATACACTTCAGTGCGGGCGAAGGGTGTCTGAGAAAAGACGTATGGAGTTTCTTCATATAAACGTTTTGGAGAGATGACCCCACTGATGAGAAAGTGTCCAGGCCGGTAGTAATTGCGAGCATCCGTTTGATCCCTGACCAGATTCAAGGGGCATTTTGCCTTGTGGTTCCTGCAGACTCCAAAGGGCATCATGAGCAGCAAAAGCTGCAACAGAAGGAGCAGGGATCTCATTCTGGCTCTGCTTCCTCCTCCTCTTACCTGCCAAGGAGGCAAAGCAGAAGAACCCAAAGATTCTTGCAAGACCAGACTGGGTAGGCTTTCCCAATCTGGGTGGTTTTCAACTCTACCTTCAGAGCTAGGAAGCACAAGGCAGGCACACCCCTCTTTCACCAGCTCTGTATCTTGACTCAGTCTGTCTCCATCACAGGAAATATTATCTGCACTAACTTTTTCTTTCCCAGACACAGCACAATTAATATTGTCATGCTACTTTCTGAGGCTCATGCAATCTCCAGAAATATCTCCTGAGCTTTCAGAAAATGAGATGACTATAATTTTGATTATTCCAAGTGGAATAAGTTTCACCACAATAACTCTCTGAAGTCTTGAATGGCTCAAGTAGCAGGTGCAGAGCTGGAGAAAAACATTTTGGACAGAAGTCAAGGGGTGTGTTTGGGAGAGTTGGAAGTTTGGCCTGAACTTTACTCACAAAGACCAAAGAAGGAGCTGGATCTGACCATGGCAGGTATTCCCTTCCCCTTTTTGAAAACTGCAATCCACGCAGATGCTGATTTCGACTGTGGAGAGACCTGTAAAATATCATTGTTAGTCTTAGTAATAGTAGCCTACTCCCCAACATTTCTCCGATGAAAATAGGAACATGCCTTTCCATAATAATCATTTTACTATTTATACTACGGGCTTTTTTTCCTGGGGGAACTCTCTCCAATGCAGGAATCTCAACTAAAGCATCCATTAGAGATGGCCATCCAACCTCTGCTTAAAAACCTCCAAGGAAGGAGAGTCCATGGTGGGATCCAGCTGCAGGACTCTTACAACATGATTTAAGAAAGCTCTGTGTACTTTAACCTTCTCATACCACCAACATGCATGCCAACCATATCTATTGTCATGACCTTCTAAAACATCAGGGTTTTTTTAAAATAACATCCCTTCCCTTAGCCAGCATAAACAGGATGCCTCATAATATAGTCTTAAATCTGGTAGGGAGAATCTGCTTTTGTCTTTAGAATCTATCAACAAATTATATTTTATTCTTGGCTTCTTCCCCTGCCAGATAAATTTTGTAATATCTTTCTGCCATTCTTTGAAGTGTCCTGGATTGCTGATCAAGGGTATTGTTTGAAATAGCATTCTTGGCAATACATTCATTTTAGTTAATGATACCCTTCCCAATTGCGCTAAATTCTTTCTTCCGCACACCTCTAAGTTTTTCTTTATTTCTCTCCTAGCTCTTCTATAGTTATCCTTAAAAATATTTATATTCTTAGCTGTTTTTACTTTTATTTAGTTTAAAGCCTGCTACTTCTCCAAACTTTAGAATCTGTTCCAAGACCCTGCTAGCCACAGGGTCTTCTACAGTTACCACAAGGTTATACCAGATGGGCGGTGTATAAATGCCTTAAGGTTATATGCTTTGTAACCTACTGTTTTCCCTTTTATTTCTTCATCTGATCTTATACTTCTGGCCAGGGTCTCTAAAACTAAAATCAACAATAATGGTGACAGAGGACATCCCTGTCTTGTCCCTTTCATTATTTTGCATTTTTCTGTTATTACATTATTTACTATCAGAATAAATTGTGTTAATTCCTCTATGGAATTAATGTGGTTTGCCAATATGTCTGCAAACAGTTTATAGTCATTATTTAATAGAGAGATGGGCCTAAAATTTTTGACTGATAATAGATACGTATTTTGTTTCAGAATCCCTATAATGTAAGCATCTTTCCAAGCATCTGGCACTTTCCCTATATTTAATATTTCGTTCATTACATCTTTTAGTGGTTGCGCCAGATAATCTTGTAGTTTCTTATAGTACTTTGCTGATAGCCCATCTGGCCCTGGAGTTTTTCCCATTTTGAATAATTGCCTGTTGTAGCTCCATCATGGTCATAGATGCATTTAATGAATTTTACAATTTTTGGGAGGTTATTCTGCTTTAAATATTCTTCAATATTATTTATGTTCTCTTTACTGACGATACAGTTCTTAATAATACCTTACATATTGCTTTCTTATATCTTTTGGGTTATTTTTCCTTCTATATTTAGTTTTTTTATTAAGTTCATGGCCTGCTTCTTCTTTAGCTGCCATGCCAGCAGTTTGCCTGGCCGGTTTGCAAATTCAAAAAAATTCTGCCATAGCATTTTAATCTTCCATTCAGTTTCTTGATTTAACAGCATCAATTATTTTCATTTTCAATCAGCTCTTCCAGCAGGTCTGGGATTTTTTTGTTCTCTCATCTTCTTTTAGAAAGCATTTTCTTGAATGAAAAAGCCCACATTACTGCCTTACTTGAGTCCCAGACAACCTTCAGATCCATTCCTTGATTTAAGTTGAACTCAAAATAATCTTTCAAAGCTTTTTCAGCTTTAAGTAAAATTGTTTGGTTAGCAAGAAGTCCATCGTTTCATCTCCACCTGAATGATGTGTTTTTTCATCTTTTAATTCAAGTAGTAATTGGTTATGATCCGAAAGTGTCCTTGGTCATATCTCTACTTTTTGTTGTTGTTCTTAATGATAATTCATTGGATATCCATATTGAGTCACTTCGTCCAACAGATGGCTTTGGTTCTGAAAAAAAGGTGAATTCTCTATCCGCCACCCTCCAGATCTTTCATAGAGGTGCCACACAAAAAAGGGCCTCAGGTGAGGATTGCAGGGTCTGTGAAGGCCTTGTCTGCAATGACCCCTGTGTTGTGGGATAAACTTCACTAGAGCTAAAGGGGACTCCTGCGGAAATTGTGCTCTCTCTGCTAGTTTCAGTGTGATTGTTCGCAAGCACATTCATGAACACTGACTTTTAGGACATTTTGAGTATCTATGGTTTTTGTAGATTTTAAGAATGTATTAACTTGTCTTTTGTATTAACCTTAATCTGTAAAGCTCCTTGTTATTTTATATGCACTCTATATAAATGCTTTCATATATTACAAAAAAAGCCTGAATAGGAATTCTAGGGTATATGAGATACACGCAGGCCCCAAATCATAAGAGGACAAAGTGAGTAGGACATCTTAACTTCATGGTTTCTCAATGCTGGTACTTTCCCCTGGCATTCCAGCTTCATCCTTTCTTAAGAGAAATCCGGT